AGCCGTTCGTGATTTACACGGATCATGCGTCGTTACGCACTGCGACTCAGTCGCCTCACCTCTCGCAAAGGATGGCCCGCTGGCTGTCCTTCTTCGCGGAGTACAACTTCGAGGTGAAGTACAAGCCTGGCAGGCGGAATGTCCTTGCGGACGCGCTGTCGCGCAGGCCGGATTATGATCTGGCTCATGTAACGACCGTGACTTCGTCACTACCGGATTTGATCCGAACGGCTTATGCCAAGGAGGACACCTGTGTCGCGTTGCTGAAGGCTCTGGGGAGCAAGGAGTTTCAAGACTCGGACATGGAATTGTCAGCGCGGCTGCGCGCGCGGCTACACCGCAATTCCCTCGATCGTGGCCTGTTGTTCTACAACACTGGCCCCGAGGATACGCCCCGCGTGGTCATCCCTCATGATGAGGATCTGAAGTACCGCATCATCTATGAGGCACACGACACGCCGCTGGCCGGCCATCTTGGCCGTGAGAAGACCTACAGCTCGGTGAGCACCCACTACTGGTGGTCGAAGTTGTACAAGTGGACGAGCACTTATGTGCGCACGTGCGAGACGTGTCAGCGAGTGAAGTCGTCACCTCATGCTGCAGCGCCGTTGGCAAGTTTGCCTGTCCCTTCGGGCTGTTGGCAATCCATGAGTATGGACTTTGTGTTTGGCCTGCCGGCGGACGCGGCGGGCAACACAGGCGTCGTGGTCTTCGTGGACCGACTGAGCAAGATGGCTCACATTGCGGCTGTGCCGGATACCATCGATGGTAAAGGTACAGTAACGCTGTTCTTGGACCGAGTGTTTCGACAACACGGACTCCCGTAGTCGATTGTCTCGGACCGAGACCCCCGCTTCACGGGCAACTTCTGGAGCGCGATCTTTGCGGTGCTTGGCACCAAGCTGGACATGTCCACGGCGGACCATCCGCAGACCGATGGTCAGACAGAGCGCGTGAATCGCGTCGTCGAGGACGTGCTCCGCAGCATTTGCGCCGAGACGCCGAAGCGCTGGAGCGCCATGCTACCACTCGTTGAGTTTGCGTTGAACATCGCCGTGCACGCCTCGACAGGCTACACGCCGTTCTACGTGAACAGCTTGTCTCATCCCCGCGTCCCGCTGACGCCGCCACGTGGTGGTCTCGGGCTTGGTGGGGGAGGAGAAGCCGATTTTGCTGATCGGCAAGCTACGGTTCGTAAACAGGTTAACGCTTTCTTGTCGAAGCGTCTGAGTGTCTTAAGACATGTGCGTGACGCAATGACTGAGAGCCAAGACAAGCAAAAGGAACATGCAGATGCCAGGGGCAGAGGCAATGTTGAAAGTTATAAGGTCGGGGACCTGGTGTTGCTTAATGCTAAGAACCTACCTACACATGCAGTGTTAGCCGTCTTCAAGACGAAGTTGCGCCCGCGCTTCATCGGACCTTTCAAGGTTGTGGCCAAGAAGGGCCTTGCGTACACGCTCAATCTTCCGACGAAGATACGGACGCACCCCGTCTTCTACGTGGGCTTGCTCAAGCCGTACCAGAACCCGATGCAGGTGCAGATGGAGGTACCGAGGGTGACGAGGTCGCGGTCGTCGAGGACGCAATCGCAGGCGTCGAGGACGCGACCACCCACGTGGGCACCGCAGACACAGGCGGAAGAATCGGCGCCGAAGGTGCCGCGGGCACAGCGGGAGCCGCGGGCGCAGGGGGCGCAGCAGTCGGAGCCTGCATGCGGGCCAGAAGGTCGAGCTGACCCTGAAGCACAGCCTGCTGACGCCGTAGCTCTCCGAGCTCCCGGCCACGCTGCTCTTCGCGATCGCGATAGTATCGCACCCAGTCCTCCAGGACCCCAAGGCGGTCCCAGACCTCTCGAGGCACCTCGATCCATCGGGTCCGCTCGGCGAGCTCGTCGAGTTCGGTGGCAGTCTGGCCCAGACGCGCATCAACGATCCCGAAGGCGACCCGCCTGCTGCCGCACCTCCAAGAGCTCACCTTGAGTCGCAAAGGGCCCCACAGCGGCCTCCACTGGCTCTGCTCGATGAGCATGGGAATCTACATTACCATGTGGAGCGCCTCCTGGCGAAGCGGCGGTGCCGGGGTCAAAACCAGTATCTGGTGAAGTGGCGAGGGTACCGTCACTCCGAGAATTCATGGGAGTTTGAGGTGCCCCTCCGCCAAGACTGCCCAGACGTCGTGGACGCTTTTGATCAGCTTGATCACCAGCGCCCCGAGGGCTCAAGGCCGGCACGCCGGCCGTCCCGCGCTTCCCGATAATAAGCTGGGGAGCTGCTGGGTCAGCCACATTGCTCCGACGCTGATCCTGAGCCACAGCGCTCACTCCCTCGCGGGAAGGAGCGGCTGGAGTGCTTGAAGGAGCGAAGCGCGCAGCGCTAAACTGGGTCTGCGGCTGGGCGAGTGCCCAGAGGCTGCGCTTGGCTCGGACCTTCGCGAAATCAAAGCGGAGCTTGCGTTCAATGCGAACATCCACTTCACTGAAGCTGGCTCGGAGAGCCTCCATGGAGCTGAGCTTCCGGCTGTGCTCGGCCCAAGACTCGAACTGAGCTTCGTACTCAATCGAGTCTTCCCCCGGGCTAAGTACCACCGGGTACGTCCGCATGGCGGGCACGGACATCTGCTGGGCTTGCAGACGCAGTCGCTCGCGATACTCCGCGACAGTCGTAGACTGTGGAGTGAGGAGTCGCTCTCGCAGAGACGTACGCAGTGCGAGCTCCTCTGGAGTACGGGCCGCAGGCCCAATGGCTTGCAGCTCGAGAGACTGCTGGAACGCCTGGCGACAAGCCTCCGCGGGGTCGCGAGGCCGGAAGCCGTAGTCGGCAGTGCTGGGGTTCAGTAGAGGCCGCAGCTCGGGGCGCTGGGAGCGCATGGGAGCCATCTGCGCCGCAACCTGCTCGGACTGAGCCTCATCCAAAGGGTTGGAGATGACGGGACCCAGGGGTACGTCCTCACCACGAGGCGGCGAATAGCATGCTCAGAGAGCGCGCGCAGCTCGTAGAGATCTGAGGAGCGTTCAGGGAACGGGTTTGGAGTTCGCAGCGGTGGCCGCAGCTCCTCCCTCGACGGCTCGGCGAGCGCACAGGAGACGGGCGCGCGGGGCGCTCTGGGTCGCGACGGCTCCGAGAGCCAACTGGGACCGGCGAGCCTTCTTCACGGTGCGTCGACGGCGTGGGCGAAGCGTCGCGTGGCTGGGGACGTATCTCCTCGGTTACCCAGCATGGATTCGTCCCCCTAGCCCTCTTCATCAAATAGTTCCCTAGGATCCATGATCTGGCGGGTTGATGCTCGAGGGGAGCTGGGGCTTGCGCGCTGCGAGCTGTGCTTCTGGCGCTGCGCCGCGAAGGTGCGGAGGCACGCAGTGCAGCAGCACGAGAGGAGCGACGCTCCGAGGCGGATCTCGCGAGAGGCTGTCTGCGGTCGAAAGACCAAATGGCTTTATGACTTGAAGTCATGTGAGGGCGCGCTGCGCCGAGAAGTTCTCAGAGACGTCCACGCGATGTGGATTGACTCGTTCGAGAAGGAGGCCTGACGGAACAAGACCCGGAGGTTGACCGTTAAGCTTGAACTCCCGTGTCCACGGTTTGGTGGGGGAGGGTGTAACGGGGTTACACGAGAGTTACCCGAAGGGTTACGAAGTGGATATGCACTGCCTAATCTAAATCAGTAGGAGAATCAGTACATGGCTTCAGAGCCACTGATTATGCATATGACTAGGGTTTACTATGCTAGATGTGAACCGGATACATTTACACCGTAGGCGGCTTTGCCGCAATAAAGGGAAATACATTCAGTTTGAGATTCACATAGTTCAGAGTTAAGGGTTGACTCTTGGAGTCCGTAAGGAGTACGGACTCGTACGTTCTGGTATTAGAACGGGCTATCTTAAGCTGAGACTCTGCGAGTCTGTTACATCTTCCTCTGACGCTAAAGCTACGGCAGCCCCACTGCAACTCGCATAAGGCACGTTCCAGCCTGGTGTAAGGGAACAGATCTGGTCTTCAGATTTAATCCCAACAATAAGAGCCGACCTTTTAGGAGGGAAGCGTGTTGTTGGAAGGGCTCGTCCCAAAAGCCTTGGCTAGAGGGACGAGGACTCGTTAAATCGTGTTTTCCTATACGACAGCCGAAACACTTCAGATAGACTGTAGACTGCAGCTAAGTACGATCCTGCCGGCAGAATTGCCGTAACACCTAAGACAGACTATAGACAGTGTGTAAGTACTTCTCCGGTCCGGAAAAGAATAAACAGTTCATATAATCGACCATTATTCACGTTCTACTACGCCAGCAGTGCTGTAATTGGCCTTGACGTAAAGCCCTTTGTCTGCTGTATCGCACCGATTGTTTTTTAATGCGTTTTCCCGCCATTGCAGTCTGTATCGGCCAGTTTAAATGGTCGAATTTTGGGTGTGTTAGGTTTAAATTCGCAGCGTTATCAAAAATGATCAGATTTGAGCGTAAAAATACTCTTAAGAAAGCTGAAAGAGAGTTTATTCGTGTCGTATGTCGCCATAACCAATCGAATCTTCCAACGCCTGAAAAACAGCCAATCATGTTTGAGGCTATATTCATACAAATCACTGATGTTGGCTTTTTGTCCAATGAGAGATGGTACATCAGTGCATAATAGGGTACTTCGACCAATCATAAATCTATTTTTCGAGTTTTTTTTTATGAAAAACCTAACTGTTAATTCTTTTCTGGACCGGAGAAGTTCAATCCTATCGGCATAATTGCCGAAACACATCAGCGAGACTGTAGACTGCAGCTAAGTACAATCCTGCCGGCAGAATTGCCACAGCATCGAAGATATATCTTTAGTCGGTAATGCAAATGATTTTTTTCTAGAATCTTTAGTACCTTCTTTTTTAAAAAACTTTTTTTTCAAAGACAGAAGTATTTTACATCACGTCCCACTCCACATCCTACCCTGACCATGCGAGTTCATGCAGCTCTTTGGAAATTTGCAGAGACGGATGGCAACGAGTACGCCAAAAAAAATGCTGCAGGGCGGAAAGCCCTCAGACACCGAATGGCTGGTCGGACGGGGAGGCGCACGCCTGTGTTCAATGTGGAAAAATCTGGAACCCGACACTCGTTGTACCCTTCTAAACCAGACCCCAGATCAAAGTGTTCCCTTCGACGAGTATGGAGTTTTAGATGAGAGATTTTCAACATGTGCGAGGGATTCTGACACTGCGACTCCCTCTGTTGATGCTTCAACGTTGAGTGATCTGAATACTACAAGTATTGATGCGCGTTCGTCGAGTGGAGATAACTCTGAAGTGGTTATGGACCTCCAAGCACGTTTTGAGAGGGCCCGTAGTAACTACTATGAGGTGGTAGCAAATGAGAAACGAGCGGAGCTTCAGATTGTCTACGACAAAAGTAGCCTCGGAGGTGTATTGTCTACAGCGGTTACAATGGCTAAGAATGCTGTTCAGCTCGCTCGTCTCAAAGGGCGAGCCCAAACTCCCCAGTATGCGTTCGAAGAAGTTCCGAAGCAGCTGTCGGACGTATTTAACAGCATTGAGGATGTTACCCAGTTCGACCCCGAGCTTCGTTTCGATGGCCCCTCGCCAAGTTTTGCCGCTGCACGCATCGCGGAATCTCGAAAGAAGTACCGGTCGAATCTCCTCAAACAACATGGTGTCCTTGGTAAACGCCAATCTCACGAGGATCCCGACAAGCCTCTACTACCTCCACGGTACAAGTATTTTGGAAGGCACAAGGGATTTCTTCACTTTGAACCGGGAACATACTAAGGTAGGAGCCATCGCTCATGCAACCAAAGCATTGAAGACTTTTCTTAAAGGTAATTAAAATCTATTCCTTCACGATAGTATCTACCTGTCTCAACGTGAAGTATATGTGAGTGCGCTTTAAATCAAACTAAGTGCGTGGCCTACTTCCGTCGGACGACCGCGCTTCTTTTGTCGCCGCTTATCCGGAAACACCCTGCGGGCCGGGGTAGATCCATCGAAATGAGGTGTTTATGCGCTTGAACCGCCATCAAATGCGTAGCAGCCGAGTTTGAACATCGTTCTACAGCTACAGCGCCCGGCTTCAAGTTTCACATCCCACCCGAACACAGTCTGGAGTTCGGCCTCGAGTTTGCGGTCAGTATCGGCCCCAATTTCCACTTTCGACGGTGGCTTTGTAGGAGGAGAAGTAACTCGCACGACTTGCTGAAAAACCTTGAAGTCGCTTCCACTTGTAATGAAGCTGATTGCCCCGCGTGTTACCTCAGTTACGCTCAGTAGTTTGTTCGACGTCAGCTTCCTATAGTCCCTGACAAAATGAGGGGCCGCACGTGGAGATTCAGCGAAACGAACGGTAAGAACAGATTGTACCCGTCCAGCATCTAAAAGTTCTACAAACAGTGGATTCAGTCGAAGAAGCCTACGCAGAGGATGCAGATTCTTCAACTGCCGATTGAAATTCTCCACTGGGTTATTCGTCTTGGCCATACCAGTGCTGGTCTCGAGACACTGTCATTTGCTGTACCGACCCTCCAACCACTGTGCCTTTAAGTACGACGAAAACTCCTTACACTCCGAGTTGCCTTTCCACGCGGTCCGTGCGTAGTGAATTCGGTAGACGTGTCTGTAAATGAGCCTCTTGGTCTCGTCCCCCAATTTGATAGCGTGCTTGTGGACGTTCTTCATTACATGAAAAAAGCACATCAAGAATATCGGTTGCTTGTCTGGTGGCATGACCTCTTGAGCAACAACTTCAAATGCGCCTCGCTGGGCGTCATCCATGCCCATCAAAACTAATCTCGCCACATATCCGATATTCCAATAACCTCGACAGGAAATCCTTTGCTATTCAACGTAAAGGCGTCGACATGTAAGATGTAGTCAGAGGCACGTTGGAGGCGACGCATAAGAGCCTTAATCCACACATATTCGCGACGGCGCCCCATTGCGGCGCTACAACATGCACTGTCGTTCTGCTGAAGCTGGAGCGGTTGCTGAAACGTTCGTGCATATGCATAACCACCATGTTTATATTAGGTCACGTGCTAAATATAACTGCTTCTGTACTAGATTCCATTACCTCTAATGTCTGCGTACACTTAGTTAAGTCTTACACCTTATCTTGGGTCTTCATCCTCGCCGACCTCGGCTACGACGTCTGGATTGTCTACAACTGAGGCACCACGTGATCAAAGGATCACAAGTACTTCAGCATCAACGACTGGGACTTCACATGGGCAAGTACGCCCTCCCGGTCATGGGCATGACCATCGTCCCGGATCACGTCGGCCACTGGGAAGACACCACGCAGGCGATCGTCAGCTTCCCGCTTCGACTTGATCGGTTGGCCCTCGAACACGTCAACTCCTCATTAGTTCACGTGTACGTGACGCAGACCCCCGCGGGTACTTTGAACAAGACGTTCGCTTCGTACGGCTACGGTTGCAACTGTGGCCCTAGATCGACATGCTCGAAGTCGGACTGTGTGAACAAGGCCAAGTACGGCTCAACCTCGGCCGGCAGTGACGTTGTCTTCATCGTCCACCCAGACCCCAAGCGTCCGGGTTACATCGTAACCTGTGCAGAAGTGAGCTCTGTGTGTTTGTGGCTGTATCTGTGATTGTGGACCACAGTCTGTAATCAGAACCCACGTTCTGTGAAACGACCCCACGCTCTGTGAAAATACCATCTTGCTCTGTGATTATAGCGCTCTCTCCTCAGCGACCGGGTGCCTCTCCTTCATTGTCGCCGTCCAGGTAGTCTTCTTGGCTGCACACATGTGCTCGATCGGTTTGCCACAGTTGGTAATTTTTGAAGAACCTGCGACAGGAGAAAGATCCCTCTCGAAAATGTTTGAAAGACATTGATTGACACATGCACACAAACCGTCAGTCGCGATTTTACTCGAGATAAGAGCAATGGCGGCGCCGGGAAGTTGGGAGGAACCGCTGCAACGCATCACTGCAGCCGCCTGCGATCCAACGTGGTACTACGACAAGGTTGTGGTGCTTCTGCGAGGTCTCCCTGGCAGTGGCAAAAGTACGTTTTGCGACCTACTGGTGCGTGACCTTCAAGTTGCTTTGGACGGCACGTCAACAGCCAGGAAAGGCCGCGTTACATTCGCGTCTGCAGCAGCACCTTTTTTCAAGATTGGAGAGAAATGCGCGGCATGGATGACGAGCAGCTTCTACTTGACGACTTCGCGTCGTCGTTACGAGCCGCAGACGTGGTGGTTGTGGATGAGAGGAACATTGCCCAGGCTGAATGGCAACCATTCGTTGATGCAGTGGAAGAATACAACGTAGGCCCGGAGAAAGAAGGCGCTATCTACGTGGTACTGTTCTCGGGTCGTGGTGAAGTACACGCCCACCAACTCAATCTGCGCTCACCGGCTCCACTCGACCCTGAGGATCTTGGCCGTTGCTACAGGGACTTTGTTACTGGTGCTGACAGCGGCTCGCGTGCTGTGTTGACGTTCGACGTGGACCCCGATATCTAGTTTACGCCTTGAACTGTCTGGTGAACGCGAGACAAGCTTGGTTGGTTACAGGAATACCAGCATGATGCTCGAAATTGCATATGAGGTCTTTTCTGGATGCTATTTTGCTCTTGTTGTTGCGTTGAACACCGCAATTATACTACACCAATGTATGCAATGTTATCGATTGCTTAGTTAAGCCTTTTTACTCTGCGCGTCCACCAATATTTCCTTAACCACAGGTGCTTGGTCCTACTCTACCAAGTAACCTCCACCACAGCTATGTAACTCCAATCCCTGCACCTTCAACCAAAGATTGCTATTTTGACTGGTTTTCACTATGCAGGGTCTAATCATAAGCAACGATTGCTAGATTGATTCGTAAATAGACTGGACTTCAGTATGTTGAGGTCGAATCATCCTTTGGACGCAGAAGCCAACCGATACAACATATACCCCTCTTACATTACACTTTATTCTGCCTGGTTGGCTACTTTGTTTCCACTTATGCATTTGGCAGTAATACGTGCCGCACCTGCACCACGAAAAAACCATTGTACAGGTCAAGGTTGCTCACCCTATAGACCCACAGCAACACCGGTACCAACTCCCTTCCGTTCCCCTCGATCGACAGCACCACCTACACCAGCTCCCTTCCGCTCCCCTCGATCCGTCACCCTCCGTCCAGAACTGCTTCACTCGCCGCCTCCATTACTAGCCCAGCAAAGCTGCCTGCATACACAAAAGAAAGCAACACTGTTAGCACCCGGAGCTCAACCGCACGCGCTCCCGCCGCATGCCCCGAGCAGAACCACGCAATACGTACCATGCCCATTCACAGCCTCTCGACCGGCAGCACCGCCGGCACCAGCCCCAATCCGCTCCTGACCTCGTCCTCCCCAAGCCGCTCAACACGCGGCCACCATTGCTAGTCCCCAAGCTCCAGGAAAGCTGCCTGTATACACGAAGAAAGCAACACGGTTAGCACCCGTAGTTCAACCACACACGCCGCCGCCGCCGCCACGAACCTGGGCCGCTGCTCCGACCCTCGCCGCCACTAGACTAGATCCATACCTGTAGCGCCTCAACAACAGCAGCAGTTAGTTTCACCATTGAGCTCATGCACGTCGCAATCCATACGAGCTTCCTACCGATGCCGCTTCACGCACGGGTGCCTGGGGTCTGACGGGGCAAATTCACGAATGACGGGTGGTGGGTTGAAGTCGGGAAGGGGGCTGTCCAGTCTGAGGCAAAACAAGACAGCACCCGACCTTTCGGCACTGATTTGGTCATTCGAGTGTTAAATAGACTTAGTTTCACTATGGTTGGGTGAAGTGTCCTGTTCGAGCCGAAACAAGACAGCTCATCCTTGCTTGGGTTCGCTGGTTGCTAAATAGACTGGTGTTCACTATACTGAACCGAGGCCTGCTGGGGATGAACCAAGACAGCTCATCCCGCCACTTCATCGCTACTGACTAAATGATAGACAATTGGTATTTTGTAGACTACAGATTTCTATGCTACAACCTGCCAGTGCAAGGTCCAGCCAGCGGGGCTAGCTAGCGCGACCCAGCCAAAGGCGCCCCCCCCCCCCCCCCCAACAGCTTGGAGACTCAGGACTCGAGCGCGTACGGCTAGCTAGCATTTGCGTGACATACGTACATGCAATATAGTATCATAAAATGTGGTTTGCATTGCATTTCCTCGTCATCAAGTCAAGTCTGGTTTTTCGGAGCCTGTATGTGTTCGTTAGCACGCTGTTTATGATTTATATTCTGGTCATCTCGGTAGAATTCGAGTGCCCGACTACGTGCTGCCACTAAGCACGGACTACGTACCCTCAGTCGCGAGACCTTACTCAATTGCGCGCTGCCACGAAGACGCTGCCCGTCGCGAGATACAACGCCTGCTGGAGTTGGATGTGGTTGAACAGATCTACGACTCGGAGGCCGTGGCACCCGCCTTTTTCTTGCTGAAGCCAAGTGGAAAACTTCGTCTACTGGTTGACTTTCGCCAGATGAACCGATATCTCCGCCGCTCTCCGTACTTTATTCCCAAGATCCGCGAGATTTTGCTGCGTCTGGATAAAGCTACGTGTATCAGCACCCTCGATGCAAACATGGGGTATTTCGCTGGAAGACTAGCCCGCCAGAACCGAGCAGCGACCGCTTTCTGCCTTCCCTTTGGCAAGTTTCAGTTCAAGCGTCTGCCCATGGGAATATCGACTGCGCCCGATGAATACCAGGCCTGTATGGAGCGCATTTTGGGCGACTTGCCCTTTGTCATTGTGTATCTGGATGACATTCTAGTTTTCTCGGAGAACGAGACCGAGTACATGGAACACCTGCGCATCGTGTTTGAACGTCTGCGTCAGTATGATGTCACGCTAAACGCCAAGAAGTATCGGATTCTCAGAGACTCAGTAGACTACTTAGGGTTTACCCTGACTCCAAATGGAATCCAGCCTCAAACTAAGAAGGTCGAGGCAATTCAGCAAATTGCAGAGTCCCGTAGTAAGAAGGAGCTCCGCCGATTCCTAGGAATGATCTCCTATTATCGCGAGATGGTGCCGAACAAGTCAGCGCTCACCGCTCGCCTTAATCGCCTCACCTCCAAGAATGTGCCCTTTGTCTGGACTCCGGAGGATGCCGAAGCTTTTCGCGAGATTAAGACAGCACTGGCTCGCAATGCTTGGCTCGCTTTCCCTGATTACAGTCGCAGATTTCACGTATTTGCCGACGCCAGTGGACGCCAGCTCGGAGGGGTCATCGTCCAAGGCAAACGTGTGATTGCTTGCTTCTCGCGATCTCTCACTGAGGTACAGAAGAAGTACTCTACGATAAAGTGGGAGCTGCTTTCTGTGGTGGAAATACTAAAGGAGTATCGCTCATGCTTCTAGGGTTTCCTGTTGTCATCCACATGGATCACAAAAACCTCCTGCACCCTAAAAAAACTCTCTTCGCGTGAAGCGCTGGAAGTTACTGCTGGAAGAGTACCGACTCACCGTCGAGTACATCCCAGGACCGCAGAATATCGGAGCAGATGCCTTCTCACGCCTTCGCTACGATCATGTGAAACAAGCAACCGAAGATGAGCTTTTTTGTGGTTGACGAAGAAGAAATCGCTATCGATGGAGCTGTGATGAAACAGCACCAATTAGCGGATCGGACCACGAAAGAAATAATCACCCGGCTCGAGAACGACGAAGCCGATCCTGAGTACGCCCTTCGGACAGCTCTTAGCGTCGACTTGCTACACTACAAGAAGAAGGTCCTGGTTCCCGTCTCTCTCCGTGACGAGCTGATCGAATTACACCACAATTTCCTATTGCACCCCGGCGGCGAGAAGCAGTACCGATCGATGTCGACTTTCTGGTGGCCCAGCATGGAAAAAGCAGTGAAGAAGTACGTCAAGTCTTGCACGCAGTATAAAAGGGCCAAACTGCACGGAGGAAAATAGCTGTACGGGTATCTGTCGTGGAGGAGCACGCACTAAATTGTATAATAGCACACTTTACCCACCAACAACACCCACCAAGTCCCGATGACTCAATGGGCTTGTTAGGGTTAGAACCTGAAGGCCCAGGAACTTTCCCTTGCACCGGGTTGATGTTTCCTCTGTGCACCGTGTTTCCGCTTAGTCAACTGACGGAAACCCAGCGTCACCAGCCACGAGCAAAGGCTGGTACGCTCTCACACACAATATAAACCTCGCAGGCCCTCAGGAAGGAAGGGTCCCAGCCAGTCACGGCTTGATACGAGGGTGCCGGAGCTATACTCCGGCGGGAAGGATAAATGGAGTGCGCTCTCGCTCCTCCACTACTCGGCGATGACTCGCCCTTCGTATACACGGCCACTTCTTCACTACTCTTGGCCTGACCACGGGTAAACGCACGCTATTCGGCCGGTATTCGGCGGTATCGGCCAGCGCGCGCGTACTGGTAGTAAGTAGTTGTGTAATCTACACAATTGAAGTAACAGCAAGTAAAGTAACAGTAACACCGGTATTTTGAAGTAAGCGAAGTAGCGCTTAAAAGAAAGTGAAGTAAGCGAAGTAACGCAAAATGAAATAATAAATGGACTAGGGGGATATTTGTACCCCTGGTGTACAATTCGAAAGCACCTGTACTAGACACAGTCCTAACGAACTGTGAATTCACCTTACGTTAACAAACAGTTTGCAAACGCTATTAATAGTGTTAGCTATACAGATATGCAGTGTTTGTGCGAACACTACTGTACACAAACATGCTGAGCCTTGTCATTCATAGAGTGCACTTGTTCACTGTGTCAACGTTTTGCGCTCCAATCTGTTTACGAAGAAACTTGCAGCTAATTTTTTTGCGCTTTGATGCAATTCGCCATCAGGAATACAGATATTTTGGTTATTGTGGCTTTCATCCCTTTTGGCAAATCGGGTGGTCCAAGATCCGATATATCGGGCCCGATTTGCTGGAGGGCTCCGATTTAGCAGGAAGGGCTGAGGGAAGCAAACTATATCTGGCCCGATTTGCGTCTGGGGGCTGCGAGTTGCGAAGCAGGGGCCAGAAATGCCGCTTTTCGCCGGCAAAAGGGACCGCCGCGAAACCATGTCTGGGGCCCTCTCAGATCGGCGTGGCACGAAGTTGTAGCGGCCGTAGATGTTCACACAGGTGATTTAGATGGCCATAGTGCTACGAAGTGGCTATATACAGTGTGCTATTGTCCCCAATGTCTTGCAGTTCTAGTGCGTCATGAGAGGTGGGGAGGTATGTCCAACTTGGAATGCCTCCCCTTTGAGCCTTATGCTACTAACTCAGGTCAGATATAGCTAAATTGGACTAACCGATCATGTGGGAGCTCCATTTTATATAAATCGGACTCCGAGATAACACGTCAAATCGGGCGGCAAAATAGTTGAAAACCACAATACCTGTAATCGTATTAATAATAAAATCATAAACTAATAAAATCTCACGAGTCATTTACAGACATAATGTAAATGTATGTAGATGTATTACTATGGGTTATCTATTATGGAAAGGTTCCCTTCCGATTTGTCAGGTTTAGTACAAAACGAAGATTAGTAGGGTGTGTGCTACGTTTAGTGCAAAAAGATAGATTAGTACGGATCACGGGCTGGATAATCGTTGAATATGTACAGTACGACATGCCCTTGGAGCAACGGGCAATCAGCAGTGCCGCATTCTCGAATTTGCAAGCGACCAACAACATCTGCCCACGGAGCACTAACGCTATTGGCATGAAGGTCACGCGAGCCATCGGTCTGGCGACGCTGTTCGCCCAAGTGTCAGCTGCAGCCGAGTTGGCCTGGACACGTGCTCTTTTCTGGCCTACCCAGCGACAATGCTGTCCGAAAAGGATACGACCCGCGCCCAGTGTGCCACGTACAAAGCTCCGTTGTGCCACCCTGGCGTCTGCGAGACGCCCGATGCGGCCAATTCGACCATCGACGTGTTCGTGAAGCGGCTACCGGCTACGGATGAGAACAAGGCGCCGAGCGTCTGGGTTCTCCAGAGTGGTGCTAGCTACTCACCAGACTTTTGTGAGTTAGAGTCCCTCTGATTAAATTACCTCGAATTGCTGGCTAACGTTATTGTTGTTATATAGTGATCTACCCATGATGAGCCTTTATGCTGCTCTGCAGCAGAAGGTCAAAGTCTACACGATGTGACAAGAAGCCAGCATTCCTTCAACCTTCATCCATGTCACCCATCTCACCCGACTGCATCTGGGTTCAACGGACTTTTTGGCTACACGAACTTCTTTGGGTTCAAGAGGAGCTAGGGTGCGCACGCCAGGATTCTATATCTTTGTAGCTAGCGAGCAGGAGCAAGAGAACGCTAGCGCTAACCTCAATTAGTTTTTATTTTCCCGTGAAGGACTCACACGCGGCTTGGCAGATGGACCCCCGCGGAATCGGACGCAGCACGCACTTAGCCTGTTCTGCGGTGACGGGCGGCGTGGTCGAAGAGTCACAAATCCCTGCGTGCGCCAAGGAGCTGGAAGAGAAGTACGGGGACATCGCTGCCTTCTCCACTACGAGCGCAGCAAAAGACGTGGTGTAATTCATCGCTGACCATGGAAACGACTTCAGCACGACTGTGTATGGCGTCGGCTAGGGTTCAAAGTGGGTGGAACGGGTCATGCAGCTAGACCCACCTGAGGTGGCGGGGTATGTTTTGGACGGCATCCCGTCGAATCGGTCGTCTCTTAACGTCCGCTACGGTGCAGCCGCGGACGCTTTCGGGGCTGATTGTGCCGAAGACAAGGCTTGCAGCGCCCGCTAAAGGGAAGGAAGGCCTCCAGTCCGCGATCCAGCAGTTGTACACCAAATTCGACAAGGATCCGAGCACGACCTGCGCCAAGCTGCTTACAACTACGGACACCGCGGCATCGTCCATAGTGCGGTCCATTCTGGGGCTGACGATAAAGGAGTCGGCAATTCGATCGTTCATCGCGCCGATCGTGCACCGACTCCAGCGCTGCGCGGCCAAGGACGTCGACGTGCTGAGCCACTTCATCACTCGCTATGGTTCAGATATCCTTCCCGCGGACGAGGCGCGTGAGGAGCGAACGAGGAGTGTGAGGAGCGTGAGGCGGTCAAGGCCGATGACCTCTTGGCTCCTGTGCTCAGCAGCCTAATCATCTTCTCTGAGATGTGGGAATCGCCAACCCCCTCTGTTGAGGAGATGAAGGCGGAGTACGACAAGCTCACAATTAGCGATAGTATTAGCTAAGTGACAATAATGATCCTCAATTCAAAAACAAACAAAACGACAAGCTCGCGATGAGTGGTGCAAAAATGCACGAGACTGTCCCGGCGTATTGCGCCTTCTCCAAGGAGAAATCGCCCTCGTGTGATAAGCTCAAACTTGGTGACTACGAAGGTAACGGGATCGTTTACGAGCGTGACGAGTACTCGACCAAGCCCGCCACGATCCCGGGCCAAGCCAGTGTGCTGATTATGAGCAGCGAGATGGACCCGGTGGCGCCTCACAAGAACGCGGAGGCCTTGCTGGCTGCACTGCGCGGGGACAAGAAGGAGCTGGTCACGTTCGGCTCCACTACCCAGATCAGTCTTGTGGACCCCTCGACGGCTCAAGACCTCTGCGGGATGGCAGTTCTCTCGTCGTTCGTGCAGAACAATGGCGACCTGACCAAGCTCAACAAGACGTGTGTTGCTGACGAGGAGATGGCGTTGCTCACCCCCGATACTGAGTACACGCACACCTACCTGAGTACGGACGACGCATACAACGGCAGCTACGACGAGGGTTTGAGCAAGCAAGCGGCGGGCGAGTCGTCTGGATCCTCGACCAAAACTGGCGTATGCTTCACTTGGAAAGTTGGAGACTGATTGATTTAGAGTAGTTAGAGTTCCTACGACTGCAGGAGTAGCTCATCCTGAGCTAGCATCTCAAATCTCATGATGTCGTTCTAGAAGCCTGATCAGTTGACGGTGTAGCGTACACAGCCGACTCTGCTTACCTCACGGTATTCTCGAAGCCTCTAGGCCGTTTGGGATTCGGCATTCGCTTCCACGGCGGCTCGATATGGGACGAGGCGGCGAATATTGATCGTCTCAGCATACGCGCCGCGCTGGATCGTGACCGTGCCGTTGTTATTCGCCTTGATAATCACAAACGCTGTTTCGGTGGGCCTGTTGAGCTTGCCGATGCGCGACTTGTCCTTCACAATGAGCACCTGGTCGCCGACCTTGTACGTGTGCTGGACTCGACTGCTGTTCTCGCGTGCGTTGTCACGACGGACTTGGCGTAGCTTGCGCTCGGCGATTCGCTTCCAGTTGGCGACAAAGGGCGCGTTCACCACCATGTCGCGGCCAAAGACGAGCTGAGCTGGCGTGGCCTCCTTGGTGGTCGACACCGTCGATCGGATCGCGAATGCTACGCTGGGTAGCAGCTGCTGCCACGTGTGCTCGTCGAGGTCCGACGTACGAACCATGTCACCGAGGACTTCATGCATGCGCTTGAGGATCGAATTGGCTTGGGGGTTCTTGACTGTAGTTGGACTTGGCTTGACCCCGTAGCTCTCCAGCATCTCCTGGAACTCGAATCCCGTGAACTCTCGGCCTTGGTCGAAGATGCAGTACTCGGGACGCGGATATCTGCAGAACCACTCGTTGTCCAGCACATACGCCGCTGTCTTCGCTTCCTTGTCGGACACCGACGCAACTTCGAAGCAGCCGGTCGCAGGATCGATCATGGTCATGGCGTTGAACTTCTTGCCCGAGCTTGGGTGCGAGTAAGGGCCGATCTGGTCGACACACACCACCTTCCACGGCTGCGTCACGGGGTTCGTTGCAGGTAACTTGCCGAATTTCTTTTTTTTCAGTCGAAGTCGCTCACGATTCTGGAGGCGTGCCAAACGCGGCACAATGATGACGAAGTTGCATTGTAGCACCACCACTGCCGGGGTGCCCACTTATGCGCGTGTATCGTTCGACTGCGTCGGACTTCCATCTCCCAAACAGCTTCACTGCCAGACTATCAAAACCAGCATTAAACAGCGCCGTAGTGCCGCCACTTCGAAGGGAGTGCGAGGCGTAGTCTTGCGGATTATGGCCAGCTCGACCAGCAGCAGCCTTTATCGCTCTTACCACGTCGGATACTTGCAAATTGTGAGATGCATCCACCTTGCACAGTAACTCGCCCGCATCAATACGAAGCGCCTCGTGGTGACGAACTAGGTATCATGCTGCTAGTACAGGGCAACACCACCGATGCCCAGATCTCGCCAATTCTCGAGAAGTACCCTTGCCAAATTGGTCGGATTTACTCCCTCGATATTGTAGAATCACCGAAGTCACATCATGAAGGTTTCGGGTCTCGTGGCCTCTAGCATCCACAAATTTGACGTCCGCTCTCAGAGCTGCGTAGTCGTGCATCCTTGAACCTTGAGCCAAATATTCGGGTCTTCTAAAAAGAAAGAAGAAGCCCAGCACCGAAGCCCCCCAAATGACCCGGTGCTGGGCAACTGCGAAATCGAGGAGCTCATGCAGGCACTTGAGGATTGAGCTTGTAACGGGAGATTTTGGCTTGCTTGATGGGTCTTTCCGCCGCATTCCGGTGATAGCGAGTTGGTGGTTAGGCAGAAGGCCGACGTTGTAACCAAGGGTTCGCCTATGATGCCACGCAATATGGCTGACTTTAGAGAGCACGGTCGAGGCAGAATTCCTCGATCCCGATTTTCCCCAGCCATATTTCCAGCAGTACGTGGTGAAAAGGGCGAGCTGGTACGAATGTTGCCGGCGGTCTTCTGGCAGCCATTTTGCGAATTGAAGCCGCTCACACCATCTACACCACTGTGTCCATGTGCTTGCATACTTGATCTTGGACGTCGTGGCCAGTGACTCGGACTGAAGAGATTCGAGAAGTCGATGTAAATTTTCCTGCATTCTTGTGGAACTTGTGTCTGCACCCAACACGAAGAAAAATTAGTCCATCGAGCAATGTAAGGTTCGGTCCAAGCTCGCGAAGCTGCATCAGCCATCCAATTGGCCGATCCTGGAATATGATCCGCCGATACTCGAAGGTTGAAATACACCTCAGCCAGACCAATCGCCCGATTTATTTCTTGGCTGAACGCGTTGTTGGAGTGCATCCGATTGCACCAACTCACAGCTGCGGCATTGTCACTCCAACACTTGACATGAGTTGTGCGTCCGTTCGCTTGTGCGCTCCACTTTGAACCCCACGACCACAACGCGATGGTAATGCACAAGTGTTCCCTGACATTGATTGAAAACTCGTCATGGCCGCTACCAACTTTGTCGATGAGCAATTTCTCTTCGTCATCAAACTGGATCTGTATATATGACTCGTAGGCGGGATCAAGCATGGCTAGCCCGAGGTTGGACGCGTCCATATACAGCTGCCGGCAGCTCGCCAAACATCGCAAGCGGTAATTCAGCAAAACAACCATGCATTAAAATGTGCCGAAGCCACACCAGATCTGTTTTGGCCCCTGCTGTAAGTTTAATTCTGCCGAACCGTGGTGCTGATGTACACAGTGTCTGCAATCGTTGATAAAAAGGCTTGGCTGTTGGCAGACAATTAGCCACGTGGCGAAGAGAACCCAGTAGCTTGTACAGTTCGGATTTTGACGCTGTGCCGCGTTGCTTCACCGCACTGGCGCGAGCACGAGCTTTAGCGATCTTCTCTTCTGGTATCGATACGGTGCGGCGCTCGGTGTTCCATAGTAGACCCAGAACAACAACTTCCACACTCCATTCCGAAAAATTTGCCTCATTGATCGAATGGGGTCCTAAGACAGCCAACATAGCGTGTCGTAAAGTAGCTTCAGCGAGTTCTAGCCTGTTCTGGACATCCGGTTCGACCAAGACATGGTCATCTACCCACTCGTAAGGAAAAAATGGGTTCGTGTCGCTCGAGTCGGACACCGCTGCAGGTGAACTTCTGCCCATTAGCCACGTGATGGCACGGCCAAAGAGTGCGTAGCAGGGGGGCGAACCTGACCAGCCAAATGGTGCCGCCATATCGACGACGAGAATGCCGAGTTCTTTCACATATGCCGCCATTCTGAAGACCTGGTTTGCGCGTGTTCTTAAGTACTCTTGACATCTCCCTTGAGGACGCGTATCCGGCCTGCATGCCCTGCTTTTGCTAAACTGTCGATGCGCCGTGCGATAACTACCACTAACTCGTATCTCACTTTGGGTACCGACTCGACAATAAATGCAGCGTTTACACAGTCGTCTTTTGGGTAGGATAAGTCGTGAATTGTGCGTACTTCCTCCATCGGGTCCACATCCTTCTTCTCAACAGCACCGAGCGGACTGCAGATTAGTTCTGGCCACCGCTCAATGATATCAGCATCAACTATCAAATATTGACCGGAGTCTTGGCCATCCCAAATGCTTCTTGTGACAGCACGTAGGTAACGTCGGCAGGAACCATGGTTCTTCGGTGGTGGCTGCCGCGGTCTCGGCCCTTGTCTCCACCCCACGTCGATGCCCTTCTCAGCAATTTCATCGAGTAGATCGAGATGTTGATAGCCGTTAAGAACGGTCCGCAGCCGGACAGGATCGATGGCTTTGTTCGGTCTGCTGTCTACGCTATCTTTACCCCGCACAAATCGCGTAGCCTCTTCCAGGGACATATTGTGCGTGCGAATTACGGTGGATAGAGACTTGCAGGCTACTTCGTCAATTGCGTAGACAGGAGATGCGGGTCGCTTTGCACTAACGAACCCCCGTTTTGCGGTGCAGGACGGAAATTCGAGCTTCGGCCCGAAGTAAATCCGCTTCCAAACATGATTGAATCTCTCGCGCCGAATTCAATGACAGACTAATGTGGGCGTGACTGCAACACCTCAATCGACAAACGCTTGCACCCTCCATCGGCAACTGCTGCGACCCAAGTGATTTTGAACGCAAGTCAGCTACCCGGGTGCAGGATACCTTGCCGGTCTCGCTCCTTGCGTCTGCCTCTGTGTCATAACAAGGCCTCAATTGACGACTATCTGTGCAACCAGCAGCCATTGGCGCTGTCGGATTTACCGCAGATCCCGCCGACTGCGCACAAATTACCTCGCCAATATTGCTCGTTGTTGTGGGTACCCTAATTGAGTCGCGTGGGGGCCTCGATTGCACGCGTAATCTAGACTGGTCCAACACCGTCTGAGATCCATCACTTGAATTGATTGTGTTAACGCAGTTTGCTACTTGACCTCGCGCCACCCTATCGGCTTTGCATGGCACCGCCGACGGTCGGTCGTTTTGCGTTCGTGATGGATACATTGCCAGACCAGTCTGAACGAGTCATAACTCTTTGTGCTCGTCCTTCAGCCCACCAAAGCGCCTGTCAATCTCTTTTTTCACGATCGCGGGTAGCTGTTGGGAACGAAATGCCCATGCTCGCTGGGACAACCGCCATCACTGTCCACCGCACATCCCGCCGCTGAGAGAAAACGCATGCACAGTCGTCGCGACTTTCCTGATGCGGGGTCGTTCTGCACTGGTAATTTGCGAAGTACTTCCTGATGGATTCGCCCAAATCGCTTCTTACCGTCGTGGTTGCGGCCGTTGCGGAGCTGGGATCCTTGTTCATCGTGGCCCTCAAGGCGTGCTGGTCCCGACATCATCTCGTGTCGTACATCCTGCACTTGCCGATGCACCTTTATAAACATCACATCCTTGAGCAACCGGTCATCGGTCGTACAACGTTGCTGTACGGCTCGAAGCGCACCACCTTCCTCAGCCGCTGTACGAAAATCCTCGAGAACGTCATTTACCCAGAAAACTAAGCTAGAAATTTCTTTTGGCGTCCACGATACCTGCGATAGCGTGTGTTCGGTGAACTTCACGATGGTCTCAACCAATTCGACCAGTTCAGCACAGCAAAACTCGCGAGCATAGGTGAGGAAAACCCTGGCAGAGTCCACAACATCATCGATGCGCGATGCCGGCGATGCCGCCGAGAATTCTGCAGTTGCGGACAAATTGTCAAAGTTTGAACCACCGGCCTCCAACCAAGCCACCCGCTCATCCCTCGATAGTCTTGCAAATTGTCGAATCGAAAGACCACCAGAACCGAAACGAATATCATAGGCCCGCGTACAAATTCCAGGTACGGCGTTGAACTCCACGTGCTCGGACCGAACTAAACCTATGCAAAAACATTGGCAGACTTACCTTTGTGCTTCTCCGTTGTTATGCGCTCGTGAACTAATTCCTGCTCCTCGGACGGTGCAAATGCGTACTTAGACGACTTCTTTCCCCTTGTCGTAGGGGATGGCTTCTGTACGTGAGTACGCATGGTACCACCACCCTCCGCCGGCTGCGCTTTGACGTTGGCCTCCTTCCTAATCATCACGAAACGCTCGAGAAGGTCCGGTTCGTCGCTTATTTTTGCGATAATCAACGCGTCTTGATCAATAGCGGTTTGAACTCGTTGTCGCTTGGAGGGGACGTGGCCATCGTCGCCGTTGGCAACCGTGATCTCTTGCTGTCGTTTTGTCACGTGTTGTGTGGTAGTGTTTGCCCGACCAACTTCAGCACCGCGTTCCGATTCGTCTTGGGGCGAGTCATCGTCGTCTGGAAACGGGTCAAAGAGCTCTTCCACGTCCTGAACCGAGCCGCGAGACAAAGCGGACGTGCTCCGAAGCGGTTGGGGCGTTGGTGGTATGCAAAATGAGTTGCCTACGCTGCGTGGCACTGGTGACACCCCTCCGTCGACGTAAAAAGCGAGATTTATAGCGTGCTGGAGTGGAAAATGAGCTTCCTCTCCTGTTCTTGGGTCGATCCACTGACACACCTTGTCACCACTAGGGTGATTTTCCTCACTCATCAGACCTTCCAGTATCTCGGACACTTGATTTGAAGCAGAACTACCGCCGGTACTGAGCAGCCGACTCAGAATTGACTGCTCCATCGCCTCTAGGTCAGTAGGACTCCACTCGTCGCTTCTGAACTCGACGTCTTCAAGCAACAGAACAATCACTGGTGGCACCACTGACACTGCAGCTGCCGCTGTCACAAATTCATGACCACCGGATCGGATCGTGACATTGCTCTGGTCGACCGAGGTCACTTGTCCATACTGAACCTCTCCAGCTAAACTTACGGACACGGGTCGTCGGAGCAACGAAATCTGACCGGCCTGGGAAACTTCACTGGCCCGAACCACGTGGTCTTCGGCGACGGCACGATCCAGTTTCCCTTCGCCTCCTTCCAAGCTGCGAAACGTCACCTCCTCCGAGTCTAGCTGTAAGACCTTAGCATAAAACGGATGCTCTGCTTCGAACTCCACCACTTCAGGTGTCAGGTGAAGGAAGGAGCGGCTTGTAAGTCTCACCATGACCGGAGTGCTGAAGGCTGAAAGCTAAAGCAGGAGGGCTTAAGCGGCAGACAAAGATTCTGAAACTAACGCTACGACCTCTACGACCGCTCCTAGCACTTGAGCGTTGGTTTCATCTCTGCTTTCTCTCCTCAAAAGCTATTTTCACCTTGAACTTGAAAATATCCAGTTCCGCTTCCACTTCTGACACACCTCAGAGCGACTGACGTAGTCTTCGATGTGTCGTTTGACGTTTGGCCAGGTGAAATGCTGGTGGATCGTAAGATAGGTTCGTGTCATGCCGGGGTGCTTTAGCTGTTCGTGGTACCATCTCACAATACGATCTCGGAGGCTTGCTGGCACCATGATGCGTTTGTCTTTGCACAGTAGTTGAAGATCACCATGTTGTTGGATCTCGAGGGCACCTTGGCGGACTTGTTGCTGCAGGTGCTTGTCGTCCTGCTGGGCGTCCTGGATGAGCTTGAAGGTGAGCGGAAACTCGTCGTCGTCCGTGCCCACTTCAAAGCAGTCCTCGCTTCCATCTTCTTCGTCCAGTGGGAGGCGACTGAGGGCGTCAGCGACGACGTTGCTCTGACCCTTGATGTACACGATCTGCGGTGCGAACTCCTCGACAATGAGGCGCCAGCGGTTGACTCGGTCGGACTGGAAGTTGGAGAACGATAAGTTCTTGTGGTCTGTGTAGACCACGACTTAGTGTCCGAGCAGGACGTTGCGGAATTCACGAAGCACCTCCACAATGGACAGCAACTCCAGCTCCCTCACCGCGTACTTGAGTTGGGCGCCAGTCAGCTTTCTGCTGAAGAATGCAAGCGGGCAACCCTGCTGGCTGACCACGCCCCCCAGCTGAAAGGTGCTGGCGTCCGTATGCACATCGAACGGAAGCGAGAAGTCGGGGAAGTGCAGCGTGACGGCTTGGGCGACGACGCGCTTGATCTTCTCGAAGGAGCGCTGGCACTCGCGTGTCCAGCGGAACGGCGTCCGAGGTGAAGTCATGGCCGTCATTGGAGCAAGCAGGTGGGCACGATGGGGCTACATATCGCGATAAGAGTTGACGAGACCAATGAAGCGGCGAAGCTCGCGCTTGTTCTTCGGTGTAGCGATGCGACGAATTGCAGCGATCTTAGCCGAGAGGGGTTGGACGCCGTCACGAGTAAGACGGTAGCCCAAGTACTCGGTCTCGTACGCAGCGAACCGACTCTTGGCCATGTTCACTTGGAGTCCATTGTCGCGGAAACGTTCGAGGACAGCGCGCAGCTGCTGCGGGTGATCGTCGAAGGTCGTCGTCGTGATGATCAACACGTCGTCCAGGTACACGCGCACAAAGTGCAAGTCGCCGAGCAGGATCTGCATGCGGCGCTGGAACTCGTCGGGCGCCGTGCAAACCCCCATCGGCAGGCGCTTATAGCGATACTTTCCCCCACGGCAGGATGAAGGAGCAGATCTGAGAGCACCTGTCGCTGAGCGTAATGGAGTAGTACCCCATATTCATGTCGAGAGACGTCACGAACACGAACCGCTCGAGTCCTTGGAGAAGGTCGGTGATCTTGGAGATCGGGAACGGATGGCGAATGATCATGAGTTCAGCCGGCGGAAGCCAGTCAGGAAACGCGCGGTCTTGTCCTTCTTGGGGATAATGAATGCGGGCGCAGCCCACGGACTACTGGAGTCCCGAACGATGACATCGAGCGCTTCCAAGCGTGCGACCTCCTTCCTCACTGCTTCGAGATACGCGTGGGGAATGCCGAAGGGACGATCATGGAAGGGTTGAGATCCAGGCTTCAACTCGAAGTCGTAGAGCTCGCCAGGCATCGTGCCGATCGTGCCTTTGTTCAGATCGTCGAACAGCTGCAGTAGTTCTCGGAGGGCTTGCTGCTGCTTCTCGTCGAGATGACTGGGAATGCACAGGTCCAGGTCGACCTTGGCATACTTCGCGTCCAGGATGCGCACCATTCTCATATCGGCGGCGTGCACACTAGTAGGAATCTCGTAGCTGTACTTCTCCGCGGTCAAGTTAACACGCGTGGGCATCGGAACTTCGAGGCCATCCCACGCGATGGTACGCTGTTCAAGCTTGAGAGGGAGAATAAGGTCACGGCCAATGATGCAATCGTAGCCGCGTGACTCGGCTCCTTTGGCTGTGACGAAGAACGCGGGATTGACGACTCGGTTTGTGGTGAAGTCAGGGAGCTTGAATTGCATTGGGGCAGTTCCAACAGTCTCGAAGCGGTCCCCCTTAGTCAGCCACTTTGTCGTGTAGCGCGTAAGCGTGCGCGGATCAGGCAGAAGCTCATACGAGCAGAGAGAGCGCGATGACCCGAAGTCAGCCAAGGCTCTCACTGATCGAGACTTGCCGCTTGGAAGCGGGATGGACACTAGCAGTTCCGTGGTGACTTGGTCGTCTGAGCTGGCAGTTGGGGCGCTTGCCTTGGGCGTTGGAGCAGGCGTGGCTGGTTGGTCCTCCGTCGGGTGCTGCTTGTGCGACATGTCGCCGGCGGACTCCTCGATGTTGTAGCTTGTAGCACGTCTCCGTCACTTCCACGTCCATGAAGTGCGCCTCCTCCTTGCTCTTGTTCTTGGCGCGGCACTCGCTGGTGTCGTGGCTGCGAGATTTGTGAAACTCGCACCACTTACGCGGAGCGTTGCCTTGCTTCTTGTTACGCTTTTGCTCTGCACTGTTGCCACGGTAACTACCATTCTTTGGCTGCTGCGTGTTGTTCTTGTTGAACTAGCCTTGGTGAGGTGGTCGCTGCTGGCCTTCGGCTTCTTCTAACTGGCGGGAGTACGCGACCAACTCCTCCAGCGTCTCGTAGTCTTGACCACTCTCATCGTACTTCTTCTGCCACACCGCCGGCATGTTCGACTCGACAATCTCGCGCAATTCGTGGTTGGTCAGGCGGTTGTTGGGTGGTGGCAGGAACTGGATCAACTCGTTGATCTGGTGCAAGCGCGCGACGTACTCCTCCACCGACATGTTGGACGGCTTGCGGGTCTCCCGGAGATACTGACGCACCTTGCTAGCAGGTTGCTTGGGGAAATACATCGCGGTCATGCGTCGGAGCGCTTCATCGAAGTGCTCGACGTCCTCCATGCCCATGATCATCGAGTTCACCGACTCGAAGTGGACCAGGGCAGAGCCTCGTAGGAGGATGCGAATGTTCTGGTACAGCTCGGTTGCCCCTTGCCAGCCTTTCAGCAGGCGAATGTACTCGAACTGCTTTCGCCAAGTAAGCCACTCCTCGCCGTTGCCATAGTCGAAGTGCCGGATGCTCAGGGTCACGAAGTCACTGGGGTCTTGCGTGTTGGTTCGAACGCGGTAGGTGACGAAGTGTTCCTTCTGGTTGTCGTCGATGGGCTTGACGGTGGTCTTGAGCGGCAACAACGACATGGTGTTGCTGGAGCGGACGGATTGAGCTCAATATGCCGTATGCTTCACTTGGAAAGTTGGAGACTGATTGATTTAGAGTTCCTACGACTGCAGGAGTAGCTCATCCTAAGCTAGCATCTCAAATCTCATGATCAGTTGACGGTGTAGAGTACACAGCCGATTCTGCTTACCTCACGGTATTCTCGAAGCCTCCAGGCCGTTTGGGATACGGCAAAAACGTCGAAGTCGATCCCCCTGAAGGACTTGCTGGGCAGCGGCTCGATTGAAGAAGTTGATTTGGACGACATTATAGATGGGAGTGACAACGTCGTCGGGGCCAGCGGTGACCATCGAGGGGATCAAGAAAATGCTGAAGGAGGAGACATCGCTCTTGGATAGTGTTGCAGCTCCGGCGTCGACAGGTAGGAAATGCAGTTTGATTGCTTCGTTAGAGGCTGCTCACATCGATTTCGGCCCCGGCCAAAGGGCCTCATCAGTGAGCTTCCAATTCCGCAATGAGCACTACGACCGCTATCTCTAGGACCAGGCTCTAGCAGCCAGTCATTCTACGCGACTCCTCGTAAGATCTCGTCCCGAACTCCATCCGTGACACCACGCACGTGGCCGCCACTGGTGTCGAGCATGACAAAGGAAGTTGATGCCGCTACAACTAGCAACAGATAGCGATGAGTCGAGCAAGGTGGCAGAATCCGAGACTGAACAAAAGGACTTGTCGGACAGCGGCTCCCATGAAGACGATGCCAAGGACACGTTGCAGGCAAAGGCGGATTCGGCCAGTGGGAGTGGCAAGTGCTTAACCTTTGGGGACCTGGAGAAGGAGTTGGGGAGCACGTCAGATCTTTCTAGCGGGGATAGTAGCGGCGTTCCTACCAAGGAGGAGTAGGAGGAAATGTTTGATAGAGTGGACAAGGCGTCAGGATCGTCAGTGATCATTGAGGACATCAAGAAAATGCTGAAGGAGGAGACGTCGCATGATTGTAGGAGCAGACAAGCTTTGTCTGTTTCCTCTGACCTTGCTTTAATGCGAGAGAACACATACAGATCGCAAACATTTTTCTTGAATAAAAGTAAAGAGCTTACGCCTTGAACTCGGTGGACGTTGTCAGTGTCAAGCCCTTCGTAGCCATATCGCTTAGGAATTGCTACATCCCCACCAGAAGCACAGTGTTAGCCACAATAACCTTTGCGATAGCAACGATTAGCTCATACCTCGGCTTCGGCCTCGAATCCAGCCACCGGGGACGAGCAGTCCGTCAGAATAACCAGGTCGCTCAATCTCTCAGCTGGCCACGCGTCCACGAGATCGCGAACGGTGAAGTTCACACAGTGCGACAAGGCTTCGCCCACGATCACAAGTTTGCCAGCACGTTGCAAGGATTTGATCAGAGCAGTGTTGAGGCTGTTCCAAAACGAAAAATAAAGTCAGAAAAAAAAACCACGACAGCGTTAGAAGAATCGACCACGCACCTGGTCGACGGGTCATACGCCAGCTCATACTCAGCTCTCAGCGCAGAGTAGTGCTCGGTGAACGGATTGCTCCCCTTCATTACGTATTGGATCGGCTTCAGAGACTCCTTGGTCCATTCCAGAGCGGCTGCAAGAACGTCCGGGACGATGTTGTGCCCCGGTGATCCGATGAGGCAGTGCTCCGGCCAAATCGTGAGCGAAAACTTGCCGCTGTCCTCCAGTGACTGCGTGTACGCCAGAACGTAGTCGTTCAAGCTCGAGTCACGCGGTTTCCACACGCCGTCGGTGATGTTCTGCGCGTAGATGGTCGTGAATGGGTCGGGTGACTCCCCTGCGTCGTTCTCCCAGAAAATGCCGTGGGCGATGTGGTAGCGTTGGTGCGAGTCCATGGTGAACACCACCTGCGATAGTTCGGACGAGTGGTTCGAGATGAAGGTGGCGATCCGAGCTGCGTCGGAGTTGGCGGAGGCAATCGCTAGGGAACCGCCCGGGTGGAAGTCGACCTGCTGGTCGATGACGAGGATGCCCAGGCCACCGTCGGGGATTTCACTCGCCAAGCGAGCGGCCTTCTCGGCGTCGCTTTCAAAGCCCGTTGCGCAGTCCTTGTCACCGGTTGGGCTTGTGGCGGTTGTAGTAGATAGCAGCAGTGCAGTAGCCCACGCAAGCTTGGGGAAGAGCATGACGCAGGAGGTTGAGGTCTGACGGTTCGAGGAGATGTTGATGAACCGGGAAAATCGGAAATGAGCTTTCCAACACCAGCAACTTTGAACGAAAGCTTGGTTTCTCTTCGTACTCGCATCCTCGGGTGTTGGTACTCGGCCTCAACTGTGGACCACCGCTCGCTGAACTGTGGACGGTGTCGATTCAACCAGCGCCTACATGTACACCACATCACCCCGTGGATAGAACCCGGCATGAAAAGTTTCAACTCAGCGTTGAGTCCGATGAATGGTCTCGGCTGACCACACAAAGTGCCAGGTGATGCCAGTGCGAGTACAGTAAATCTTCCGTTGGGTCAAAGAAGCCGCGTCTTACTTCGTGCGTTTTTCGGCTGACCACACAAAGTGCCAGGTGATGCCAGTGCGAGTGCAGTAAATCTTCCGTTGGGGCAAAGAAGCCGCGTCTTACTTCGTGGGTTTTAGAGGAAAAGCCTAGTACCACATAACACGCGTTCGCGTAACTCCAGCCGCGCGGCATCTCGCTCGGCGTCGTCTGTCCCTTGTTGGGGCAAGTTGTCGTCGCTTTCGCTCGTACTAACAGCATTCGGTCCGGACTGGTAACGCAAACACACTGTGCCATGATGCTTCACACTGTCCGGGCCTACGGCATCGGGCCGCCCCCACCCAGGCGGAGGAAGTACGCCCATGCTATCAGAAGCTTCAGTCTGGTCTCCTCCAGCCGATGTGACGCTGGCGCGGTACGAAGCGTTCTGCCAGCACGAAACCTAAAGGATCAAATGTTAGCCGAAATACACAGGTAGGTAATTCACACAGATACAAACAAAAACAATCACGTACGCCTTCCTCCAGCGCGAGTTGCGCCAGCATTTGTACGAGCTCGCGCTCGTCGTGAATACTCAAGTCCAGCGGAGGGTATTGTCGGTCTGGTTGAAGAGGATCCAGTATGTTGAGCCAGCCAAGGCGCTTGACGCACTCCTCTTGGTCTTCAGATGAGAGGCTGTCGTAGATCTATGGCCATTCCATACAAGTTAGTCATCTCTCTTTGTCTCTCAAGTTTACTCGAAGGTGTGCAGGTACCTGAATGAAGTTTTCGAGGTCGACAATGCGCGAGAACGTTAGGCAGGCAGCTCTAGCGCGGGCTCTGACTGCGTTCGGGAAGACCTCGATGAGTTGCAGCGCCTGGTCACTGCTAAGCCACCGATCAGCCACCAAAATCTCCAATAACACCAACTTCTGCTGCAGTCCTTCGACGGTATTCGCGAGGCGATTGATGGTATCACTTGCCAAAGTCCGAGTCATGCTCTTCTTCCGCTGCTCAGCCGCCTGAGCCTTGACAGAACGACGCAAGAGCTCCCAGTGCAGCAGAGCTTGTGTTCGTTTGGCAGTGGATGGGTTGTTGTTCTCCTCCTGGTCCGCGTCCGCCCGTCGATCTTCACAGAGGACGGATATCTCGCTTTCGCTCGGAGGTTGCGCTAATACATCGAGAAGCTGCTCAAAGCGACGTCGACTCAGGGGCTTCGTGCCTCGAGGAGGCCTTGTTGTGCTCATGTAGTAGAAGACAAGCTTCGAGGGAGGCGGGAGTAGAGTCGACACTGACCGCTCCCGAGCTGGTCCAAGTAGTTTGTTCAGAATGTACGTGGAGGACAGCAGCACCGGTTCTCCATCCAGCGTCGCCCATCGGAAGTTCTCCCAGTTCCCGCTCTGTGAAGTATCAGCGCGTCCCGATCGCCAACGACTAAATTGCTTCTCTTCCTGTGCGACCATCGCCAGTCGGTGGAGAGCGGCGCGGTGGTCGTCCCGAGTCAGGTCGAAGGAGTACGCGTTCGTCAAGGATCCTAGTAGAACGCTGTAATGCTGAGTCCCAAGCCACCGACGCAGTGCAAGACGCTCAATCCACTGGCTCTGGATGTCCACGACACGAGTCACCAAGCTGGCCGCTTCACGATGGTCGATAACCCGGGGCAGAAGCCTCGCCAACGCCGCCAATCGCCGTCCAGGCCGAACTACTGACGAGGTTATTCTCTGTCGAGCTAGCAGTTGTTCCCCTTGTGCAGAGGACAAATACATTCCAGACTCGGTCAGCACAGTGTGTAGAAACTCCGTCTGCTCGGTGATGTTCCGGCTGATACTCGAAGCGTTGATCAGGAACCGGGAGAGCATGGCGTCGGGCATCAGCACCGAGTCTGCTGGGCGGTGGGTTTCGCCTGCATAGCCACTGCTGTCGCTACTGCCTTGCTGCTGTTGAAGCTTATTGGCCACATCACCAACGTCAATGCCCCCACCGCTGTGAGCTAAGTCGGCGGTGAGTTGTCCAGTGTTCGGGATCTGCCAAACCGCCCCGGATCCAACTTCACAGGGCTCCAGTCGCATCAGCTTCGCCTCCTCCCTCTCTTTGTCCTTTTGGGGGTCGTCAGGCACAGCGAACATTTCCGAGGTCATGAACTCGAGGAACTCATACGCGTCGATCTCGCCCGACCCGTCCAGGTCGTACTTGGCTAGCATTCTCGCGATAGCGTCGTTCGTCTCGGCTTCCTCGTTCACGCCAAGTAGCTGAAAGACTCGCCGTAGTTCATCGACATCCAGCGATCCAGACCCGTCCGAGTCTACGAAGCCAAAGCCGACACGAGCAAACAGGTCGGCGAACTCGCGCTTCTGGAGGACGCCGTTGCGGTCGTAGTCGTACTTGTGGAGCAGCTCTGCCAGTTGCTCGTCCGAGACTTCGAGGCCACAGCTGCGTAGAACAGTTTCAAGCTCGGCGAGCTCGACGGTACCCGATCCGTCCTCGTCCAGACGCCGGAACAGCACTGCCACGGGGTTAAGCGCCTGGTTTCCTGTCTTTCTGCTATTGATTTCGGCTGAAACCTCCTCTGGTTGTGACAACGAGGGCTGAATACGGCGCTTAACCAATTCCAGCTTGGTAACTTGTCCCCGATTTTGAGCCGAGGCCGCGTACTCGAGGCGCGTGAAGTGATAGCGCCCACACTGCGATATTGCGAGACGAAGCAGCTCGTGCGCGACCATGTGCTCGTACGCGTCGCTGAGGTCGAGCACGTAGCTGCCTGCCGGGTCCGCCGGGTTGAAGACATGCAACTGCTCGTCCCCAGTAGCGGACATGGCGGGCGCTGATACGTTCAAGCTGCAGTCTTGAAGCGATAGTTGGCACGCACTTGATGCAGCGCTAACTGCTGGTCGAGGCGCGCAGCTCGCATGCATTAACGCCTTCCCACCCTGAGCCCCAAGGGGATTTCCATCGAGAACGAGCATCGCTAGTGACGAGTTGACTGCCAGACCACTAGCGAGGCCCACGCCACCGCGTGGTGAGATGCCGTTGTAACTCAGCGTGAGTCTTCTCAAGCGAGCACCAGACCGCAACGCGTGAGCGAGCGACAACGCCCCTTTATTTCCAAGTGAGTTGTAGCTCAAGTCGAGCTCTCGCAGTTGATAATTCATCGGTAGGGCTGCAGCGATAAAGGCCGTTCCTGCTGCGCGCAGCTGGTTCCACGCGAGATCAATGTGCTGCAGCGTCAGGTTGGCAGCGAGCATTGTTCCAAGAGCCTGACCACCCGTCACAGCTTTCTTGGGTTTGTCGTCATCGTCTTCTTCTTCATCTTCGTCCACTTCATCTACCGGATTCTTCACTTTGGACGCAAGAACTTGCAGCCCAACCTGATTCCCGCGTATTAAGAGTCGCTCAATGGACTTGTTGTGCTCCAAAGCCTTCGCTAACCGGGCGCATTCCTGGTCGCTTAGGGATATTTCGTTAAGCGCCAGCACGCGCAGTGTGCAGAGGTTGGAGCGGATGTATCCACGAAGCACGTTGGCCGCATCGATCCCCATTGGGTTCGACGACACATCGAGCGACGTGAGGTGCGGCTTGTTCTCCAGAGCACGCAGCAAGCAGCTAATCCCTGCGTCGGTTAACCGGTTATCGCACACGTTGATCGACTCGACGAGAGGCAGCTCGGGTAGGCACGCAGCGAAGCGCACTATGAAGTTGTCGTCCAGTCCTTGGTGGCTGAAGTCGAAGGCGCGTTTGTTGTGCTCCTTCCGCAGCAGAAGCGTCAGAGGGGCTTGACTCCCCGCCAAACACGCGCCCAGAAAGAGAGCGCGTGGTGAGCGCGGGACAGCCGACATGGGGCTCATGTCGCCTCCGCCCAAGGAGATCTGCGCTTGTTCTAACGTTGGCAGTGACCGCCTCAGACCAGAGAAGCGTCTCATACCGGTAACACTCGAGTTGCTCCGCAGAGTTCCTAGATTTTGATGCTCGTGGGCATCGCGATCAACGAAAAGCTGCGGCTTGCTGTGTAAATCCCTGTACAACCGATAATACGAAGCTCTCGCCTCCGGCCCAAAGTACTTCATTCTCGTGGGCCCGCCGACGTCACGCTCGAGGTCCATGTCCGCTTCACTCTTTGAAAAGCCTTCACGCGCGTCCATCGCCTCCTGCGCCGACATCTCCGATAGCATCCGCGCGTCGTTTAATGGGGCAAATACGAACGTGTGACGTGGCAACGGCGATTGCTCACTAAGCGTAGACAGTGCCTCAACTCGCCGAGGTTTCGACTCTTTACGCTGTCGTTTGTGCTCCTCCAGCAGCTTCTCCACCTCGTCGTAAGACTCCTCCATCGTCATGGGGCGTGACCCGCATCCGATACTTGGCAGCTTCTCTGGCGACGCGTGCGGGACTGCCGGAGTCGTTGAGCTTCTCAACGCATGTGGCTGTGGAGTTGAGCTTATGGACAAGTGCTTCGTCGGAGATGGAGCGATCTCAGCTAGCGGAGCCAATGTAGCAGGCACTGCCGGTGGTCTGGTGTCCTTGCAGCCACGGTACGCTGCACCGCCGGAATTATCGAGCATTCCTTTCTCCCAGCTCATGCGGCCAAGGAACCGCGGTGGTGACAGCGAACTAGGACTTGCAATCGGTGGATGATGAACGGGAGATCCTCCTGCAGCAGTGGTGGGGCCATTCTACTCTAGGTGGGGAACGACAAGTAGGTTAGTGGGAGGACCAATCATGCTCCAAATGGTAGAACGACGTCTTACGTGGTGCGGAACCGGCGGCAATTGACCGGCATGGTTGCTGTCGAGGCTGCGCTTGGACGTCATGGCTTAGGGCGCCGAGGTACAGTCGAACGCTTCAACTTCATCCAGACGGACAAGCCCCAAATTAGCCGTTGACAACTTGCGACCGACTGACGTGGCAGAGTGTAGCCATGTGCATACAAACGCCAAGTGATTGAGGCCGAATTACGTGCGCCACACCACGGCCCAGCAGCCAGCCATTCCTCGCTGCCACGCACTTGGGCCTCTCTTTTTCCCCCTCGAAGGCATATCCCATCGGCCTCGGTCCTCCCTCCCTCCTCCTTCTCTCATCTCTAACAGACTCTACAGACATGGTGCGCGGCAAGAAGATCGGACTGGGCGAGTTCCTGGGCGACCAGGCGGCCGCCTACATCCCAGAAGCGGCGCTGCCCTCGGGCCCGCGCGCGCGCGCCGACGACGACGACGGAAACTACCGCGGAGGCCGCGGCGGCGACCGCTTCGGAGACCGCGGCGGTGACCGCTACGGCGACCGCGAGCCCTCGCGCAGCGAGCAGTCGGACCAGTGGCGCGGAGACCGCGGCGGCCGCGGCGGCGGCTTCGGCGGGGACCGCTTCGGAGACCGCGGAGGCGACGAGGGCGGCAACTGGCGCGGCGGCGGCGGCGACCGCTTCGGCGGCCCCTCGCGCTACGACCGCCCGTCGCGCGACGAGTTCCAGTCGGAGGAGCGCCCCGCGCACATGCGCCTGAACCTGGCGCGTCGCGGCGAGGCCTCGGGCAGCGGCGACGTGCGCAACAGCAGCGGCGGCGACAAGTGGTCGAGCGCCTTCGGAGGCGGCAGCCGCTTCGGCGGCGGCGACCGCTTTGGACGCGACGACCGCTTCGGAGGAGACCGGTACGAGGGCGGCGGCCGCGCCGCTGGCCGCTTTGCTCGCGGCGGAGACGACGTGTCCTCGTCCTTCTCGAACATGCGCGTGAGCGGCCGCCAGGAGCAGGCGCCCGCGCCGGAGCCGCAGGTGTCGGACAAGAAGGCGCGCGCCCAGCAGAAGCGCGAGGAGCGCAAGAAGAAGGCCGAGGAGGAGCGTCTGGCCGCGGAGGAGGCCAAGCGCGTGGCCGCCGAGGAGAAGAAGAAGGCCGAGGAGGCTGCGGCCAAGAAGGCTGAGGCCGACCGCGAGACCATGAAGCAGGTGCTGGCCAGCGGCAAGAAGGGCGAGGAGCTCGCGGCCGTTGCGAAGGACATCTTTGCCAAGAACGGACGCCCCAGCGGTGCCGTGGTGTTTGAGGCCGTGACGGAGGCCACCGAGGACGTGGCCAAGGCCAGCGCCAACTGGATCGCCCTGCCCGCGTACGGCGAGCTGCTCAAGCTGGCCATGGAGGACACGGACAAGAAGGAGCAGATGCACGCGCTGTACGCGCTGCAGGTGTTCCTCAACAAGCACGACTTTCCCAAGGGTCTGATCGAGAAGTGCTTTATGGCGCTCTACAGCCTGGACATCATCGAGGAGACGGGCTTCTTCGAGTACAAGTACGACGTGGACGGCGACGTTCCTGGTCGCATGAAGGCTATTATCCAGACCTCGAACTGGCTCACGTGGCTCGAGACGCCCGAGGAGGAGAGCGAGGAGGAGGACGAAGAATAGATTTCATGTGCGTGTTTTTGAGAAGGGTACTTACGTTCAGGTGCGCAGGGAGGTGCTCGGCTCCTTAGCATAGTTCGTTTTGGCTGGGCCCCCTGCTGCGTTCATGTCAAGCTCGACATGCAGGTCATTAAGTTACAGCTTCGAATGAAAAAAATGTGCATCAATCATACAGCATTACCACTTGCAAGTCACGGAACGGTACGACGGTCTAGGAGTCGCGCGCCGTGACCGATGTCACCATGTCTTGAATTGTCGACATGGGCGGACGGTAAATCTCGGGCAGTAGCTTCCGTTGCAACGAGTTGAACGAATATTTGAAGCGCCCCACGTTCTTCTTCGCTACGTGAATACGCACACCAAATTCTCGCATCGTGTTGGCCACATCCTTCACTTCTTCAAGGGGTCCGTACTCGGTAGCACCTCCTGATTCAATCTCCTGCAGCACGTGCCGCTTCCGCTGGACCAAAAGCCTCGCCTGCTCCAGCGTCGTGCTCATTGCCGTCCGATCCTTTCCAGACTTACAGTAGGTCACCCGCCCGCCGTTCAGGCTTCGCACCGCATCTGCGGCATGCAGCAAGATGCATGTATTCTTCGAGGCCGAGTTTTCACTCTCGACACTGACGCGCAAATTCCGCAGGATTTCGTCAGGGTGCGAGCCAACACTGATTTCCGACATCCCAATACCGCAGACCTCCGTAAAGCGGTTGTAGTACTCGGAGATGGTACGGAAGCTCGTGCTGTTGATCTTTCGCTGGATCGAAACGCCCGAATGTCCGACCATGTTTGCCAAGCTCTGCATTTCATTGATGCCCTGCGTGAATAGTACGGACGTGACGCTAATCAAACCACCAAGCTGCAAGCTTTCCGGAAGCATTGCAAACTGGGCAGAGGGGACAGGAACCTTGATAATGTAGCCCGTGTCTTCGTTCTTTTCCACCACCACCTCCATGTCACTCCCCTCGCAGAGCTTGAACGAAAACGTTTCCAGACATTTGATCGCTACCCACGCGTCAGATATCATGTACAGCTCCTTACCATGCGACGAGATGAGGCTCTCCCACCCGATCAAGAATCCAACCTTTGCCATTTGATCGAGTACCTTGTCATTCCTCTCTTGCAAACACAGGTCTAGCTCCGCCATGAAGCAGGTGACAAGGCTGCTGACGGATTGCGAGACGGCAACAGTCTTCCGGAGATAATACTCGGTGCGTAGCATTTCAAGTCGGCACAGCATCCGCACGGCATAGTTAATCGATGTCGTTGGGTCCACACCCTCGTCGGGCTCAGCGCGAAGCGTAGGGTATTTGGCGTAAACCGCGGTTTTCTCGTCGCTGTTCTTTTGGTCGAGCTGCCGAGAGCTCTTCTTCCTGACAAAACGCTTTTTGGACAAAGCCTTCGCTCGAGCTGCAGCAGCCTTGCGCGCCATCATCGAATACTTGGTGGGCTTCTTTTTCGGGACGATTTCCACTGCACCCGCGGAAACAGCTGCAGTAGGGCTCCCCGGATTACTGGAAGCTGCTGCGTCCGATGACATACCGCTGTCGCTGCTACGGACATCATCCTCGACTTCGGCCTCCGTCTCGTCTTCCAGCGGAGGGTAAAAGAAATCGGAGGAGTCTTCCGGAATGTAGCAGTTGCTATCACTGACTGGGCCCCCCATTAACCGCGGTGTGCTCTTTTCCAGAACGGATTGGAAACTGTGCATTTCAAGCTCCATTTCTCGCAATCCACAATCGCTTAGCCCCAAGGCGTGCGCAGTCGGAGCACCGCAGGTGACTGTCGCATGTGTCTCCGGGGTCATCATGCGCTCATGTATCGACAACGAATCGCGCGAAATAGGGGCCCCAAAGTGCGCGTTGACGTCCAGTCCAAGCAAGTCTTCGGTTGATGCCTGCGCGTCCATCGGTGGGTGTGGTAAGGATTGCGATCCAAAGTGACGGAATATGCGGAAATAGGAAACGTGCAAGTTCGTCGGGATAGCTTGGATGTCAGCGCGCTTCTTGTGTAGACTGGACTTGAAAGTTTTTTTTTCCTCTACCAAGTGCTCAGTAAGGCGAATCATATCAGTAACCTCTGTTACCTGCTTTCGAATATTGAGCACGTGCGGATACAGAAAATTAAGGGGAATCTCACTCTCAATGATACCATCAGCCGCCGGTGGAGAGCAGTCGGAAGCCCTTCTGAATCGTCTTGGCAAAGTTGGAGATGGCCCCGATACGTGAACAGCCAGCAGATCATCACTCGGAGGGGCAAGTGGGTTTGCCAACAGAATATTAATGCGAAGCTGAATTTGACCAAAAATCTCGTCCGTGGTAGGCGAACGAACGTCGAACCAATCCACCAGAGTGAGAGACGTCACTATTTGGCGGGATTTTGTTTCGTGAGCTCCACCAGCATTACCTTCGGTGCCATCGTCATCATCAAATACAGTTTTCTCCTCCACTGTCATAGCATCACGCACACTCTGCAGCGGAATCATTACCTCACCGATTAAGTCATTCTCGACGCCACTCATGTAGCCGTAGTGCTCGTTAAAAACTTGGAAGCGCAACCACCCAGCCAGTGGTTCATCGGTTGATCCTTGTACACTCGGCCTATAAAACACGAACTGCTTAAGCGCGTTGACGGGTGATACGACCACACGACTGCGCAACACTCTGGACGCGTGGTATTTCGTGTTGGGTTTTCCATGAGGGCATTTGTTTGCAGACTTGTTGCTCGACCATACAGGATTCGGCGCATCATACTCCGTGTTTGTTTTGCCCACAGTGTACTCGTGATTTCCAATCACGCCGTCTTCAAACTTGACCACAACGAAAGGATGAACGCCGCTGCTAGCTTCAGCTCCTGCATCAGCCGTATCAGAGTCATAACTGCTAAACGACGATGACCCACTACTAGTACTGCCCCATTTCCCCGCCTTTATCCGATTCACGAATCCGCCTCGACCACTGACCATACCTATCGAGAAACCTGAAGTACGCGACGACCGGTTGCCTAGGTCTGTTGTCATTTCGAACTCAGTATTTGCCGCAGCAGCAGCAGCATTGGCTCTTGATTTTGTCTTCAAATCACGTCCACACACCACCTGCACGCGGAACACGTCATGTCCGAAGTTGAGCGCTTCCGCGTCATTATCGAAGTAGCGGTTCCTCTTGCGGTTGTAGTTGTACCTCAACCTCCACTCGTCATACATCTGGAGCAGCTCAAGCTGGCACACTCGCAGCAGTTGCAGTGGGATCTTGACACTAAAGTCCACCTCCGCTGCCTCTTCAACTGCCAGTTTGGCATTTGCAGCTTGCATCTCGGCATGCTCCTCCTTCATCAACGGATAGAACATAAAGCTCCTGAACAAATTATGCTGCGCCTTGAACAGCGGATGCTGCTGCGGCTGGATGTTGGCAAACTGCAGCTCTACGGTGGCTCCGTCCAGCACCGTCGAGTGCACGGGTAGCGTCATCTTCTGCTTGTAGTTACCGCTGGTAGCCACCGCGTACATTTCCTGGAACGACGTCAACGCATACCCAAAGACCTGGCTGTTCCTGTTCGAGGACGTTCCCTCGTCGGGGATCATGACCATAATCTGCACGTGGCGGTCGTACTCCGCCGGGTTCTTGCAGCGGACGCTGAAGCCCACAGAGAACCTGGGGTTGCGGCTCTTATGGCGCTCGCTCCAGTAGCTCTCACTGTCCAGGAGTCCGTCAGCAGGCAGCGCCGCCTTGTCCGCAAAGCCCGCGTCCAGCTCCCCGAAGCTGTCCATCTCAATGGTCAGCCCGCTGCCGCTGCTAGGGGCTGCAGGGGGGAGCGGCGTCTGGTGTACCGGAATGTCTGCGCCAAAGCCGAAGATCGGCGTCTCCCTGGCCACGCGCACCTCGACGTTGACCTCCGTGGGGGGCTTGGCGCGCGGCGACTTGGTGTTGTTGTTCATGGACGCGGCGCCGCTGAGCATGTTGAAGGCGCCGCGCACCAACGTCTGCGCCGAGCGCGCGGGGGACACGAGCGAGTTGCCGTCTACGCCGCGGCAGGACACGAAGAAATGCAGCGCCTGGCGATCCGGCTCGGCGTCGCCCGGGGGCATCTCGACGAGCGACGACGGCGTGACGAGCGGCAGCGACGCGCTCGCGGAAGACTCGTCGAAGCTGTCGGCGGAGGACGCGGACGTCGGCGCCGCGGGGACGACAGCCACCGCCGGCGGCTCGTCGTCGAAGAACATGAGGTTGGGACTCTGCGGCGCAGCCATGGCGCTCCGCTCGAGTGCGGAATGCGGAGTGATGATCGGTCTCCGCTCTTTCTGAAACGGATGTGGTGTGGACCACGTTGAAGCTGACGTAGAGTCACGACCCCCGAAATGTAGCCATATCTTTTTCAATTGCACCACTTCCGGCAATGCGGAAGTATCCATAGCAACTGATGGCGATGAAGTACCAAAGAATAAAGTAAGCTATATCGGACACGACCGCTAGTATTTCCGCACAGCTGCTTACTTAAGTATCACGACCCTGAGATGGCTTCAGCAATACAAGATCGACACGAAAAGAGTGAAATAATGATTTTACTGTTTTCGTACTGCTTCCGTAAGAAAACTTGACCAACTCATCGACAACTTCCGACCCTGTGCTCCAACCTTTAACTGCTACAAGGGAAGATTTCGCTCATTTCTCGCGAAGATTGCGGCGGTACGTTGCAGGGGCCGCGCCAGTTGCAGAGGCAGCAGGGGTGGCCCCAGTGGCCGGAGCTGTTTGCGATGCTGCAGTTGTGGGGGCTGCGGGTGTTACACCAGCGGCGGGGACGGCAGGGATAGCCGCCGTAGCAGGAGGTGCGCCAGCGGCAGGGGCAGCAGGAACGGCAGGTGCAGCGCCGGCAGCAGGGACGGCAGGAATTGCTGGGGCAGCTCCGGCAGCAGGGGCGGCTGCTGTTGCTGGGACTGCCGCCGCCGCTGGAGCAGCCGCCGCCACCGGGGCTGCTGCTGGCGTAACTGGTGCGGCGACCGGTACAGGAGCTGCTGCTGGCGTAACTGGTGCGGCGACCGGTACAGGAGCTGCTGCCGGTGCTGCCCCGGCCGCCGGGTAAGCTCCCGTTGCAGGGGCAGCTCCAGCCGCTGGTGCTGCTGCGGCTTCTACGCCAGTCGCTCCCGTACTTGGACGCACAGTACCCGGAGAGCTGGAACTAGTTCCTCCTGTGCCTGAAGTCGTTTTACTTGTGCTGCTACCGCCACTTGCACCACCACCACCGCCCATAAGGCTAGAGAGACCGCCCATGCCTCCCATTCCACCCATGCCCGGGAAGCCCCCCATTCCTCCTCCACCCGACCCACCCATTCCAGGAATCATCTTCATCAAGCTTGACATGCCACCCATTCCACCGCCTCCGCCTCCCATGCCTGGGAAACCACCACCCATGCCTCCAAAGTCAAATAGAGCGGCTTGATGTTCGGCATGTACCCCGCTTGATAGAACCAAAGCCGCCACTGTCAGCGCGACGATGCTGCTAGTCTTGAACATGATGTGTCTCGAACTGACGCTTGGTGCTTGAAAGTGCCTTGACGACTTGAACGAAGATTCGCAAATGAGCTGCAAGGCGAGAACCTTATGCCCTCGCGATTACCTCCGGCGCATTGTGGTGAGCTGGCAGCGCCTGGTAGCGGAAAGGTGTGCAATCGTCGACAGCCGCCGTCAAAGGCATATCAAGTGGCTCTTGAATTGACTCCACGCTCCTGCGCCAGAATTTATGGCAGCTGTTGCAACACTGACGGCGGAACAACTTGGCGACTTTAGGCGGACAACCAATGGTGCCAACTTCCGCATTCCGCGTTTTGCCATTCTAACTGGCACAACTGGCGATCTTGTCCGTAAGAGCATCCTTTGGTATGGAGTGGTAACTTCAACATTAGCAATACAAATCCTAGTATAAATGGGATAAGAACCCCGGGTGGTGGATTGCTAGCCACAAAAATTTATAAGATGTTGTATTGTGCCCGTAAACGGTTGATTTCTATTGTTGCGTTCGTGTATCTTACTAAACCACCTGTTTGTAAGCTTTGTTCGACAACTTTGTGGCCCTCATAGCGATGCAGCGGCGTCCTGCGTACAAGCATGGTAGTTCGAAGTACTTCGTAGCACAACATCCTTACGCGATGTGAAACAGAGGCAGAACGACTACATGTATTCATGTCGTTCTCTGACTACTAGTGTACTCCGCAAACATGTTAGTGATTTTCACAACACACTTATATTTAAACCGAACACTATGTCCTGTTTTTTTTGTGCAAATCGATCGATTTGGGTGCTTATTAAGCGGCTGAGCCCTTGTTTTGTTATATATAAATAGGATGCCACTCCGATTTGGCGTTCCCCAGCCCTGTTCATATACCACGGATTGCCAGCGATTTATAAGCAAATCACTTCGAATGTCCATGTGACACTGGGCATTCTGAGGGTAGCTCGTTTATATGAACGGCGTCCCATGTCAACGTGGACGGCAAACTCGACGCTGCCGTATACATGAAACACCCGATGGGTACATGCAACATGTGTCTGCGTCTGAACTATTCACGGAGCTGAAACTTGGCACGAGTGGCTGCTTATACGCTTTCTCTATCCCGCTACACGATGCAGTGCAGAGTCCAAAAATTGGCGGGTCGCGGAGAAGTGTCAGGGGTCGCCTCCAAGGATCTCCGGGTCCTTGGCCTTCCTGGGAGGAATCCTCCCTCGGGAGCCCAGCAATTGCATCTTCAAGGTGGCCAGGGTCGACGAAGGGTGTCGGCCTCGTGGCGAAACAGGCTATGCAAGACGGTAAGCAATGCAGAAGCAAACCATGGTGTAACGGTAACAACGAAGCATAAGACAGCGGAGAGAGAGCAGACTGCTGGCCATGCTGCCTTTCGGGGCAATGGTGGTGTTGGGATATAATTCCGACGAGCGTGATGCAGTGGTGATCGCCGGATCGATGGAGAGAGAGAAGAGAGCGAAGGCGTGCGGCGGGAAAGGGTGGATCGACGAAGCGCGAGAGGAGGGGTTTATATTTCTTTTAGCACTTGGATATCGTAGGGGTATGCTTTGGTCACATGCCGTAGTGGCGTTTGATTGAGGTGTGCCCGTGTGTTTGGGCTACTACCGCGGGCTCGTGCCCTGGAGGCACGTGATCCGTAGGCGACGCTGCAGCAGTGCGCGGCATTGGGTGTGGTTAGCCGTCTGAACCGCAACAAATTCAAATTCAAATGCGCGATGCAGTGCACCTCTGCGGCCATTTATATACTTTACTTAACTGAACTTAAGTAGCTCAGGAAGCTTGGCTCTCATTAGCATTTGATAGAGATTTGAACATGAACGGTTTACGGCCAGACCTACGATTTAGGATTTGGCGTACCCCTTTTTATATTTTTTCTACCCCTCCTAATCAAGCTTATCTGGTCTGGACATCTTTGCCGGTTTTCACAATACAGTTAGTGTTGTTTGCAGACGCGTTGGTATGTTTGCTGCTCTATCACTAGCAGATCAAATTAATGGCTACTGTTCGAGAGGTCATCCTGGATGACCTTTTGAACAGTATGACGCCTTTGCGTCGATGAATCATACTGCTTGCGTTGATGAGCTATAACGTGCGAACTTCGCTATTGCCTCAAGTGTATTTCGCTACGAATAAAAGCACAGTCGTGTTCGTCGACTCCAACAGCATTTTCGCAGTTTCCGCCATATATGGCATGCATCTGTACTGTGTCAGCGCCCTTTTGACAGCTATGTAAGTGCTATTGTGCGTGGTATCGTTCAGAAGGGACTTGAATTCTGGTCATTCTTACCAAAATTTGCTCCACCTTGAAGGTTCGCCAGAAAGTGGAAAAGGTGGAATTTTTTCTGATTTTGCCACTTTTAAAGTGGTCTGGTCATCCTTACTTTTGAGTACTTTTTGCGGAGTTTCGAGTAATGAGTAATGTGCTTGGACTTCCGAGTATGTAAACTTCATTTAATCGTGCGCTGCGTCAACTTGAAACTATTGACTAAACTCTAAAAAGACGTTCCTTGTTGGGATGCCATTCGGACACAAATAACGTGCTACAAACCCTTTAGGGCAAATTACATTTTGTTTTCTGCTAAGATGGCGCTTGAACTCTCTATTAGCTTACTCACGTCCGCATAAGTGGATCGATGCGTTACTTCCCTATATGCATTCACGTTGTATCCTCCTCCGGTCTAGTCCAAGATGGCGATGCTGGACGTGGCATCTTTCCTGATTCACAATATGTGGAATTACTCATAAGTCAGTGAAGTGTACTCACAGTTAAGTAGCACCTGTTGTCGAGTCCACAATCCATGTACGCACCACGGCATAGCATGTAGTGCTGTTTAGTTTGAAGGGATCATGGTTGGCGTAAAGAAGAAGACCTTCGCGTGCAATTCAGCTTCCGACCAGTGAAAAGAGCTTCAACTCTTTTTAGTTCAAGATAAACAGTTAAAAATTGCCTAACTCCACAAACATGTAAGCCAGATTCGCAACACACTAACAAACAGTTTGCAACCACTAGTGTTAGCTATACAGTTACTGTTTGTGCGAACACTACTGACTACCATCGCTAATTACTGTGAGCTAGCTTCACAAAGTAACCAAGCTCAGCAAGCTAACACGTCCTTGTCGTTCATGGCTATCTACGCGCTGAGGTGACTTGTGCCCATGCAAAGACTTTCAATAGAATTGATGTCAGCATCGTTCTCTTCGCATTAAAAGCCTTGCCAGCATCCGAAACATTCAGTCACTGACATCGCGCTGGAAACCAGATCACCAACACCCGGGAGCTCGCTACTCACCCATGTTCAAAAGTTCGAGTGATTTTGGGCGCCTACCGCGGGCTCATATCCTAGATCTAGCTGCCGAGATCTAGCGATACGATCACCGTAGGCGGAGATGCAGCAGTGCGCGTCTCCGGGAGTAGGTAGCCGACTAAACCGCAACAAATTCAAATTCAAATTCAAAAGTTCCAGTGATTCGTTCACTTGAATGAATCACAAACGGGTAATAAATGTAGTGATCGCACTACGTGTGAAACAGCAGCCTCACCAGTGCGGGAGGTGGGCCCAGTAACTAGTGTAGATCAGTACCGAGGTACATATACAAACAAACACAGCACTGCTGGGTTTACAGTATTGCTATGAGTCACAGCACTGTCAGACAGTAAATCCAGAGCATTCAACGTGCTAAACGCAGAAGCAGCACTAAACACAGAAGCAGCACAAACGCACCAACGTAAAACCAACGTGGCTCGGCAGAGGAGGTTGGCAGGGCTCTCAAAAGAGGTAGCATCCTGTGGCACAGCGTAATGTGAGAGGCTTGAAAATGCAGCGGATATCCGTAACCAACTGCTCCGAGAGTTCAGTCGCCCGAACCTGTCGGTTTGCTGCTCAAAACGAGGCCTCGGTAAACCGTGGTTATCCGTGGCCATGGCCGAATCCTTTTCCATGAAGGATCTTCGCAAAAAAACAATCGTGAAGCTGAACTTTCATAAGGAGACAATACATTTATTGCTTATGTACTACAAAACTCATCGGTCAACACCAATACCACAGAAATCGAGGGAGCAATTTCTGCGACCACAGTTGGAAAATCTATCTCCGTTCGTGTACCCCTTGCTCGCTTGAACAACTTACTCAGAGCGGAGACTGCGGTAAGTCTTCTGCGTTGAACCGGTCGCGCCAGTACCAGTGCCGGTGCCGGTGCTAGTGCCAGTAGCGCCAGGCGCGTGAACCGTACCCGGACTTCCACCTGCACCGGGCATCATCTTGCTGAGACTGGAGAAACCTCCACTCATGCCCGGAAAACCGCCACCGGCGCCGCCCATTCCGGACATCATTTTGCTGAAGTCGGGCATGCCGCCCATCCCACCACTGGTGCCGGCGCCGCCCGCGCCAGGCATCATCTTGGAGAGGCTGGAGAGACCCCCAGAAGCACCGCCAGTACCCGTACCGCCCATTCCAGGCATCATCTTGGAGAAGCTCGACATCCCGCCAGTGCCGCCCATTCCCGACATCATCTTGCTGAAGTCGGGCATGCCGCCCATTCCGCCGCCCATTCCGCCCGCCCCAGGCATCATCTTGGAGAGGCCTGAGAGGCCGCCCCCCATGCCACCCATGCCGCCGCTGGTTCCACCCGTGCCACCGTAGTCCCCCTGCGCAGCTTCCTTGTCGGCGTGCACGCCGCTCGTGACGGCCACAACGGCGACGAACAGGGCGAAGACCTTGTTGCTGTTGATCATGATGATGGCTGGAGTGTCGATGATAATGTTACGATGAAACGTTGGTTGGGGTAGCCTTATCGCGCACGCAGCAGCTCGAGTGATGCACTGTGAGGCGTAGAAGGCAAATTTGGAAATGGGCAACGTAGACGAGCAACTTTTCATCGCGTGCCGCGTGCGAGGGGAAACAGTGTCTTGTCGGCGGGAGTGCATGGTATTGAGGAAACACGTGCGCACTTGTGTTAGAGCATCATGGGCCATTAGCGTGTGGCTCGTGTGAGGCCTCTACAGTCTTGGTGGTAAAATCCGCATAACATCGCGGCACTTTACAGTCGAACGATAGATGATACAGACCACCTGGTTGATCTTATCCGATAGCCGACATCGTAAATCTATAGCTGAGCACGGACTGTCGTACGTGATGGCGGGCACCAAGCGAGTCAATTTTATGTATTTGAGGTATCCCCCTGTTTGCTGTTCGAAGTAGCTGTACACCGTACGAACAGCACACTGTAGAACATAGCAAGTTGTAACCACCACATGGTTTGTACGCATATACTTTGCGCTAAATAACGTGTTCAAGGCACAGTATCCGGTGCTCAACGGTGGTAATATCCGTCACCCGATGTACTCGCGTTGATATCATGGAGCAAGGATGGACGGGAAAGTAAAAGGAAAAATGTACTTGAAGAGCTCGCTCCTTCGCAGCTACTAATCGTTTCAACGATCTTAAAAAATAAATGTTATTCAAGTAGTTTTGACTACCTAGATTTTATAGGAAAATTGTTATGACACGTTCGTTTTAATTGCAATCCACAAATAAAAATGAAACACAATAATTGCCGGCGCACATGCTCTTTAAATTAATTGCTAGTCTTGCTAGATCTTGCAAGTCCCTAGACTACCAAGGGTATAGTCGCAGCCTCTACAAGACAATATAAAAAGCAAATCAGCATGAATACCTTCCCAACTGCTTGATTTCCTAAAACAAAATAAGAATTACTAATGCTTTTTATTCACATCAATGAAAATTGTTGTACGTTCCTTACCGGACGCAGAAAATCAGACGGGATTGTTTTTTTTTTTTTGGGGAGGGGGGGGGGGCTTAAAGGAAATCAAGCGGTTGCAATTAATTTAAAGAGCATGTGCGCCGGCAATTATTGTGTTTCATTTTTATTTGTGGATTGCAATTAAAACGAACGTGTCATAACAATTTTCCTATAAAATCTAGGTAGTCAAAACTACTTGAATAACATTTATTTTTTAAGATCGTTGAAACGATTAGTAGCTGCGAAGGAGCGAGCTCTTCAAGTACATTTTTCCTTTTACTTTCCCGTCCATCCTTGCTCCATGATATCAACGCGAGTACATCGGGTGACGGATATTACCACCGTTGAGCACCGGATACTGTGCCTTGAACACGTTATTTAGCGCAAAGTATATGCGTACAAACCATGTGGTGGTTACAACTTGCTATGTTCTACAGTGTGCTGTTCGTACGGTGTACAGCTACTTCGAACAGCAAACAGGGGGATACCTCAAATACATAAAATTGACTCGCTTGGTGCCCGCCATCACGTACGACAGTCCGTGCTCAGCTATAGATTTACGATGTCGGCTATCGGATAAGATCAACCAGGTGGTCTGTATCATCTATCGTTCGACTGTAAAGTGCCGCGATGTTATGCGGATTTTACCACCAAGACTGTAGAGGCCTCACACGAGCCACACGCTAATGGCCCATGATGCTCTAACACAAGTGCGCACGTGTTTCCTCAATACCATGCACTCCCGCCGACAAGACACTGTTTCCCCTCGCACGCGGCACGCGATGAAAAGTTGCTCGTCTACGTTGCCCATTTCCAAATTTGCCTTCTACGCCTCACAGTGCATCACTCGAGCTGCTGCGTGCGCGATAAGGCTACCCCAACCAACGTTTCATCGTAACATTATCATCGACACTCCAGCCATCATCATGATCAACAGCAACAAGGTCTTCGCCCTGTTCGTCGCCGTTGTGGCCGTCACGAGCGGCGTGCACGCCGACAAGGAAGCTGCGCAGGGGGACTACGGTGGCACGGGTGGAACCAGCGGCGGCATGGGTGGCATGGGGGGCGGCCTCTCAGGCCTCTCCAAGATGATGCCTGGGGCGGGCGGAATGGGCGGCGGAATGGGCGGCATGCCCGACTTCAGCAAGATGATGTCGGGAATGGGCGGCACTGGCGGGATGTCGAGCTTCTCCAAGATGATGCCTGGAATGGGCGGTACGGGTACTGGCGGTGCTTCTGGGGGTCTCTCCAGCCTCTCCAAGATGATGCCTGGCGCGGGCGGCGCCGGCACCAGTGGTGGGATGGGCGGCATGCCCGACTTCAGCAAAATGATGTCCGGAATGGGCGGCGCCGGTGGCGGTTTTCCGGGCATGAGTGGAGGTTTCTCCAGTCTCAGCAAGATGATGCCCGGTGCAGGTGGAAGTCCGGGTACGGTTCACGCGCCTGGCGCTACTGGCACTAGCACCGGCACCGGCACTGGTACTGGCGCGACCGGTTCAACGCAGAAGACTTACCGCAGTCTCCGCTCTGAGTAAGTTGTTCAAGCGAGCAAGGGGTACACGAACGGAGATAGATTTTCCAACTGTGGTCGCAGAAATTGCTCCCTCGATTTCTGTGGTATTGGTGTTGACCGATGAGTTTTGTAGTACATAAGCAATAAATGTATTGTCTCCTTACGAAAATTCAGCTTCAAAACTGACGACAGTAAGAGAATATGTCTTATGTTTAGGTTGAGCTTATTCACTGACTTCGTAATCAGGGGCTCATATCAAGGCTGATACCTGTAATAAATATCGATACTGTATGACCGGATACTTGTATCAGTATTACCTGATATTGGTGGTGGTGCTGTATCGAGATCCAATGATACTTCGGCATATAAATATCGATATCCTGCGACCTAGTCTAGATTTTACCAACCAGGTTATTTCCATGTGCGCTACCGCACATAGTTACTTACGAATCGTAATACCTCAAATGAAATTGTGGTGTGGTAAGAAAAGATCGTGAATATTTTTCTTTGAGGTTTTCCAGTAGTAAGTTGGTAGTAAATCGACAGCAATTCAGGTCAAACCAGATTGTTGTTTTGTTTGTCGTTGCGATCCAAATTACCCTCCTTCACGAAGACACCCCTTTTCCAATGGGCAGACGCATCCGTATCAAGGCCCCTTACCTTCTCAGTGTCTGACTCAATCGTACGAGGAGCTTGTGGTGTGCACCTGAATATACTTCAAGACCGTATTCAAGAACATTCTAAATCTGCGAGTAGGGGAACGTTGCGTATTCAGCGGCGAGTTTCGTGGATCCTGCAGTGACAGGTATTATTGTCGATCTCGAAACTGTTCAGTATCACGAGGATGAGGCATGAATGATCCCGTAGTAGCCATAAGTGTTTGAGTTCTGTCTTTCTGTTGGATTATTATGCTGGCAATGATGAGTGAATCGTCATACTTGTTGGATTGGAGGGCAACCTGTGCTGATCTGTATAATGCCGTGCCATGTACACAAGGGTTACTCTCTGTAGAGAAAATTCATACAAAATAAAATGAAAATTTATTGTTTCCGTACGTGCTCCGCACGGGTAGTTACGCTCCACTAACGTTACGACAAACACACGATCACTATGACAGAAAAAATAACCCCAACGGCATTTGGGCGCAATACTGCTTCGTATCACTCCGAGCGAAGTCTGCGACGAGACCTATTTGCTCCATGTACTGTACCAGTTCCTGTGCCCGAAGTCGTTTTGCTGGAGCCGCCGCCCATGCCTGACATCATGCTGCTGAGACCCGACAGACCGCCGCCACCGCTCGTGCCAGAGGTGCCACCTCCCATGCCTGGGATCATCTTCATCAAGCTTGACATTCCACCCCACCCATACCGCCGCCGCCCATACCCGGGAAACCGCCCATGCCTCCTCCACCCATGCCAGGGATCATCTTCATGAAGTTCGACATGCCCCCCATTCCGCCCATGCCGCCGCCCATTCCGGGGAATCCTCCCATGCCTCCCATACCAGGGAAACCCCCGAAGCCAAACTGGACTGCTTCTTGCTCGGCGAGCACTCCGTTCGTACAAGTCACGACGACAACGAGTAGGGCGACGAGAGTGGATCGGCCGGATGATGTGGTCGGAGTTTGTTGATAGTCAGACGAGGAGTTTGGAGGCCTTGGAGTGTTGTTGAAGACCGAATACTTGCTTGGAAGTGGATTTGGAAATGAGCAGCGGGTAAGAAGGTGCCCGCACCGTTAGGTGATGACCCTGTGCTTCGTGTGGTAACAAGCACAAACGAGGCGTCTGGCTGTTGAAAGAGGCAAGCAGCTAGTGTACAGCCGCCGTCAAGGGCGCACGAGTGGCTTTTGATTCGACTTACCAGCTTTGTCACAGCTGCACCAAGAAATTTTGGCAGCTGGCGTACCGTTAGTGGGCAAGCAATGGGCTTTACGGGCATCTTGGTGGCACTGACAGCCCAGGTCACTCACATGAAGCAGCATGGTGACCCCAGCGACCAAAGTCGCGCCACTAATGGGAACAGACGTTGGAGCCTATCTTGTCCGAAGTATCCACGAGCTCAGTATATGTTTCAGTTCAAGGTGAAGATGTCCAAAGTTCTTAGAACAGAATCGCGAAGCGGTACCAATAAGGACCGCGTTGTGGAATGGGGACGGTTGTTGGCCGCAAGCATTAAAGAAATGTTGCCTGTTCCTAGAAGCGGGGAACATGTGTACTAGACCCCTCCGATTCATGGAGGAAGTACATACCTAACAAAAGCAGCTTTGCCGGGCATTATTCGCAACTAAATTACTTTTAAGTTTTTTTTAAATTAAAAATGAAATATGTTTATTAATATTTCACTTTTTTAAAATAAAAGCGGTACTTACATAGAAGATTTCTAGACTGCCCCAAACAAACGTATCGGATTTTACCGGTATTCGAGGTGTATGACCTCAATAACCTCAATATGTTGTCAAATTCTGCATATTATATATTATCGGAAATCCTATGTTTAAAACAATTAAAGTAGAGTGTTTTCCGCTTTCTCCGATGACCAAGCCTCCCCAATCACCCAATCACGGGAATTCCCGCAGTATGTACCGCAATTAGCTTCATTGCGGTATCCAAGGCACTTTAAAAAAAGGTAAGGTGCGGGAATCATTAACCATAGTGAAAGTAGTATTAATGTATGTATATGATTGGTTCAATAAATTATCATAGTGAATTTAGTATAAACGTATGCAAATGATATAATCAATCTGGTCTATTGACAACCTACTTTACATGTTAGCTAAACTTCCTTACTGGCATTTTGTAGACGAAAATAAAAAGACTTTGCAAACCCTCCGGATTACCTTCCAGCGATGACTCTGCGAGTAAATCCCCAGTTCCACCTCTCCTATCCAGTAAAAACAGGAATCCGACAGTAATATCCTGTGTTGGGAGCAGTAATCAATCACAAACTATTGTTTGAAGGAAGCGTCGTATTTCAAATAGCGCCCACCTCGTTTCTAGTCTGGTCGTGCATCAAAATTAAACACGACAAACTGTGTCGTTTGTGGTTCTGGAGCTCCAAAACCGCATACACACATGGCGGTAAGGGACGCTGCGATTAAAATTCTGGGACTTAGGCCTTGATAATAGCGTTAACCGATTCAGCATCGTGGAAGAATCGATTCTAGGTGTTGGTTGCCCAGATTCCGATGTTTGTCCCGAGTACATAGTACTTTTCATAGAAAATCGGGAATGCAAAATCCCGATTTTAAAAAAGTTAAGGTGCGGGAATCTAGACCAATTTCCCGCAATTAAGGACTGCCGATGACTTTCCAATTTTTGATGTCCGATTAGGTACGAATCTTGATTGCGATTATCTCGTTACCCCAAATTGAGAGAATCAATTGCGGCTTAGTTAGTACAGTATCATTTTGTTTCAGGCAGCCTCAAATAGAGGACCGATCCCATATATATATATATAATATGTACATATTTCCATAAAACGGGCACTTCTAGACAACTTATAATCAACACCGATTTCAATTCTGTCGGAGGGTACACCCCGTTCCAATAATTTTTTTTATTGTACAGACCAGCAAACAGATCGAGGCGAAAACAGGGGACTTGCGTTGCCGGCAGGTATTTTGCACATGGTATACGCGGACGACGAAGACGACTTCGTCAAAGAGTCCAACAGCGCAAGGCGAGCCATTCGGCAGAATCTACAGCACCGGCAGAGGTAGAAGACAATGGGAGCTAAGCCACCGAACCCAAGGCACGGCACAGAAACGCGTTTGCGCTGCCGGAATGACACTACATTCATCGTTAGCATCGCCAACACTCTTGGTTGGTAGTTTATCGTGCCATATATATATTGCGCCCAACCACTTCAATTGGAGACCCGGGAGGGGGGGGGGGGGGTCGCAGTTCGAAGCTAGCATGTACGGATACCCTTACAGAGAAACGGTGTACTCGGGCATCTCCTGCGCCTGCTTCGCAGCCGCAACATCTGCCTAGTCTACCACTGTACAACCAAGTGTACCAAGTTTGATCGCTTCTTTTCAAAGGCATTGCCAGTTCATGTATCGTCACTCCAACGAATTGGTACTTCAACTCTTAGGTTTGACAAACCCACTGTGGTGATTCTAACTCCTCCAGCTCGTCGGATTAGGACTCCACGGATTTAGTTTTAACTTAGTTCTTTTGTAGATAGTAGAACGGTTATCAACAACTAGCTAATCAACGTAATTTCCTTCCTTCCTGCCACTGAAATGTGCGCTGATGTCCAGGCAGGATCGTTTATTTCTTTGGTTGCAGTGGCGAAAAAACAAGAAAAATCTGTGCACTCGAATATTTAGCGCTACCAGGCTAACTTCTGAACCGAGCTTGCAGGATAACCCGATGAAGCCAGCAACTTGCTTCAAGTTTGATAAGTTAAAACTGAGGTCTAGCAGATCTCGATCGCAGGAGCAGGGTACACCGGCTGTTTGTCCTTCGTTTTGACGATGTCCGCCTGGGCTTCCTCTCTCACAGGAATCTGGGCCGTACAGCGACAACTTAGGAGCATTCCAACTCTGTTTGATAGAACATGGTGCAGCCGCACCAATGAGTGTGGGATGCACGCAATACCAGCTTGTCGGCAATTTATGTCATGGCAAATGGGGGGGGGGCGACGAATGTAGCGTGAATGCCGTTCGATGACATCCAAAAACCTTCCCCAATCGACAATTCTTCGAGCTGCGAATATCAAAGTGCCTACGTAGATCTGTACCGAATTGAAGCATCTAGAGATTAAATTGCAGACTTAACTTGCGGGCTGGACGAGATTTGTACAAGATGTTGCGATTGTACACTTCGCAGTCTAGTTGTGTGTATCCGTATGGAGGCACGTGCTTGCTGTGAAGTTGTTGCCGATGGTAGACAATTGTGGTACACGTGGTGGAATACTGGGATCTGATTGGCGGATCCCCAAGATTTGACACTTCTGATTGGCTGAGAGAAAGGCAAGTTGAAGTTGCCTTTCTGGATACGATCTGCAACATTTACTTTGATCCCCAGCCTCTAATACTTGGAAGTAGGAGGTGTGCGTTGGTACGATTCATGTTTAAGCATAGGAGACTAGGATATGATAGTTAGTTTGGCCTAACTCATTCTAATTCACTTTCGGATTTCCTTCCTAACCAACACTCGACTACCAAGCCTCGCCCGCATAATCTCGAGTGGTTATGAGCCCAAGCTACGCAGACACCGTGAAGTTCGTGGATGACAACTACTTCCACTGGGAGTTCAACATGCGGATAACGCTGTCGCGCAAGGGACTGCTGGCCCACATCGTCAAGCCAGAGTTCGACCAGCTGAGTGACCGCTCCACGGTACAATGGAAGACCGACAATCTGAAGGCCCTTGGTGGGATCGCTGGGGACGTGAGTCTCACATACCAAGTTTACATCCGTGGAGCGACAACCGCTGCTGAATCGGGGCGCCTGCTTGAGGAGCAGTTCAACCGGAACACTCTCAAGAATCGGCTCGTCGTGACCAAGAAGTTGCACAACTTCAAGATGGAGCCCGGGACGCGGCTCGCGGCACATGTGGACCGGTTCAAGGAGCTCGTGCTGCAAATGGAGACGATTGGTGAAGCACTGGACGAGACTCGCCAACTCGTGCTGCGGCTGGGCAGTTTGACGGACGAGTACCGGATGATCAGCACCGTATTCGAGAACACGCCGAACATGACGTTGGCGTACGCGATCCAAGCTCTGTCTGGCGTTGAAGTCTCGGACGATTCGACATCGGCTCGGGAGAAGGCATTCGCAACGAAGAAGGAGTTCCGCAAGCGCGGGTTCTCCGGGAAGTGCTTCTACTGCAAGAAGCTCGGGCACAAGGAACAAGAGTGCCACAAGAAGAAGGCCGATGAGGGACGTGGGCAAGTCGCGCAGGAAGCGTCGGACTTCGCGTTCACGGCTACGGGTGCAATGGCGAAGTCGGAGTGGCTTGTGGACTCCGGCGCCAGCTCGCACATGACCAGCGTCCGGGACAAGTTCGTATCCATGAAGGAGCTGAAGACGCCGGTCCGCATCACGATCGCGGACGGCACGAAGATCGACGCAGATGCAAAGGGCACCGTCGGATTGAAGCTGATGGACGGGATGTCCGTCACATTGTCGGATGTTCTGTACATCCCGGAAGTTGATGGGAGCCTCATCTCGGTGTCGAAGCTGGCCGAGAAGGACGTCGACGCGCAATTCAGCAAGGACAAGTGTGTCTTTCGCTTTGGAGGCGTGACGGTGACGGAGGCCAAGCGCTGTGGAAATGTCTACAAGCTGAAGACAGTGGGGGACGAGGTGTGTCGTGCGGCGACGACATCTCGTAAGGAGCCATGGGCCGTCGTGCACGCCCGTCTCGGCCACATCCCGTGCAAGCGCTACGAACAGCTGTTGAGCATGGCCGATGGGGTACCGCGCATCGTAGGCGACGTGTCGACGGATAACGTGTGTCCTGGATGTTGCATTGGGAAGATGCGCGCTGACGACTTCCCACGTCACCCTGACAACTTGGTCAAGAGTGCAAGTGCACTCGACTTGGTGCACACGGACGTCATCGGTCCGATACAGACCAAGACACCTGGAGGCTGCCCATACGCAGTAACCTTCATCGACGACTACTCGAGACACGTGACGGTGTACTTCATGAAGGCGAAATCGGAGGTGCTGTCGAAGTTCAAGATCTTCAAGGCAGCAATGGAGAACGCAACGGGCAAGACGATCAAGCGCCTGCGTTCGGACAATGGCGGCGAGTACACAGGCAAGGAGTTCAAAGCCTACCTCGGCCGCAACGGCATCAAGCATGAGAAGACGGTGCCGTACACGCCTCAGCAGAATGGATTGGCTGAGCGCATGAACAGAAGTTTGGTGGAGATGGCGCGCTGCATGCTCTACCATGAAGGAATCGACAAGAAGTGGTGGGCAGAATCTGCCAACACGGCGGCCTGGATCATGAACCGGGTCCCGAATTCGGTGACCGTCAAGACACCCCACGAGATCGTGCACCGAGCCAAGCCTCAACTCAAGAACATGAAGGTGTTTGGTGCACTCGGCTACGCCCACATCGCCGACGAAAAGCGTCGGAAGCTGGATGCGAAGGCGTTCAAGTGTCGATTTCCTGGGCTACGAAGATGGTGTGAAGGGATACCGCGTTCTCAACGTGGCGACGGGGAAGGTGCAAATCGTGCGCACTGTGAAGTTCATGGAGACGACTGAACCCGACCACCTGATGACACGCCTGGAGATCGACGACGATGAAGAACCGATTGCCACGGGCCCAAGCTCGAAACGAGTACCTGCATTGGTGCCTGTTCGCGACGTTTCGACTGAAGTTGAAGTTGGCGACCCGACTATGTCACCGAATGACGTGACGACAGGTGGGCAATCGTACCCATCCGATGATTACTCGGTCGCGTGCTCGTCACATTGAAGAGACCAACGATCCTGAGGAACCCGGAGCTCGCAAGAAGCAAGTCGTTGCGTCATCCGAGATCAGGACGAAGCGTCAGAAGGTGGACCAAGGTCGCGCCAAGTCGGACGAGAACCAACTCACTATCCACGGTGGGATGCTGATGGCCGCAACGGAGGAGGTGTCAAGGTCGTATCAAGAGGCGATTACGAGTGAGGATCGTGCCCAATGGAAGGCAGCGATTGCAAGTGAGCTCAAATCGCTGATGACGAACAAGACATGGAAGTTGGTGCCCAAGCCCAAACACCAGCGCGCGATTGGCTGCCGCTGGGTGTTCGCGTTGAAGCGCAATGAGACAGGGAGAGTCGTTCGGTACAAGGCTCGTCTCGTTGCCAAGGGGTACTCGCGGCGACATGGAATCGACTACGAGGAGACCTACTCGCTGGTGGTGTACCTGAACTCCATCCGTGCAAAACTCGCGAAGTGCTGCGCCGACGGAATGGAGATTGACCAGTGTCACATCGACACTGCGTTTTTGTATGGAAAGCTCGAAGATGAGATCTACACGGTGTTGCCTGAAGGACTTCGAGAACTGCTGGATTTGGCTGAAGCTCAAGGTGAAGATGACGTCGTCTGCCAGCTACTGCAGAGTTTGTATGGACTCAAGCAAGCGCCTCGCGTATGGAACGCGACGATCGACGCGCATCTCAAGAGTATGGGATTTTGAGCTGCTGATGCCGACCCGTGTCTACACGAGAGGTGCTGGTGACGACGAGTACATTGTGTGTCTCTACGTCGACGACATGCTGATTGCATTTCGCCAGCGGACTATCATTGGCTCGGTAAAGGCGGGCATCGCTGAAAAATTTCGCATCAAGGACCTCGGACGCGCTCGATTCATCCTTGGCATCGAGATCGACTACGACATAGAGGCCAAGACGATGGGCATCTGCCAGCGGGCGCACACCGCGTCGATCATCAAGAAGTTCGGCCACGAGAATGCGAAGCCGTGCCTGACTCCACTTGACCCAAGTGTGCAGTTGACCAAGGCGGACGAACCCCAAACCGAGGAGGACAAGGCCAAGATGAAGTCGAAGCCGTATCGTTCTCTTGTGGGAAGTCTGATGTACCTGGCGTGCGGAACGCGACCGGACATTTCAGCTGCAGTGGCCAAGCTGAGTCGTTTTCTGGAGAACCCTGGCGAGAAGCACTGGGATGCTAGAATCCGTGTGGTACGGTACCTGTTGAAGACCAAGAATCTCGGAATCGTCTACGATGGATTGCTTGGCACGGAGCTCGTCGCGTATTCGGACGCCGACTGGACTGGCAACCGCGACGACAGACGCTCTGTAAGCGGAATGATGCTGATGATGTGTGGTGCTCCCGTGGTTTGGCGATCGACTTTTCAGAAGACGGTCGCGCTGAGTTCGACTGAGGCGGAGTACATGGCACTCAGCGAATGTGTGAAGGAGGTGGTGTGGAAGCGACTACTACTCAAGGATTTGGGTGCGGAGCAAGATGGACCTACGGTGATCTACGAGGACAACCAAGGTGCCATGGCGTTGGCTAAGAATGTCGGCTACCAGGCTCGCACCAAGCACATCGACATCCGCTATCACTTCATCCGCGAGAAGATCACGAGTGGTGTTGTGGAGTTCGACTACGTTGAGTCCAAGAACCAACTCGCTGATTTCCTGAACAAGGGACTCTCAACGAAGACTCTTCGCTATGTGCTCAAGCGCAGTAACATCACTGAGATGCTCGGGTAGACTGCGAATTGAGTGGGGGTGTTGCGATTGTACACTTCGCAGTCTAGTTGTGTGTATCCGTATGGAGGCACGTGCTTGCTGTGAAGTTGTTGCCGATGGTAGACAATTGTGGTACACGTGGTGGAATACTGGGATCTGATTGGCGGATCCCCAAGATTTGACACTTCTGATTGGCTGAGAGAAAGGCAAGTTGAAGTTGCCTTTCTGGATACGATCTGCAACATTTACTTTGATCCCCAGCCTCTAATACTTGGAAGTAGGAGGTGTGCGTTGGTACGATTCATGTTTAAGCATAGGAGACTAGAATATGATAGTTAGTTTGGCCTAACTCATTCTAATTCACTTTCGGATTTCCTTCCTAACCAACACTCGACTACCAAGCCTCGCCCGCATAATCTCAAGTCAAGAGTTGTTAGACAAGAATTCGGGGCTACGGGAGACTGCTATTTCTACTGTAGTTTTACATGTATAGTCTAGTTTCAGACTCATTTGAATATGTCCAAATTGAGACACCAAGAATTTTAAATCTGAATCTGAGCAGAGTCCATATAATGGACTGTTCAGAATTTTTTCTTTATATCAACGAGTGAATCAACCTCGCACCACTCAGCGCGAATAAGGAGTACCGCTGTTTTGAGAATGTATGGTTCTCGCCTGGGTGCCCATTCATTTACCCCGTTCACCGATGTAGACTAGCGCTGGCTGCGCCGTCTTACCATACCAACTGGTTGCTCGAACATTATCTTTGTGGCATTTTGAGCCCTGGGCCACTTAGGAGTAGGAGATGCATCGCTATAACTGGTCATGCCACTCCGCCGTAGCCCTTTAGCGTCAGCCCAAGCTGACCATGGCTGCAGAGCCTGCCCGTTCTTCTAGGCGGACGCCACACTCTCCCCTTGTCGACTACCGCATTCTCAAATTTTCTCGCCGAAGCTCCAACAACCGAACTCGACCCCAGGTCTTCATCAAATTAAAAGAAACAACTTCCAGCATGTTCCACAGCGCCAAGTTCTTCGTCATGTGCATCGCTGCCGTGGCTCTTTTAAGCGGTGCCCAGGCCGAGAGAGAGGTGACCGAAACTATAGTCGGCGGCCCGGGCGTCAGGTGGGCGTCCCCGGCGTCGCTAGCGTCGGAGTCGGTCCAGGCGTCTACGGCCCTGGCGTCGTCGGCCCGGCCGTCGGCGTTGGTGTTCCTGGAGTTGTTGGAGTTTGAGTTAATCCTGCCGTCGGGTACAATGGCGGAACCGTGGTGAACGGTGGCTACCCGGCTGCGAACGGCGGCGCGACGGCAACCGCGACTGCGAATGCGAGACGCACGCTGCGCTCGGTTCAGTAAATGGACCAAGCTCACCTCGAACAACCAACGCAGCGTACTCAGCGACGTCCAAGAGTGAAGACATTCATTTCGCGATGCGCTGGTGCACAGGCGTCTACCCCACGAAGCTTTGACGTTTCAAGGTGTACAATACATGTATATGAGTTTTAGTCTCCGTTTGTAAGCGACAACATATAACCGTGTTGTCTAAGAAATATGCGTATTGGCATGAGCGGACCTAAATGCTGCCAAAGCTCCGGCCGTAGCCCCTATATACACTACATGTGCACTTTGCTAGGTATCAACCCACTCTCAACGTGAGCCTTTACCAACTACTGTAGACCGCATCTCTCATCGCCATGGGTATTAGCATCCATCCAGTGGATGCTACCGATCGCGTGGTAGTGACCGTCACCCGCTACAAGGTCGATTCACGCACATTGTTCGTACAATTTGCTCGAACAGCAAACAGGGGGATGCCTCGAATGCATATAGTTAGCTCACTTGGTGCCCGCCATCACGTACGACAGTCCGCGCTCAGCTATATCGATCCCAGTGTCGGCTATCGGATAAGACCGACCAGGTGGTCTGGACCACCTAACGTCCGACAGTAAAGTGCCGAGCTTTAGGCGGACTTTACCCAGCAAGCCTGCCGAGGGCCCGCAGGAGCCACAAGTCGCTGGCCCATGGTGCTCTAACACAAGCGTGCACGTGTTTCCTTGATACCATGCACTCCCACCGACACCGACACTATTTCCCCATCCTACGCTGTTCGCCCGCCGCACACGGATTCCAGGCACAAGGGTGCTCGTCCACTTGGTTCATTTCCAATTTCGCCCTCTTCACCTCGCAGTTGCATTACTCAAGCGGCTGCGTGCGCGACAAGAGGTTCTCCAAGGTTTCTTTGTTCGTCACTCCAGCCTTCACCATGATCAACGTCACCAAGGTTTTCACGCTGGTCGTCGCAGTTGTAGCCATCACGAGTGGTGTGCATGCCGACAAGGAAGTCGCGCAGGACTACAGTAGCGGTGGTACGACCGGTGGCATGGGCGGCGGACTATCGGGCCTCTCCAAGATGATGCCCGGTATGGGTGGCACCGGCGGAACCAGCGGCGGTCTCCCCAGCATGGGCAGTATGCCCGACTTCAGCAAGATGATGTCCGGAATGGGCGGCACTGGCGGCATGCCGAGCTTCTCTAAGATGATGCCTGGAATGGGCGGCACGGGCGGTGGAATGGGCGGCATGCCCGACTTCAGCAAGATGATGTCCGGAATGGGCGGCGCCGGTGGCGGCTTTCCGGGCATGAGTGGAGGTTTCTCCAGTCTCAGCAAGATGATCCCGGGTGCGGGAGGCAGCCCGGGTACGGTCCACGCGCCTGGAGCTACTAGCACAGGTACTGCCGGCACCGGCACTGGCACTAGCACCGGCACTGGAACCGGGGCTACAGGTGCAACCGGCGCTTCAGGTAACACGGCCACAACACCGAAGACCGGCACGCCACAGACGAGCAGTTCAAAGGCTGGCTCCGCAGCAGGAGCACCCACGGTTGGGTCCCCGACCAGCGGAACTGGGGCTACTGGCGCCGGTTCAACACCTTCTAAGACGTACCGCAGCCTTCGATCGGAGTAATCTGCGAGCGAGCAACCGTCCGGCCGGAAGACGATAAATTCCCCACGTGTGGTCACGGCAAGTGCTCTTGCTGGTTGATGTAGATGAGTTTTGTAGTGCATAAGCAATAAACGCGTGTCTTACTGATCATTGTGGCTCTCAATAATGTGTATGCGTGCCTCGACGACCTACTTTTATATTCATGTGCCCGAAAACTGACCACGAACCGCTAGCTAGAACGGATTAGCTCGGTTCCGGTTTCCGCGCAGATGCATTGTTGACACTCCTGCATAAATTCAAGGATGACAAGTTTGGCTACCACCAAAGAGTGCGTGACTCCTAGGGTAAGCTAGTCAAACTCCGGTAGGGGCTAGGGTGAACGGTGTTGGGGCAGGATTTCATTGAAGCCTACGAACGGGGTGCATACTCGTTGTATTGCATGTTACGCAAACGAAGACTAAACTCATAAACATTTACACCCTACGTGGAGCGCCTCAAGCTCCGCCGGGATGGATGTGTGTGCGCTCACACAAGCGACTGCGAGCTGTGCTACTGTACCACACGCACGCGTTTGGATGTCCCTCACCAGTCGAGCTGCAGATTGTCACGGGCTTGGTCCATTTACTCCTCCTCCTCCGAGCGGAGCTTGCGTGCATTCGCGGTCGCAGACGCACTTGCCGTTGCGCCGCCGCCGTTGCTCGGGTAGGCCGCCGCAGGGGCCACTCCATTGTAGCCGTACCCGTTGTAGCCGTAGCCGGGGCCATAGACGCCGACACCAGGGCCATAGACACCAGGACCGTAGACACCCAGACCGCCCACGCCAACGCCTGCTACACCGGGGACGCCAACGCCAACGAACGGGCGCCCACCAGCGTCTGAGCCACCTGCGCCTCTGCGTTTACTCCGGTTGAGAGGGCCAGAGCGGCGATGCACATGAAGAAGGTCTTGGTGTTGCTGAGCATGATGGTTGGAGGTGTTGTTGTAGTGGAGGTGGGAGCTGGCTTGAGAGAGTGAATTGGAGAATGAGCGAGCAAGGCGAGTTGGCGTGGCCGGACTCCATCGACACAGAGCACTGGTATAATACATGTATCCATACTTGCTCGTTTAAGGTGGTGCCATATGCCGTGCCAAATGTGACGGACTTCTTCAATTGATTCACTCTCGAAGATAACATTTGTCTTCTAAGATCTGGCCCCCATACGGCGTTGCACGACCTACAGCACCATGCAGCTCGATCCAGGTGGACTTCATTATGATGAAGTGCTCAGACAAGGACTCCCAGCGCGATTATACGTGTGCCGATTGTATAAAGCAGCAACAACCGTCAATATCAGTTGGGACAATTAACACTGCTAGTAATATTTCTTCACTTGCTCTACGATAATGGCCATTGCGTTAGCCCGTTAGCGTGCTGGAAGACAATCGACGGATCTACTTCAAGTACTGTAGGTGCTTTCTGTACCTCCTATCGGTGTGTCCCCGTTTGTACTGAACTTTGTATGCCTGAAGTTGAAGTTTGTCTTCACACAGCGGAGCCAATCAATGCATCAGATGAACCGACAAGACTACGATTATCGACCGATCCACCACACGAACGAATGACATCCGGCCAACACGTGCTGCCCTGGTGAACAGAGTTTGAGCTTTACGCAGACTAGATGGTCAACATCGTTCATCGACGATAGATACCGGTACACTATCGTGCCGCGTTCTGCACGAGGCTTTCGTTGGCAGCACCTGCGCGGCTTTTCGGCTGCTGAGTTGGCTGTGCGCTGCGAGGTGCCGAGTCGTCCAACGCGCTCCGGAACTTACGTCTCATTCTCCAATTCACCCTCGAGCGGTCACAAACCACTCGAGACGAATCCCCGCTAGCTGATCTACACCCCAGCCCAGTTTTCCGTCTTCTATCGCCATGCTCAGCAGCAGCAAGATCTTCGCCATGTGCATCGCCGCCGTGGCCCTCTCAAGCGGAGTGAACGGTGAGAAGCAGGTGGCCGAGACCTTCGGTCTGCTCGGCCTTCATGGCCTCCACGGAGTTGGCGTAGGCCTGGGAGGAGTTGGCGTAGGCCTGGGAGGAGTTGGCGTCGGCGTGGGCCCCGGTGTGTATGGTCCAGGCGTCGTCGGCCCCGGCGTCAGTGTCGGCGTGCCAGGCATTGCCAGCGTCGGAGTCGGTCTTCCCAGTGTGGGCGTTGGTGGCCCCGTTGTTGGTGGTGGCCCCGCAGTTGTTGGCGGTCCCGCAGTCGGCGGCGCACCTGCAATCTCCAACGCCAACGCTGGTGCCGGCGCGCCGGCAAACGCCATCTCCAACGCCAACGCCGGTGCGCCTGCCACCTCCACCGCGAACGCCAACGCCGGTGCGCCCGCCACCTCCACCGCGAACGCCAACGCCGGTGCGCCCGCCACCTCCACAGCCAACGCTAATGCCGGTGCGCCTGCCACCTCCACCGCGAACGCCAACGCCGGTGCACCTGCCACAGTCAGCGCGAACGCCAATGCCAACGCTGATGCTGGCCCAGGAGGCAACGGTAGCACGGTCACCAAGACGGTCACGTCGACGAACAGCGACGGAACCGCTACTGCGACCACGTCGAAGACCACTAGCGGCGCGTCGACGAGTGCGACTGCGACAGCCTCTGCTGGGGCAAATGCGAACGGTGGTGGGAACGCAGGCCCAAGTGGTGACCCGAGTGGTCCGAGCGGAGGCCCGAGTGGAGGCCCGAGTGCCGGCCCTAGCGATAGTGGGAAGACCGGAACCGGTGGCACAGGCGCTACGGCTCAGAAGGGATACCGCAAGCTCCGCTCGGTGGAATGAGCGAGCTTCGGTGCTTCTGCATGCGAGACGCGTTTAATGTCGTTAGTTGTAATTGAGTTTCGTCTTGTGTAAATAAATTGCAAGTGTTTCTGAGCCACACCATTATCTTTTTCCTCCTCCTCCTCCAAGCTGAATGCAGGACGTGATCGCACACACGATCAGACTTTTGCTTTGGATATGATAAAAATATCGAGGAGGGGCCAACGATTATGGCCTTCTTACTATCCCAGCAGTACCTACAACCCCGCTTCTTGTATTAGCTTCGGCAATATCCGCAGTGGAAGATGGCGCAATGGATGCAAGCATATCAGCAATTACAGCTCGGCAACGAGTAAGCTTCTTTCCACCGCACCCCAAGCGGAATAGGAGACTTGGTTATGTGCTGATGGACACCAATGCGCCAGGCAATACCTGCATACTATTTGAATTTGAATTTGTAGCGGTTTAGACGGCTAACTACGCCCGATGCCGCGCACTGCTGCAGATCGCCTACGGATCACGAGCCTTCAGGGCACGTGCCCGCGGTAGTAGTCCAAACACACGGGTACACCCAACCGAATCCCACGACGGCATCCGATCCAGATATACCCCTATCGATATGCAATTGCTAAAAGAGATAAGCAACCCCTCCTTTTCGCGCTTCGTCGGAGTCCATCACCTCGACGCGTCCCTCCAACACGTCGTTCACCCTTGTTCGCTCTTGTCCTTCTTCTCCGTCTCGCTCTTCGTCGATCCAGCGGCCACCTCTGCGCCACGCTCGTCGGAATTCGATCACGACTCGACGGTTGCCTCACAAGGCAGCATGACCAGTAATCTGCACTCTTTCCGCTGTCTCGCGCTTCGTCGTCACCAACACACCCTGTTTTTCGTTTCTGTTTCGCCTACCGTCTTGACCAGCCTGTTGTGCCAACGAGGTCGGCACCCTTCGTCGACCCTGGTCACCTTGAAGCTGCCATTGCTGTCGTCTTGCTCCTTCCTGGGCTCCCGAGGGAGGATTCCTCCCAGGAAGGCCAAGGACCCGGAGATCCTTGAAGGCGAGCGACCCGTCAAATTTCGGACTCGCAATACCTGCATAATCAAATCTGTCCTAGGAAATAGTACCAAATTGGTCTTTGGTGTGGCGTACATAAGCCAATTTGTCCTATCAGTCCGGTACTTAGGACAAAATATTAATTGGCATTTGTATGACCGCTGTAATGACGCTTCTAACAAATCAACCATATTGTATCAGTGCTCATACTCAGATCAAGTCATATTATCAAATTTGTCCTAGCAGCTTGGAAAAAATCGTCAAGGTGATATGTTATTAGATACAGTTTTCAGATGGCCATGATATCTACAAGGACACTCGATAATCTGAAGCTGGGGCGTCAACGGAAAGTGTAAGGATAGAGGTCTCTGCCCATGCTATCAAAACTTCATATTCATGTGTCATTTTGCAATAGCAGAGCACCAAACATTTGGTCCTTTCATTTATCCCAGGAACAATCTGACGGGGTTAGGAGCCAACCAAAAGTATTTTACGATGTAGATATTTTATTTTATTTATTTTTTTTGCGGTTACCGCCGATAGCGCTCGGGGCGAGCACTGCATCGAACCGCGCTGACCGGGCCCCACAGGTACCCGGCGGCTACAGCTCCGTCCTAATTTCCTACAACATGCATCCTAAATATGTATCTGATCAGTACCTTCTCGTACTGATGTTCTCGCTCTACCGTGGGTCACGCATGAGCTTGCCCTTGCTCCTGCATTGTTGTCCCACGAGGATCGCCGTCCTCCTCAGCTAGGGCCGTCTCCTGTCGTCTTATCTGCCAATTCTCACGCCACCTCTCGGCCCGCTCACGACGTACCGATATATGGCGAGCCAATACGGTGTCAAATCCCATACCTGTAGCAGTAATTGCGCTCCGAGACGAACAGCGTCGAGCCTTGAGTGTAGCAGCGCGTAGTGTAGAGTCTTGGGCGTCGAGGAGAAGCAGCGAACGAGGGAGAAAAGGCTCTTGTCTTGAGTGAGGTAAATTCCAAAGTGATTCATTCTTTTCTTAGCCAACCACACTCAACTACATGCAACGTACCACACTCTCGGGCACGAGGAGGAAAGCCCCAGGCACAAACACCCCCTTTGGCCAACTGCCATGTAGACAGCAGGTCGATCCCAGTCAATACTGACGGGCCTTGACAAGTACGTGAGTTTCCTGGAACTACCGCCGAAAGGCTCATACTCCCCCGGAACTCACGTATCTTAGTCGTCTTCAGCGTCATCTTGGTGCACGCCCAGCGTCGACTCCAACTGCGCGTTCTCCACCACGACACGCTGCTCGATCACAGCAACGACGTCTTCGACTCCAAGCAAGCGTCTCAACTTCTCGAACTGCTGCGGTCCGAGCGCTTTGGTTAACATATCCGCAATATTATCCGACGTTGGCACGTACTCCATCTTGAGCTTCTTGGCTTCAACAAGTTCTGCAATCTTGCGACTCTTCTTAGCGTAGCGCTTGACACCATCAAAGTTGCCTGCTTCACTGCAGACCTTGATCGTGCTCTGGTTGTCAATCTGGACCACGGGTCTCTGCTGGTCCAGTCCCAGCTCCTTCAGCAGCTTCTTGGCCCACAAATCCTCTACTCACATGCTGGCAGCGACCAGCTCCGACTTGCACGTGTCGTCGGTGACGCTCTTGTGCATTTTGCTCTTGAATCCAACGCTAAATCCATTCAGCCGAAGCACAAATCCAGTCACCGAGCGAGAGGAATCCGGGCAATTGGCGTGATCTGCATCGCTAAATGCTCTCATCTGCCAGCTTGTAGACAGAGCAGTATCACCGCGCCTGTAGACTAGTCCAAACGAGCGAGTTGCCCGAAGATAACGAAGCACTCGCTTGGCACTTGCGTAGTTCTCCTTCGTGTAGCTGCGGGTGTGCCGACTGAGACTTCGAACTGCATTGGCGATATCGGGCCTTGTACACGTCGCCAAATACTGCAAAGCCCCAACTAATTCTTGGTAAGGCAGCGATGGATCGTTCACTTTGGCTGGGTCAGTTTCAATTGCCGGATCTTTCTTGTTCGTCATCTGAGGCGATCGCACCGTTCGAGCTTCTGTCATGTTAAAACGGCGCAGAATGTTGTCGATGTACGCTGTTTGGGAGATACACAACCGTACACCGGGCTCGTAATGCACTTCCATTCCGAACAAGTGATGCACGCGGCCGAGATCCTTCAACGCGTAGTCAACCATCAAATCAGCGATGACTTGGTCGATGTCATGTGGCCTCCCGACGATGACCATATCATCCACATACACTGTGATGATAATGATCCGTCCATCAACGCACTTGCAGTAGAGACCAACATCAAACGTACTGCGAGAAAATCCGAGCTTCACCAGAGACTTGTGTAGCATTTGATACCACAACCGGGCCGCCTGCTTCAGCCCGTAAAGTCCCTTCAACAGCCAACATACTCGACCAGTGCCGTCCTGGAAGAAGTACGGCTGTTGCATCAGGATAACAAACTTCTTGAGTACCGTGTTAAGGAACGCGGTATCAAAATCAACGTGCCTTGCCTCCAGTTCCAGGATCAGCGCAATCAGGAGCACCAGCAAAATCGTAATAATCCTCACCACTCTTACGATACTCCACTCCGTAGCGCTGCTTGAATCCGTGTATCACAAGTCTGGCCTTGTACCGTAATATTCCGCCATGTTCATCACGTTTTACGCGCAACACCCACTTTGAAGTGAGAATCTTGACGGGGTGCCCTGGCAACGACTTCGGTGGGTCGATCAGCTTCCAGGTGTTGTTTCGAATTAGGGCATCATACTCAGCTTTCATGGCAGCCAACCACTCATCTCGCTGAGGCGAGGTCAAGGCTTCTTCGACCGTCGCTGGGTCGCCGACAAATTTCTTCTCCACCATCAACTGGTAATCTCGAAATCGGACAATGGGTCTCCTCGCACGTTGCGACGCTCGAGTTGCCGCTGGTGGGGTTCCTGTTCCTGGATGCAGACGCCGTGGTTAGCGTCGTCCTGATGCTAGGGGCTGAGCTGACCCATGTGCTGGAACCGCACCATGTCCAATCGCTCGCGTGTTGTGAACTTCGCCCACTTCCGACTCGGCGCTGCTCGACGAAGTCGCTCCCCCGGGCCCGTGCGCGTCGTCCATGACCGCTGACCCACCGTGACTCGGAGTCACTTCCTTTGGTAGACTGTTCTCCACCGCGCGATCAGCACCATCACGCTCATTGTCCGTAGCAATGTACTCCACTGGCAGTGGCACGTACGGGATCTTCTCGCCCTGATGTCTGCCCATCAAGAGCTTGTTCAGGTACTTGCTACTGACCGTGGCATCTTCGCGGAACTGCAGGTCGCGGGCTTCGACAATATTTCCAGTCCGCAAATGTAGCAGTCTATAGCCCGTAGTTGAGCGCGCGAATCCCAGCAACAGCGCCGGATCTGCCTTTGGACTCAACTTGTGCTTTCGCACCGCTTTTGGCACAAACACAAATCCCAGACACCCGCATACCCGAATCTTGCTGATGTCAGGTTTCTAGTTGAAGAGCTTCTCCGACGGAGTTCTGTCCTTAGTGCCCGTGTTGCCGTCATGTTGTCAATGTCCACCACATACCGCAGTACTTCCGGCCAGAGTTTCTGCGGCAAGTCTGCTGCATGCATCGCGGCGCCCATCTTGTTCACCAACACACCGTTGAGCTTCTCAACGAGTGCATTCTCTTCAGGGGTGTGCCGGTGAGTAGGCACGAACGTAATCCCATGCAATTTCAGGAACCCTTTGAGCTGGTTGTTCACGAATTCGCCTCCGCCGTCGCTTGTGAACGTCTTGATCTTGTGCCCCTGCGCACGCAGCTTCGACATCAGCTCCATCAAGTTGGCGTTGGAGTCGCTCTTCTGCTTGAGCGGATACACCCATTTATACCGAGATCCCTCGTCTGGGATGAGCTGGAAGTACCGATAGTTGCTCACACCGGGGAGATACTTCTGCATATCGCAGACATCCGAACTCAGGTGCTCATAGTTGACTTTGGTGCGTTTCTCGGCAGCGCTTACTTTGTACGACATGCGCTTCCTCTTGGCGCCCATGCAGGTCAGGCACGAGAACTTCTTCTTGAAGAGCTCTTCCGGTATCTCCATGTCTACAACCACCTCGCGAGTCAACATTTCCTTAATGGCAGCCACGTTCAGACGGCCTAACCGCTCATGCCACCGCATAAGAGGACTGGCATCGTTGTCGACACTCGCCATTACCATGTCTTCTGGAGCGGGTACCTCGGTGGTATACAGCCAATAATGATGACCCTTCTTTACGAACTCGAGCCGTTGCTGACCACGGTCCAGCCAGCACCTGCGAGGCACAAACGAGGAGGGAGAGAATGATGGGAGCCAGCCAGCTTCTTCCATCCTGCCGAGGCTGATCAAATTGACCGATCCGAAGGGAGAATATTCCACGTTTTCCATCTTGATATGTACGGTATCTTCATTGCCGCAGCCTGTACGGGCATTAGCCACTGTGACCAGTACCGATCCACTCATGACTCCCAGCGTGACTTCACCGGTCCAGACCTTGAACATTGCCTTCGACTTCTTGCTGCTAGAGAATTGTCCTCGCTCAACACACACGTGCGTAGTGCTCCCACAGTCCAGCATCCAAGCGCCCACCGCGCCTTCACGAGCCAGACCAGCAACCATTCCCAGGGCAGGAGCTTCTTCATCGCCGTCGCTGTCACTACTGCTGTCGCTGGTCGATCCGCGACCGGGGACATCTGGAGCACTGCCATTCAGCCACAGCATGTGCTGGATTACTCCCGGTTTCTTCTCTGCATGATCCCCTTTACTGGCCTTCTCTTCAGTCTTTTTCTTTGACAGCTTGGTCGTCTTCTTGATCTCCTTTCCGCCAGCTTGCACCTTCTTCGACTTTTTCTTCAAGTGCCAGCAATCCCGCTTGAAATGGCCAGGTTTTCCACAGTGGAAACACTTCCTCTTCTTGCCACCGTTACCCCCATTCAGACCCGGCTGCACAGGTGGTCCAGCCCTCATCGTGTTCATCACCACTCCATTTCCATTTCGCGTCCCACCCACTTGCTCGGCCATGCGTGTACGCTCATCCTTGGATCGTAGAGCATTGGTTACTTGTAGCAGCGTGGGTGGGTTACCTTGACGCGTAGGCAGGTCGAAGTGGTCCAGTAATTCAGGATGAGTCACTGCCACGCCCATCAGCAGCAACTGGGCCATGTCGTTGTCCGTAATAGCATGGTCCGGGCCCATATTGCGCAGCTTTTGCCGAAGTTGCGTCATTGTCGTGATGTACTCGGCCAATAACTGGCCCTCATTATGAGAGGTTTGATACAACTGTCGCCGCAGGAGTACCGCGTAGGAGAAGTCGCGTTGGGTGTTATCCGCCACCAGTGCATTCCACATTTCCGCCGCCGTAGCCATTCCACACACCTTGGCAGCGCAGGCCGCGTAGGATAGTCGCACGTGCAATTCGATCTCGCCCGTCATACTGGCGTTGCAGGTCCACATCCGTAATATGGCGTGTCTCCCCACCGCTCACTACAGCCCACAAGTCGCGCTCCGCCAGATAGAGCTCCAATTCGGCGCGATAGAGCTCAAACGTGCCTTCGAACCGGGGCGCTTTGTTGCTCGCCCGCGCTGGGTTAACGGCAGGTTGTGCTTGTTGTTGCGGCTGTCCTTGCACGTTGCCACTCCAGCATTGCTCATTTTGTTTCTTGCGACGCTTTCACTTCAAGAGACTCGTCACCAACAGTTAGAGCGTTGGGCTCATAACCTAGCAGTAATTGCGCTCCGAGACGATCAGCGTCGAGCCTTGAGTGTAGCAGCGCGTAGTGTAGAGTCTTGGGCGTCGAGGAGACGCAGCGAACGAGGGAGAAAAGGCTCTTGTCTTGAGTGAGGTAAATTCCAAAGTGATTCATTCTTTTCTTAGCCAACCACACTCAACTACATGCAACGTACCACACTCTCGGGCACGAGGAGGAAAGCCCCAGGCACAAACACCCCCTTTGGCCAACTGCCATGTAGACAGCAGGTCGATCCCAGTCAATACTGACGGGCCTTGACAAGTACGTGAGTTTCCTGGAACTACCGCCGAAAGGCTCATAACCTGCGCGGGTGTGCTGGCACCGATTTCTCCGAATGTCGGCATTAACATCCTCCAGTAGCGTGCCTTCGTCTCTTGCCTGTATTACCCGTACGTTTTCCTGGTATGTTGTCCTTCAGTGCAGTCTATTGGACATCCAGATACTGCGTAGGACGCCAAGATGCAGTCTCGTGCCACCGGCAGAAGTGACCATAAGGTATTGAGCCCATCGCACGGTTGCCGGAGTAGCCGATGGCCACGTCTTCCAGCCGCATGGAGCCGAGTATACCTCCAGAAACTCATTTTGTAGCCAGCGACGGGTTTCCAGCAGAACGGGGTCCGCCCCAGTTGTGGCTAGTGCAGCGTTCCATGTAACAAGTGCCTGACGGGGACCGTATTCGGGCAAGTCCTCACTCGTGTACTCGATGATAAGCCAGTCTGTATAGAGACCGCACTGTAATGCAGACCACCATTCCGATGCCCAGCAGTGCTGCTGTGCTTGAGTTATGTGTGGGGTAATAATACCGATCCACACTGGAGAGGGGTTATTGGCTGTGATATTCCGACGTTCGGTGGAAGAGGTTTGGCTTACCGCTTGCCTAGTCCTCATTCGAAGTGTATTCACCGGGATACAGACAAACCACTCGATTCCCATCTCAGAGGCCGCTCGATGTGCCGGTGAGGTATCATAGCATGCGACCCACAATGTTTTTCTCAAATCTCTGTATCCGTTGTATTCGGCGCGAATAGAGTCCCATCGGCTTTCGTCCGCTGGTATAAACGTGTCATCGATCCACCATGCAGCTTGATCAGCAGGTGGCTCCGGTTCCAGTAATGCTGCAGGTATCGCGGGTCTAGCGTTCCCGATTCCCAAAGTCCCGTTACCTGGCACGGGTGGTAGAAGTATTGCGCCGCGTGAGGGTGGCATCCGTGTGCCGCTCGTTGGAGTTGCACGGGTAAGAGACGACCCGCTGGTCGCTTCTTGCAAAACTGCATTTCCAGGGTTAGAAGGTGGCTGGCATACGATGCCCATCGCCACTCTCGTACCAGCGAGATTACGTGCGCTGCGTGAGCCGATAGGTTGGGATTGAGTTGGACCAGCACCCGCCATGGGCCTATTTCCTTATCATCACATGTCCACCATGATCGAGTTTGTCGGCCGCTTTCTTTGGCAACAAGGTGGCACCGGCCTGACATCATATACTTCTGGTCCGGAATCCAGAGGCGATGACACAGGATCTCGAGTTGTCTCCCCACCTCAACATACAGGCTTGGCGTTGCAACGCATCCACTCCATATCGATGAGCTTGTGTATCCATCCGCGGCTCACTGCATATCCGACAGTGTGGCTCCCCACTGGGTGTGACTGCGGTGTTTCCTGAGATTAGTGTGTAAGAACTTGGTAATCGATCTCCAATAAAAACACTTTTGATAGTCATCCCACCCGAGTAACTTAGCCATATTCAAGTCAGTATCGCACGCCGTCTGCCTGTGTTCTCCACGTGTGCCCATTACTTCAATCCAGGTGGACTTCCGTTTTTCCGCTGCTAGTTCCGTCAAGAATAGCTGGATTCGGCCTACAACCGGGTTTCCGTGAGAATTCATGATATGAGCAGCATCCCAGCACATGATGCCTATATATGAGCCGGTCATACTGGGGTCGTGGCTCTGGGCAGCATCTGCGTCAGCTGCTGCAAGTGCTCGGCGCTGCTCATTAAGTGTCGGGTCCGATGTGAGCTCGTGCTCTTGGTGCGGGCGTACCCACTGTGCTGTAAACGTCCCACCCGGACGCATCAGCGCCACCATGGTACGAATTTTCACTCGATGCTTGTTGCTATACTTAAGATGCGACGATCGAATACCATTTGCAATGGCACGCGCAGTCTCTAAGGTTCGAATGGCTGCTAAGTTGTCACAGACTTGGGTACCTGTGTCACCCGATGCCATCAACCCAGCAATGAGGGCGTGGCACTCGCATCGGGTGGATGTCATATCCGCCCAGTGCACCGCAATTCTGCCAATTTTGCGGACAGTTCCTGTACGAAGTCCCCATCCACTGGTGGCACTTGGTGTCCCCCCATGACATACACTCCTATCTCCTGCTGCAATACAATTTTCACAGTTGCGGAACTCTTCCCAATGCACCCACGGTCGACGATCAATTCGTACCGGGCGGGTGGTACACGTCTTGCAGTTAACATGATGCCACTCCAGACACACCGCGCACACTACGGCACCTTGGCGCCGATTGCACTGGCTACACGCTCGGCCGGAGATTGGAGTTCTTCTGTTGCCATGACTTCGTCATAGTTTCGCGACGATCGATTAAATGCTTCCCTGATTAAATCTCTGCTCATTACACCAATAACGCCCCCAGTAGATGTATCACTCCAGATAATCACTCGATCTTTGGCCGACCTACCTCCGCGTCGACGAAGATACACCACTTCTACTGGTACGCATATATTGGCTAGTTCCGATCCAATTTCACCTGGGCGTGGTTTCCACACACCGCTGTTGGGGCGCGTCTCCTGCCACCACTGACATTGATGTCTAGGCCATGATCATGGGGGTTGTCGCTTACTATATCGTCAACGCGTTTTCCAAGTTCATGACCGCGCATTTCCAATCCCTCGTCCGTGATATCAAATTCTCTCGCAATGAAAAACTGACCAGGGCCTACGTCCATCGAATGAATATGTAGATAACTTCTGTCTACTGGGATCCGTCCGACCGGCGTTATCAGCTCTCCGGTAGAGTTCTGGCACAGTACGGCTTTGATGTCATCATCTATCTCCTTGTAATCGCCAACTTGCTGGCGCGACCAGCGGAATTTTCGTTGTAACGAGGTCGGTTGCTCTAGCCGCGTATAAGATGTGTTGGCGATATCTCCAACATAGCGCACTTTGTGGGAGTACTTGAGGTTGTAGCGAAGTAGTAGTGCTCGGAGATCTTCTGTCAACTCGTTGCAAATTGGCCGATCGTTTGGTCGATTAGTCGTACAGGCTTGGGGGTTCTCCCAAGTAACATCCACCTTCGATCCAACTGCGACCACCGCGCGGATAGTTTGGTGGATCCAGCGCTGGAGGTGGCTGGGGGGGGGGTCATCGGCATTTGAAGCGGGTGGCACGTTAACCCGGATTGGATCTGGTACATTTCGAATGCCTCCGTTAGCAAGTGGTAGGCTGACAAGTGGGGTGAGTTCATCACTCGGATGGCTAGCTGAGCTCGTGCCACGTTACACATGTCTTCAAAGCTGGCGAGTCCAAGGCCCCGTGTCTCGTCGTGAAACACATCTTTAGGTGTGCTATGAGGTAGTTTAAGGACGTGCTTCGCCACCCGTCGAATTAGAATATCGACGTGCTTTGCAATCTTGTGGGAAGTATTTAGTTGCGCTCGATACTGTACGCGAGGTAGCCACACGTGGTTCACAATATACTGGAGTTGGTCATGGGTTAGCTGTAGGCGGGTTATTATGTCTGCCTCGCGTCGCAACGCATTCCACACAGGTGCGAGGGTTGCGCTCCATACGTCATCGGTGCTTTGGATAATACCCAGGTGCTTGAATCCCTCTGCTGGAATTACAATCGTCACCGCCCTCGGTTGGCCAGTGCCATCATGCAGGTAGACGGTGTTACTAGCGCTACGCTCGGTGGGCGTAAACTGGAGTAGAAACGACTTAGAAGCACCGAAAACCCCACCAGTTCCGTGAATTCCCGTAAAAACTTTTGAGACAGCGACTCGATGCTCAATGCCTGATCGGGTCGTTGCAACATCAATGACGTCGTCCACCAATACGGTAGAAGCGATCTGATGCGGCTCCGCGCCTTGCGAGTGCGTAATTATTACAGCATCAGGCCCTTGGTCTTGACGCTGCATCAAGACAGCCATGTAGTAGCCGATGAGCCGGATGGAGAGCACCGATCCCTGGCCTAAGCCGGATTCGCGCTTCCCGCTAGACACCCATCCAAACGCAGTCCGAATATCAATTTCACCAGGACCGAGAAATCCCATCAGAATGTCATATAAAAGTTTGGGACCCCACTTCGTTTGTAGATGTATGTATGTCACTACCCAACGTGGGATCCGGTCGTAAGATTTCTCACAATCTTTGCTTAACCCCATGCAGCTTAGATTTGAAGGTTTAAACTGCATATATGCAGTTTAAGCCAATTTTGACTTGAAATTTGTATGAGTGTCCTTTTCCCCGACACACCACTATACAAACGTCAATATAAAATTACGTTTAGTTTCTGTTCGCGCCTTTTTATTTTTCCATATGTCAAAGACCAGCGTTTGTCAAAATTCGGAATATAATGTTTGGCAAGGGCAAGGGGCCCACTGTATGATTTGAATAAAATTTGCAAGGTGTCGGACTGGGTGACTCACAGCGACTTCCATTTGCCGCTTTTGCAAAATCCGCCTCATTCGAGAATTTGCGTGGCCAGGGCTCAAGTCGGCAGAAGAATAAACAGAAATCACGGATGATCGTGCGAGACATCGGCGCTTGAGTACGGCGCTAACGGTACGCTCATAGCAAGCGAATGCTATACCTTATTGCTAACATGTTTTATTTGGTACATGTTGTTCTTCATGATAGCACTCTCCTGCGTGTGGTGCTTCTCTAGCGCTTGGTAAGTTTGGTCATTGGTCAGCGATGTCTGCGAGATTCATGCTTGCTGACAAGCTTTGGAATACTCTTGGTCCAGTTGTTTTTGCTGCTTACAGCTAAGCGTCTGCTGCTGCAGCTGTACAAGCTGTCGTACTCAGTCAAGCTGTTGGGCTCGGTCGTACTGCTCAACCCGCTGCATTCGTACCTGGCGTTCGAAGGCCTGGGGGAGAGGCCCACTCAGGATTCCGGTGCTCAAGGCTTCCGCGATCTTTCCGCGTTGATGTAAGCGGCGAAGACGACGGCTGGAGTTGATGCGATATGGCGTGCTCCGAACAATGGTATGTTGTATATCATGCTGTCCTGTATACTGCATTGCATGCAGTTTATTATACTTATGTTGTATCGTAGCCTAAATGAGCTAACCAGATTAATATTGATGCTGTTGGAGGAGACTACGGCGACCAAGCAGCCATGATCAGCCCGAAAACGAGCCCGCCTGAGTGAAGGCGACGACTCGAATGGGGTAGTAGCGAAATGGACGAGCCGAGACGAACTCTGGCCAAGCCAGAGATGCCGCTTTGGTGTTCATTGATATGACCGATGGGCAAACGAACCGAAAACTGGTATGGTTGGCGCTGCTAATGAGAAGGGCGAGAGGTAGTAACGTGAACGCTTCCAAACTAATATATGCAATTTGGATACATGCCGTTGCAGTCGTTGCGGTTCCCAGTATAGCGAGGCTTTGGATACCCGCACACATAGTTGTGAATGCAACTTTGTCTTTGTATGCTCCAATTAGCGAAACGGCTTGTAATCGCTGCTTTCCTGTTGACTGGATTGGCAAAGTCATGGCTTTGACATCGATCAATCTAAGTAGCAGCTAATTGAAGTATTCAACTGTAGAACTTCTTGCACCCATGGAGAAACCATGTGGTAAACTACATCCGCTCATTATATATATCATGCATGAATGCAGGTGTAGCGCTTTAGTGTGTGCTGTTAGTTGGGAAGGGTCCAGGCAACGAACTACTTCGGTGTTGAAGTCAACGAAATTTGACTTAGTGATCAAACTTGGTAATCCTCGTTGCTTTGTTGCTTCAACTACAGAATGACATGCTTCTGTCTGCAACGACACATCCTAACTTGCATCCTAGGTATTGTATTATGTACACAACGGTAACGTTTCACCTGATTACCCCCTGGATACTTTTCTGGACGTCTATTTCATTTGATGTTTGTATAGTGCATAGAATGTCTCCGGACGTGCCACAAGCTTGCAGAACGCCTAGAGGTGACACACCTACTTTGTATATAAGTGTTTGTATAGGAAGTTTCAAATTCCGATTTTTTGAAAATCGGAATTTATCGGGGTAGTACGGCTCCACCCACACGGTGACGCCATGCCTTCATGTATCCTTTGCGCAAGAACTTCCAAAGTGCTCGGTTGTTGATAACCGGTGTTGCAATCAGTTCTTCTGCTGGCTAGCTGGTCGGGATAAGCTTATCACTGAACTGGATCCCGTGCGATCCGCACACTTGGACAATGCCAGGAGCCAGCTTCATGATTCCCACAGGCCCAAGCGTTTCCACGAAGGTCACCGTCTCGTCGATGGAGAACGCTAGAATCAGCTGCGTAGACTTGAAACTTTCTTCGAATGCCACCCACTCTGCTTCCGAGTGGTGATGATCGAGCACTGCTTCTCCTTCGATGGCCCTGTCTCCGTTTCCGGTGTCACGTTGCTCCTCCTGCATCATTTCATCCTCTTGATCAGCGCCGTTGTCGTCTGTGTTGAGGCCCGCGTTCATGTCCACGTCCCCGCTTTGCTCGTAGCTACCTAGCGTTGGTTGGACCGTGTTTTCCGTAGTTCCCTCGTCACGTGGTCGCAGTCCTTCTAGTTGAAATACTCCTCCGTCTCGGGTTTTCACTGCTGCTTTGAGAACTTCTCCTGCCGTCACCTTCCCTTGCTTCCGCACAAATGTCGCTTCCGTCGTCACCTTCCGTGGGCTGCCTCTAACACGGGGCTTAGGCGAGGCAGGTGTCGGCATTTTGCTGAGTTTCTTCGGTTCTTTCTCGTCGCAAGGTGTACTCGTCGTAGATTCTTGTTGTTTGCGACCTCTGTCACTGGGTTTCTCTTTGGGTAGTTTCATTTTCTTCGTGTTCCAAAATAGATGCTTCTCTTCGTCTTCTCTCACTCTTGTTGACTCGGGCTTCGAGCGGAGTCTTGATCTCTTCTTAATCTCTGTACTCTGTATCCTTTGATCTTAATCTTCTTGAGGCCGGATGTGGGCCATTTCGTTGTTGTTCTGCATTTCGCCGTTCTCGTCTTGATCCTGGTGCAGTCACGTGGCGATCGGCAGATCGCACGCGCCGGAGTGCCTGGGCCGAGGTTCCCTCCGGTCGTCCGTTACACTCGCCTCTCTGTGGCAAATTGGAATCATTTTACGATGTAGATATGGACTTATTAATATATGTTATTAATAAAGGGTGGCAGCGGAAATTGTCCTCATAGTGCGGGTTTAATTCGAAGACCTATCCCACAAATCACAACATTACGATTATTTTAACAAAGTCGTGTTGTGCACGAAGAAGCTCTGAAATTGCGCATGTGGAGTCCAAAAAATTTTTAAAAAGTTTGCAGAACAATGAAATTAAAATTTCAATGTTCTGCATCTCACTCCCGCGAAGGTTTCCCCAGCTTTAGGTACTCGCCACTTTCTAGCAAAACCTCGACTATGCTTGTGGCGTTCGTCACTTGCTGACATATATTATACTACGTAGTATTGACTACTGCTAACAATAAAATAAGTTTTGACTTCAAATTAAATGTGAACGATAACTTCACCAGTCAATACTTAAGTATGAAGGGGAGTGCAAGTACCAGCCAATACTTAAGTATGAAGAAGAGTGCAAGTGCTTTCGGCATTGAGTTGAAACACGCTGTCCAGTTGCTTTCCATTGAAGCTTTCAACGAGCAATTACTGCTTCAGGTCTTCATCGAAATCCTGCGTCTTTGAAACCAAAAAAACTGTCAACAGCTTGTAAACCATCAACATGAGTCGTCGGCTTCGTACGAGTGGCAGACGTGCAACAGCAGCGGCGCCGTGCCCAGTATAAGTGGCGTGACGGGGTCCTCGCATGGGTTCCCCTTCATGGTGTTCACGACACCCACGTAGTCGTCCGCCTTGCTGCCCAGGGCCAGATTGTCGAAGGTGTACATGGGTCCGAGCTCGTACTTCTCGGCGCCGAGCGGCGTGTACCTCCTCAGTCTGCGTTGCTCCTCGCCCTCCCGAAGTCGGCGATGGTGGTAGCTCTTCCTCTTCATGAATTAATTCACAGACTGGAACAGTGGGAATGCCACGGCCCGCAGCGCGTCCCGAGTTGTCGCTGCTGTACCCCGAGCTGCCGAATCTGAAGCTCACGCGGCCCATAATTCTGTAATGATCCCCGCTACGCTGCACGCGAACACGTAGGATGCTGCCCGCCGGCAGTCCCTCGCCCACGTTGACGGGTCCGCGCGGCGATTTGTTGAAGCTCCCTGCACCTGAATCCAGAACATGTGGTGCTTGCCGGCGATCAGCGCCGCGTAGCTCGAGCTGCGTGCAACGAGGAAGAGCGTGCGCTCCGCCAGCAGATCCGCCTCAAAGGCGATGGGTGTGCACGAGTTCATATCCATGTCCTTGCGCTGGCGGGCCTCCAGCTGCTCCTTGTCCTCGTCTTCGCTGTGCTGCTCCTGGTCCTGGTCGCGCTTTTGGTGGGCGCGAGCAGCAGCTCGTTGTCCCCTCAGTAGATGCGCAGAACGGACAGCTCCTGCTCCGGCATGCCCGCGTGTTGCAACTGCAGTGAGCTGCCGTGCACGTGCTGAGGAAGAGATGAAAACGAATTCGGTTTGTGTCGATTAGCTGGGTTAAATGAAAAGTTTCATTTATCCCAAGATATCCCAAGAAAAACACCCATAATAAATTACCGTTTAAATTACTTGCAATCGCAGGTTGCGCGAAGATGGACGCGTCGCCGACAGGGTCAACATTCACGTGGGCGATTCATAAAGACTACACCTTTGCCCAGCCTTAGTTGTCTAATCCGCATCCAACGTTGTCAGCGTTTATTGCCAGCGGTTGGGTGGGAGTGAGGTACCCGAATTAAGGGGTACCACTCTCCTTAGTGCAAGCGAAGTAGTCTAATCCCCAATCGAAGTTGTCGGAACTGACGAGAACCTGACGTGAAGTTCCCGCGCGCGCGAAGTTGACCAAGACTTCGTGCGTGGCGCGCTCACTCCTCAATCTACCCAGCATCGCACGAGTGCTATAGCATCTGCCGGGACTGCGCGACGACGGCTTCAGCCATGAGCGACAACGTGATGCGAGCCAACGAGAACGTGTGGTCATACTGCTGCTAGCGCTTGCGTCCACCGCTGTTATTGCTCCTGCGCAGCGCGATGCTGGGTAGATTGAGGAGTGAGCGCGCCACGCACGAAGTCTTGGTCAACTTCGCGCGCGCGGGAACTTCACGTTAGGTTCTCGTCAGTTCCGACAACTTCGATTGGGGATTAGACGACTTCGCTTGCACTAAGGAGAGTGGTACCCCTTAATTCGGGTACCTCACTCCCACCCAACCGCTGGCAATAAACGCTGACAACTTTGGATGCGAATTAGACAACTAAGGCTGGGCAAAGGTGTAGAGGTATACGATATTAAAGGTTTTCCATTATGCATTGGTTCAAGGACTCTTTACTTTGTAGACTTATATTTAATACTTTCGGACAATCAGACCCTTTAAATTACGAAGGCTGTGTTTTTTTAACAAAAAACTTTATTTATGAAGTTTAAGAACTGGGTGACCCGTACAGCAGGGGAGGGGCCAACGATTATGGCCTTCTTACTATCCCAGCAGTACCTACAACCCCGCTTCTTGTATTAGCTTCGGCAATATCCGCAGTGGAAGGTGGGACATGAAGAAGGTCTTGGTGTTGCTAAGCATCGTGATAGGAGGTGTTATTGTAGGGGTTCAGCATCGTGCTACCGCCACGTCCTACTGTACTTCACAAAATAAATGCTTTTTAATATTTCAAAACTGCACTCATCTTAACGAAAAAATGGCCCCGATTTTTCCTAAAACTGCAGTTTTTGTTAAGATTTTGAAAGGAAAAATTATCATTGGTAAAAAAAAGACAAACTATGAATTTTGACTAATGAAATTTGCTAAACTATATTCGGCGTAGGAGTGTACCGTCTCGTCATATTTTCAGTGCTGAAGCCAAGATCTAGCACCGATGCAATGTATTATTCGTGTAGCATGTCATTTGGCGTCATCGTCGGAGATGGTGCTCCCCCATTAGCGATAGATAAGTCGGGGCTTGAACTTGTGAGCAACCACGACGGACTTCAGATCGAACTTCCCCTCGATTGAATTAGTCTTGCAGCTAAAATTTATTCGTGATATATGAAAGAATGGGCGCTGAGGCAAAGGTATGTTATTCTCTGAAATTTATTTCAGAGTCTACCGGTGATACCACTTTCCGCGCTATTTTTATGTATCAGAGTTTAGCGACACCCTCTTTGCTTAAATGGTAGATCGATATTTTTATCATATCCAAAGCAAAAGTCTGATCGTGTGTGCGATCACGTCCTGCATTCAGCTTGGAGGAGGAGGAGGAAAAAGATAATGGTGTGGCTCAGAAACACTTGCAATTTATTTACACAAGACGAAACTCAATTACAACTAACGACATTAAACGCGTCTCGCATGCAGAAGCACCGAAGCTCGCTCATTCCACCGAGCGGAGCTTGCGGTATCCCTTCTGAGCCGTAGCGCCTGTGCCACCGGTTCCGGTCTTCCCACTATCGCTAGGGCCGGCACTCGGGCCTCCACTCGGGCCTCCGCTCGGACCACTCGGGTCACCACTTGGGCCTGCGTTCCCACCACCGTTCGCATTTGCCCCAGCAGAGGCTGTCGCAGTCGCACTCGTCGACGCGCCGCTAGTGGTCTTCGACGTGGTCGCAGTAGCGGTTCCGTCGCTGTTCGTCGACGTGACCGTCTTGGTGACCGTGCTACCGTTGCCTCCTGGGCCAGCATCAGCGTTGGCATTGGCGTTCGCGCTGACTGTGGCAGGTGCACCGGCGTTGGCGTTGGAGATTGCAGGTGCGCCGCCGACTGCGGGACCGCCAACAACTGCGGGGCCACCACCAACAACGGGGCCACCAACGCCCACACTGGGAAGACCGACTCCGACGCTGGCAATGCCTGGCACGCCGACACTGACGCCGGGGCCGACGACGCCTGGACCATACACACCGGGGCCCACGCCGACGCCAACTCCTCCCAGGCCTACGCCAACTCCTCCCAGGCCTACGCCAACTCCGTGGAGGCCATGAAGGCCGAGCAGACCGAAGGTCTCGGCCACCTGCTTCTCACCGTTCACTCCGCTTGAGAGGGCCACGGCGGCGATGCACATGGCGAAGATCTTGCTGCTGCTGAGCATGGCGATAGAAGACGGAAAACTGGGCTGGGGTGTAGATCAGCTAGCGGGGATTCGTCTCGAGTGGTTTGTGACCGCTCGAGGGTGAATTGGAGAATGAGACGTAAGTTCCGGAGCGCGTTGGACGACTCGGCACCTCGCAGCGCACAGCCAACTCAGCAGCCGAAAAGCCGCGCAGGTGCTGCCAACGAAAGCCTCGTGCAGAACGCGGCACGATAGTGTACCGGTATCTATCGTCGATGAACGATGTTGACCATCTAGTCTGCGTAAAGCTCAAACTCTGTTCACCAGGGCAGCACGTGTTGGCCGGATGTCATTCGTTCGTGTGGTGGATCGGTCGATAATCGTAGTCTTGTCGGTTCATCTGATGCATTGATTGGCTCCGCTGTGTGAACCAAACTTCAACTTCAGGCATACAAAGTTCAGTACAAACGGGGACACACCGATAGGAGGTACAGAAAGCACCTACAGTACTTGAAGTAGATCCGTCGATTGTCTTCCAGCACGCTAACGGGCTAACGCAATGGCCATTATCGTAGAGCAAGTGAAGAAATATTACTAGCAGTGTTAATTGTCCCAACTGATATTGACGGTTGTTGCTGCTTTATACAATCGGCACACGTATAATCGCGCTGGGAGTCCTTGTCTGAGCACTTCATCATAATGAAGTCCACCTGGATCGAGCTGCATGGTGCTGTAGGTCGTGCAACGCCGTATGGGGGCCAGATCTTAGAAGACAAATGTTATCTTCGAGAGTGAATCAATTGAAGAAGTCCGTCACATTTGGCACGGCATATGGCACCACCTTAAACGAGCAAGTATGGATACATGTATTATACCAGTGCTCTGTGTCGATGGAGTCCGGCCACGCCAACTCGCCTTGCTCGCTCATTCTCCAATTCACTCTCTCAAGCCAGCTCCCACCTCCACTACAACAACACCTCCAACCATCATGCTCAGCAACACCAAGACCTTCTTCATGTGCATCGCCGCTCTGGCCCTCTCAACCGGAGTAAACGCAGAGGCGCAGGTGGCTCAGACGCTGGTGGGCGCCCGTTCGTTGGCGTTGGCGTCCCCGGTGTAGCAGGCGTTGGCGTGGGCGGTCTGGGTGTCTACGGTCCTGGTGTCTATGGCCCTGGTGTCGGCGTCTATGGCCCCGGCTACGGCTACAACGGGTACGGCTACAATGGAGTGGCCCCTGCGGCGGCCTACCCGAGCAACGGCGGCGGCGCAACGGCAAGTGCGTCTGCGACCGCGAATGCACTCAAGCTCCGCTCGGAGGAGGAGGAGTAAATGGACCAAGCCCGTGACAATCTGCAGCTCGACTGGTGAGTGACATCCAAACGCGTGCGTGTGGTACAGTAGCACAGCTCGCAGTCGCTTGTGTGAGCGCACACACATCCATCCCGGCGGAGCTTGAGCGCTCCACGTAGGGTGTAAATGTTTATGAGTTTAGTCTTCGTTTGCGTAACATGCAATACAACGAGTATGCACCCCGTTCGTAGGCTTCAATGAAATCCTGCCCCAACACCGTTCACCCTAGCCCCTACCGGAGTTTGACTAGCTTACCCTAGGAGTCACGCACTCTTTGGTGGTAGCCAAACTTGTCATCCTTGAATTTATGCAGGAGTGTCAACAATGCATCTGCGCGGAAACCGGAACCGAGCTAATCCGTTCTAGCTAGCGGTTCGTGGTCAGTTTTCAGGCACATGAATATAAAAGTAGGTCGTCGAGGCACGCATACACATTATTGAGAGCCACAATGATCAGTAAGACACGCGTTTATTGCTTATGCACTACAAAACTCATCTACATCAACCAGCAAGAGCACTTGCCGTGACCACACGTGGGGAATTTATCGTCTTCCGGCCGGACGGTTGCTCGCTCGCAGATTACTCCGATCGAAGGCTGCGGTACGTCTTAGAAGGTGTTGAACCGGCGCCAGTAGCCCCAGTTCCGCTGGTCGGGGACCCAACCGTGGGCGCTCCTGCTGCGGAGCCAGCCTTTGAACTGCTCGTCTGTGGCGTGCCGGTCTTCGGTGTTGTGGCCGTGTTACCTGAAGCGCCGGTTGCACCTGTAGCCCCGGTTCCAGTGCCGGTGCTAGTGCCAGTGCCGGTGCCGGCAGTACCTGTGCTAGTAGCTCCAGGCGCGTGGACCGTACCCGGGCTGCCTCCCGCACCCGGGATCATCTTGCTGAGACTGGAGAAACCTCCACTCATGCCCGGAAAGCCGCCACCGGCGCCGCCCATTCCGGACATCATCTTGCTGAAGTCGGGCATGCCGCCCATTCCACCGCCCGTGCCGCCCATTCCAGGCATCATCTTAGAGAAGCTCGGCATGCCGCCAGTGCCGCCCATTCCGGACATCATCTTGCTGAAGTCGGGCATACTGCCCATGCTGGGGAGACCGCCGCTGGTTCCGCCGGTGCCACCCATACCGGGCATCATCTTGGAGAGGCCCGATAGTCCGCCGCCCATGCCACCGGTCGTACCACCGCTACTGTAGTCCTGCGCGACTTCCTTGTCGGCATGCACACCACTCGTGATGGCTACAACTGCGACGACCAGCGTGAAAACCTTGGTGACGTTGATCATGGTGAAGGCTGGAGTGACGAACAAAGAAACCTTGGAGAACCTCTTGTCGCGCACGCAGCCGCTTGAGTAATGCAACTGCGAGGTGAAGAGGGCGAAATTGGAAATGAACCAAGTGGACGAGCACCCTTGTGCCTGGAATCCGTGTGCGGCGGGCGAACAGCGTAGGATGGGGAAATAGTGTCGGTGTCGGTGGGAGTGCATGGTATCAAGGAAACACGTGCACGCTTGTGTTAGAGCACCATGGGCCAGCGACTTGTGGCTCCTGCGGGCCCTCGGCAGGCTTGCTGGGTAAAGTCCGCCTAAAGCTCGGCACTTTACTGTCGGACGTTAGGTGGTCCAGACCACCTGGTCGGTCTTATCCGATAGCCGACACTGGGATCGATATAGCTGAGCGCGGACTGTCGTACGTGATGGCGGGCACCAAGTGAGCTAACTATATGCATTCGAGGCATCCCCCTGTTTGCTGTTCGAGCAAATTGTACGAACAATGTGCGTGAATCGACCTTGTAGCGGGTGACGGTCACTACCACGCGATCGGTAGCATCCACTGGATGGATGCTAATACCCATGGCGATGAGAGATGCGGTCTACAGTAGTTGGTAAAGGCTCACGTTGAGAGTGGGTTGATACCTAGCAAAGTGCACATGTAGTGTATATAGGGGCTACGGCCGGAGCTTTGGCAGCATTTAGGTCCGCTCATGCCAATACGCATATTTCTTAGACAACACGGTTATATGTTGTCGCTCACAAACGGAGACTAAAACTCATATACATGTATTGTACACCTTGAAACGTCAAAGCTTCGTGGGGTAGACGCCTGTGCACCAGCGCATCGCGAAATGAATGTCTTCACTCTTGGACGTCGCTGAGTACGCTGCGTTGGTTGTTCGAGGTGAGCTTGGTCCATTTACTGAACCGAGCGCAGCGTGCGTCTCGCATTCGCAGTCGCGGTTGCCGTCGCGCCGCCGTTCGCAGCCGGGTAGCCACCGTTCACCACGGTTCCGCCATTGTACCCGACGGCAGGATTAACTCCAACGCCAACAACTCCAGGAACACCAACGCCGACGGCCGGGCCGACGACGCCAGGGCCGTAGACGCCTGGACCGACTCCGACGCTAGCGACGCCGGGGACGCCCACCTGACGCCCGGGCCGCCGACTATAGTTTCGGTCACCTCTTTCTCGGCGTGAACACCACTTGAGAGAGCCATGGCGGCGATGCACATGACGAATAACTTGCTGCTGCTATACATGCTGGAAGCTGCTCGGTGTAGTGGTAATGGAAGCTTGTCGAGTCAAGTTATTGTAGCTTGAGCGGGTGAATTTGAGAATGTGATGGTCGACAAGACGAAAGGGTGATGTTCATTTGTCTGGGAAGCTACCAACCTTGGTCAGCTAGGCGCTTGATGAAGATCCTGCTTCGTTCATTGATCAGGGCTAAACCTGACTTCAGGAGGCCACGAGAGAACGGTGTGTGGTAGCAACCGGTCAGACAAGTGGTTAGTCTGCGTGTGGCCGGAAATGGCTGTAAGCTATGGATAAGTTATGCGTTTACGGGCACCCAAATGCATTCTCAAAACAGGTTTCTCGCTGAAGAATCTTTGCAGCGTCATAGATTGTACATCTTCTTATCCGATTTTGTGGCGATGCTGAAGCAGACACTTCATCCAAGCACTTGGGGCGTTAAGCCACCTGTTGCTGCACTTCACAAGCAAACACTATTATCCTATAATAATACCGGTGCATTACCATTAAAAAGGGGTAAGAGGCGCAGCGTGATGGTGTTCTTATCCTTTCGAATGCTTCACCTCCATACCAAACTAAACTCGATCTTCGCTGCAGCGGATGGCCCTAGCTACAGCACCGCCACTAGTGATGCAACAGCTGACATGTCTTCTAGTCAACCCGGGTCTCAACGGAAGTGGCAGTGAGTCAGACCCAAAACGAAACAGTCTGACAACACATTTTTAAAGCATCACAAGAGCATCGCATTTCCAAATCCACCTTCGTCACAACGTCTCGGTCTTCGGCATCGGATAAAGTTCTCACCAAGCAATGTTCGGCAGAAGCAGTCTCGTCGTGTTATTCGCCGCTGTCTTGACGCTTTCAAGCGGAGTACAAGCTCAGTTCGGCTTCCCTGGTATGGGAGGAATGGGCGGCATGGGGGGCATGGGCGGCATGGGGGGCATGGGCGGAATGTCCAACTTCATGAAGATGATCCCTGGCATGGGTGGCGGCGGTACTAGCGGCGGAGGCATGGGAGGCTTCCCTGGAATGGGCGGCATGGAGGCATGTCAAACTTCATGAAGATGATGCCTGGCATGGGTGGTGGCGGTGGCTCGCCAGGCACTGTTCACGGCGCTGGAGGAGCGTCGGGATACCGTCGTAAACTTCGCTCGGAGTGAACGAGTCGAGACGCTAAGTTTCGTTGTCTGTGTACGCCCGCAACGTCGTAGGGCTTCTATGTCGCGGATGTACAGTCTACAGTAGTTAGTCGACTTTCTTACGATCGTAGTAGGAAAACAGTGAACACGTTATTTGAAGCAACTACGAGTGCAGTTGAAAGTTTGCCATTGTTCGCTTTATCTCTCAGTTGTAAGTCATTGCGAAGAATTCAATAACAGGACAGCTCGAACGTTGAGGATTCCACCTCATGTGTTAAGCAAGTATCCGGCGATGCGAGTCTGTACCAATCAACGAACGAACGGTCTACTTACTCCTCCTGCACGAAGTCGTCGGCGGCCAGCTCGCCGCTGTCCGTGATCACGACTTTCTTGCTGGGGGTGCCGCTGGGGGAGCCCACGGCCTCGATGGCGTCCAGCACGTCCATGCCATTGATGACGCGGCCGAACACGACGTGGCGACCGTCCAGCCACGAGGTCTTGACCGTGCAGATGAAGAACTGGCTGCCGTTCGTGTTGGCGCCCGAGTTGGCCATGCTGAGCGTGCCCTTGCCGGCGTGCTTGAGCTTGAAGTTCTCGTCCGGGAACTTCTCGCCGTAGATGCTCTCGCCGCCCATGCCGTTGAAGTGCGTGAAGTCGCCGCCCTGCACCATGAAGTTGGGGATGATGCGGTGGAAGATGCTGTCCTTGTAGTGCAGGGGCTTGCCGCTCTTGCCCTCGCCCTTCTCGCCCGTGCACAGCGCGCGGAAGTTCTCCACCGTCTTGGGCACCGTCTTGCCGTAGAGGCCCATGACGATGCGGCCCGCGGGCGCGCCGTCGATGCTCACGTCGAAGTAGACCTGGTTGGTGATCTTGGGGCCCTTGCCCGCCTGTACGGCCAGCACAAGCGCCGTCAGGCACAGCGCCAGCAGCGAGAACGTCCACTTGGCCATCGCTATCGTCTACTGGTGACTCTGTACAGCAGCTGCAACTATGGGGAATGTGCCCTCAACAGCAGCGTCCAGCCTGGATCAACGTTTTTACGTAAAAAGGAAGAGTAATTACGTCTTCGTCAGTGACGTCACTGGTACCAAGGAATCGGTACATGGATACACAGGTCAAGTTGAAGCCCAAAGGCACCTTGTATGAGTTGCTCACGCCACAACACTACGTGAGTGAAGTGCTGAGGTTGGTGCGTGTATTTGACCGCCTGCCGAACACCTCGGGCTGGGCCGTCCTGCTATTTCAAGCGCCCGAACGCGACGGCGGGCGGTTTCTCCTCTTGCCAAATTGGCAATGCCAATGCCGCGTCGGTTCATTTTGCTAAACGCTCCAAGCCGAAAGAAAGGCGAGGCAAGCTCCAAGAAACACTCCTTTGACGTGAGCTGCTCGCCATGGACGACAAGATTCAGGATCCTCTGGTCCGCGCGCTGGCTGAGTACATCAAGATGCCACAGTTCCAGCGCCAGTTCGAGCAGTTCTTCCTGGATCACGCGCTCACGTTCACGGACGACTTGGAGCACCAGCTCGCCTACATGACCATCTACATCGAGTTCCAGCACATGTTCAACGAGCACATGACGGGTAGGCTCAGCTCTGGGGTAATGCTCTTGATACACCTACTGATAGTATTTGTCGCTAGCCTTCCTGACGCAGCAGGGAGTATCAGAGGACGAGTTTGCGGAGCATTATCAGAAGGCGATGAAGGCAGACCCGAAAGCGGAGCAATACCTCGAGATCGTGATCGCGTCAATGGACTACGACGCCTTCTACAGTCTCATGAAGTCGATGCGGGCGCGGGCGTCGGTCGAGAACCACCGGGCGGACGCAAAAGACTGCGATACCAGGGCCTGCGGAAAGCGCGAGAGCTCGGAAGGGAAACTTAGCAAGGACGAACAAGGCCCCGAGGATGTCGAGGACGAGGGCTTAGCCAAAGGAGCGAAGGCTGTTGCTGCCAACAACGACGATAAGGAACTGGATAGCAAAGATAGCAAGTAGACACCAGAAAGTAGTTAGTTAAGACGAGACTGCTTGAATTGTGGTATGCAACTACGCCCACTGCGTGGCTAGTTAGTTCTGAATAAAAAGGAAGAGATTTCAATAAAGCGGCCTACAGCATTTGCTTAACAAAGCGCGAGCTCAGACCGAGAACTTGATAATGACAGCGATGATGGCGAGTACCGCTGCGAAGCCAAGCGACTTCAGGATGCGCATGTGCAGGCGGGTGAACGGGTACATGGCGATGCTCAGAATGAACTTCTTGGCTGGGGTGTATGGTGCGTAGCGCTGCGGAAGATCTAGCATTCCATTCTTGTAGATCACCGTCTTGTAGTGGGAGAACGCTTCGAAACCATGGTGGCCGTGGTAGGCGCCCATACCGGAGTTGCCGACTCCGCCGAAAGGGACATGAGCGTTCGAGAGCTGCATGAGGACGTCGTTCAGCATCATACTGCCAGCGGAGGTCTCATTCACCACCCGCTCTTTGTTCGCGCCGTTCGAGCTGAAGTGATAGAGCGCGAGTGGCTTCTCACGCGCAGTGATAAAGTTGATGGCCTCGTCCAAGTCGCCAGCACCATAGTAGTAGATTGGCAGCAACGGGCCGAAGATCTCCTCACTCATCGACGCGCTGGATACAAACGAGTCGAAGTTCGTGCGGAAGTTCAACAGCGTGGGCGAGATGAAGCGCTGCTTGTCGTCGCTGTCCCCGCCGTAGCTCACATGCTGGCGGTCCTTCTCCAAGATGAGCGCCAGACGAGCGTACATCCGCTGGTTGACAATGCGCCCGAAGCTGTCCGACTCCTTCACGTTCTCGCCGCCGTATTGCGCAGCCACTTCTTCCTCCAGCAACTTAATGAACTGGTCACCGATCGTCGCGTCCACCAGCAAATAGTCCGGGCGGACGCATGTCTGGCCCCCGTTGACGAAGGCTCCCCACGCGATACGCTTCGCCGCGAGCTTCAAGTCAGCTGTACCGTCGATGATGCACGGGGACTTGCCTCCGAGCTCCAGCACCGTCGGCGTCAAGTACTGCGCGGCCGCCTGGGCCACGATCTTGCCCAGGAAGTTGCCGCCCGTGGCGAAGATGAGGTCGTAGCGCTCCTGCAGCATCTTCTTGGTCTCCTCCACGCCTCCGTACACCACGCGCACGTAGCGCTTGTCCATGTACTTGTCGAAGAGCTGGATCAGCACGTTGTTGAGGTGGCGCGTGGTGTCGTCCCCCGGCAGACGCACGACGACGCAGTTGCCGGCGCCCAGCGCGGCTACCAGCGGCATCAGCAGCAGGTTCACGGGGTAGTTCCACGTGCCGATGACGCACACGACGCCCAGTGGCTCGGGGCGCACGTACGACAGCCCCGGCAGGTTGACGATGTTGGTGGGCTTGAGCTTGGGCTTGGCCCAGTCGTCCACGTAGTCGATATAGTCCTGGATCTCGGCCTTGAGCAGCGACACCTCGCAGGCGAACAGCTCCAGCGGGTGCTTGTGCAGGTCCTTCCACACGGCGTCGCTGATGAGCGCCTCGTTCTCGTCCACGAGCCGCTGCAGCGCGCGCAGCAGCGACCGGCGCGTGCGCACGTCCTTGGTGGCGCCCGAGGCGAAGCTGGCGCGCAGAGCCTGCACGTCCGCGTGGGTGTCTTGCTTGGCAACATCCGGCAGCGGCGGCACGTCCGTCGTGGAGCCGTACATGTCGGTAGCGTCCGAGATGGCCACGTAGCTGGCGGGGTTCTGCGGGGTACTGGGCTGATTGGCGACTGGCGGCATGGCACTGCGGTGAGAGGAAACGTGAAAAATCGAAAATGATCACGGTACGGTCGTTGACGTGAATGTCGTGATGGAGGGCGAACATGATTGGTCCGGCGATTAATTATTTGGACTCGACTGGCGATTGGCTGTAAATGGGATGATGACGTTGAAGTGAGCTTCAACGTTGACCCAGACAGACTTCACATTCACCCTAGGACCTAGGGGCCTAGGTCAGAAGTAGCCCTTGGGGAGATGGAATCCACGCCCGTGGGTATTGCTGGGCTGATCACTAAAAAGACCTGAAACACCTCCATACCTTTGTCTCCCATCGTGATACAGCAGACATTGTTCTCGCCCACCACTATGGCTGGCCAGCATACCAGTGCATCTCTCGATGATAATTTCCATCAACACTGCTAGAAAACCGGTGTGCTGATGTTTTCATCCCGCAGCGCTGTAGCCAGGTTCCCCTGCAACGGTGCGAACCTTGTGCCACTTGCACACGAAATTGTGTGGTGGCACGCGCCTTTGAAAGCCACCTAGATCGTTCAAACCGGGGTGCTGTCGATCCACTTGATGTCCCCGCTATTGATCTTGCTGCGGGTTATTTACACGCACGCAAACGTCCGTGTAATAGTGTCGTTCATGAACGGTTGGCTTCGCAGAAAAGCACCCAGCTCGCTTCACACTGCTCGGTGGATATGCATCCACATGCATAGGTATCTTAATGGTAATAATAATGTTGAGGTGTATTGAGTTACTGGCTCACGCCGAACGTCTAATACCCCTTCTGCGTCGAAAGAATAGGTATCTTTATGATGTCAGTAGATAGCTTTGATGCGCTGCTGTCTATACCTGATCGGTCGGAGAGCGTGCTACAAGCTCACTTTCTTGTCCCGCTCGTTCTTGGGATCTTTGGCTCCAGGATTACCGCTTTCTAGAACTCCCAGCGGTTCTTCTAAAGATAGCAGGTAACACAGCAGCACGGCAGACGTAGAACTCTTTCGCCAAGGCGATTTACTTCTCACCGGGCGTAATGATTTCTCGACGATTGCCCTTGCTCAAGTATCTCGATGTGCACCACCAACGCACATCGGAGCTTGCAAGTAAGATGACAACGACGATTAACAAGAAAACAAGATATATATCCGATACAGACCGTGGACGGCTGGACAAGAGTGCTTTCCGTAGCATTTGTAGCAGTCAGCCGCTCCTACCCTTGCGATGCGGTGTCGTTCTATTATGCGATTGATTGGAGCCTAAGGTATTTTGGATGTCCAGCCATCACACATTTTCTTCCTAGATCGGACTTTACATGCATTCGTCGCTATTGCGCTACCTTTGCCGTTGCCGTTGTTGGTAGAACTGTTCCAAGCGGCACGTATTCGCGGTTGCATTGGCGGCTTACAGGTTTTGCATTATCAAAATGCTCGTGCCTGGGGGAAACCCAAGTAACTCCCACCCACGTCAGCCATAGGTAAACTTTAACAGGAAGAAGTGCTGTCTTGGGGGAGGGCGTGCGGAACTAAGAGTGCCGCCCCCGCAGTTCAGGCGGGATGGGTAGCAAAAAACCAATCCGATTCGATTGATTGGATCGAGACGGATCGTGATCGCATTTAATCGGATTATTTGATTTGTAGATCAATGCCGACTCCATCGGATCGAGTCGACAAAGCATCGACATAGCTGACGAAACACGGACTCATTGGTTGAAATTGGGGTGATATTGCCCCTCGCAGATGTGATGCTATCAATAGTCGATATCACAAAACAAAAACGAAGAGGCCTCCCGCTTACTGGCCTCGCAAGTTGCGAGGCCTCGCAACTTGCGAGGCCGGCTACACCCAGAAGGGCGTTGAGGTGTTCAAATGCCCCAAAGCGACCAACATCTGCAAAGAACCCCGAGCCGATGCTGGACGGCATGTCGCTGTACGACGCGGCCTGCAGCTTCACCAACCGGTACGGCACGCCGCAGCCCATTCCGACCAACGCCAATGCCATCTTCTCTCACGGTCTCATCCACACAGGTTCGTGCGAGTTCTGACTCGGCGACAAGAAGTTGCTGTACGCCGACGATTGCTACAGCGAGTACTGCCACTTGAACGTCAACGTCAAGACCGAGTCCTCCATCGACTACTTGTCGTGCGAGAACGGCGGTTGCAAGATGATGCGCGCTTCTACTCGATCGGCTGCCAGACGCTTGACGACACGAAGACCGTGTGGCAGACTTACAGTACGTTGGTTGCCACTTTGTGTATGTGGTGGTGTGTGTGTGAATAGCTGAGCTAACGGGCTTTTGTGTCACTGAATGCGCTCTACTGGTGAGCCAGCCTTGCGCTGCGGATTGCGTCATTGCTGGTCCAGTGAAAGCGTCACGCTTTAACGTGCCGTCTTCGAGCAGGTTCTGGACAAGCTTAACTACAACATGCAGCGTGAGAACCAGCGTCGCAGCTCGTGCAACAGTCGATTCTCGGTGGGCGTAGCAATGCGCGAGCGAGATCCGCTACCCGCCACAGCTCCGACGGCCAAGACGACCCTGTACAAGGTCCGTGCCAGGGGCACCGACGTCTCCGTCCGCGTGCCAATCACACGTCACGACTCCACGAACCAGGCGCTTGCGCTCAAGTGCATGCCCAAGGCTCTTATCGTTGAGAACTACCTGCAGAAGAACGTCATCTACGAGAAGGGCATCATCGCCGAGTGCGACCGCCCGATTACCTTCAAGCTGCGCGAGATGTACCAGGAAGCCAACCAAGCAAGTGGAAAAGACACCTCAGCCATTGGCATTGTCCGCAGAGGAGACAGGTGGGTCGTGTAGGAGGATCTCGAGGAGCTGTAGGAGTGTTTTGCTTCCAAAGTGCAGTTTTGTCAATCAATGGATATCATTACGTTCTCGTTTCAGAAAAAAAAGCTTGTAAAGTGGTCGCAAGTCTGCACAGAAGCGATTTGGCCTGTTGTTCGGGATTCTTGTGTTAAGCCTTTCGTAGGCGTGCTGGGCACGAATGACGCAGGCGTATGGAAGTTGACAAAAATGTCATCAGTTTTGGTATGTTGCAGAGGAAAATAGATGATGGCTTTTACATTGCGGAGAGTGCGCTGATTGTGCGGAAGCCGGTAAAATTGGAAATGGAGGGATCAAGAATAATTCAAGACACTGGGCGCGTTCGAGTTGCAAGCAAACGCATTTGTGTACTCTCAGAGCACGCTACGATAACAATTTGCGACTCAGTGGACTCGGGACAACCTCGAGACATGCATGTGCTTTGAATACTAGGTTCACGGGATGGTCTAGCGCAAGACCTTGCCACTAATTGATTAACGACGCTAAAACCAGCCGACTCGAGTCAACAAGACATGAATTCGCTGATATCGCGAAGCATACACGCTCATTTTCGTGAGCACAACCCGGCTTGAAGCTGCAAATTCCGTGGTCAAAAGTCCAACGCGAGAGTTTACGGTTCGAAATTATCGCATCGCCACCACAAACAAACATAGTCACCAGGAGATAGCCGTATAGTTCGCCAATAACCAGAAAACAATACAAGATTTTCAAAATCTAATGCAGCTGATGCAGATACAGACAAACTGGAAGCCACAAAATACCAAGCACCAGCTACCCGGTTCTCTCTGTTGCTGGGAAATCCTACAGGTAATGATGACCACCATAAATTAGTTGTCTTTGCTCGCAAGAAATAGCTCACAGTCTCAGCGAGGAACCACTACCTAATCGCCCCACTGCTCGTTTTCCGCGATTTTCCACTTTCAGCTTGTTGAGACGGCGACCCGCTCATATTCGCCCTGAAACACGATGAGGGCACCATCACTTCGACATCACCGAAAGAATTGAGTTGTCGTGCTCTGCTGCGTACTTGACATTCAATACGGCGTCAATGCGCCGGTATCGATAAAGTCGTAGGACATGCGCAAGATTGTCATTTCTAGCGACGCAACCAACGTGCAGTCGCTTAAAATTTGCATTTCGCGTCGCCATACCCTCCTGCGTCACTACATTTCGCACGAAACAACAGCCAGATAGGCTTTGAGTCCGACAACCGCATTTCGGTAGCGATATCTGCGTTGAAAACATTGTTAACCTGCCTGGATAAGCAGACATGTTTGACAACAGTGGCCCCGCCACTTTGAAATCGCACACAATCGGGAACAGTTCCGCCTCGTTTCCCCTAGTCGTTGCCCCTCTTCAGTCGCAAAATTATCAGGCAACGCTCCGCCTCTGCGGAGACTCTCGAGCAGCGCTTCGCATCCCTGATTCAGACCCCATGGAGTGATAAATTGGAGCTGCGCTTCGCCTCGTTTCGATTGGAGATACACACCTTCGAATCACTTCAACTTGCGGCAGCACTTCGCCTCGTTGCGTCGGGTGTCCAGGTGCTAAATCATCGGACAGCGCTTCACCTCGTTGCGATTGAGCAATTGGAGATAGCTCCTCCTTGTTTCGTTAGAGTGGCCGCCTCACAGAAGTTGTGGTGGTTTGAGCAGCGCTTCGCCTCGTTTTCCAAGGCTTTGAGAGCGGTGTAACTTCACAGCGGCACGATTATCCGCTTGTCTCTGTGCGCCATGTGAGCGAGTGCATCATACCGCGCGATGTCGATACATGCTCTTCGAGCTCGTCCAAGGCGGCGAGCCAGACTTCGTTTGAGATGATTCTGCGCAAAAATGGTATTGTGTTCCTAGAGTGCAACGCGGTTGCTTTACAAAAGCTTACCACATATCAAGTTGCAGCAGAAGCGCTATGTACTCGTCATAAATGTAAAGAGCTCATCAAAGGCGAATTGGATCGATAGCATTATGAACGATTGCGACTCTTACAGACTTAAAGCCACTGCGATCACCAACACACTAGCTCTCAGTCCAATTAATGTCTACTGGTTCAGTATGGACATCACCCGAGGTAAGGTTGAAGGCAAGAGAATGCTGCATCTCCATGATCGCTGTAACAGCATCGTCAGCAAGTCGAGCTCGTCGAGGCGTAATCGTCGTTCCAGATGCAGAGAATGCTTCCTCGCTAGGCACCGAAGTAGCCATCACAACCAAGTAATCGCGCGCCATCATCTGAATTCGAGGAAATGATGCAGCTTCGTGCTTCGTCCAGTTGCACACAGCTCGACTGCCTGTCTTCAGGTTCATGGACTTATCCTTGTGGTCAAGCCAGCGAGACAACTCAGTTGAAAATGACTCACCGATGTGCTCATCAATAAGGCTGTACAGCGCGTCCTCGTCATCAGCTTCTTCTTTCTGCTGCTGGGTTTTCTCCGATTGTTTTCTACGCAGTTCATTTTGCTCATGTGGGACCCGATACACGCGTTCATACTCCGCTTCGACTAGTTTTTTCACTTGCTCGACATTGACGTCAATCTTGCCGAGGAACGACTTCGCACGAGGGTCGAGAACGGCAGCAATTTGAGCATCATCGGTTTTGACGAGCGGGATATACTCGTCAAGCTTCTTCTTGAACGCCAAAATACTTGGTGTACCACGAGAGAGCAGTCTCCGCCGTCTTCCCCACATGCTTCAAGACGAGATGGAAGACAACCAACGCTACACCAAAGGTTGGGTAGTTCTTGCCAGACATGAATGTAGTCGCGCCCTTGATCGGTCTCAGGAAAGCTATGAGCTCATTAAGATAGGCTCAAGTCGTGTCCGGGATGGGAGCAGCGAGACGATCGCCAGAGCTTATTGAAAGGCATTTGAAGCCTTCATGACGGCCCCGAATCCGTCGCTGTAACTCACCAATCGCTAGCTTCAGCGAACGAGCTGAAGAAAGCATCGTTAAGGTGCTGTTCCACCACGTCACAACGTCGAGCTCCGGCGATATAAAGGTCACATTGAGTGCCGCGCAGACATCAGTCAGCGCCTCAAGTAACGACGGTAACTCCGACAGTTTTTTTTTCAGTATGTCACGGATGACAGCAACACTGTCATCCATGATTGGGCATCGTTTAAGCCCTTCCTTGACAGCAAGTTGAAAAACGTGGGCCAGTCATCGCACATGAACGACCTTGGCTTGGGATGCGGCAGCTTCCGTAGGCTCTGCAGTCGAGGTGGCACCCGAAGCCGTCCCTGCAAGCTGGTCGTAGCCCACAATCTCCTCCTGCAGTGTTTCGTTGATCTCATCAATCATTGTTCCGTAGTTGACGGCGTTATCCAAAGTGATCGCCCATAGTTTTGCAAAAAGAGATCCGCTCATCGCTCGAATGGTATCGATCAGATGCTGTGCGATGCGGGGACCAGAATGGGGATACTCCACGCGCGTAAACCCGATCATAACCGACTTAATGACCCACTCATCGTTGATCCAATGCATGGTCACAACCATGTAGCCTTGTTTTGCCGCTGATGTCCATAAATCCGTCGTGGCGGGTACCCGGTCGTTTTTAACATCTTGAAGAATGCTATGCCGCGACAGCTCCTTTTCGCACCTCCAGCGCGCCATGATCTTCTTTCGAACCGTCTTCCTTGTCGGAGGCACGTAGTCAGGGTGAAGTGTTCTGCAGAAGGAACGAAATTCCTTTTTCTCCACCAGACTCAGGGAAAGCGCGTTCGCTACGATCAAGGCCACCAGCTGCTTGTCAGCGGCCGCCTTGTCGAACGTGCGCTGCCGCACGTATTGCTCGAACCCAAACGCGAGCAAGTCCGTCTGGCGGGCGCCTCTCGTGTCCGCCGGAGACGCATCTTTGTCGCCTCCGTACTCTTCTCCGTGCTGCCGCTTCAGGTGTCGCCGAAACGTAGTATGAGCCACCGTGTTCCAGACCGGAGCTGAGTCGGTGGAACACAACAGACAGGTGAAGGTCCCATCGTTGTTATCGCGAATGAAGGTCCAGATGTCGGAGCGTCGATTACCAGGAGCTCGCCTTGGTTCACTGGAGGATGAACTTGCACTTGAATTGTCTTGGGGCTCCATGGAATGAAGGTATGCGGAGAGGTGCGTTAGTGCGAAATGGCAAAGGCGAAACTGCGAGGAAGATTGCTGCGCATGCACTACTTCGCATTGCGAAGTTCGCAAGGCCCGGCAGGCCTAAGCTGGTCTGATCCGATTGAATCGGCCGATTCGATCGACAACTTCAAGCAGACGCCCAACGTGTGCACACCTGATTGGACCAATTGCTTTACTGCGAATCCGCGAGGAATTACCGCCCAGTAATGAGGTGCACTGGGATTCCGTACCGGGGCTAAAAGGTACGGGTGGCGCGTTCGTTGTGCTGAACGTAAAGTGCGTGAGCACCCGGTCACGCGCTGGAACGATTTCGCGCAGCTGTAGTGCGTGCCCAGCAGTAGCAGTAGCAGTAGCAACAGCAGCAGCGGCGGCAATGCGTGGGAGGCGCCTACCGAGTTTCAGTCTCGTAACGTGAACTGGTGGAAGGCGGTCGAGGTGGTGTTGGCGCCGCGCACCGCCAAGTCGCAGATTCGGCTGTCGCTGAGCGGATTAAATGTGGTGGTCGAGTTGGTGGACAACAAGTAGAACTACGAGAACTGTGCCAATGATACCGATGTTGTCTCAGGTCCGCATGCGATTAAGTCTCAGGCCGATTTCAGCGCGAATCTAGCTCACTTCAAGACACTGTTATAGATAACACCAGCACTATCGTGAGCAGACTAAAGCCACACATGACGTTTTGCTGTGAAGCGTCAGTTGTACGGAAGTCTGTGGTATTTTATAGTTTCGGACATGATAAAATGTATAAGAGATTAGACTGGAAACATGCTATTGGTCATTTCAGGGGTCGTTTAAAAATTATTCATGTAGTGAATGCGATATCTAGAGAAGCATTTTCGGGAGGTATTACTGCTGTATTTTATATCTTGGTAGTCGGATTGGATCGACCGATCAATCGGATCTAATCGAAATGATTCGAGAATCGGCACTGGCTAATCCGATCGGTCAGAAAGTACATCTCGATCAATCCGGTTGGGTCGATTACCCACCCCTAGTTCAGGAGAATAGAAGCATCGCGAAGCCTCCACAGCCGCCCTACGTCTGTATATCTATTTTAACTTGGTTTCACTATACCTACGGTGAGTCGTACCTACACTGACCTCCTATTGGCTTACCTTTCTACCAATCAGATACATAAACTCTTTAACGAGCAAAACCATTATCCGTACTGAATTTTGAATTTGTTAACGTCTATCTACTTCCCATGTTGCGTGCTGCTAAAGCCTCGCATACGAAACGCGAGTCATACCCCGTATCGGAAGAGCATTGATAATGCGACTATGAACAGACAACAAAAGAATACTGCTAAACGCATACTAACCGACAATAGTTTGATTGTTTTTTGACGCAAACAAATACTAAACTCAATAACACTAATACCCTGCACAGCCGCCTCGAGGTACCTTGAGCTCTGTGGGGGTACTGCCGCGTGGCGTAGGCGCTCACACAAGCAAGACCGAGGTGTGCTACCTCACCCACGCGTTCGGATGGATGCCTCTCAAACGAAGAGCACCAGCTCGAGACGGGCTTGGTCGACTTATTGCTCCTCGGAGCGAAGCTTGCGGTACGCGTTCGCATTCGCTGTGGCGCTTGCCGTGGCACCGCCCGGAGCGACTCCATTGTAGCCGTAGCCGGGGCCGTAGACCCCGCCATAGACGCCAGGACCGTAGCCGTAGCCAGTGCCGTAGACGCCTAGGCCGCTGACACCTACAACACCAGGGACGCCAACGCCGACGTAGCCCGGACCGCCGACCACCAGTTGAGTCGCCTGCATCTCAGCGTTTACTCCGCTAGAAACGACCGCGACGGCGACGGACATGACGAAGATCTTGGCACTGCTGAGCATGGTTGGAAGCGTTGTTGCTGCTGATGTACTGTCGATGAGTTGCTGGCTTGAGTAAGTGAATTGGAGAATGAAAGAGCAGGTCGGGTTCGAGTACATGCCGCCGTCGATGTCATTTCGACGGCGTCGATAGACAGAACTGTGTTTATTTTACATAATATTTTGAGTCGGCGTCATATGACTGTCAAATGTGAAGGACTGTTTGAGCTGGTACACCGGCGAAAAAAAACACAGTCGGTCGGCTGTTATAATAAGATGCGGACCCTCATACGATATTGCTAGATCGGCAGCGTCGCAGCTACAGCTAGGCGGGCTCCAATATGTAACGCACGGAGGTGCTGTGGCAAGGACTATCGACCCTGTGTCAGTCGTTTTATAGGTTGGACAATTGATACGGTGCCTCCTAACTCGCTCAAAATCGAGACACCGTCTTGGTGATGTAGCCACCAAAAAAAATCCCCGTACACGAACGGATTGACGAGGCAAAGCAGGCGCTGCTGCATGCTGGAAGGGCATTGACGGGCTACATTTACTGTACACCCTTCATTTCGGAGGACAATGTCATTTGTACTGAACTTTGTATGGCTTACGTTGAAGTTGACTTGACATAGAGGAGCCAACATATCACATGGACCGACAGATGCGTCTATTGAAGATCATCGATCCACACGAATGCTCAACACACGTTAAGCACGTACTGTCCTGATGAACAGGGCGAACTTTGTGCTGGCAGGCTGGTCAACATGGTCGACGATGAAGGCACCGTATCACGTTCGCGCTCTGTGTTTGGAAGGAAGCTCTTCATGGCGATCACTTCTACGCACCTTCTCGTCAACTAGTGTTGCGCTGCGAGGTGTTGACGGCTCGATCATCGCGCTCCGGTAACCACGTCCCATTCTCCAATTCGCCCAGAAGCGACTCCACCACTCAAGACGAATTCCCCCGTTTACAGCCCTATCCAACCTCGACCCGATATACCAACGATACTATCATGCTAAGCAGCCCCAAGATCTTCGCCATGTGCATCGCCGGCATGACTCTCTCCAGCGGGGTGAACGCTGAGAAGCAGGTGGCCGAGACCTTCGGTATGCTCGGCCTTCATGGTCTTCATGGTCTTCATGGTCTGCATGGAGGTGTCGGCGTGGGAGGCGTCGGTGTAGGCTTGGGAGGCGTCGGCGTCGGAGTGGGCCCTGGCGTGTATGGCCCTGGCGTCGTCTCCCCAGGCGTCAGCGTCGGCCTCCCCAGTGTGGGCGTTGGCCTTCCCAGTGTGGGCGTTGGTGGTCCCGTTGTTGGAGGGCCCGTTGTAGGCGGTGGCCCCGCTGTCGTTGGTCCCGCAGTCGGTGGCGCACCTGCGAATGCCATCTCCAACGCCAATGCTGGTGCCAACGCCAACGCTAACGCCGCGCCACCTGCAAACGCCGTGCCCAACGCTAACGCCGGATCTCCCGCCAACACCGTGTCCAACGCTAACGCCGGAGCACCTTCTAACGCGGTCTCCAATGCCAACGCCGGGTCTCCAGCCAACGCGGTTTCGAACGCCAATGCTAATGCAAACGCTGGAGCACCTGCCACAGTCAGCGCAAATGCCAATGCAAATGCCAACGCCGATGCTGGTGCCGGCGGCAACGGTGCCACGGTTACCAAGACGGTCACGTCGACGAGCAACGGCGGAACCGCTACTGCGACCACGTCGAAGACCAGTGGCGGCGCTTCGGTGAGTGCGACTGCGACTGCGAATCGCAAGCTTCGCTCGGTGGAATGAGTGAGTTCCAGCCCTTCTGCTCTCCAAGCCTCCTGAGACGCGTTCCATGTCACTATTTGTTATTGAGTTTCGTCTTGTGTAATAAATTGCGAGTGCTGTTGAACCCCTCCATTATTTTTCTTTTCGCTGTTTATTTTTTACCTCTGTCCAAGTCGAATGCAAGATTTGATGGCACGTACGATTAGAATTTGTCTTGCAAACAGACCAGCAGAGGTGCTGCAACACGAACGTCTCGTTTGTGCAGAGCGCGGCATAATGTCGTACCGTATCATTGAGAATGATTCTGTTGATCATCCTGCCATTGCCGAGCTGCCGATTTGGAGTGGGTGGGTGTTAGCTTGGTAGCGTGGTAGATTGTATTTTGGTTCGTATACGGAACTGATCTGAGTTTGGAACAGGTGCCTTATCTTGGTTTTTGTATAAAACAAACATATGTTACGGCAGTGAGCATTCCAGCGAACGGAACACTCGGAGTTACAATTGGCGCTCTCACTTCCGACGCCGTGATCTCCTGATTATTTTTTAAATTTAATTTATATAGAATTATAAATTGGTATAGGGCGCATGGGCTCCAATAATGACGGGGCGCCAGCCGGGTTTGGCCGCGTCACTTACGCTATGTAGTTCGCGGCAGGAACTGCGGTAGACGGCGCCTGATGCCGGCCAGCGGTACGCTGTTGTATGTTATCTCGCCCCGCCGGGCTTGCGCAACACCGGCGCCAGCGCCACGGGAGTAAAAGCTAGCGGCCAGACTCCTGACCGTTTTCTAGATTGTCAGTAGCTCGGTCTTACTCTCGTTACTCTCTTACTCCACCACGTCGGCTGTGATGGGCATGTTTTTGAAGCGCACCTCCCTCTTCGCCATGGTGCGGCCTGGCGCGTCCTGGAAGCGCGTGGGCACGTAGTTCTGCACTGCACACTGCAGCACCTTCGGCCCCGCTCCATGAGCTATGTGGTGACTGGTCTTCTACCTACCAAACTGTATTGACTTTTATTGAATTTAGCACTCTGACAATTAAAGGTGGACCACTGTGTCGGAAGTGGGAGCGCCAATTGTAGTTTTCTTTATGCGGCCCCCAGCACATCATTCGGGAGATCTGTTCAAATCTCAGATCGGCTCCATATACGATCCAATCCGGAGGTAACCGGTAGCGTGTTCTCCTCATCGGTTATAGATTAGCCCACCGAGGCCGCGTCAATAAGGCTCGTTCTCAGCCGGAATTCCTCACTGCATGCGGCCGCATGACCCGAAATAAGGACTTGTGATTGGTGAGTGGGGTAGGTTGGCGAAGTCGCCGCACGAGAGTGAGTAGGGGTTGCACCAATCAGAGCGCTCTTATTGACTCACCTGCTGGTACAGTATCAGACAACAGCCGAGCCACGGACAAGGCGTCATTTTGACTCCTTGACTGCCAAAGAAAGCAACCTTGTATTTTAGCACCTACTCGAGGTGTTCGGGCCGCTGGTGCTAGCGGACGCCAACACAAAGGGGGCCCGCTACTCTATCCGGCCTACATGTATACGATTTCGTGTTATTATTGAGTGCATCGTACAGAACGCGTAACGCTACATCTATTTCGAAGTAGATGCATGTTGCAGGTAGTCGAAACTACCTTTAGATCTAGAACCCCCACCGCCGGGAAGCGTGTACTACGTCTACCTGCTCTTTGGCAGGCGTAGATCAACATGCACTAGCGTATCATGTCCTACGAGTGGAAGTTATGTATCAGCCAATATACATGTAGTCATAACATGCATCGGTTGACGGAGTCGTGTGCGTAAGAGTTAAATGTTATCGTGTACCGTGAGATAAAAACTAATAGCTGCGACTGCTGCCGACAGTTACCAGCACGTGCATACCATATATAGGGGCCAAACAATTCGGCTGCAGTGCCTATGGAGATGATTGTTGTTATGCATTCGAGACCTTGCTAACTTTACTTGATTTATGACGACAAACAGCCCATATCCACAGCCAACCATGATGTTTGGCCTTTCAAGCAAGCTAACGTATACCTCCATGCCCGCACGATATCGGCGAAGGCGTGCTGAGGCGAAATGCACGGTTAGGTGGCATCACTAGAGCTTTCTATTTGAGTCAACAGAGGCTTAGCTCTAAAATAAAATGTGAGTATGTCGAAAAACTTGTTGGGTTTCTGCTTATTGCAAACATCTTCAGCAAAAACCTGGCGCAGCCAACAATAAGGAAAGCGATACAAAAAGATCTACTACGCTGGTCAACCAGCAGTGTGAAGAAAAACCGTCTACCTACAGCGATATGGTGGAGCTACTCAATGAGTGGATCGTCAACTTATGCTACAGAAGCTACTTGTAAGTTAACCCCACCAGTATAATGAAGAAATATAAGCGTAATCTTTTGCTGCACAAAGCAAAAAAGATTCCTTTAGCGTAGAGCGCGTGTAGCTTCAAAATCAATGGCCGCTTTAGAAATGTTTAACGAGTTTCCGTTTTCGTTACAGGTTTTGTGAGTTGCCTTGCATTCTTGCTGTTTGGTTTTAATCTACTGGTGCGTCGGATACCTATTTAGCATTAATCCACTACAGGCGTACAAGTAATTGCTCATATATTGTTTTCAGTTGGTGTATGAGCTAGCACCAAGAAATACGAGTCTTCGTGGGCAAAACTCATTATACTTCGCGTTGCTGCTTTTGGTATGTTTTGAGTTCAAATTGGCCGATGTCATCTGGAAGTTCATGCGGGTAGGGCGCGCAATGCAGCCGCACAAGCGTTCTCAACCGATGCGGCCGCATGTGGCCGCATTGTAGAAAACTGTGGAATGCGGTGCGGCGGCATGCGGCCAGGTAAGAACGGGCCTAAGTGGTGCCTCCTTTCGGTGGGCCCCCATTTGTACTGAAATTTGTATGTATCAAGTTGAAGTTAACTTCACATAGAGGAGCCAATCAGATCAGATCAGATGGACGGACAAGACGATGATCATCGACCGATCCGCCACACGAATCCCCGACACCCCGTCAACACATGCCGCCGTGGTGAACAGCGCGAGCGAGCTCTACGATGGCAGGATGGTCAACAGAGTCATTCTCGATGATACGGTACGGAATTATGCCGCGCTCTGCACAAACGAGACGTTCGTGTTGCAGCACCTCTGCTGGTCAGTTTGGACTACATCTTGACCCACAGGCGTTTCTTCGCTAGTGTAGCCATTGAGGCGGTCTTTCACATTTGGCAGGGCATATGACACGGGCTCAAAACAAACAAAAACGAGCGTGTGAAACAGCGCTGTGTGTCGATGGAGGCCACCCAACTCGACCTGCTCGCTCATTCTCCAATTCACTCGTCCAAGCCAACTTCCCACCTCCAGTACAACACCCCCACCACCCCCAACCACCATGTTCAGCAGCGCCAAGACCTTCTTCATGTGCATCGCCGCCGTGGCCCTCTCAAGCGGGGTCAACGCAGAGGCACAGGTGGCCCAGACGCTGGTCGGCGGCTCGTTCGTTGGCGTTGGCGTCCCCGGTTTTGCAGGCGTCGGCGTGGGTGGTCTGGGCGTCTACGGTCCTGGTGTCTATGGTCCTGGCGTCGGCGTCTACGGCCCCGGCTACGACTACAACGGCTACGGCTACGGCTACAATGGCTACGGCTACAACGGCTACGGCTACAATGGAGTCGCTCCTGCGCCAGCCTACCCGAGCAACGGCGGCGGCGCAACGGCAAGCGCGTCTGCGACCGCGACCGCGCGCAAGCTCCGCTCGGCGGAGGAGCAATAAATGCACCAACCAAGTCCGTGTCAATCGGCAGATCGACGTGTGAGAGCCATCCAAACGCGTGCGCGTGGTACAGTAGCACACCCTCACCGTCGCTTGTATAAGCGCACCACACATCTACCCGACCCGATCCGACGGAGCCTCGCAAGGCGTCTGTCTGTCTGTCTGTCTGTCTGTCTGTCTGTCTGTCTGTCTGTCTGTCTGTCTGTCTGTCTGTCTGTCTGTCTGTCTGTCTGTCTGTCTGTCTGTCTGTCTGTCTGTCTGTCTGTCTGTCTGTCTGTCTGTCTGTCTGTCTGTCTGTCTGTCTGTCTGTCTGTCTGTCTGTCTGTCTGTCTGTCTGTCTGTCTGTCTGTCTGTCTGTCTGTCTGTCTGTCTGTCTGTCTGTCTGTCTGTCTGTCTGTCTGTACAGGGTATAACTGTTTATGAGTGTAGTCTTTGTTTCGTCGTCATACTGTAGCAGTAAATACAATACAAGTGTCGTGAACCAGCAGCATTCGTTGCTTATGAGTATTGGTTGCTTTCGTTGAGCCCAATCTCGTACAGTATAAATGCGTTCGCGATTCGGAGTCAGCATCCGTCTACGCTGTTGCCCTTCATGGGAGTAAGTGGGATATTACATTGATAGCGTGTTCTTCTCATACTATAGCCGACAGAGTCCGCTAAGCGCGCGTTCGTTCGCGTCAATGGCTGCTGCTACTAAGTGGTGCCTCCTTTCGGTGGGCCCCCATTTGTACTGAAATTTGTATGTATCAAGTTGAAGTTAACTTCACATAGAGGAGCCAATCAGATCAGATCAGATGGACGGACAAGACGATGATCATCGACCGATCCGCCACACGAATCCCCGACACCCCGTCAACACATGCCGCCGTGGTGAACAGCGCGAGCGAGCTCTACGATGGCAGGATGGTCAACAGAGTCATTCTCGATGATACGGTACGGAATTATGCCGCGCTCTGCACAAACGAGACGTTCGTGTTGCAGCACCTCTGCTGGTCAGTTTGGACTACATCTTGACCCACAGGCGTTTCTTCGCTAGTGTAGCCATTGAGGCGGTCTTTCACATTTGGCAGGGCATATGACACGGGCTCAAAACAAACAAAAACGAGCGTGTGAAACAGCGCTGTGTGTCGATGGAGACCACCCAACTCGACCTGCTCGCTCATTCTCCAATTCACTCGTCCAAGCCAACTTCCCACCTCCAGTACAACACCCCCACCACCCCCAACCACCATGTTCAGCAGCGCCAAGACCTTCTTCATGTGCATCGCCGCCGTGGCCCTCTCAAGCGGGGTCAACGCAGAGGCACAGGTGGCCCAGACGCTGGTCGGCGGCTCGTTCGTTGGCGTTGGCGTCCCCGGTTTTGCAGGCGTCGGCGTGGGTGGTCTGGGCGTCTACGGTCCTGGTGTCTATGGTCCTGGCGTCGGCGTCTACGGCCCCGGCTACGACTACAACGGCTACGGCTACGGCTACAATGGCTACGGCTACAACGGCTACGGCTACAATGGAGTCGCTCCTGCGCCAGCCTACCCGAGCAACGGCGGCGGCGCAACGGCAAGCGCGTCTGCGACCGCGACCGCGCGCAAGCTCCGCTCGGCGGAGGAGCAATAAATGCACCAACCAAGTCCGTGTCAATCGGCAGATCGACGTGTGAGAGCCATCCAAACGCGTGCGTGTGGTACAGTAGCACACCCTCACCGTCGCTTGTATGAGCGCACCACACATCTACCCGACCCGATCCGACGGAGCCTCGCAAGGCGTCTGTCTGTCTGTCTGTCTGTCTGTCTGTCTGTCTGTCTGTCTGTCTGTCTGTCTGTCTGTCTGTCTGTCTGTCTGTACAGGGTATAACTGTTTATGAGTGTAGTCTTTGTTTCGTCGTCATACTGTAGCAGTAAATACAATACAAGTGTCGTGAACCAGCAGCATTCGTTGCTTATGAGTATTGGTTGCTTTCGTTGAGCCCAATCTCGTACAGTATAAATGCGTTCGCGATTCGGAGTCAGCATCCATCTACGCTGTTGCCCTTCATGGGAGTAAGTGGGATATTACATTGATAGCGTGTTCTTCTCATACTATAGCCGACAGAGTCCGCTAAGCGCGCGTTCGTTCGCGTCAATGGCTGCTGCTACTAAGTGGTGCCTCCTTTCGGTGGGCCCCCATTTGTACTGAAATTTGTATGTATCAAGTTGAAGTTAACTTCACATAGAGGAGCCAATCAGATCAGATCAGATGGACGGACAAGACGATGATCATCGACCGATCCGCCACACGAATCCCCGACACCCCGTCAACACATGCCGCCGTGGTGAACAGCGCGAGCGAGCTCTACGATGGCAGGATGGTCAACAGAGTCATTCTCGATGATACGGTACGGAATTATGCCGCGCTCTGCACAAACGAGACGTTCGTGTTGCAGCACCTCTGCTGGTCAGTTTGGACTACATCTTGACCCACAGGCGTTTCTTCGCTAGTGTAGCCATTGAGGCGGTCTTTCACATTTGGCAGGGCATATGACACGGGCTCAAAACAAACAAAAACGAGCGTGTGAAACAGCGCTGTGTGTCGATGGAGGCCACCCAACTCGACCTGCTCGCTCATTCTCCAATTCACTCGTCCAAGCCAACTTCCCACCTCCAGTACAACACCCCCACCACCCCCAACCACCATGTTCAGCAGCGCCAAGACCTTCTTCATGTGCATCGCCGCCGTGGCCCTCTCAAGCGGGGTCAACGCAGAGGCACAGGTGGCCCAGACGCTGGTCGGCGGCTCGTTCGTTGGCGTTGGCGTCCCCGGTTTTGCAGGCGTCGGCGTGGGTGGTCTGGGCGTCTACGGTCCTGGTGTCTATGGTCCTGGCGTCGGCGTCTACGGCCCCGGCTACGACTACAACGGCTACGGCTACGGCTACAATGGCTACGGCTACAACGGCTACGGCTACAATGGAGTCGCTCCTGCGCCAGCCTACCCGAGCAACGGCGGCGGCGCAACGGCAAGCGCGTCTGCGACCGCGACCGCGCGCAAGCTCCGCTCGGCGGAGGAGCAATAAATGCACCAACCAAGTCCGTGTCAATCGGCAGATCGACGTGTGAGAGCCATCCAAACGCGTGCGTGTGGTACAGTAGCACACCCTCACCGTCGCTTGTATGAGCGCACCACACATCTACCCGACCCGATCCGACGGAGCCTCGCAAGGCGTCTGTCTGTCTGTCTGTCTGTCTGTCTGTCTGTCTGTCTGTCTGTCTGTCTGTCTGTCTGTCTGTCTGTCTGTCTGTCTGTCTGTCTGTCTGTCTGTCTGTCTGTACAGGGTATAACTGTTTATGAGTGTAGTCTTTGTTTCGTCGTCATACTGTAGCAGTAAATACAATACAAGTGTCGTGAACCAGCAGCATTCGTTGCTTATGAGTATTGGTTGCTTTCGTTGAGCCCAATCTCGTACAGTATAAATGCGTTCGCGATTCGGAGTCAGCATCCGTCTACGCTGTTGCCCTTCATGGGAGTAAGTGGGATATTACATTGATAGCGTGTTCTTCTCATACTATAGCCGACAGAGTCCGCTAAGCGCGCGTTCGTTCGCGTCAATGGCTGCTGCTACTAAGTGGTGCCTCCTTTCGGTGGGCCCCCATTTGTACTGAAATTTGTATGTATCAAGTTGAAGTTAACTTCACATAGAGGAGCCAATCAGATCAGATCAGATGGACGGACAAGACGATGATCATCGACCGATCCGCCACACGAATCCCCGACACCCCGTCAACACATGCCGCCGTGGTGAACAGCGCGAGCGAGCTCTACGATGGCAGGATGGTCAACAGAGTCATTCTCGATGATACGGTACGGAATTATGCCGCGCTCTGCACAAACGAGACGTTCGTGTTGCAGCACCTCTGCTGGTCAGTTTGGACTACATCTTGACCCACAGGCGTTTCTTCGCTAGTGTAGCCATTGAGGCGGTCTTTTACATTTGGCAGGGCATATGACACGGGCTCAAAACAAACAAAAACGAGCGTGTGAAACAGCGCTGTGTGTCGATGGAGACCACCCAACTCGACCTGCTCGCTCATTCTCCAATTCACTCGTCCAAGCCAACTTCCCACCTCCAGTACAACACCCCCACCACCCCCAACCACCATGTTCAGCAGCGCCAAGACCTTCTTCATGTGCATCGCCGCCGTGGCCCTCTCAAGCGGGGTCAACGCAGAGGCACAGGTGGCCCAGACGCTGGTCGGCGGCTCGTTCGTTGGCGTTGGCGTCCCCGGTTTTGCAGGCGTCGGCGTGGGTGGTCTGGGCGTCTACGGTCCTGGTGTCTATGGTCCTGGCGTCGGCGTCTACGGCCCCGGCTACGACTACAACGGCTACGGCTACGGCTACAATGGCTACGGCTACAACGGCTACGGCTACAATGGAGTCGCTCCTGCGCCAGCCTACCCGAGCAACGGCGGCGGCGCAACGGCAAGCGCGTCTGCGACCGCGACCGCGCGCAAGCTCCGCTCGGCGGAGGAGCAATAAATGCACCAACCAAGTCCGTGTCAATCGGCAGATCGACGTGTGAGAGCCATCCAAACGCGTGCGTGTGGTACAGTAGCACACCCTCACCGTCGCTTGTATGAGCGCACCACACATCTACCCGACCCGATCCGACGGAGCCTCGCAAGGCGTCTGTCTGTCTGTCTGTCTGTCTGTACAGGGTATAACTGTTTATGAGTGTAGTCTTTGTTTCGTCGTCATACTGTAGCAGTAAATACAATACAAGTGTCGTGAACCAGCAGCATTCGTTCGTTCGTTGCTCATCGGTATTTGTTGCATTCGTTGTGGTTGAATGCGCGTACTACATGTTGTAGTATAAATGCGCATGCCATACGGAGTACTAGGCTAGAGGCCTCCTCCTAACAGTGGAGTCCTTCGTTGGATGTGTAGGTTACCTTGGTTGCGTATCCCTCCGTATCGCCTACTACTATTAGTAGCTAGGCATGGGTGTTCTTTAAAGCAGCGAACTGGTATCGCAATGAAGCTGAGTGCATGTGGCAGGTATTGTTCCTAAGCTTAGGTCAAGCTCTGCGCGCCTGAACCGGACCGCATGCGCAGTGGCTAATAAGCTTAGAAATGCTCTGCCTGAAGTGTATTGGTAGTACCTCAGCTACGAACTTGATCAACCGGTAACGTAATTACTTCGCGACTTGGCCGATAGACTTGCCAAGAACCAACTGTCAGAGCATTCACAAACGAATCGGGTCATATCAGCGCCTATCAGAAAGAAGAACCGGAAGAAAATATATAAAGGCTGAGCAACCCACCTTATCACCCGGCTTGATAGTGAACTGGAACGACTCTGGGGCTTCAAAGACCAGCACAACCGTAGAGCCAAGCTGCACTCACACACGAGACGGATTAGAATACAAGATCATTACACGACCGACCACAACTATATCGCACCTTAAACTGAGCCATTTCCTCCCCGTGAGTTGTGTCCACCTTTCCGCCATAGTTCTTAGAAATGCACCGTCCCACAAGCGGGTCCTGAGCTACCGTGTTCGTGCGGAACTCAGGCTCCTTCGTAAGAACAATAGAGCCTACGTTGGTGGCGCCCACCGCAGTCAGCGAAAAGAAGCCGTGTTCCCATTCACCGAGCAGCGCCACGCGCTCATTCTCCACAAACAGGCTCGGGATCAAGTGCGCCGCTGTCTGGTTCACGGGGAAGAGGTTTCCGGGGAAGTGACGGCGCTCCTCGACCTTCCAGTCAACCGGCGCGTGGATGCGATGGTAGTCTCCAGGCGCGAGGTACAATACGCAGTGGAACATCTTCTTTCCCTTGGAAGCTGCCGTCTTCTTGGTGAAGAACGAAGGCAGGCCGCCCAGGAACTCGTCCAGTCGGTAGCGCACGCCCTTGATCTGCTCCAGCGTCGGCACGTCACTCGAGTCGTTCACGACGCCAATGGACGTCACGGTGCCATCCACCGGGCTGGCCAGGTGGCCCGGGAGCGTGACGAATGGACGCATGCCCTCCTTCAGCGGGCGCGAGAAGAACTCGCCCAGGTTGGCGTAGTCTTGCAGTGGATACTTCATCTCGTCCAGCTTGCAGTCGAACACGGCGGTCCACGCCTTGTACACGGGTTCACGCAGCCAGAGCGGCCTGCATCCAGGCGACAAGAACACCACAAATCAATGAGAACTCCACAAATCAAAAAACATTTGGAGTCCGAGGCCGTACAGCTCCTTGTCGTGCACTTGGCCCCAGAGGCGACTGGCAGCTCGGTACGGGAAGAGCTTGAGCGACTGCAGCTGGCGCTCCGTGGCCATCGTGCCCTCGAACGCCGTGTGGGCTCCCGGGAGTCGCTGCAGAGCCGCCGCCGGGTGCGTCTTGCGCTCCTCGTCCGTCGGGTGGTTGAGGTGCTGCCACTGCAGGAAGCCGATGAGCGCGAAGCCCATGGTGGCCGGGATCTTCCAGCTGCCGGCGAAGATGGTGCCGCTGCCCGGGCCGTTGCCATTGGGCTGCTGCTGTTGCTGTTGTTGCTGGGAGAAGCGCCGGCGCTGCTGCGCCTTGAGGAGGCCCGCGCGGCGACGGAGCATGGCGCTAGTCGAGAGGACCATTATCCTGAAATATGCTGGTCCGCACGATTATGGTGATAGGGTTGGCGAGGATACGTCCTGGCCTAAAATAGGACGGCGTGTCAGAAGTGTACCCTGTTTGTGGTACTGCAGCGCTGCCGCCAATAATCGGCCAGGGAGAGGAGAAAGTAAAACGCCAGGTCGACCAACAAGCCCGAGCGACTGCAGCAGCCAGCCAAGATGGACTCCTGGGGTGCGTTCCTGTGCTCAATGTTTCCTATTGCACTGCGTCCATGTAGTGCTGTGTCCGGCGCATGCGGCGCCGTGTCGGCCGCGGTTTAACTCGCTCTGGTTCGCTCACAATCGCCGGTTGAACGCTTTCCCTGTGCAGATGACGACGAGTTCGAAGTGCCGTCCGTGACGGAGACGCAGAAGGTCGCGGCCAACTGGGACGACGAAGAGGAGGAGGAGGAGGTGCCCGTCGTGGCCGCCAAGGCCGAGTCGGCCGCCCCCAAGGGCCCGCTCAAGCCCAAGCAGCTCAAGAAGATGAAGCTCAAGGAGATGGAGGAGAAGCAGAAGATGGAGATCGCCCTCACCAAGGCGCGCCTCGCGGCCCAGGCCGATGAGACCGAAGACCAGCGTCGCGCGCGCGAGAAGGCCTCTATTGAGGAGGCGGACTTCGAGATGGCCATCGACGCCTTCGCCGGCGCCCCGCCCAAGCCGGCGGCCGGCGCTGCGACCGGCGCCGACGAGGCCATCTCGGCCATGCGCCTGCTGTCGCTGGCCGACCACGAGCACCTGGGCGACGCCGTGTCGGCCCGCCTGGCCACGTCCAACTCCAAGTACGCGCTCGAGTGCATCAAGGTGATCCTCACCAAGGCGTCCGTGAACCTCACGGCCGACGACATGAAGGAGATCACGACCATCATTAACGTCATCAAGAACGAGAAGATCGCGGCCGCCAAGCCCAAGGGCAAGAAAAAGAAGCAGACCGGCAAGCAGGGCTACGCGAACGTCGAGCGCAGCGTCGGCAACGGTGGCGGCGCCGGCGGCATGAACTACGCCGGCTACGAAGACACTTACGACGACTACGACGACTTTATGTAGACGCTTAGAGGTGCACAATACAAGGCTCGCGTTCGGCCTGAAACGTTAGACGGGTGGGTGGGGCGCAAGCATTTGCTTTATTCAAGTCTGTGTCGCTGTTGTCGCTTGATTTGCATTCTGTTAGTTTAGTTTGCAGCAGACTCTACCAACTTGGCGTAGATCCCACGACGGGACACTAGCTCCTGGTGCGTGCCTTGCTCTGCGACCTTGCCGCCACTCACAACACAGATTTTGTCTGCAGTGCGGATCGTTGACAGTCGGTGAGCTATCACGATGGTGGTGCGTCGGTGCAGGGCGACCACCTTGTCGAGCGCCTCCTGCACGATCTTCTCGCTTTCCGAGTCGAGCCCGCTCGTGTCCTCGTCGAGCAGCAAGATCTGCGGGTTCTTGAGCATCGCGCGAGCGATTGCGATGCGCTGCTTCTGGCCCCCTGACAACTGCTCGCCCTTCATGCCCACCTGCGTGTTGAAGCCGTCTGGGAACTGCATGATGAACTCGTGCGCGTTTGACATCTTGGCCACGGCCTCGATCTCTTCCATGTCGGGCATCGTGTCCTGGCCATAGGCGATATTCTCCGCGATCGTGCCGATGAACAACGTCGGCTCCTGACCGACAAGCCCAATCTGCCTTCGCAGCCATCGAACATTGAGCTGCTTGATATCCACGCCGTCCAGCATCACCTGGCCTTGGATCGGGTCGTAAAACCGCTCGAGAAGAGCACCGCAGGTACTTTTACCGCCGCCACTCGGTCCACAAAACGCCACGGTTTGACCAGGTTCGATGACCAAGTTGTAGTTTTTCAACACCGCCACCTTCGGCCGTGTCGGGTACCGGAACAAAACGTCCTTGAACTTGATTTTGCCCGTGACTGTGGTAGGACGAAGGCCGTTTTCTTGGAATGAGTCAATCGGTAGTTGTCGATCACGGATAGACAAGATCGTATCTCCCGCTTCAAACGCGCTGTTGAGTCGGCCACATAGGCTAGTGACGCCCAAACACTCTGCGAAGACATGATGATGGCCATCAGCGAGCGCATGAGCTGACGAAACGTGATCTTGTCGTCGTTCACAAGCTTACCGCCGTACCAAAATGTGAACGCGTAAGTCGCAAACACGATGAAGGAGCTGAACCCCACCGCCAGCCCGTTCACTTGAGCGTCCCGTTCGCCCGCCCTCCTCGGCACGGCCAGCAGATGCGAGAACTTTTCGCACGAAGAAGGCTCGAGACCCAGAGAAACGACGGTACGAATGTTCCCGAGGACTTCCTGAGGCATGGGCGCCGACATCCGCCATGTCGTCTGCGAGGATTCCTTTGCCGTGCATGTTCTCCGACCGGAAGACGTTGCCAAGCACCAGCACGGGGATGATTGCGAGCATGACGAGCGTGAGAAGCCAGCTTCCGGACAAAAAGGAGATCAGCAACGCAGCCACCGTCGTGAAAACCGCCGCCCTTGGGCCTCTCCAGTGATCAACGCCACACGCAATGCACTTGTAGCCAGGTCGGCTGTGAGGGCCCCGGTCGCATGCTCCGTTTCGTCGAAGAAGGCAATGTTTTGGCGACACAGGGACGAGAAATGCATGTCTCGGAGGCGAGATGTCAGCTTTTTAGCAACATATCTGAAGCCGTAGCTCTGGATTGCAGTGCCAGCGAAGAAAACAAAAGCTCCAGCGAGGTAGAGGGATCCATAAACTGTCACCTCGTGTGGCAACGAGGATAAGTACGAGCGGTCGTCATGAGCTTGGTAGTTCGCATAGTCAACCGTTATAATCGCCACGAGCTCACTTATCAAAACTGCTGAAGCAAGAAACGCTGAGTTGAGCCAACCATATCCAGGATGAAATACTTGCGCTCAGGCGTGCTGATCTCGTTCGCGATTCGCACGGTAAATCTGCGTGGGTTTTCCTCCTCACTAGTCTCGACTACTTGACCATCGAGCATTGATTGTCACTCACTTGTACGAGTATCATCGCTTCGCATTGATCGACTACTTGCTTTACGTTTCAGGTCACAGGAAGCTTGCTCGCTTTGAGCCTCAGCCAAAGCCAAAGCTGCTGCTTCCACTTCTTCTTGAGCTTTCGCCTCCTGAATCGTGTACAAATTGTGGTAGACGCCATGCTCGATCTCGACCAAGTCATCGTGCGAGCCTTCTTCCACCACGTGGCCATCCGCCAGCACTACGATTTTGTCGGCGTGTCGAATCGTACTGAGTCGGTGAGCGATAGCCAACGTCGTCATGTTTGTTTTTGTTATCAGGTCGTTCAAAGCTTCTTGGACAATTCGCTCGCTCTCAGCATCCAGTGCACTCGTGGCCTCATCCAGCACCAATATCTTCGGTTCGCGTATAGTCGCCCGAGCGATTGCCACGCGCTGCTTCTGCCCTCATGATAGCGATACTCCCTTCTCACCGATCAAAGTGTCGTACGTTTCTGGGAGTGACATGATGAACTCGTGAGCGTTCGCCAGATTCGCAGCGGTAATGACGTCCTCCCGCGTGTAATCGGTCCGTCCTGCCGTGATATTTTCCGCAATAGTAGCTGCAAACAGCACCGGTTCCTGGGACACCAGCCCAATTTGCGATCGCAACCACTTCAGGTTGAGTGTGCGCAGGTCTCGCCCGTCCAGCAGAATGGAGCTGCTGGTGGGGTCGTAAAACCGCTCCAGCAGTGAGATGATGGTGCTTTTTCCACCGCCGCTAGCGCCTACGAACGCGACAGTCTGGCCAGGTTCGATCGTGACGCTATAGTTTCTCAAAATGGGAGCATCCATTCGAGTGGGGTAAGCGAAGTCGACGTTGACGGCTTCGATCTTGCCAAGACATACTTCAGGGACGACGCCTTGATCTTCTCGAGAAGCATCGATCTGAGATCGAGTGTCGAGAAGCTCGTATAGTGCGACTGCGGCACCTTTCGCGTCCATGACGACGGTTAGATTCGGGGAGATAAATGCCAGTGAACGGGACCCCATTACGACCGCCATCAACGACTGGAAAACTTGTTGAGGTGATGCATTGCCCTTGTACACTTGGAAGCCTCCGTACCAGAGCCCCGCAGCGTAAATAAGCCACGAGCAACCGCGGAAGATGCCGAGCACGAATGCAAACACCCTCACTTGAGTGATATTTCCATTTTCGACCTCCAAGGTACGTTCGTTGTACTTCTGGATGGCACGATGCTCGGCGGTCAATGAACTGACAGTTCGGATCGAGCTCAGCGTCTCCTCGGCCACAGCGCCTGCCTCGGCATAGATCCGCTGGGCGTAAGCAGCTCGAGTGTGCCAACTGCGGAGAACATACGCCATCGACCAAGTCATCAGCGGCATGACGCACATCATGACCAACGTGATATCCCATCCACGCGCGAATCCGATGATGTAGCCCGCGAAGAACTGGCACACGTACTTAACAAAATCACCGTGTTTCTGGCCCATACCGTCTTTGATCCTCACCGTGTCGCCTGTGATTCGACTCGATAGCTGGAGTGGATCATGCAGGTCGTACCATGAAATATCCATGTAGAGCATGTGTTGATGCGCATGAGCTCTCAGCGCCTTCATCTGGCGCTCGGCCGACAGGGAGAAGAGCAGATACGCCAGGTAATCCGTCACGAAAAGTCCGATGGCGATGAGGAAGTAGTGGAGCGACGCCTTGTTCAGTGCCTCGCGATCCACACCGCCGTCCGTCTGAGCGAATGCCGCAATAGCTTCGCCGAACACCAATGCGATGCATGGGAACAGGGCGCGGTTAATAGCCGCCATTATCACGCCGAGAACCAGCAGGACTCGATCCGAAAGCGTTGCGAAGCGGTAGAGCTCGAGGAAGGAGAACGAAGCCACTTCTGCGGCCTGGAACTCGGGATCTTTGCCCTGATGGCTCGTAGCGGCGCTTAGACGGAATACATCCACCGCCAAGGTAGCCCCATCGACGCTGGGGACCCCCTTGCTTGCTGAGGAGGAGGATACTCGCGGGGTTACAAGCCGCGCATACGGGAGCTGGTCCGGCATGACGCTATGGCTGGATTTTTGCTGCACCAGTGCCAGAAGATCCTGTGAGACAGGGTGGCTGGAGTGAGAAGAGTTTGGACGCGATCGCTGATTAGTGTTGGGAATTTGGATGCAACCGTTGATTAGTGTTGCGATTCGTCCCACGATCGTCTCATCGCAGCAATGCCGCTTTATCATTCACACGGATAACATGGCTGAGCTCTACATGTAGGCTACATGTAGAGCTTAGCCATGATGATGTAGGATACAATGGACCAACATCATGATCATGACCATGATGATGTAGGATACAATTGACCAACACTCTCGCGTTGGCCGGAGACTGTAGCTGGTATTGTAGCCGACCATTCCACATGTTGAAGGTCAATTTGGACGAAACTCAGACATCTAGCCTTTCGGGTCAACTAGGTACTCAACAAATTGTTCCTGCATGCTGTAAACAAGACACATTTCCACTCTCTACATGACACAACTCGGACCACTTCTCAGTTATCAAAGGTGTTGTATTTTCGTTCAAAACACACATAAATCAACATCGTTCGATACTGCTCACAAACATACACCAGTACCATGGACCCATCCGGGTTAGTCTTATTTGCGGGTCGCTCATTCGACCGAGCGGAGCTTGCGGCACTCCGCAGCAGCGGGTGCAGCAGCGGGAGCTCCCGCGTAAGCGGGCATGGCTGGAGCTGCACCGTAGCCGTTTGGTATGACCTGGCCAGGAGCTGCGGCGTAACCATTGGGCATGACTGGAGCTGCACCGTAGGCGCCTGGAGGCGCGCCGGCGAATCCGTAGTTCTGTTCACCTCTGGGGCGAAGAGGGGCACGGACGCGGATGCCCATCACATTGACGTCGACATACCGGCGGCCATCGGCACCAGGCTGCCCGTCCACTCCAACGTTAACGAACGGGGCAGCAACCTTGACGCCACTTTGAGCGTGCACCCCGCTCAAGGTGGCCACGGCGGCGATCCACACGGCGAAAATCTTGCCGCTGCTGCATGACTGCGGTGTTTGGTTGAAGTGGGCGTCTTGTTCTGGATGCGTCGGCTCTAGTGGTTTAAGCCCGATGCAGTGAATTGGAGAGTGAGGCGCGACTGCTGTAGCTCGTAGGGCTTGTTGGCTAAGCCTTTGCCTACCAGCTGAAGAAATACACACGGTCACAATGACCGTGTTCGTGTGATGACAGACATGTGATTTTAGTTGGTTGGTGCTATTGAGCACAGCATGTGCCCGCAATCAATACCTCGTCTTAGGAGAACGTCACCGACAACAGCGGGGCCACCAACGCCCACAGCGGGGAGACCGACATTGACGCCAGCGATGCCCGGCACACCGACGCTGGCACCTGGGCTAACAACGCCAGGGCCGTACGCGCCAGGGCCCACTCCGACACTAGCAACGCCCGGCACTCCAACGCCGATGCCGTGTCCGAGGCCGAGCAGGCCAAAAGTCTCAGCCACTTCTCGCTCAGCGTGCACTCCGCTCGAGACGGCCACGGCGGCGATGCACATGGCGAAGATCTTGCCGCTGCTGAACATGATTGGGGTTGTTTGTAGTAGTCGGCGAAAGCTTGGACTGCAGATACTCTGGATGATTCGGCTCAAGAGATTGGAGTCCGATGAGATGAATTGGAGAATAAGGAGCGATCAAGTAAAGCTTGTCGGTGAAGTCTGAAGTTCGACCTGATGAACTGCACACGGGCACATGTGAAGGTTCGGAGGCCGTGTGATTTGTTTGATTGGCGTTGTCGAGCCTAACAGTTGTCTGCAATCGACACCTCTACTTATGCGCACGTCTCGGATCCATCAATGTTGTAGCAACTGGTGCACTGCTTGCGGTCGCCCCGTATGTGATTCATTGAGTAACTGTCCGCGATTCGATAGCCTGTGGGACGGATTACCAGGGCGAAGAGGTATTTGGGCGGTGTTGGGGAACGACCCACAAGAAATAATTGCCATTGGTTTCGCCCAAGTGAACGAGCCAGTCAAGGAAACTAGTATGGCTGTTCAGCTCATCATCCGAGCCATGCATCAGCTAAAGCAGCGAGCTCAACTATCTACAGTCTCTCTCTGCGTCCAAGGCATCCAACCAATGATCAAGTCGGCTCGAGCCCAGAATGCCACGCAGCAAGCGCTCAAAGACGTTGTCTCGATGGCATGGAAACCACCTTCCAAACGCATCTACAAAGCGATCAGGGGATTTCTTAAATTGCGACAACTATCTAAGTTTACCAATGCTGTACTACTTCGAGAGCACCTGCCTGTCAAGCTATGGGGCTACTTGCAAGAACAATTTTCGCCGGAGGAGGAACCATCCCAACACCGCTTATCAATTAGGCTCAGTCTACAACGATATCAGGACTCTATCGTTTAAACACACGTAAATAGAGGACCTCGAACACACGATTCGATATTCCTGTGGTGCAGGACGTTTTGCGGTCAGACACACCAACAATGCGATTAGAACTTACACGTACCTGCCCGCTTCAGCGATGCGCTGCGTTTTGTTGTTTGCATCCCACTCGTGTATTGTTTAAGCACAGGATTCGCAGATTGTCGTCAAGCTGGCTGCTAAGAGTGCCAGGTATTTCAGTTGCCCAGCAACGGACAGCAATCTTCGAGAAGTCACCGCTACATTAGGAATAGCCACACGTCACACGTAGTCAATTCCGTTGAAAATTTCCAAATCGGGCCGATTTCGAAAATCGACCAATATAAATTCAAGTACAGATCGAAATCGCTCCAACAAGAATGCCATCCATCTGTAAATCGTACTTACTCGAGTTCCAATAGACAATCCAAGTGGCCGGGGGAGCGATTTGGCTTGGGCGATTGCAATCGGCCGGTTCGGAAATTTTGAGTAGAACCCACAATACTAATATTTGTATGCTCTATGTTGAAGTTACTCATTTAGCATAGAGCAGACGGTGCAATTTGTGGCCCACATCGCGATTGCGGGCATGGCTTTCTAGATAATAAGGAACTTGCTGTTTGTGTTATGTATGGAATAGTCATTTTGAGTGTGAAGTAGCAGACTCCTCGTCGGGACTCCCGACTCGGGAGTATCGGTAGTTGCAAAATGAGCTCTAAATCGCCTACTTTTACGTTTCAAGTACTTAAAAGTACTTGAAACAAAGTAACTTCAACATATAGATATTAAAAATTAGTACGAAGTAACGAGTACTGCTCACCCACAATCAAATCGAACGGACAGCTACTCAATGAATCACATACGGGGCGACCGCAAGCAGTGCACCAGTTGCTACAACATTGATGGATCCGAGACGTGCGCATAAGTAGAGGTGTCGATTGCAGACAACTGTTAGGCTCGACAACGCCAATCAAACAAATCACACGGCCTCCGAACCTTCACATGTGCCCGTGTGCAGTTCATCAGGTCGAACTTCAGACTTCACCGACAAGCTTTACTTGATCGCTCCTTATTCTCCAATTCATCTCATCGGACTCCAATCTCTTGAGCCGAATCATCCAGAGTATCTGCAGTCCAAGCTTTCGCCGACTACTACAAACAACCCCAATCATGTTCAGCAGCGGCAAGATCTTCGCCATGTGCATCGCCGCCGTGGCCGTCTCGAGCAGAGTGCACGCTGAGCGAGAAGTGGCTGAGACTTTTGGCCTGCTCGGCCTCGGCCTCGGCCTCGGCCTCGGACACGGCATCGGCGTTGGAGTGCCGGGCGTTGCTAGTGTCGGAGTGGGCCCTGGCGCGTACGGCCCTGGCGTTGTTAGCCCAGGTGTCAGCGTCGGTGTGCCGGGCATCGCTGGCGTCAATGTCGGTCTCCCCGCTGTGGGCGTTGGTGGCCCCGCTGTTGTCGGTGGCCCCGCAGTCGGTGTTGGCGGCCCAGTTGTAGGCGGCCCCGCAGTCGCCGGTGCTCCTGCCGTCTCGACTGCCAACGCTGGCGCGCCTGCCAATGCTGTCTCCAACGCGAACGCCGGTGCGCCTGCCACCTCTACTGCCAATGCCAACGCTGGCGCGCCTGCCACCTCCACAGCCAACGCCAACGCTGGTGCGCCTGCAACTTCCACTTCCTCAGCTAACGCCAATGCCGGAGCGCCAGCCACCTCCACAGCCAACGCGAATGCGAATACTGATGCGCCTGCCACAGTCACAGCAAATACGAATGCGAACGCCGACGCCGGTCCTGGCGGCAACGGCGGCACGACTACCAAGACGGTCACGTCGACGACTACCGATGGAACCGCTACTGCGACCACTTCGAAGACCAGTGGCGGCGCGTCGGCCACTGCAATCGCATCAGCGGACGCGAAAGCTAGACCGAGTGGTGGCCCGAGCGCTGGTCCTAGTGGTGGCCCGAGTGCAACCGGTGGCGCTAGCGATGGCCCTGCTCCAAGCGCCGGGAAGACCGGTACTGCTGGCACGGGCACCATTGCTCCGAGCGGCGGGAAGACCGGTACTGCTGCCACGGGCCCTTCGGCTCAGAAGGGGGGCCGCAAGCTCCGCTCGGTCGAATGAGCGGAGTGCATAAGCTTGACCTGGGGTATCCGTGGTACTTCTACCGATGTATGTATGCTTGTGGGCAGTGTCGAACGACGTAGTCTTAGTGTGTCTTGACCAAAATACAACAACACCTCCGAAAAGTGCAAGTCTTTTTGTTGCATCTAGAGAGCGCGCAACGGGTTTGATTGGGGAAGGTCAGTAGTACGGGAAAGTAGTGGCCGTGTCCTGGCTGTCTGCGTGAAAGCGAAGGGTACAATATGCATTAAGTACCATGGAGTTGGCCTTAACCCTGACGTGGTGGAAGCGTACTCTTGCAGAGAGTTTCCGAATGAACTATTCTTCCGCACTGTACAAAAAGGGATCTTTATCAAAAGGGGCCACAAACCTGTCAAAGAGTTGGACTTAGCGCAGTACCGTAAGAAGTACCGTCGATAGCCGATTGCTGTCCAGGCGACCGGTACAGCGTTGCAGTGATCTTCCGCTTATGAGCTTTATGAAGCTGCTTCATGTAACAAAACATTCCTCGGATCCATTTCTACTTGCAGTATTATAATAAGTTTAGTTTATAGCTAAAACGCGTAATAAGTGACGCAAAGGCATCGAAGAGAGGAAGCTATTGAGCAGAATAAATGTCGTAGCGGAATTTGACACTTGCATCAACTCTTTAGTGGGAGAGCTCTAAAAGGTCCTCTATTATTTCCAAGAAGCACGTAACTAGAACTATAAAGTCCACACAAGCAGCGCTAGTTTATTTTTTGCTGGTAGCGTAGGTATGAGTATGCAAGCAACTGGGTGCTGTCCTGCGGCAACCGTTCCACACCGGTAATTCAAGCCATTCTTCGGAGGTTGCACAATTTTGGGCACGCTTAAGTCGTTTCGGATACATTGCTGGTTTGCCATAGCTTATTTAAAAAAAATACTGGTAATTTACAATATGCATGCTCGATGTACCCCATATGCTGACGAGCAACTCGATGGCGATCCAATGTGGTGTTACTGGATCGTGATATTTCTTTGAGGTCGTACGAAGTCCTGGAGTAAGTACGTAATGGGCTACTAGTCAATTGGTTTGATACATGTACGTATCTGCAGCAGTTCTGTAAGGAAACCGCAAAACGTGCCTAGCTTGGACTTCGTTGCGACGCGTTCCGCTACTTGAGTTGCGTTGCAGTTTGACACTTGACCGGTCGCCTGGACAGCAATTGGCTATCGATGGTACTTCTTACGGTACTGCGCTAAGTCCAACTCTTTGACAGGTTTTGTGGCCCCAAATGATAAAGTGCTGATGGATTTGTGGCCCCTTTTGATAAAGATCCTACAAAAAGTATCTTGAAGTGCTCATAGATTGGCATTTTCGCCAAACATACTAGTATTTGTATGTGCCGTTTCTCAACAAACAAATCACATTTCAACTGACGCGTGAAGATGAAGGAGCTCGAGGTATCTGCCGCATTCTGCTCTCCCCAGGCAGCCTAATCGCACTAATGCTAACTGGTTTGGGCCCCTCCTATCTGTCGTTGCGCTGCTGCAGGACTACCAACGGCCGGCAACCATCGCGGACTTCGTAGCGGAGGTGGGCGTGGACCCCGCCCTCGGACTCTCGAGAGACGACGCCATGACGCGGCGCGCGCTGTACGGCGCCAACCGCGTGACGCCGCCCGTCAACTGCCCGTCCTGGGTCTGCTGCCTGCTGCCGTGCCTCATGCGCACGGCCTCCATGCAGGCCTATCAGGAGGCGCTGCCTCGCGAGTCGACGGTGCGTCGTCGAGTGGCTGCAGCGCAGGGCCAACCGGCCACGCGACGCATGAGGATGGACGCCATGAGTCTCGTGTACGGGGACGTGGTGGAGCTCAAGGCTGGGGACGTGGCGGGCGCCGACCTGCGCGTCGTCGAGTGCTCGGACGACTGCGTGCTGGACCAGTCGACGCTGGTGGGCGACGACGGGGAGGACGAGGAGGCTGGCCAGGGAGGCGGCAGGAAGCACGTCACGACGGACACACCGCCCGCGCATCTCCACCAGGACCCGCTTCACTGTGGCAACATTGTCCCGATGACGGCGAGCGTCCTGCAGGGCAAAGCTGTAGCTGTGGTGGTCTCAACGGGGGATCGCACGCTGTGGGGGCGTCTAGTTACGCACCACGAGTGGCCGCCAGCCCCAGGAAGCGTGTTGAGGAAGAAGGTGGAGAAAGGAGACGAAGCGGAACATACCAGCTTGATCGTATAGTCGGTTGGCCAGCGAAGGTTCAAGGTTGCCTCGGCTCGAGTCCGGGCGTTAGGTTTTGTTTTTACTGGGGACATGAGCGAAGGAAACAAGCAGTTGCTCGGTCGCCTTGAAACATCGCAGCATTAAACAGCACTGGTGGCGCATAACGATGCTTGGGTTGTCCCTGTCTGCCCCTCTACCGCCGTCTTCCGCCAGCAGCCGGAGGAGCGCCTCCAGCTCCACCCGCGGGCGGGGCGCCTCCGTCGCCGCCGAACAGACTCATGACGACGATAGGCAGAATGATGTACCACTGCGAAAGACATCCACAATACCGTTAGTACAGAGGCAACATACAGCACGAGGGACCCTTCCTGCACGGCACGTACGTATTTGCGGAGGAAGGATTGGTTCTCCTCTTCGGGCTCGTCGTTGCCGTCCTCGCTCTTCACAGGCTTCACGCCCTGCGGAGCGCGGTCACGCTTCACTGCAATGTTCTTGGGGGGCCTGCAGAAATAGGTGCATCAATGGTTAGCCTCAACACAACATGCTGCAGAGATACCAACGGACGAGGGATCACACGTACGAGGGGCCGGTCTGCGCCTTCAAGACGGTGCCAAATGGGCCGAAGCGCACGTCCTTGAGGCTGCGGGCCTGTTGCTCAGCACAGGCGTCCGAGGCCAGGTAGGGCGTGAGGTACTCGATGGCCACGAGCTTGCCGCTCTCCGACAGGTGGAAGGCGAAGTCCTCGCGCAGCCGCATGGCTGCCAGCATGCACATGGGCACGGAGGCCGTGACGTAGGGCGAGTCCGGGTCGGCCGCGTCCGCCTTGGCGCGCACCGTGTAGTGGCGGCCGCGACGCAGCAGCGTCTCCAGCTTGTCCACGTCGTCGCCGCTCAGCGCGGGCAGCGCCGAGAAGGATACCTTGGGCTTGGGGGAGGACGCGCTGGCCACGATCTCCACAACGCCGCGCGGCGTGAAGGGCGCGTCCACGGCCAGACGGTGCTCCAGCTCGAACTTGACGTGCTGCTCCAGCTCTCCCAGCGCCGGGATCGAGCGCTCGTCGTCAAAGTCGTCGCCGAACTCCTCCTTCAGTCTGGAGGGAGACACAATACAGACTCCTTGTTAGATCCAGCGCAGCTACAGAGGTGTGGGGGTTGTGAGGGGAAGGGGGGCGTACTCGGCATTCTCCACCTCGCGCGGGTCGGCGAAGGCGGTCGTCGCCAGCAGAGCCGCCAACGCGAGCAGCAGCGTCCAGGGCCTCATCCTTCGTGCGTGCGTGTCGTCACAAAGTGAGCTCTGAGCTGGGTACCCTCGCTCGACTGACATGTCACTGTCACGCTACCCTCGCTTTTCATTTGAAAATTGAATTTGTATGCCGTCTCGGGAGTCCGTCGCCCGCGCTATCCGCGAGCGCAACGGCAGCAGCAGCCGCCCCCGGGACGAGCCGTCGCTCACCGCAGTAGAGATCAACGCCATCGTGCGCAGACTCAGCTTCAGCAGCGCTGCCATGGACCCGGCAGTTGAAGAAGGAGCAGCAGGAGAACAAGAGCCAGAGCCTGAAGCGAAAAAAGAAGAAGAAGAAGACATGGCAGCACAGAAGCAAGAAGAAGCAGATGAGCACGAAGCAGCAGCCCAACAGGACGAGAAGGACGCCCAGCAGGACGCCAACAAAGTGCAGATCGTGATTCGCCTCCGGCCGCTGGAGGCCGCAGCTGCTGCTGACGCCGAGTCGGCCGAGTGCTTCCGCGTGCTGTCGGACGTGTCGCTGCTGGCGCAGCCGCCCAAGACGTCGCAGTCGTACCGCTCCACGGGCACGGCCACGAGCTTCCACTTCTCGCGCATCTTTCGGCCGGAGACGCAGCAGACGGAGCTGTTCGAGGCCACCACGAGGCCCGTGCTGGACGCGGCCCTGCGCGGCAAGAGCGGCCTCGTGTTCGCCTACGGAGTCACCAACTCGGGCAAGACGTACACCATCAGCGGCACGACGGAGGCCCCGGGCGTGCTGCCTCAGGCGCTGCAGTACGTGATGAACGAGCTGCCGCGACGCAAGGAGGAGGACGCGCAGCCCGTCACGCGCGTTACGGCCACGTACCTGGAGATCTACAACGAGAATGTGTACGACCTCCTGTCGCCCGCGGTCCGCAAGAGGAGGGCGCTGCGTGTGCAGGACTGCGACGGGAAGATCCAGGTGCGCGGCGCTGTGGAGAAGCCCATCAAGACGCTGGAGGAAGGCCTCGAGCTGCTGGAAATGGGCCGGAGGCACAAGCAGATGGCCGAGACCAATTGTAACTCGGACTCGAGTCGCAGCCACTGCGTCTTCACGCTGCACCTGTATCATCAGGTGTCTCGCTTCGCAACAGAGCTGCGCAGTAAGGTGTCGATCGTGGATCTGGCCGGGTCGGAGCGAGGATCGAAGAGCGGCGCGACGGGGCTACGCATGCAGGAGGCCAGTAAGATCAATGGCTCGCTCATGAACCTCATGCGCTGCCTGGAGACGTTGCGCTGGAACCAGCAGCACCCGCCAAGTCTGCAGAAGATGGTCCCATTCCGCGAGTCCAAGCTAGCACGTCTGTTCCAGGAGAACCTCGTGGGCGACGATCACGGCCCGCTGGTGATGATTGTGGCGGTGAACCCGTCCAGTCACGAGTTCGACGAGACTCTTCGGACTTTAAAGTACAGCGCTGTTGCGCGCGAATTGGTGCGGACACGCACATCCATTCCCAGGAAAGCAGCACCTAGTTCCACGTTCTACGACTTAGACGGCCGACTGAAGAAGAGGAGGCGACAGTCAACGGAAGCACCCCCTGCGTCTTCTTCATCGAGACCGCTGGTGGATCGAGGTGCACCGGGGCCAAAGGCTAGTGCGGCATCGCCACCCGCTAGAGTCAAAGTTAAGCAGCGCCTGAGTGAGACCGCACGCCGTCAACGCAGAACGACTGCATCTACAGTTAAACCGAAGACTGCTGAAGTGGCGATATCACCGATGGAATCGCAAAGGGAGGTCGCTGAGAGGAACCTGCACTGGGTGAGTAGCTGTATGCATTATTTTTTGTGGTGATTTATGTGCTAATGTGCTCGGTATCCTGTAGGCCAAGCTGGAGCTGGAAAATGAAGAATTGCGAGAGCAACTGGCGCAGGTTCAAGCGGAAAAGATGCAAATGGAGGTCCGTATCCGTGCAGAAATTGGTAACGAAATGCGCGAGCAGTTGCAGCAGATTCGGGCCCAATACCAAAGTATGCAGCGCTTGCAGCGTGAAGACCTACCGTCTGCACGTAAGAAACGCGAGCGCAAATATGCCGAGGAAAGCGAGAAACTTCGTGCCCACGTGGAAGAGCTCCGCAAAAAGGTCCGCGAGTGTGAGGACGAAATCCAACGTATCCACAAACGCCACCAAGCAGAACTTGACAAATTGCAGCCACAGAGTGTACCTGTACCAGTAGAAGACGAGAGTATGTGACCCAGACAAACGAGTGAAGTGAAGAGTATGAAGCCATCGCCCCTCCACCAATGTACCGTGCTAATATTTTGTTACTCTGCCTATTGTTGTCAGCTCAGCGCGCTTTCGTACGTTGGAACCATGTACTTGATGTTAATGAACGCGTCCTCGCCTCCTGTTCGCTCCAGCAGCTCCAGCGTCTCGATGATTACTTCGCCAAGGTCCTGTGAACGCTGCTGTCGGAAATCTATATCATCGCCAAGGTTACGACGCTTGTTCTTGAACATGTTCAGTATCGGCAGGACCTGGCGGTAGTACGGCACCAACAGCGGCCCCACTCCAGGAGTTTGTGCAAGTTGCTGAAGCAGTAGCAGCGCGTCCCTCAACGCCCCATTATCCCGAGTCTCTAAATTCGTGCGAAGCGCAGGTATGACTCGGTACAGACAGTCGACGAGCTTGTTCGGGTGTCTCTGGGCGAACGCAGCCAACTGGAAGGCACCTTCACGCGCCAAGAAGCTGAAAGGGAAAGCCTTCTCGCGCATGCCGTCTACGAACAACGGGAAGTACTTGCTGAAGTCAAGATCTTCCATCGGGGCCGTCCAGCGGAGGCCAGCCTTCCCGCCGCCCTTGCCACCTTCGATCATGATTGGGAGCTCGTTGCGTGCGTAAGCTTGAGGGAACATTGAAGCAGGAGCAGAACGCTTTTTGAATGCTCCAGCTACTGGAGGCAGCGCTTCTTGAGCGTGCTGGGTACTGTGTTTGGTAACTTGGACGTGCCGATCAATGACCGAGCGCGTTGGTGACGGCAGCTGAAGATTCGACATGACCTGCTCTCTCTCCGTCTCGAACGAAATCGGCCGCGTGTTTTGTGTTGAATCCGATTTGGAGAGCTTCGGTAGTCGCTGGGGCTTCTTGGAATGGTGGTGTTGACCTCCTTGCTGCTTGCCTGGCTTACACAAAACACCCACGGCCACAGCCTTCTGGTCTTCCTGCAGCCGGTGCTTCATCTTGACTTCGAGTATGCCCACTGGTTGAATACAATCAAACAAGACGGAAGAGGTGAGCGTTTTCACGCGCATTGACAAGCAAATGCACTGATGGATACACGCACCATTGCGTCGCCGTGGGTGTGACGACGAAGCGATGCTCTTCGGGCCCGTGGAGAGCGGTGCGAGTTCCTTTTTCATTGTCACCGTTGAGGATTAAGCGCGCAAACCCCACTGGGATATCAGTAGATGTATGCACATCCCACTACGTCCCGAATGATGGAGTTGGCGAGCCTTGGAAATCGCCTACCGTGCCCAATATACACCGCTATCGACGCAAAAATAGTCGGGGTACTGCAACTGCCGGCGTCTGGAATCGAGAACCGCTTCCTCCATTTGGCAAAACTTCACTTTGGGTCAAAGCACGCTCGAACATGCGCGTCTTCATCACGGACTTGGGCTCGTCACTCTCGACCGAGTTGGCTCGCAACTGCCAGGATGCAGGACTCGAGGTCGTGGGCACGGCCGCGCGCGGTGGCAAGTCCGAGCTGGCGGCGCTCAAGCGCCAGCTGCAGAGCCACCCGAGCAGCGACGTCGAGGGGGCCGTCAAGGAGCCCGTCGCTCTCCAGAGCGACCCAACAGCGTGGCGTCGACTTGTGCAGATCGCGGACGTGGTCGTAGTCACCGCTTTGGTGAGCGACCCGAAGCTCGCCATGGAGACGCTCAAAGCTTTCGAGAAACGCGGAGCGACGAAAGGTGACGAGGACGCGAATGAAGGCGAAGGAGAGAGCGTGAAGCGCTTCATCACCGTGTCCTCGGTGTTGTCGTGGAGCAAGAACGCGCCATTCGCTGCTTCGGGCGCCGGTGCGGCCCACGTCGAGGACGACTTCAAGTCGCGCCGGCCAGCGCGCAAGTACGCGGACCTCAAAACTGCCGAGACGCAGATCTTGAGCGCGCATCGCACCGGAGAGCTTGAAACCTGCATCGTAGGCGCTGGACTCGTGTACGGTGGGGCACAGTCGCAACTTCAACTGATCTTCCGCGAGGCCTGGTTGAATCCGGATCGGCCGCTTTTGGTGCCGAGCCTTGCCGCCGCTACTCAGCCCACGAGTCAAGGTCGGAATCTGCTGCCCATGATCAGTCTCTACGACCTGGCGCTCCTGGTTTTCCGCGTGGCAGCGTCGCCGTCACCACCTCCGAAGAAATACCTACTGGTGGTGGACAAGACCAGCGGCAGCACGACCCTGCGCGACGTGTGCCGAGGAGTCAGCACCTTGCTCGCCTCGGGACACGTACGTGATCGCGACGACTCTACTAGTGCCGCTGATGCTGAAGCTGACGCACTGCTGCTGGATGAGGAGGAGGAACTCGTAGCACCGCTTCAACTTCACCTGCGCTTCGACACGTCCGCTGGAGCGATGCATTCGCTGGTGGCACCGGAAGAGTGGCGCCACTACTCGCGAGGTCTACTAGGAAACTTGGCCTTCTTCGTGGACGACTTCGTCCACGCGATGGACTTGCGTCCGCTGCGCACGGTCGTCCTGGGAGCACCTCGTGCTGGTAAAACTCTGCTTAGTCGGCGGCTTGCGAGAGATTACTATCTGCCGTATCTGTCCCCGACAACTCTGCTGAACGAGCTTTTTGCGTCTGAAAATGACGCCGCACCTTCCCTTCCGGTCAAAGTTGTTCAGGCTGATCGAGAGAGCGACGGAGGGCAGCAAGACAACGACGGTGAGAAGCAAAACGAGGTCCCAGAGGTGTCAGAGACTCAGAAGTTGCGCGACGAGCTGCAGCAGTGGGCTCCGACTTCAGCCGGTGGCTCGAGTGAGAATATCAATCAGCTCCCTGAAGCCGCGCTGGTAGCTTTGCTGCGTTGGAAGCTGTGCAGTGCTGCGTGCCGAAACCAGGGATACGTGCTTGATGGGCTCCCGATCTCGGCGGCCCAGGCAGAATTATTCTTCGCGCCGGAGCCTACTGGCGATGGCAACCCTGACGGGGAAGGCGAAGGCTCAGGTGAAGCTGGTGAAAATGGCAACGGCGAGGCGGTCGATGGCGGTGAGGCTGCAGTTGGAGAAGAGAACGACGAGGGAGGAACTACCGCGCCTGTAGTAGATATCGAGGCTGTACTGGCACGTTTGAAGCCCCGACGTCTCGTTCTCGCGCCCAACCGAGTGATGGTGCTGCAGGCCCCACGGACTCTGCTGGAGATTCGCGCGCAGTCGTTGTCAGAGGCTGAAGCGGAGCGCACGGAGAACACGCAAGACGCATTTGCTCGTCGTTTCGACGAGTTCGAGGCCAACATTGAAGCTCTGGAGGCTGTGTTCGAGAAGCCAAAGCATAATCCCGATGTGGCTGAGCAGAAGACGAGCTCTGCCGAAGGTGTGGAGGTGCTGGAACTGACTTTGAAAGACGACCATGCTTATCGTGACGAAGCCGCGTTCACGGCTCCCGTCCAGCGCTACATGGAGCAAGGAGGTCGAGCTCCTCGCAACTTTCACCCTACGCGCGCTGAGCTGCGCGAACAGCGTCGCGCAGCAGAGAAGCAAGCTCGTGAAGCTGAAATCCGTGCAGCCCAGCGCACTCAGGAGCAGGACGCTCAGGACGAGGCTGCTCAACAGGCAAAACTCGCTCGGGAACGCGCACGGCTTGAGTTGCTACAACGCGAGGAAGCCGAACTGCTTGAGACTCGAGCGAAGCCTCTGAGGGCGTATCTCATGGACACCGTCTTGCCAGCTCTCACCGAGGGGATGCTGGAAGTCGTCAAGGTGCAGCCGACCGATCCCATAGATTATCTGGCCGAGTTTCTCTTTCGCAAAGGCCAGGAGCTAGATGACGAAGCGAAGGAAGACTAAAACATGCTCGAATAAATGCTATGCATACATTAGCATTGTGATAGTGCACCCGTGCAACAAGGCCGCGAAGAATTCTCCTCGTGATGCTTGGCACTGGAAGTTTTGCTTATTCATGAGTAATATTACTGACATTTGAGTAATTTTTTACAATACTGATAGTTGAGTAAATACGACATTAGCGTGCGTGCGGTACAGACCAGGCCCGACTGCAATGTGAGTGTCGGCATGTTCGACTGGCCGTCGACAATGGTAAACTTACGAGGTGTTATGCTCAACGGATGGCTTTAAGGATCTTTAAAAATATAAAACTCACAACTTCACTCTTCCTCTGTGGAGAGTGAAGCTGTGAGTTTTATATTTTTATCTGCGCAGGGTGGTGGTGACTGACTGTAAAGTGGCCCTGAAGCATCAAGGGTATATCGATTTTCCGTGTCTCTAAGTGGTTTGCCGTCGTAACACCCTGCCCTCGCAGTGGAGATTCAAACACTTTCGCTTGCAACCTACATGTACTGCCATTGTTTGGACACTTGACGTGCCGCACTACAAGTACCAATATGTTTTCGATCTTGACATACATCTACGGGTCCCGTTTATTCCGTATTATTCCGGGACAAAATTCCTACCAGTTGTGCATGTCATCAATGATGACTCATCATCTCTCACGTGCACTGCACAGATTTCCTATAGTTGCAAGAACTGCAATGAGCTCCTTGAAGGCTAATATGATGAGTCGGTCTTAATGAGTTTCATTCAACCTTGTATCGTAGTAGGAGCCAATTTGCAGTAAGATCAGGGATTTTTCAAACATGAAAACATTTACATTCAAATGATCCAGCTTACTTCGTACGATAAAATTTGTAGTACCGGTATGCAGCACGAGCTTTGATGACGCGAGCTGGGCGTCCATTTCTTCATCCGCAAAACGCACCACGCATTTGTAGACATTTCAATTTGGTACATGGTACCAATACTGGGTTTGGACCTCCCCCTCATAAATCAAACGGGCGGAGGATGAAGGGCGAGCTGCGCAGCAGCGTTACATAGCTAAGGTAAGAGAGCGTTGCAGGCCCTTAAGGGTGCTGATCGACGTGATCAGCGCGATGGGCGCTAACACGGACGTGAAGTCACTGCTGTCCAAGGACGTTGGCAGGATGGCCGACTTCGCGATCAACCTGGTGGGAGGGAAGGCGGGGGGAAGCTGCCCCGCTCTTGAACCGTGTTTCAATTTTTTGAAAATCGGTTCACAGAGCCAGGAATGCCGAAAAATAAATTGGTGCTGAAATTATTGCAATAGATTTGAATCAATAATTTATTGACATGTTCTTAACCGCTATCTACCAGTTATCTTTTGAGTTGAGCATGACATCTTCGATTATGTATTGTGGGCTACTGCAGCCAACCATCCTCCAAACCCATGGCTTGAGCTCGACCATACCAGCTCTCCCCACTTTTCATTCCACCGGAAGCCGACAACCCGCGACCAAGCCCACCACGAGCCGCCACAATGCTCGCAGCCCCCCGTCCGCCTCGCACGGCCGCCTTCACTAACAGGCAGGTCTCCAACTTCTACTTCCGGCCGTGCCGCGACCAGTACGACGAGGTCATTCTCGAGTACTTCCGTTGCCGGTGCGGCACGGTCCGGAAGCGAGTCACGGGGACGGGGTACTCGAACCCGATGCAGCATATCAGGCGCGAGCACCCCTCGTACTCGGAGGAGATGCTGGCCGCAACACCCGGTCAGACGGGCTCTCTTGCTCACTACGTCCGCCACTCTGCCCAGAACTTGTTCGGTTGGCTGGAGTGGCTGGTGAAGTGCAACCTGCCGCTATCATTTTGCGAGATCAAGCTCGCAAGACGGTACGACCCAGCTCCCTACTGAATATGTACTGTTTGACAATTAACTACTTCTGTGTTTACACTTTGCATCTAGTTACACGCGCCTCCAGCCTGTCTCTGTCGAAACGCTTCGGCGCGTCATGGACGCGGTGACGCGCTGCGTCGAGCACGCGATCGCGGCTGAGATGCCGGAGGAGTTTGGTATCATCTTTGACGGGTGGAGCCACGACTCGGAGCACTACATCGCGGTCTTCGCGTGCTACGAGGTTGATGGGGTTCTGAGGTGCCCCTTGCTCTGCATGGCACCACTCGTCAACGATGAGACCGACGACTTCTCCGCGGCTAGTCATCAAGCCTCCTTGGCTACGATGCTAGCGCGCGACTATCAGAAGCGCCTGGACCAGGTTCTCTTCCTGGTGGGAGATAATTGCGGCGTCAACCGCCGCCTCGCTACGCTGATGGGCGTCCCGCTAGTTGGGTGTGCAAGCCACCGACTCAACCGAGCCGTCGCCGCCCGGCTGAGCGAATGCGCTGAAGATGTCGACATGGTACAGGCGCTGATGGTAAAGCTGCGGACCCTCCACCATTCTGCAAAACTCCGGTTAGTATTTGTATATTTCCTGTTATTTTTGCTATTTAGTGTGATTTGACTGAAATTGACACTTTGGTGCTTGCAGGTTCAAGACCGACCTTCGACCAATCATCCGCCAGCAAACCCGCTGGGGTTCGACCTTTGCGATGATTAACCGCTACTTCGAGCTTCTACCATTCATCGACGCGGAGGACGACGAGTTGACCGAGCTTCTTCCCCCGGCGGCGTCCAAGCGGCCGCTTCGGGACCTGATCGGCGAGCTGAAGGACGTGGAGTCCGTGTTGAAGGCTCTCCAAGGCGCTGACGCAAACCTCCTCGACGTTCGCGTCTGGTTCGACGGTCTCATTGCCGCGAAGCCCTCGTACGCCCGTTATCTCGGTACGTTTTTTTTTCTATTATGCGTTATTAGTACATTTACTAATATTAATTTGTTTGTATTGTATTGTAGCACCGCGGGCTGACATCGTCCACAGACCCGACTTCGAGGCGGGCTGCGTCAAGGTGCTCAAGGGGCAAGCCAAGCGGCTGACCCGGGTGGAGAAGGCGGCGCTGGAGCGCTTCTTGGCGGCTCCACCAGCGGGTGAGGGCGAGCAAGAAGTGAAGGATGAGGAGGCCAGCATCTCCTTCGTGGAGCGGCTGCAAAAGCGTCGGCGCCTGGAAGAGCATCAACCATGCTACGAACTGCTGGCGTCCATTCCGCCCACGTCCAACGTGGTCGAGCGATTTTTTAGCATCGCTCGGGCCACGTTTGGGCTGCAGCGCCACGCACTGCAGCCGTACACGCTGGAGATGCTGCTGTTCCTGCGGCAGAATGCCGATTATTGGGACGCGCGCACTGTTGAGAGCGCGGAGTAAATGATAGGTATGTAACCCATCAATACACTGACATTGCACCAATAATCTATTTTGCTGTGTGAAGTATGTCGATATTCTATTGCGGGTTTGTTTAGTTTGATGTTCAATTATCTATTCTCTCTTCTTGCTTGCAATAGATAACAATGCAATATTCGGCGACCCTGCTCTGTGACAGAGCACACGGCAATCACTCGAGGCGCGTTGGTGCAGCGCCTGTGGTCGCCAGATAGCACAGATAGCTTACATTAGATTAGCATAGTGTTTAGTTTGAGATAGCGAACTGGCGAACGATATTAGTTGCATGCATGCTTCACTAAAGCCGCAATTAGTTTTTTTTCGACGTTCACCGTTTTGGGCTCTTTTTGTTCCCTTCTTGGCGGGATCTCCCCAATTAAAATTGAGATTTTGGGGAGTAACAAACAGTTTTTATTGAAAGTCCCCAAAACGTTTTGGGGGATTTTAGGGGACTTTGGGTACGTTTTGGGGATGAAGGAAATTCTCCTTACGTAGTCTGCTGCAACCGCGCTTGTAATCAGCCGCGAATGTGGTGCAGCTCTACCAGTTACCGACGTATGGAAAACGAACACTCGGCCGGCCATTGCCGCTTCCAACAACGACAACGACAAAAGGCTCCTGCGGGTCTACGGTAGTACGGGGACCGATGATGAGGAACGTATCCCTGCGAATCCGAACAAGACGGAGATCGACTTGAGCAAGACTCCGATTCTTCGGAAATATACTTCAGCCGACTTCTGTAAGTCGTACTTGACAGCCATGCTGCAAAACCCACATTCAAGGCCAAGATGTTCAAGAAGTGGGATTTGTAAGGTAATCGTGAAAAAGATGAAGAAGCTTTCGAGCCCGGGACTAGCAGTAGAGTATCTTAACAGGCGGGCCACAGGCCTTCGTGCTGGCAACATCGAGGTACGCTATTAGCCTTCCAGGCTGGTATGTTAGCTCAAGCACGTCACCACCTGGGCTGTCACGAGGCCAGCAATTAATAAGCTTGGTATTCAAAATCCTTGCTGGTGTGCATCGATCTTTTTGCCAGTCTACTTGTTGACGGCACTCAAACTTAATTAGTTTCTAACCATTGCGAATTGTTATGTCTTCATGCATGACACGATCGCCGATTTTTACATGAGTAGGCTGCTTGCTAGCGACAGATCGCAGAATTTGCGTAAGTTCCTCGCTGTTAAACCCCCTCGCGCGATCAGCCTTAACGACTGAGTGTATAAACATATTCTTGAACTAATGATGTCTTGCGGATTCACCGGATTCCTGTGCCTCACGCCGCCCTCGACTTCGCCGAGACTGCACAACGCGTAGCCATCCATACAGTACAAATATCGTTAGTTTGAGTCAACACGGCAAGTTCTGTCTGAAAACCACATACCAAAGCCTGCATGAGTTCTTGCTCGCGCTGTTGCAGTTGCTGAACCTGCTCCCGTAACTGCTTCATCTCATTGCTCGGGCTGCTCTTGCCAATTGAGACAACCTGTTGTTGACTTTGACTCTGCCGAAGAGCTCTGTTCTCAGCTTCAAGCTGGCGTAGTTTCTGCTCTGTCGCCTGGGCTCGCTGTGTTAGTCTCTGGTGGTCTTCTTGGAGTGCCTGAAGTTGGTTGCGCTGTGAGGCTGGGAGTCGTGAAGGCGATAGCGCGGGGAGTGAGGGCTTTGGTACGCTGCGAGAGGTCGGCGACGTATTGGCCAGGGGAAGCAGGCGCGAACTGGATGGAATGGATGCTAGGCTGGGCGGTCGCTGGAGCTGGTTATTCGCTTGATTCAACGTCGATCCAGCTAGCTGCAGTCGAAGTCGAAGTGCATCATTCTCAGTTCGGAGCACGTGGTTCTCGTGCCGCAAGTTGCTGAGCTCTAACTCGATGGGGTCGACTTGCACCGCCGGTTTGTTGCGGATATTTTTCGCTCGCGTCGCGTAGTTGAGTGTGCTTAACGTGTCTTCCAGTGCTACGGCTGACGGAGACACACATGCGATCATTAGTGTCAGGCTTTGGCCTCCAAGTGAGTCCATCAACAGCTTGGTGAGTTTACTATCCCTGTACGGAATGAAGTGGCTGGTGCCAGCCGCAACGCCAGGATTGTTCCCTGATGACGAGGCTGCTAACGCCGAGATGACTTTCCCCAGAGTAAGCAGGCTCCGGTTAATGTTGCTAGTTTCCTCTGTGTTGTTCGACCTGGTTTCTTTCAGCCGCTCGCTGCCTGCGAGATCCACGAAGCTCATTTTCCCATATCTCGTGACATCATGACTCTGACCGCTGTCGGAGTCACGCGTCTCGGTGCGGTCCACGTGAACAGTTAGCAGCGAGTGACTGCGACTTGAGTCGGCATTCATGCCGTGTGACCCCACATGTCGATTTCGGTGACCTTCGTCGACAACAGCCAATACATCGGAAAGCGAGTCACAACGCACAACGAGGAGGTCCTGCACGTAGAAGCCTGCTCGAGCGTTCCATCGCACATTCAAGGCGCCCGAGCCTGGATTCAGCAGGTCGAACACCTGCTCGTTGTAGATCTCACAGTACGAGGCACGGACGACAGTCTTCACGTCAACCGGCGCTTGCTCCAACAGCGCAAAGAGGTGCTTGAGCGCTCGAGGGATTAGTCCGTCGGAGTTCTCCAAGGAATTGTTAGACACTCCCATGCGTTCCTCACGGGATCCTGTCCCTGCCAGCAGCTCGTCCAGACCTGACATGCTGTAGGTCTTGCCGGATCCCGTCTGTCCGTAAGCGAAAACAGTGGCAAGGTAGCCTTCCACCACCGACTCGAGCAGCGGGATGACGCCACAGGCACGGAAAAACTGCCCCTGTGATAGCTCCTCCGAGGCGCACAGATCAAACTGGAAGCTGCGTACGAGCTCTCGAGCTGAACCAGAGTTGGTGTTGTTGCTACCACTGGCAGAGGACACGACTTGGAGGGTGGTCGACTCCTTCGGCAGGAAGCGGAACAGCGAAAGATCTCCACGCGCTCGCTCCGTTGCGTTCATGGGGCGACATCGCACCACCACGCGCACCGTGTCGGCAGGCCTCCCTCTCGTATGATTACCGGTATCAATTTCATCGTGACCTGCCTCTCGAATGACGGCCAGGTCGGCGGAGCTGTTCACAAGTCGGCTCGGACTTGGTCTGGCGGCACGAGGCGTCGGGTCATCCGGCGTCTTTGAGCGCTGCACCGACGGCAGTCCAGATGCCACCCGTCGAGGCACCGAGACCGCCACACTTCCCGGCGAACGAAGACGACGCGCTCGTCGCAGCTCAGCGCCTTTCATAGACTATCGGTGGCTTGGCCACAAATAACGTCAAGCAGCTGCAGCAGCTTCAACTTGTATATCCTCGAAAGTATTTGCACAACGTCAAAGTACCTTTATCCACAAAAGTATTTCATGGTTGGTACACTGTACCCGGATATGAGTTGCCACGCGTCGAGCCCCATACTTTAAATCGTCATCATGGCGTTCCGCTCCCTCCTCTCGGCGCTGTGCCTGGCGCTGGTGCTGGCCGTCGCGCAGGCCGCGCGCACCGCTGTGGTGCTCGAGTCCCCGGAGCTGCAGAAGACGCACTCCAAGTTCTTCAAGCTGCTGGAAGGTACGGCGGGCGGGCGCAGTGGCAATGAGTGTGTAGAGTGGAGTATCCGTAGCTGATCCCTTTCGTCTTGTGTGCATTCTATTCGCAGCCCGTGGCCATGAGCTGAGCTTCTTCGCGGGCGAGGAGAAGCAGCCGCTAGAGCTGGAGCGCTTCGGGGAGCGCACGTACGAGAACCTGGTGCTGTTCACGCCCCAGAAGGCGCTGGGCTCGCTGCGCAAGTCGGACTTGCTGCACTTCGTGGAGGAGGGCGGCAACGTGCTGCTCTCGGCCAGCAAGAAGCTCACTAAGGTGCAGCGCGAGTTCGCGCTCGAGTGCGGCGTCGAGTTCGAGAAGAAGGGCAACGTGGTGCTGGACCACGTCAACCCCATCGCGGACGACGACGACATCTACAACTCGGTGATCGCGGCCAAGGACTTCGTGGCCTCGGAGCGCGTCGTGGGTGCGCTGGCCTCCAAGCCCAAGCCCGTCGCCTTCTCGGGCGTCGGCATGTCGCTTGAGCCCAACAACATCCTGGCCTTCCACGCGCTCATGGCCCCGGCCACGGCGTACTCCGCCAACCCCGTCAAGCCCATCACGGACAAGGTGGTGGCCAGCGACCTGCTCTTCGGCAACCAGATCGGCCTCGTGACGGCCGTGCAGGGCCGCAACAACGCCCGCCTCATCTTCGCCGGCTCGCTCGACCTTTTCAGCGACAAGTACATGGACGACAAGCAGTTCGCCAACGCCGAGTTCGCCGACGCCGTGACCAAGTGGGGCTTCCAGGAGAGCGGCGTGCTGCGCATGACCAACGTCAAGCACCACCGCGAGGACGGCTCCCAGCCGGCCAAGATGCTGAGCGACGCCAACCGCGGCGACCAGCCGATCACGCTGTACCCGGACGCCGAGGTGGCTCGTGACTCCCTCGTGTACCGCGTGAAGGACAACCTCACGTACTCGCTGGACCTGCACGAGCTCAAGGACGGCAAGTGGGTGCCCTACAAGGCGGACGACGTGCAGCTGGAGTTCGTCATGCTGGACCCTCATGTGCGCACAACGCTCACGCACGACAACAAGGGCCACTTTTCGGTGACGTTCCAGGCTCCCGACGTGTACGGGATCTTCCTCTTCCGTGTCATGTACCGCCGCCTCGGACTGTCGACGATCTACACGACCACGCAGGTCTCGCTTCGCCCGTTCAAGCACGACGAGTACGAGCGCTTCATCCCGGCTGCGTACCCGTACTACGCCTCGGCGTTCTCCATGATGGCTGGTGTGTTCCTCTTCAGTGTGTACTTCCTCTTCTTCGACGGCAAGAAGTAGGAATGTGGATGCATACGCGCGAGCCTTAGCCAAGCAAAAACTCGCTGACTAATGCGATTTCAGGAGCTAAGATCAATGCATGCCGTTCACAAACAACAACTTCCAATGCATCAACATTTCAATTCAAAGCTACTTGCAGTCTCCACGTAGGCTTATACTTGCACACCCTTACGCCAGCTGCTGCTTGAGCGGCGCTGGCACCACTAGCTCAGGAGCAGCGTGGGGCACTTGGAACCCTTGCCTCCGGGCTTCATGGGCTGGTGAGTGCGCCTCCGCTGTCTTCTGGAGCTTCTCGGGGCTCATTCCCCGGTGTGACGCGCCGCTGTGCTCGTCGGAGTCCATCTCAGTGTCCGAGTCCGTTCCGATAGCGGAGACCAGAGGGCGACGCACGCGAGATTGACGCGGGCGCTTGGAGCCGACCATGCGGCGGCTCTTTGTCGTACTTGAGTTCATGTACCTGTCCTGCAGCTTCTGCAAAGCTTCCTCCGCCTCCAGATGCTCTTCCATCGTCACGCCACCGTGACGGACGTAGGTAGAAGACCCCAGCTTCTTTGGGATGCGGATCTCCGCAATGGACTCGCTGGCGAGCTTCTTGGAGATGCGCATCGGGTTGCAGCACAACCGCGCCGACAGAAAAGCGCGGAGTGTGGTGCCCTCAGCGATGTCGAGGATCCCCTTAAAGAAACAGTCAATCAGGGCCGCTGCGAACACCTCTTCGTCGTGAGACCATGGGCCGCTACGGCGAAAGTAGCGCACGGGACTCGCGGTCGGCGTGCTGGCAATGCTGGCTGTTCCCGTGCTGGAGACACTTGCCACGCTGGACTTGCGCTCGCTCTTGACGGGGGTCGCCACCGGAGGAAGGGCGTTCTTGTGCGCCTCCTCGCGGGCTAAACGCAGCTCGGTGAGGCGGCTCTCTACCTCGAAGAGCTCCTCGGAGAAGTCCTCGTCGTCCGAGCTATCCGATGCGTGTTCTGCATCCTTGCGCTGGTACGTGATGGAGCCGACATTGTCCGGAAACTTTTGCTCGCCCATCCGCTGCGGGGCTAGCTTCATCGAGAGCTGCTTTGGCGTGCAGCCTAGTTGCTGGCACAGATAGGTCACAAGTCGGGTGCCTTCAGGGAGGTCAAGCATGCCGGCCATGAAGTATTCGAAGAGTGACGAGACCAGTTCCTCCTCTTCAGGTGACTCGAACCCTGTACGGATGATCGTGGGCTTGCCACGCTTGAGCTTCAGGCCTTTGCGCGTCCCTTTCCTCTTGCTATCGTACGCTGACGACTTCTGGTGGTAACTGTGGTGGCCGTAGCTGTCCTCGTCGTAGTCGTCCTGCTTAAGGAGCTTTCGGTGGGAGCGTCCGTCGTTCATGTCGTCTATATAGTGGCTGTTTAATACGCCAGAGCTGAAGCTGGCATCGCGGAGCTTGGCTAGCACGCGGTCAACCTCCTCACGCACTTCAATGCTGGGAGGAGGTTGGGCAGCTACAAATACCGAGGCGCCAACTTTGCGTGGGATTTTCTGCCCCGCCAGGGACTCGGTGCCGAGCTTCATTGAGACGCGGCGGCGGTTGCAGCAGAGCTTTTCGGCGAGGAACTTGCGGAGCGTCATGCCCTCGGGCAGATCCAGGAGGCCTTCCAGGAAGTAGGACACGAGGGCTGCAGCGTACTCCTCCTCGGCCCTAGACCAGATCCCGCTGCGCAGATACTGCTGCGGCTTGTCACCCGTGGGGGACGACGGGGCCTTGGGGCGGCGACGCTTGATCATGGCGTCCGCCTGGACCAGCAGGTCCAGCTTGGACATAAGGTCGTCTCCTCCCGCCGCCGCGGCGTCGGCGGAGGAGGACGACTGCTGCTGTTGGTGCTGTTGTTGTTGTTGCTGGGCCTCGGCCAGGTTGTTCTCCTTTCCATCCTCGCGGCCAGCTGCCGCTTGCACCTCGTCGTCCGAACGAGGGAATCCTGGCTTAACATCGACGACGTCCACGGCCTCCTGCTCGCGCTTGCCCTGGTTGACGTAGTAGCGCTGGGCGTGAGCCCCTCTTCCACGGACGTCGTGGGGCGAGGGCGCGGGGGACTCGGCGGCCGGCTGCTGGAAGTCCTGGAGGATCGCCACGGCGCACTGCAGCTCGTCGGCGCTCCACTTGCGGCTCGGCCCGCGCTCGCGCTGGGGCTGAGGCTGCGGAGGGGCCGGGGCCTGAGGCGGAGCGGCGGACCCGTCCTCCTCGAAGGCGGGGCTGAGGATCATGGAGAGATCCATCGCGGTCTGTCTGAGTGTCTGGTCGGCTTCTTCTTGCTGCTTCTGTGCTGTTGCTGCGGCGCTGCTGGGGAGAACTCGAACTGAAGGCCAGACAGAAACGCGGACAACCCACCAACCACAGCAAGCACCTGGCGCGACACGGCGAGCCCACTTTGAGCGCGCCGAACTTGCGGTGTTGGTGCGTCCGTCACGTCACGCTTTATCTAAAGATTTGTATGGAGTTGCACCTGCAACCTCACACAAAATATGCGTTTTGGGACGACAAACCAGGATTGCCCAACCGCCGCACTTTGTGTACACGCTCGCTTGCGAGGGCGAGCGGGGGCTATTCCAGGCCAGCGAAACCCGTTGCTAGGCCCGCGTAGGGGGCGCCGGGCAAGTTCTAGCAGTGCAGTGTAGTAGCGTGTACATCATCGCTGTCTCTGAGGGTGTCTAGGGGTACTCTCGTTGCTCTTATATGGGATGGTTGAGCGGACGACGAGCGGACAAGACGATGCTCATTCTGGGACAAGAAGACAAAGACACATGAGCGGTGCTTTCTTTGGGGACGGGGACTCATACTCGTCACCTGAAGTAGCTACGCGGAGCAACCGTGCTGTCGCTGCGACGGACGCAGTCACACCGGCGTCAATGACTCCTCTGGTCGCCAGCATCGATCGCATCAACGCTGCTCTGGAAGCTGCAGTGGCACAGCCTCCACCGCCGACCGGTACATTGCGTGTGTGCCACGCAACGGAAGATGAATGGAACGCTTTTGCTGACAGCGAGGGTCAAATCGTTCGACTCAATTATCTTGAATGGTTTGCTGACACGGAAGAGATTCACATCATCGAGTTTGCCGACGCTCCCCACGAAAAATACATCGGGGAGCTACACGATCAATTTCGTGAGCGGCATGTCAAGCGATGGCTTGCAAGCTACATGGCCGCCAAGAATTCTCAAGGGCCACGATGGTGTCCAGATCTCAGTTATGGGTCACGCGAAGACACACCGCACTCTTTGCTTCCACCAAACATTCCAATTCTTGCAGACTTTCGGACGATCAAGGTTGAAATTGGAGTTTCTCAGGAGTGGGGCATGGCACATGGACAACTCGACCACAAGGCGATAGCGATATGGGCTGTGATGCCAGGAGTTGAGTACGTGCTGTGTGTGAAATTCGAGCCCGACTTTACGAATGCGGAATACAAGTTGTATGATGCTCGCGTCAATCCACTCGTGCAGCTGACTCCACTTCCAATCGTCGCTCCAAGTACCGTGATCCAGTTGGACGGACGTCGAATTCTTGGTATTCCACCAGGGATGGCGCTTCCGGTAGGGTTTCCTGCAACTCTGTTGGTGGATTTGTACTCTCCATTGGTCTGGGCAATGCGTTAATCAGACATCCAGCAATCTCTTGCGCAGCAACTACTGAGTGATCTGATTGGATAAAAATAATCATAAATTCATGTGAAACCGCCGCCGTGGAAAACCGGTTTTGTACCGGTATCTGCCGCATTCTATTGTGACACTGCACGGTGACTCTGGATGCGAGTATTTTGTATTAAACTCACAGATTTTAACCAAAAAAACATACCACGAGAAGGGCCGTCGTATATGTTACATCTATTGAATTTGTGAATATGTGAGTATTTTGAAATGCCCTTTTTAGCCAGTCCATATATTTTGCTTTTTTTTGGGCGGGGGTCCTTACCCCCCCTATTTTTATATGGTAAATTTATCCCAATACTCACATACTCACATACTCACAAATATTTACTATTGATATAAAGATACTATATGAACTATTGACATACTCTAAGTGAAAGCTTTGTGAGTATTTTCATTTTACTCACACTTTCATCTAAAATCTATCTCCTATTGATATTAGATGAACCAAACCATGTTTAGTTTATTGTTTCGCGTGAGGCAAGACTTTATGGACATCCTCGAGACATATAACATGAATCATCATCCGCTAATGTGACTTTTTCGACCTCGTCGAAATCGACAACATAAAAAAAAGATGACTCGCGGTGGGATCCCCGCACGAAGACATCATAAAAAAACTATGATCCTCACTGATACTTAGCGCGCAACTGCGCAAGACTTGGTATTTCCACGATATAAACTTTGGCTGGAGAAGTATTCTTGGTGATGCGATTAAAGTCATCCAGGGTAATTCGTGACTCAACAATTACTTTTGGCTTTGGAGTTGGTAGTGAGTAGTAGCCCTCATCAATGCGAATTGGCTCTGGCTCTTGCTCGTCAATATACTCGATATCCATTGTGCGACTCTTTGTATATTACAACTAGAGATACTTAAGTTACAACTCGCAGCAGCCGACATCGACCATGATGAGTTGCCCGTATTTGAATGGATGCTCCCGGCAGAGCAATTGATCAACCCTTAAAACTAATGCATTTCTGTTTGGATCATATGATATGAAACGACACCAAAAGGTTTCTCCCTGGCCAAATACTTTTACAAAGAACCCATCATTCGTATCGTATTCGTCGATTATTCTGTAATCCAAGTTTAAAGATCCATGTCTATATTGAAACGATTGATCAAAAATTATCAGACTGATCTTTGAATAATCTGAAGAACTCATTCACTTTTCCGTGTTGCACGTAGTAAAGCCAAAGCACAGAATATTGCCCACAGTGCCCGAATCGCGGGTTTTGGACTGTTTCGTTGTAAGATTTGTAATCTTTTGGAATCACGCGCGGACGAGGTAAATTTAAAGGGTCACTGTAAGCCTTATGCTTGTTTGATACTGCCATCCAGTGCTGACCGCCGATCATTGGATTCCCCATGTTAATAATGCAATAGTCTTTGTTTTTATCTAGCTTCTGCTTGAAATCAATTTGATCTACTTTGACACCGAGTGAGTTGGCGAGTTTCATGAGTTGGTTGTCCGTCGTTCTGGACAATTTAATAATTCTTTTTTCGCTCATGGTGCTTTATTTTTTTCTGGGTATAATATAATCGTCATCAATATAATCGTCATCAATATAATCGCATAAACTATGTCTTCTGCTTCAGATATCTCTGCTTTCGAACATTCTGTTGAACCAGCTCCAGCAGAAAATTTGTTCCGCGACAAGAAATGGACATACATTCAGGACTCAACCAGCAATACGGGCCAGTATGCCGGACAAATCCAATTTAACCTTTCGACCATCTCTTCGCAAGCCGCATTTGTAAATTGGGAAGAAGCCGTCATCGAGTTGCCTGTTAAGCTTCAAATTCTTAATGGTGGTGCCGGTTCGGTCACTTCGACTGCGGCCTGTACTATTGACCAATTGGTACCAAAGGCCGGAGCATGGCAATTCATTGACAGCGTTCAGGTTGTTATTGACGGAACTACTGTGCAAACGAATCAGGTTCATGAGAATGTGAATACCACCTTCAAGGCTCTGACTGAAACGGATTACAACGTATGTCAAGCATGGAGCAACTAGCAATTTTGTATTGGATGAATATTCCACTCCAACGATTCAAGGGTCAAGCGGAGCAGCGCAATCACTCGATAACCTGGCCACTTCGTCCTTTATGACAGATATTAATGGCTCTACTACTAATAACCTTGGTGAGTTTGGTTTAGCTAACACCTTCTCGAACCGTGGAGCCGCCGAACGATCGCTTTTTACCGCTCTTGACCAAAAAAGCTCGAAACTTGCATTCGATGTTATGGGAGGTAGTGCAAATCTTCAGGCTGTATCGAAACCTCAAGTCTATGTGGCTCCTGCTGGCGCCGTTGCTGCTGGTTCGCCATTTTACGTCGCGCATTATCTAGCTTGCATCAAATTGCGGGATATTTGTGACTACTTCAAGAAATGCCCAATGCAAAAAAATACGCGCGGTTTCATTTACCTCAACTACAACAGCTCATCTACTACATTGGTTACAACTGGTACTGCTGGCGTTGTCGCGCCTGCTACTATTGCTAGTTTGAGCAACAACATGAACTTCGGAAACACGTGCCCAGTACTTTGGAACCTGAGCAGTGGTGCAACGACAACGGCTTTGGCGGGTGGCCTTGCACTACCAGCATCTGCGGTGACTCTATCGATTACAGCCGACGTTAATGGTACTCCCACCGCTGGAACTGGCATCACTCCATCACAATCGTTCTCGCGTCTTCTCGTTCCAACATACTCGCCTAATCCAAGCGCCGACCATGCTCTAGCTCAGAAGAAAACGTTCCGCTACTTCGAACGAATTACGAACAAATTCACTGTTGCGCCAGGTGCTTCCTTCACTTGGACGGTTAGTAATGGTATTGCTAACCCAAAGCGTTTGATCATGCAACCTGTTATTACCAATCCAACGGCAGGTGCTACTGTATCGGATGTGATCAATCCATTCCGTAGCCCACTATCGACAGTACCAGCAACGACTAGTCCATTTGCTGCATTGAAGAACTTGCAAGTAACAGTGGGCAACGTGCCCATCTGGAACAATCCTGTCAGTTTTGGTTATGACTTATTCTTGCAGGAGATGTCAAAATCGGGTGTTGATGGCGGTCTTGATGATGTCACTTCGGCTGGTTTGCTATCGCAGCGTCAATGGGAATCACTGTATCGATTTGTAGCAGTTGATATTGGTCGTCGTCTTCCAAGTGAAGATGGTGCTAGTAAGAGTATTATCGTCTCTGGTACATCGAACTGTAACTACGCTTTAACGATCTATTACCATGTATTGCGAGAAGTTGTTGCAACCGTTGATACGGCTATGGGCACGGTATCGCAAGGTCCAGTTTAAGGTTAGGTATCGCAGATACCATGACATCTTCGATCTCGATTGATCTTCAATCTAATTGTTATTAAACGATTTTTTTTAATCAGCTTCAATATACGCTACCTAATCGAAATCAATCATGAGTGGCTTTTTCTCCGATAATCAGACCAAGCAAAAAGCTTACGACCGCTATTACAATGCAATGGCGAAGAGTGATTTTGTTCAAGGCAAGAAGCTGAAGGCACTCATTCAACACGAATCACTAGACGATGCAAGCGCTGATTCACTTGCAAATTTGTTTCAGCAAGTAATGGCTAAGAATCGTGAATATGAGTATGATGAAATCACGAAGAAACTCATAAAAGGTCCCAAAGGTCCTCCTGAAATCATCAAAGGTGAATCAAATGAAGCACCCAAATCTAGTAAAAAGAAGCATACATACGTACCAACATCGACTGACACAGATGTCAATATGGAAGAGCCCACTGCGCCAGAAGATTTCTACAAAGGAGTAAATGACGTTGCCCAAAAGGCCGTAAATACCCGAGCATACATTAAAGGAAAAAAGTCTTTAAGAGAGGTCGTGGATGACCATGTTCTGAATTATTTAAACAAGCAAAGAGAGTTTAGAAAAGAGGATTCAAATCGAAGACGTCAAGAAATGGCGGACAAATTTGCTGAAGAAGTCATGAAGGAATCAGCAAAACTTCTGAAACGAAAACGAACTGTAACTCCTCCAAATAAATCTCCTACTGACAAACGAGCGACAAAAAAAGCGGCTAAACGAGCTGAAGCGGAACCCTCGCTTACTCGACAACTATTTCAAGACTCGGATGATGCAGAGAGCAGTGACGACGAAGAAATAAAAGAAGAGAAGAAATTACGTAGCTTTAATGCTGGCATAAAAAGTATATACTGACGACATTAATAGCTACAAAAGTTCATTTGCGAATAACTTGTATGAAAGTATCAAACAAAGATTTGAGGAAGCTGTCGAGCTGCGCAAAGGCAAAGGCTATTTTGATGACAATGCTCCTAAACCGCCAAGAAAACATAAAATGAGACGAGATGCTATGAATCAGTACAAAGCTGAAATGAAAGGCTGGCTCGATGGAATCTTTATCTAAACTGAACGTTGTTCAAGTAATTTTTTTCTAACTCATTCACATTTTTTATTAGGAGTTTGATGGCAGCAGCATTTAGCGCACCAAGTTGAGAGTAATCAAGAGTATATTGATATCCTTCCAGATCATTGTCGCCTTCTTCTTTCATATTTTCATTTGGCATAATGCTGACCATTTCTCCACACACTTTCATTGCATCCTGCGCAATCAGTCCAAGTTTTGCTTTGGTCTCTCCCTTCCAGTTGCAACTGACTGGTTCCAACTTATCATAGTGGTCCAAGGTGATTGAAATAGGTGTTATATTCTCCTTGAGTCGCCTATCAGAACTTGTGTATATGGATTGCACACAGAAAATGGAAGAGGAGAATATCGCAGAGACCGTAACACTGACTGGGCCTAATCCCAGATTGCTCCAAATGTTTCCTTGTACATTGTATTGATAACAATTTGATGTTCCGCCAACGCCAACCGTGTATGAGTTTGATCCAGAGACATGCAAAGTCGCCGGTGGCGATCCAGTTCCGATACCGACTCTACCAGTCGAAGATACTGTAACCCTTCGTGTATTTGTGGTCATTAAAACCAAATCGTTGCCAGTGGTCGTTCCAAAATATGCGCTATTAGTGGAGGTCGCATTCGTTGCATTGCTCAATTGCAATCCAAACCCAATAGGCGATGCGTTAGACGATTCCATGAAGATTGGCATATCATAGTTGGCAGATCCATCATTGAGAGCATTAGAAGCTTTAATGTAAATATTACCTTGACTTAACGTAATAGGCGCAGTTCCAAATGAACTAGTGTATGGCGTATTAGTGTTGAAGATCATTTTATCAATAGTATCATTGACCAGGTAAAGGCAACCATTTCCATTTGGTAATGCCGATGTAGCCCCTGGTGATAAACTTAGAGCATCTGCAGTTGAAACAAAACCAAATGTACGAGGATATCCGCTTTTGTAAGGCTGTCCATTTCCAACATTGAAACAAAATCTATGCGTCTGAGATGTGAAGCCAACAGTTGGTTTATCATTCCAATTAATAGTGAATAAATCCGCGGTTGTAGCTGAAACGCCACCTACGAATAAACTTGGATTGTCAGTCGATATCAAATTCAACAACGGGTACGATTTGTTGTTTGATCCTGATGTCGTTCTTGATGCTATGACCAATCCATTAGAGTCAGATGTTCTGTAAATGTTCATCGTTTCGCGATTCGCAGTTCCGCCGTAGAAACGCAGATTATTTGTGCTCGATGTACCTAAAGGCATCAAGCCAACACCTGAACTATCGAGTGTCATTGATTTGGATGCTTGAAACGTTCCGGATGTGACGCCGGTAATAGTGGATAGATCAACCAATGACCCTCCAATGGTTAGAGAGCCGGTATCGAGATTGTCAGTCACACTCAATGATGAAACCATACCAACTCCGCCGAGTCTCAAATATCTTTGATCACCTGTAGTTAGTGTTAGATAGTCATTGTTGCCTGTGAAGTAAGAGCTATTGAATATAGGAGATTCGATAATTGGTGGAAGAGACATTTTTGATCACTATCATATACTATACAATGCAAAACTTCTACGAATTGATTCCGAAGTCCAAGCTCAAGCGATTCCCTAAGAATGAGCACTTTGAGCTACCATTTCGCATGTGCGTGGCCTCTCCTAGTGGATCTGGCAAAAGTATCACTGTTCTCTACATAATCGCCCTTCTTAGCAAATGCTTTACAAAAATCCTTATTTCTACAAAGTCCAATGAATTGTTGTATGACCATCTCAAAGACACTATCGATAATGTGGAGATTTTTGAAAACGGAGTCGTTCCAGCAATGAGTGAATACGACTCTGAGACTAGCAAACTGATCATCTTCGATGATTTGGTGCTCGAGCCAAAGAAGACACAGGCTCAAATTGGACAGTACTTCATCAGAGGGCGGAAGGCTGGGTTTAGCATGATCTACATTAGTCAATCGTATTTTGGGATTCCGAAGACTATTAGAATAAATAGCCAGTATGTGATATTGGGAAAGAATCTTACGAACCGGGACCTCGGTATCATTTGTCGTGACTTCCCCACTGATATCCCAATTAAACATTCATCGATCTTTACAAAAAAGAAACTAGTGACAAGTTATCTACGTTGATGATGGATATTATCAATCGCAAAATTATCGCAATGTAATTGAACCCGTCTGCGATTTGTGAGTCCATCTTAAGCGAAGAAAACACGTTATATAGAAATAGAACATTTATACTAATCATGATCGGACACATTACAGAATTATTCATACTGAGAGTAATACCCAATACATTGGGAGCACATTCAATGAACCTAGAAAGCGTTGGCAACAACATAAAAGTGATTACAGCAAATGGGTGAAAGGGACTCAACATAATTTATCTATTTACGCATACTTTGAGCAATTTGGAATTGAAAAGTTCAAAATGATTTTGATCAAAAGCTATGAAGTATGCGATAGAACGCATCTTGAAGCCTATGAAAGCCTTTGGATAAGCAAATTGAAATGTGTAAATAAAGCCATCCCTTTCCAGGTTAAAAAACTGTATATGAAGCAATATTTTGAATTCAATCGAGATAAGATAAATGAGCAGCGAAAGGAGTATCGTGATAGTAATAAGAATCAATTAAACAACATTTCTAAGCAATACTATCAGAAAAACAAAGCACGCGTATTAGCCAAACAAAAAGAAAAGTTTAACTGTCAGTGTGGAGGACGGCATTCTAGGAATGATAAAGCAAAGCACCAACGCACAAAAAAACATCAGCAATGGCAAGCATCTCAGTAATTCACTGCTACTTTTTTTATCCCGTTTTGCGTTCTCGGATCAACAAACGTATGCACAAATTGTTATCAATGATACCAAGTGGGATCATATTTTGATCCAGAAACGACAAAGTCAGTTCTGAATTAGTGCCTTGCATGGAGTATATGATAATCCTTGACACTGTGATGTTGTGATCAGTTGTCCGTACTGAACCCCAGCAGACGTGAAGGTGTGGAATACCTGGTTGTTACCCGCGATCGGGTTATAGAGATTTGAGCAAGTCACGACTACCGCTGCAACTGGATCTAATTGCGGCACTAAATTGCTATTTACTGCATAAACGCTCGTTTGCTGAACTGCCGGATATGTCGCAGGACTGAATCCGATGATTGTTCCAAAATTTGCATTATCGATTTGAAGCTGAGGCGTGTATGCTGTGACTGGAAGCGTTGGCATCCCTGAAGCAGGAGTGTATCCACTGATATTCTTGACTGGTTGCAAATTAAACGGTAGGGCGTAGCTAGAAGGGTTCTCAGCACATGAGATGAAATAGTAATATGCGCCTGTTGTGTTATTAATCAAATAGAGATTGTTCTGAATTGACCAGTATTGTAGGTAGTTGTTAATATCAGCAGCTGAATATGTACCATCTGGAAGAGTGATCGAATATGTCGTAGTAGTAGAAGCAGTTGGCCAAATAACTTTAAAAGAATTATTTTGACGCTGGGAGGTGATTGCTCGCCACGAATAGTAGATTGAGATACTTCCTAGCGCAATTTCATATTTGCTGAAATCGATTGGCTGTGAGAATCGATAACGAAACTGATGAGTAGCGACCTGATTATTGAGATTTAACAAAATGGGAAAACTCATTTTATCTCTTTGTATATACTAACAAAAAGAAAAAATGCATCGACGAAAGAGAATTAGACGGCAGTTGATGCCTCAAGCAATGATGGATCAGGCGAAGTAGATCATGAGCAATCGAAGATTGCAGGAGCCCTTCGGGCGTCCTCGAAACCTGTAGCTCCATCTAAAAATGATTATGGTTCAACGAATATTGAGACATTGTCCAATCAGCTTCAGAAGATCAGCATTAGCCACCTTGCCAAGGAGCAAAAAAAGATAAAGAAGCCTCGTTACATCGATGCTTCAAAACTACTTACCTTCAAACGTGGGTCTAAGAGAGCTTCATCAGACGCTTGAATTGGCTGTAGTACGATGCCGAAAAGACATTTTTCTCGTATAGCTTGTCAAGTATTGACTTCATTTCAGTCTTGATCGATGGATTATCATCGCCGATATTTTTTGCCCCTTCAAGCATCTTTAGACGCTTGACCAAACCATCCAGCAATTGATTATACGCACTTTCGAACCCTCGTGAAGTAATTTTGCATTTGTTTAAGCAGTATCTCATAAAGTCGCGCTCAGGCTCATCGAGATGATCAAACAAAGCCTTGTCAAAGTTTTATCCTCTTCGATCATTCGCCAGAGATCAACGAATGCATGAGATACTAGCATTGTTTTGATATTTACTTGACATTTGTCGCTTCTTAAGCAAGCTTGGAGTCCATGAAATTCCACATGGAATGGACCAGCTTTTCGGTATGGTCTCTTCTGTTTTTGCTCCATAATCGCTTTGTATGTTATATCAAATAAATTATTTCTCAAAGATGTCAATCTCGAGCGTCTTGTCGCTGCCAGTAGGTGTGAAGGCGCCATGGAATATGCGCTCCCGACGGTCTTTAGGTCTGCTCACGGGCATTGCAGCGGGCTTTGCAGGAGGTTTTGCAACGGGCTCTGGCGTTGTGTCAGCAATGTCTGGTTCAAATGATACTTCGGGAGCATTCGCTCGGTTTGCGATCTTGTTGTAGCTCGTGTTAGCAGCCATGGTGCTATGAAGTAGTTTAGCATGTAGATCATTCTTCTCGCGATTGGTGAGTTTCGCATATGTTGGTGATTGGATCAAATGAGACTCAGCAATGTGTCGGATCATATTCATTGACATCGGCTTTCCGTTGTACTTCATGAAGAGCTTTGATAGAACTTGACTAAAGCTGTTGCTTGAAGTTGTGTAATCGTACTCACCTGGCTGTCGATTGAAAATGCGCCATAGTAGCTTACTAGGCTGCTCTCCAAGCGTATTAGTCAAGAAGTCGAGATATGACTTGATCAAGCTCATCGTCGTACTATCTAACTGAATCGTTTGCGGTCCCATTAGTCGAACGTTCTTAAAATCGTTCAAATGTAACGTGTTACCTTGAAGGTAATTGATACCAGAGGTATCCGGCGATCTCTGATCGCTTATAGCTCCCTCCTCAGGAGCGAGAAGAACGCTCGGCCATACCAAACGAAGTGGATAATGCACGTTCAACCACAGTGTGATGTAATCAAACACGAGTTTCAAGTACTCAGTCCTCTTAGCGTTGGCCAGCTCCTCAAACTCGGATCGAGATAGAAATACTTTGCCGTACGTTTCAGTGAGCACCTTATGAACTTTACCAGGGACGGACATTAGCTCTTCATAGCTGATGTACTTCTTCTCTTCCTCTGGCGTCAGTTCGTTGTCTAGCTTTGCGGCTTTGTTTTGCTTACTTACATTCCTTTCGGATCGCATTGTAATATCCGAATGCATCGCGGAATCTGTTTTTAACCATTTTGCACATGGCGTTCAGTGTTAGTATGAGACTCTCTTTGCTTGTATAGATGCTCATCAGAAGCGCAATGATGCTCGAGTTCTGAACCTTGAACGTCTTTTGAAAAGAGGCATCGTCGTATTTCGTTGGATAATGAATATTGGAAATGAATTCATCTGGTGACCATTGTTGTTTCGCAACGCCGGCCTTGTAAAGCTTGATCAGTTGTCTGGTGTATAGATTTACTGTAGTGTCAGACAAATTATCATGCTCGCTTCCCATTCTGATATCACGAGTGATAATATTTTTTAATTTCATCCAGACTAGGTGTTTTAGATTTATTAACCTTCGACATTTTTGTCTCTCGCTCTGTATATAAGTAATCCAGATATTCAATTTAGATGTACAAGGAATTTGCTGTCGATTTGAGCCACGCGCAGGCTGTTAAAGTCCTACATGGCAAGCCCGTTCGATTAAGTCATTCTCAATTGAACAAAGGCCATACACATTATTTCCATCCTGAAAACTACAAGAAGCTGGTGAAGGCTTACGAAGCGGGCAAGGGGACGACGTTACATATGTCTCACGGAGAAGTTCTACGAACACATCAATCGGGACTAAGCGGCTCTGGTTTCTGGGGAAGCTTGTGGAATGGAATCAAAACCGCTGCAAAAGGAATTGGTAGCTTCCTTAGAGATAATTGGAAGCCAATTACCTCGGGTCTTCTTGACGGTGTTGCGACTGCGGTCGGACCTGAAGCCGGCCCTTTGCGTGGATTAGTGAAATCGGTTAGCGGTGTAGGCATGATGTCACCTCCCATGACTCGTCGTCGTAAAGGAATTGCCGCAAGTGGCAGTTTTCGACTGGGATAACTTTAGTTATGTTTGATCTTGATATATAAATGCTATAAATATAACAATAGTCATGATCGGTTCAGTTTATAAAATCGTTTGTAGTCAAAGCGACATTTGCTACGTGGGTAGCACGTTTAATCTACTCAAACATCGTATGAGTGGGCATCGGTCTAATTTCAAGCGTTGGGAAGAAGGGAAAGCAACTAGCGAAATTGCAATTTATCCATACTTCCGAAAGTATGGACCGTATGCATTTAAAATTATATTGATCAAGCAGTATGAGGTTGTCGATAGAGCTCAGTTGCTTGCGTACGAAACCTTATGGATCAACAAGTTCAAGAGAACTTGTGTGAATAAGGTACCTCCATTTGGGCTATTAAAAAAAGAAAAACAGAGAGAGAGTACGAAAAAATACTGGGAAGCCAATAAAGAAGTGCTCAATGAGAAAAACAAGCAATACAACGAGCTAGACTCGTCGAGAAGGTAACTTGTGAATGCGGCGGTCATTACCAATACAGAGGTAGAACATATCACTTCAAATCTAAAAAACATATCAGATGGGCGGAAGCTCAATCGACCCTGTAGTGTCCGGAATCTCTCCGAGGCCCAAGACCAATCTTTTTTTTGTCTTTGCATATGACTAATCATCATCAGGAGTTCCATAAGAGAACGTGATATTTTGAATAACATGAGACTTTGATCGATTAAGGCGGTCGTACTTATCGCAGCATCCTTTTTTGTGCTCCTTGCGACAGCTCTTACAGATATTCAATTTATTCTCTACATATCGATTATCAACTAGCATGATATTTGAGATATTGATTGTATCCTTGGATATTTGTTTCATTTCATATCTTTCCCTGATATAAGCTTTCATAGCTTTATTCAACTGAGGAACGGTGATAGAAGCACCTTCTTCGTATTTTCACTTTTCCGAGATGAATTGATAAGTGTTGTTCGTAGCCATACGAAGAAGGTTGCGATTGTCAATGAACGATACCGGACAGAACGTCTCAACCCCTTTGTTCTTGTATTTGGAACAGAACTTCAGATAGGTTGATCGACAGCGGTGTAGAAAGACGCCAAATTCCTGGGTTTTGATTTCATTCTCAAGATTGGTGTTCCTACTTTCTTCAGGAATGATTTTCTCAAAGTTGGCAACCATGAAACGACGGACTACTTCACCAGATTCATCTTTGTAGTTTGGTAGTTTGTTGCTATTGATGATTGTTGGAATATCCCAGTCATGGACTGGAATCGAGCCTTTCCCTTTCACAGGACATTGAACTGAGCCACGCGTTCCCATACTCAAGAAGTCAGCCTTTGGTAGAGTCTTAGCAAGATTATTCATATCATCACAGCATAGAATTTGTTTCTTAGCATATTCAGACAATCCAAACTGCTCTTGGTGAGAATTGGATAAAATGCCCACCTGGTCGTGAGCAAATGAGTACTTTACAAGGTTCATTAGAAGAGATTTGCCTGATCCACCCTCACCAAATAGGAATACCATGAAATCAAATTTATCATTGAGCTTAGTCATCAGACGACCAATCATAAAATAGATAAACTCGATAGTTTCATCATCGAACTGAAACTTCAAGTACTGATCAAGTACAGGAGCATAGTCATTGTCAATTTCAAATTCTGAGTCAATGTATGTTCGAACCTGAATATTCTCTACGATATCAGCAGTCATAATAAACGTTGCATTAGATAGATCGTAGATACCATTCTTGAAGCCGATATAGTTATAGTCAAGTTTAATGAACTCAAAGTTAGGATTGATGATGTTCTTGATGAAGTAAAGTAATTGCTGATGATCTTGTGATTTGCACATATGAAACAGAGGCTCAGTTGCAAATACTACATTCAGAAACGTAGCCGGATCATCGTATTTACGAACATAGTAATATGGAAGCATATTCTCATAGATTGCACCAGATTGGAACTCACGCTTATACTTGTCTTTGACGATATCAATCAGCTTCTCTTTGAGAATATCCAAAGGTGTCTTCTTTTCCTTGCCTTCTTTCTTTTCTTTGACTTCTTGTGGTTCATACTCCGCTTTCCATTCCTTGTATCCATCTGGATCGGTTCCTCCACCAATAGATTTAATTTGGGATTCAGTTAGATTGGGGTGATACTTGGACGTTTCCCAATCATTGAACACTTTTAACGCAGCAGCTTGATCAAATCGATCGGTCATGGAGTACAAAATACACAAGTATGTCTTTCGCATTAAACCAAGATCGACGTGTTGCTTGCGATATAGCACACCAGCCAAGTTCCAAGTATTGTTATTATCACTGAACCACGATCGCTTCATCATACAGCATAGTTTGTATAGACGCTGGTCGTACAGCTTATTTGCCACACAATATTGAGCGACGTTTATCTCGCCAATCATGATCGGAATGTTCTTCATCATCTGTTCAGTCTTGCAATAGTAATGAATTAATGTCATGTTCCCTTGCTGGATATAAAAGCAATAGCGATACCCATCTAAGTATGCCCTTCTGTCTGTCTTTTCTGAATCTGCGATATCCAAGCCCTTGCCGTTGATGTATTCGTCGAAAGCACCAATGATTGCCGTGGCATCTAGCAAATTCTCTTTTACATCATACTGAAATGCCCTGCCCTCTTCAATATAATTCTCAAAGAAGAACTCATCCTCATCGTTGCGTTCATTCATTTCGCGCTCCTTCATTTTGCGCTCCTTCATTTTGCGTTCAAACCGATCTATTACATTAGAATCACGGTTGAGTATGCTTTCAATATCTTTGCCTTTAGCATTCTTTTTGGTATTAGCTTCAACGTATTTTCGCAAGAAATCGATTTGTTGAGAATCAAGAACAAGCTTCTCAGCCTCTACTCGATCTCGATTCTCATGGTAATTTGCATCAACAATGAGAAACGCCCATTTCCGCAATTGCTCAGTCGTTGGTTTCACATCCGCATCAATCGAATTAATTAATTCCAAATCCGAACTTTGATCCTCTTTATATACCACTCCTTCCGCGATCACCGGTTCGACAATCGATTGATCCAATTCTGGAACTTTGCTAACTTCACCTCGACGGGCTTGATCACCGATGGCGCTTGTGTATCAACAACTTCGGCAATAGCTGGAGTATACTGACTTCAAGATTATTTTGTTCAACTGCAATAATCTGATGCTTTCCGCATCGATCTTTGTTGCGCGCAAGCTTGCACTGTTCTCCGTTGGCTTTGATGAAGTTGCACATCGTTGTTGCTATATTACTTGTTATATTACTAAGGTTATGTTTTTTATATTCTATATATTCTTCGCTTAAGATCATAATATTTTTATGATGTCTTCGTGCGGGGATCCCGCCGCGAGTCATCTTTTTTTATGATGTCGATTTCGACGAGGTCGAAAAAGTCACATTAGCGGATGATGATTCATGTTATATGTCTCGAGGATGTCCATAAAGTCTTGCCTCACGCGAAACAATAAACTAAACATGGTTTGGTTCATCTAATATCAATAGGAGATAGATTTTAGATGAAAGTGTGAGTAAAATGAAAATACTCACAAAGCTTTCACTTAGAGTATGTCAATAGTTCATATAGTATCTTTATATCAATAGTAAATATTTGTGAGTATGTGAGTATGTGAGTATTGGGATAAATTTACCATATAAAAATAGGGGGGGGTAAGGACCCCCGCCCAAAAAAAAGCAAAATATATGGACTGGCTAAAAAGGGCATTTCAAAATACTCACATATTCACAAATTCAATAGATGTAACATATACGACGGCCCTTCTCGTGGTATGTTTTTTTGGTTAAAATCTGTGAGTTTAATACAAAATACTCGCATCCAGAGTCACCGTGCAGTGTCACAATAGAATGCGGCAGATACCGGTACAAAACCGGTTTTCCACGGCGGCGGTTTCACATGAATTTATGATTATTTTTATCCAATCAGATCACTCAGTAGTTGCTGCGCAAGAGATTGCTGGATGTCTGATTAACGCATTGCCCAGACCAATGGAGAGTACAAATCCACCAACAGAGTTGCAGGAAACCCTACCGGAAGCGCCATCCCTGGTGGAATACCAAGAATTCGACGTCCGTCCAACTGGATCACGGTACTTGGAGCGACGATTGGAAGTGGAGTCAGCTGCACGAGTGGATTGACGCGAGCATCATACAACTTGTATTCCGCATTCGTAAAGTCGGGCTCGAACTTCACACACAGCACGTACTCAACTCCTGGCATCACAGCCCATATCGCTATCGCCTTGTGGTCGAGTTGTCCATGTGCCATGCCCCACTCCTGAGAAACTCCAATTTCAACCTTGATCGTCCGAAAGTCTGCAAGAATTGGAATGTTTGGTGGAAGCAAAGAGTGCGGTGTGTCTTCGCGTGACCCATAACTGAGATCTGGACACTTGAGAATTCTTGGCGGCCATGTAGCTTGCAAGCCATCGCTTGACATGCCGCTCACGAAATTGATCGTGTAGCTCCCCGATGTATTTTTCGTGGGGAGCGTCGGCAAACTCGATGATGTGAATCTCTTCCGTGTCAGCAAACCATTCAAGATAATTGAGTCGAACGATTTGACCCTCGCTGTCAGCAAAAGCGTTCCATTCATCTTCCGTTGCGTGGCACACACGCAATGTACCGGTCGGCGGTGGAGGCTGTGCCACTGCAGCTTCCAGAGCAGCGTTGATGCGATCGATGCTGGCGACCAGAGGAGTCATTGACGCCGGTGTGACTGCGTCCGTCGCAGCGACAGCACGGTTGCTCCGCGTAGCTACTGCAGGTGACGAGTATGAGTCCCCGTCCCCAAAGAAAGCACCGCTCATGTGTCTTTGTCTTCTTGTCCCAGAATGAGCATCGTCTTGTCCGCTCGTCGTCCGCTCAACCATCCCATATAAGAGCAACGAGAGTACCCCTAGACACCCTCAGAGACAGCGATGATGTACTATATAGTATTGCAGTGCTCCCATAGGAACCACGCTCCGGCAGAAACGGGAAAAAAGTGAGGTCCGTACAACAGCAACATCGCGGGTAGGGTTCAGCAGAGTTTTGGCTGCGCTGCAAGTATTCAGCGCGGCCTTCTTCTTGCCCGCTCCGATCATGGGCGCGCTTCGCCTCGGACGCTCGATTGCCGTGACCATGGTCGGAGTGAACGGGGGGGGGGGGGGGGGGGGCATGGCGATGACGCGTTGCAGTTGACCTGCAACTTGACCTGCAGCTCTTTTTTGTGTGCATCGCGCCGTCACCATCGAGTAAATGGGGATCTGGGTCGCTCCGCCTTCAGCACCGTGACTCGGCAATTTGGCCGTCGCCACAAATGCACTAATAGCCCCCTCACTCGAGATAGGTGCACGAGTGGAAAGCTGCAGCTCGCACTCCGCAGTCTCTGCATTGCAGTGCCCTTGGCCACATGTGGACCGATCCTCCGCTTGGTTGGTGCAGCTCCGCCCTGGTTTTGCGACAGGAGCTCTATACGAGCTGTCGAAACTGTCTGCATCCGGATCTGCCCTCTGCAGCCTGCAGTGCGGGGTGCGTTGACCGGCAACGGTGCTTGCCGTGTCTTTCTCGCTAGAGACCTCCTTACCTCGCCCTCGCATCGTTTCCCACGCGCCAATGACCAGGATCGTAGATGGACCTCACACCTGGAGCGACGGAGCACTGCAGTGCCATGCATAGGACGGAGAATCTGGTGCTTGTTTGATGGTTTGCGCCGCGGAAGGGTGATCCTTGTCAAACGCGCACCGCAAGCAGGGCTGACGTCAAAACAGCATGTCACAGGGGTAGGGAGCAGATCCTGCACTGTTGACCCTCCGGCACACCTGGATCCCTGACGCAGCTCCTGCCAAGCGGCCTGACGCTCCGGTGAGGCGACGACAACAGCATTATCTGACAAATATCCTGCTATGCTAAACCTCAATGGAATATACAGTGATTGCTGATCCCCTAGCTTTAACATCGCTAGATTTCTGGCTGCGGTAGCACGAATAAAAGCAAACGCAACTAGCCCGAGACACACTGTAGTCAGGTGAGACAGCTTTTAACACAGATTATTTACGGGACGGTCACGAAAAGCCGTCATTTGCTATGCTAGGTCAAAAGTCTTTTAAATCCGTTAGGTCATTCTACATGGGGATAAATACTTCTTCGGGTAGCCCTGCGTGTGCTCTAACTTATAAGCAATTGCACTCGGGAGGAAGAGCATTATTAAACGCAGAGCATGCTATGAAGTGCAACCACTCGACTGAAAATGCATGCCATCAGGTCGATTCTAAAAATAGCGCTCATGCGACCCTTAAAACAACTGCGCTTCAGTATCAACAATGGACAGCTAAGTGGTGGTCTCATGGGTAGGAGAATAGGAATGCTACTACTACCTAACTAGCAGCAACCAGAGCGTGAAAACGTGCTAGGACATGTTTTAGATGCTTCCGAGGGTATCGTCAAAGTTTAGGGTGGTTTGAGCCATTTACGGATTTAATTTTTGATGAAACCAGCATAATTTGAAGTGACCTTTCAGTAAATAACCTTTAAAAAGGTAAGTGCAAAGAATCCTCAGAATTTAAGACTACGGTGATACCGGAGCTTCGTGGCTGCGATCTCCAATAAATATTATAACCCGTAGATGTCAGCGTCGCGTTCGTTGTAGGCGCCGCTCTAAAATACAAAACTCAAAGAACGGTATCCAAGCACATTTTTTTAGGCGTCTATCTGAATAATTCATTTATTATAGGGGAAACACAAAATACGCCCGTAATTTTGAAATAATCTCAAAGCACTGATAATTTGAAACGTTAGATTCAAAACATAACCTATAGCTGTTTTCTAGCGTATGCCTGTTGCATAACCAATAGACTTGCTGTAACCTATAGCTGTCATACAAACAAACTGAGTGAGCTGTTTCAACCTTTATATTATAAAAAGTATATAAGTTAATAAAACTATAGTTCCAAATAACCTAAAGGATCTTAAAGTGTTAAAGCAATTACGTAAACACATATTTTAAACCTTAACCCCTCATTCACCAATGTCGGAGGCTCCGACGACACAGAAATACTCATGGCGGAGCCGGAGACATGATAACAGATCAGGAAATTGTCCAAAACAAAACAAACCACAGACATAAAAAATGTGATATGTACAAGAAGTGTGCGTCTTAGCGGTTCTGTAAGTAGATTAGAAAACATGTTTTTTACACTTGCAAAAGGCTTGCTACGCTCGCTTGGGCAGCTCTAAAACGCCCGCTTCGGCTCGAACGCACCGCTTACAAGGACAACGATGGTTCCTGGGTTTGCATCCTCGTGCTTCGCACGCTGGAACTTGAAACGTGAGCCTTGTTTTGGATGATATCTTCCGTTGACACTCTAATACCACCGTGGCTCCTCTCAAGCTGTGGCCATGTGGGTTGCTCGCCTGCAGGTGTTCAGGTGAAAAATACGCAAGTCACGATGCCACGGCTCGCTCTTCGCTGCATGCTTCAGGTTTGCCGCCTAGCAGGGTCGCTTCGCTCGCTTTGTGCGGTGGCCTGGCCTACTTATACGTAGGTCAACACTCTAGTTACGCCTTGACAAAATATAGGTATTACTTATACTTTCTCTGGCCCACATAAGAAACCACACTTCGTTTTTCTGGACATGACTTTTTACAAAAAAATCGTTTGGTGACTCGCAATACCTCGACCGAAAGCTGCGCATTTGCTCCGTTTCACGCTATGATTTAAAAAAATCTAGCAGCAGAAAGAAAAGAGAAACAGCCTTTTATCTGAAGTCCGTTTTAGGCAACATTAGTTTTTTTTAGCGAGGTGCCGTAAAAACTTAGCGATATTAGAAAATAACATATCACCGTAATCGCGAGCGACTGCTTTCCCTTATGTTCGGTTGTCGATGTTGTAGCGCCTGTTGGAGACGAGTTAGAAGGGCTACAGTTTTGAGGTTTTTCTACGCGATTATCTCGGCATGCGCAGACGCATTTATTTTGGCCAATAGTAAGATGAAACAGTTGATTATACCCAATCATATGTGATATGGGGTCCACATCAAATTGAGGTTTAATGCCGAATGTTGTTTCTTAAGAGGGCCAGAGAAGTAATACTTATGTAGAGTAATTCCTTCCTCGTTGTTTCGACACAATGTAGGCGACGAGATCAGGCGGTATATGCGCGCGGCAGTTCCCGAGAGCTAACAACGAGGCTGTTCGCCAGGCGATGGGTATGATAGCCGTAGGTTCACAAGAGGCAAATGCATGGATATTTGATGTCTGTAACGACCAGACGCGGGCACTTGTCAGGCAAGCTGTATTACAGAGCATACCGGCTAAGACATCTCGTGCAACACCGGCACGTGGCTCAGCAAAATCTTTGCTGGCGAGTCCTACGTGCTGTGCTTTACCGTTTACGGGGAGACCTGCGCATTTTGTTCGAGTACGCGACGATCACCAAGCCGGAGAACGCTCTGTCTTCCGTGGGTCAGTTGTACGGTCCCAGCTCGCGTCACAACTTTTATTTTTGTATTATAGTCTTGGAGTTTGCTAGCAAAATAACAAAACCACGACGCACATCGTCAGTCACCTGAAAAACCATGTTCCCGCACGATCATAACACTCCACCTACTGAGACGTAGAGGTCTTGCTTCGGTCCAGGGTAAGAGTAGCTCGCCGTCGGCATCTCCCTCGCTGCCGTGGCCAGCAGACCACTTTTCCCAGCTTTAAAAATCTGCCGAGCTTGACACAACGGGCAGTCACGCAGCGCACAGCGAACGACTGCTACATGCGGTAGAAGCACACCACATATCCACACTCCTAAATGCACCCTCGCGTTCGTGCTACGCAGATCAGCCACGAGACGCTCTGCGCGGCCGGTGAGGGCTGCAGGTACACGTTGTATGCGGTCTCAAAGCCGTCCCATGCACCGTCGTCCGCCTGGAACTGGCCCGAGGCGTTGGGCTCCGCGGTTTTCTCCACTCTATCGTCCACGTGGCGACGAGCGTCTTCGTCGCCTCCACCTGCCTCCTTGTCGACGTCGGAGCCAAAGCCGCCGCTGTGATTAGCGCCACCACCCCCCGCGGCCAGCGATGTGCCAGCGCTCATTTCACGCCTCATCCCAAGCTCCGCCGAAGGCTCAGCCGCGGGAGAACACCAGTGGCGTGCTTAGGGGCTGGTCGCGCTTCCTTTCTCGGCGCTGATTGGCTGAAAACACCCCTTCAAACGCACGAAATCAGCAGCATGATGAGTGTAGCCATTTGTCGAACACGCAGATATCATTTCGAAACACGACATTTTGGTGTTTGATTCTGTACAGTCGATCCCCTCAGTAAGCGCGGTGGGGTTTTGGAAGCGATTTGAAAGGGAATTGGAAATAATGAACAGTGATTAACTCAGGCTATGTCCTTCGCTTCAATCTGATTTTACGGGGTATTTGAAGGTAGTGGTGCGCTTACTGAGGGGATTGACTGTAACAGTTTGAGTAACAGTTTAAGCATTAGGGAAAGCAACACGCTGGCCACCTTCTTGACCTGGACGACGAACTTCATGCAAGTGGGTTGCGCTCACGAAGCGTCTTCGTCATCAATCGTGAGCATGTTCTCCGGGTCGTCGCAGTCGTCGTCGATCGGACAATTGACGTCGTCGTCGGGCATGTCGAACAGACACTTGCTGATATTCCTGGCGGTACTTTTGCACCGTCACGTTATCGATGCACACCTCAAGGAAGTACTTGAACAGGAACATGCCTCCAATGAATATTTAGAACATCCACTCGCGGGTCGGATTGTCCAGGTGGTTGGAGAAGTTGCCTATGAAGACTACCACGGTGGCATTGGTGCACACTACGATGAATGAGTACATTACCCTCATACCGCGCACATTACGTGGGCGGGGGCGCCGCGACCTGAAAATCAAGCGATATGCGTCCAGATGAATCTCAAAGTAGTTGTTTACGTACGATAGCAGAGGCGTGAAGGGGAAGGCCACGACGAACATTGTAGTCGTGAAGCCAAACTGAAGCGCCATCTCAATGTAGTCATCGAACGTGCCATGCCAGCCATACTGGGCCATGAAGAGCTCGCGCTCAGCGTCAGAGTTTTTGTAGTCGTCCAAGTGACCGAGTAGGCGATACTTACTCATGTACATGAACAAGCGCGGGATGGTATCCTCGGTAATGTTGCCGACGAACAGCTGAGAACAGAACACGATGGCGAGCATATACTCGAGCTAGTGCATGCAGCTGATATCGCAGCCTTCAAAGCCTTGCTGAGGAGCGCAACGTAGCAGAGAACGGCGTAGTTGTTGACAAACTGGATAATCGCAGTCTTGACAATGAGACTGTTCTCCTGCTCCATGTGGGTAGTGGCGTCACCAAGCAAATTGAGAGATGCTCAATTCATTCGTGTAGGATTGCAGCTGCTGGGGTCTTTGGCTGGAGTAGCATCCTTGGATTCTACGTGAAGTGACGTCCAAAGCCCCACGACGCGATGACACCATTTCCAGAGCCGACTCTCATGCTTCTGGCTGCCATTCACCTACGGAGCGGCATCGTTTCGTACGTCAAGTGAGCGACTTGGTTTGTCGAACGATGCCTAAATTGGGGCGTAAGATGAGCCAAACGGATAACGAGAGCTGATGCTATTGTTGTGCTCTTTACTCATAGCACGCACAAGTTCCATATTGTAGTTTCGAGCTCAGTACTGTGTAGTAGCAACATCGAGTGACCGAGCTGTTTTGCTACAGCTCTGCAAAGTTGACTACGGGTCCTACGTGTAAGTTAGAGAGCGACTCCAGTCTCGACTTCACTTTTTCCGACTCAAGTAATTCTCGATCGAGCGCGCGGAAAGCACGCGCCCTGGCCACATTAGCCCCCTTGGATTCAGTCTAGCCCCACAACGTAGCAAACGCACTTCAAGTTTGTATATGTCCGACATGGGCCAATCCGGCGCTCGTTACGAGTCTATTTGGGTGGTGCACCCACCAGCTTCCTGATTGGCCCGCACTCACCACCACACTAACTCTACACCACTCTCCCACAGTCAGCACAGCATCTGCATCACCTCATCACCACCACCTCCATCGTCAGCCATGACTGCGACTGAGATGCGGCCGACACGGAGACGCTCAAGCGCACCATCTACGTGCCGTCGCGCAAGAACCAGCTGGCCACGGCCCAGATCAACACGGTCATCGCCATGCTGGAGGACAAATCCCCGGCGCTGCGCTTCGTCGTGGGGCAGCAGGACACGGTGGGCGACCAGGTGCTGGACCGCCACCTGAGCGACCTGGGCACGAGCACGGCCTCGGGCCTCTTCACCAAGATCCTGGAGGACGCGCTGCTGGCCAAGACCGCCAGCTTCGCCTTGTAATCGCTCAAGGACATGCCCACGACGCTGCCCGAGGGCCTCCTGGCCACCATCACCAAGCGCGAGACCCCTGAAGACGCGGCCGTGATCCACCCCAAGCACAAGACCAAGGGCCTCACCACGCTCAAGCAGCTGCCGGAGGGTAGCGTCATTGGCACCGGCTCGCTGCGGCGCGAGGCGCTGCTGCGCAAGCAGTTCCCGACCTTCGAGATCAAGACGCTGCGCGGCAACATCCAGACGCGGCAGGCCAAGCTGGACGAGCATGACGACTACGACGCCATCATCGTGGCGGCCTGCTGCTTCCGACTTAGCGAGCTGGGCGACAGGATCGACGAGATTCTGCCCATGGACACGTTCGGCTACGGCGTCGGACAGGGAAGCATCGGCGTCGAGAGCCGCGCGGACGACGGGGAGCGATGAGGAAGAACTCATGAGCTACAAAATGCAGCACACGCCCTCAGTGAATGCTGGAACAGCAGTAACAGATCCAGGAGCAGGAGGACATTCAGACAGTCATCACTTCAGCTACGCGCAGGGCAATGCGGTCTTCGATTCACTTATCGTTTCAATATGCATGACTTAGTCCTATCACCGTATTCATCGTATAGCTTCAATCACTTCCGGAGCTGCTGTCAATTGGGCTGCCGCCAGGGCTTTCACTAGCACGTAGTTGCTATCGTCGTCGTTATCAGAGTTGCTGCTGCATGAACTGCTACTGCTACTGGCTGGCGGACGAGCGGGGGCTGGGAGGTTGGACGCTCGACGCTCGACTCGATCGTCACGTTCCTCATTCTCAATACCGATTTTGTCGCTCTTCCGTACGTAGCCAAACGGAATCTCCGAGTCGGTCCACTTCACCTTGCCTTTGAGGAACCCCCTCTTAGTGTACCGGAGGCGCCCAATCTTGCACGGGTGTTCGCCATCGGACAAATCCGCTGTGACATGATGCATCACGCCTTGATCTTCAACTTGTGCTTCACCGACGCCATCTTCGGGCCCGTCATCGCTACTCTGGGCATCGCTACTGGTAGCATTCGCGCCATCAAAAGTCTCAGCTACACCATCTTCACCGCGGCTGTCTCCGCCGCCACCTCGTGCACGGCTCTCCTGCCCTCGTCCTTGGTTCAATTGACGCCGGTCCTGCAAAACGCTTCCTGGGGCGGTGGCTTCAACACCGCCTTGTGCTCGGCCGTCTTGCCCTCGTCCTTGGCGCGATTGATTGTGGCCCTGCGAAGCGCTTGCACGGATGTTTTCATCTCCGCTCCCTTCTTCTCGACCGCGGCCGCCGCCTCGTGCTCGGCCAACTTGCCTTTGCATTTGGTGCAAAGCGCCCCCCCTGAAGCTTGTACACGGGCGCTACCTTCACTGCGCCATCCGCCTCGACCGCTCTCACTGCGGGAGTCGACGACGCCTCCGCCAAAGTATATACTTATGTCAGCAATTCGTATAGTGTGGTAGCCCCTAAAAGCTGAAAAGAATGCGCTAAGCTCTCGGCCAGGAACGCACAGGCGCAGGAGGTGTTTACGAAGGACGACCCTGGCATAGGGATCAACCCTGGTGTTAGCGTCCTTCCGCGCCGTGCACCTATTGCTGAAAGCGCCGCGGGAAGGAAATCTTGCCATATCGCGTCTCGGTTGATTGTTTGCTTTTGGTTGTTCTCAAAAAGATAATTTCGACCAGCCACCTTCGTTTTGATCGCCGGGTCTCACATCGAGAACAATTTGAACGGTCCAGCAACTTCGTCAACGGCGCTGACATGGCCATGCGGTGCAGTAGTGCGAGCGTCAAAACCGATGCCGGGATGGAGTCGAGCGACGAAGCGTCGATGCCGGCCCATTACCGTGCAGCAGAGTGAGCCTCGTCGACGGTGCCGGCCTGGGGCCGAGCGATGGAGCGTCGATGCCGGCCCGCTGGCGTGCAGCAAAGCGAGCAATGACATCACGATAATATGTGAATACAGATTTCTATTTGAAAGTAAGACGTTACAAGTATATCTTATATAACGCGTGTATGGGTTTATGGTGTGGATATCTCATAAAAGATGGAGCATATTTGCAAAATCGTTCGATTAACTGTTGCAATAATTAGATTTGATGTAAAAACTGCAACGAGCATACTACGGAGAGGAGAGGTCGCCGAAGCAGAATACGACGTGGCCAACCCGCGACCAACCTGCTGGTGGTGGTGGACATGATCCCGTGCGCAAGACACGCGTGTACACGACGGATGACTACCAGACGTCCATTTACAAGGGTGGGGGTGTCGGTGTCGCATCCAACAACAAGCTGGGCAAGCTCAATGTCTGGGACCTGATGCCCGTCAAGCGCAGCGAGCCGCTGATCGCGGTGGCGTTCGAGATCGACGTCAACGGCATGCTGAATGTGCCCGCTCACGACAAGAAGCCGAGCGCTAGGGCTAATACCACCATCTCCAGCAACCGCGGCTGCCGGAGCTGAGAGGGCATGGGCCGCATGGCCGCCGAGGCCGACAAGTTCAATAAGGGCGAGGCTGAGATGCTGCGCCTCATCGAGACCCGCAAGGACGCGGGGCAATTCGGCTTCTGCGCCATCGAAATGGCCCGCGAGAAGGGCAACGCCAACGTCGAAAGTACCAACAACGACCGACGCCTCCGACTGGCTCGAGGACCGCAAGGAGACCATGCTCTGTGAAGTCGAAGACAAGAAGCGCATGATCGAGCGTATGGTTTGCTTCTAAGCGCGAAGGTTAGCATCTTACTTACTTATCTTCTACTCGGCCTACAGATAAATAATTAACAAAGCCTGCTATTCATTTACTACCTTCTTCTTGCGGCGGAAACTTTCGCGTTCGACAACTTTGCTTCTCGTTGAAGGCAGCGTTGACGAACGCGAAAATTTTCATGATTCACACACTATCTGCTGCTGCACAGCGCTCGCTATGGAGCTATAGTAGACGTGCGAAGGGAGAGCGTCTCGGAGCTTTGAGTCCATGAACTTTATTACACAAGTAACATTCACCTTATTAGCACTACATGCACATGCACTCTACCAAGTGCAGCCTTCAAAGGCTGCAAGCTATACAGCAGCACATGAACTTGGCGAATCCAGTGCAACGAGTATCATCTCGAGCCAATAAAATCTTGTACGATGACATCATACCACTAGCACTTCTCGCGCAAAACTCAGCAATTCTTGAACCATCACAAGCTGTACAGGATGTAGAGCTGCTGCACTACAGTAGCTCTTGACATATTGCCACACACACCTCAATGTATGCATAACAAATCACTCTGCAACGAGCAACGCTGTGCACATCACGATCATACCGTCCGTGGTTTTGTAGTTGACAGGCAGTTCGCCCCGACTTGGGCGCGTTGTGAAGAGGCCTCGCTACAGCTTTAGCGTGACGGAGACGCCACAATACAGTAGGACAATCAAACAGGCTTGGTCTGTAGAGCAAACACCCGAGGTTTGTCGGGGGTGAAGATATCCTCTATTTACGTTGGTTGCTAACTATAAGCGGAAACAGGTGAGCGGATTCGAATGATGATTTTGAAAGTTGAAAGAAGTTCATTGAAGTCCGCCCCGCAACGATTTCAGCGGATTGCTACCAAATTACAATTGCTCACATCAAGATGGTGGCGTCTACATAGCTCAAGCGAGACCTGATGGCTTGCAGGCTTGACAAGCTGGGTCGATGCCTTTGGACTGCAGCACAGGGAATCGCTTGGGTCACCGATGGAGGCGCTGCTGCACCTGGGTTTGTAGCGTGCAACATAGTTGAACATTGAACCACTAAAGCGGAACCAGAAGGGACCTTCTGGTTCCGACGTAATGTGCTAAAAACAGCCCGATCATATCCAGAGCTGAAGCTCACATACTGCGGCCAGACAACAAAGTCTTATCGTTTTCCGTAACGCGGGGCCTGTTTCTGAGAATGGTACAGAGATGTCATTGAAGAGAAGCTTCTAGGGGTCATAATACAATGAATTGGCTTGAGTCGGTTGAGGAACGCCGTTCGATCTATTCGCACGGGTCAAATCTATGGCTACTCTAGCAGAATGTTGTTAGTTGGCGTGTCCGCGACTTGTACTTTCGGGTCTATCTAAATCGCTGATTGTTGGAGTATTCGTTTCTCCGGTCTGACACCGTCGTTTTTTCCCGGTTGGCCTTCGGAATTGAATCCTCTTGTCGACATTGATTGGGAGAAGTTTTCCAGAGTCCCAATCTTCGTGCCAAATCGAAAAACATGATTTCTTGATACCAAAAGACTCGTGGCGAATGAACTGGCACAGATAAACGCTACAGAAAAAAAACTGTTAGATTGGGTTCGAAACTAAATAATATAACACGACACAACAGTACGGCCTTCCGAGCATGCCTCGCAAAACCACTTCGTGTTCTTGCCCCGTTTTCCAGCTGGAGCTAGTATACTGCAGACTTTGCATGCCCTATGCATACGTTTTCGATCCGGATCGCCGACCTCACCGTGGAAGTCCTGCATTTCCGAAGGTACATGATCTGACAGATTGACGTAGCGCCGGCCTAATGGTTGTTGAAATGGTGTGGTGTCTTGTTGCTCCTATCAGTATAAAGCCGTTAGTGCAAGGGGAAAATTATGTTTGCGTACCGAGATCTCAATACCTCCAAATCAGTTGGTTTTACAGCGAGGAGCTGAGCATGTAGCATGGTTAGGAATTCCGAGTGCGACATCCCTTTTTTCCCCTTACGGGAATAATACGTTCGGTGAACAATAAATGCGTTCACCAGCGCAAGATCCAAAAGCCCAAGAAACAGTCTGGACCCCCCCCCCAAAAAAACAACAACAACAAACAACAACAAAATACCAACAGATCGTTAGTGTCAGTGTGTGTATGCTACGCGTTGACAGTCAGTACATTACGTACGACTTGTAGTACTTCTTAAACTTGAAAGCCCCTTGTAGTGAGAAGTACTGCAACCTAAGCTGGTCATACACATCGACACACCCCATGTTTTCATGGTAATCCCTGATCAGCTTAGGGCATGGAATCTCGGATGGTTCGCCTTCCAGCCAAGTATTGCGCCCTAAATTGCACAGACCTCTTTAGCACCCTCATATTTCTCCAGTCTCATGGTTGTCGTACCTATAGTGAGTTCTTGCAGGCTTGCACCGGTCGCTAGCAAGTGCACCGGTTTGGAGTCCCACCAGCAGCAGGCGGACATCTCTGGAACGGTTTTCGACCGAGCTAATTTATATGACCCTCGAGGAATTTCGCTTGGGCGCTTCTTTCGCTTCTCCTTCAGCGCAGTGGGAAACCCAATTCGTCGTGGCTGGATGGTTCCAACGACGAATATCTTCTTGGCTAGAAGCTCAAGAGCTAGAGCTACAGATGTATAAAATCTGTCAATGACGACAACATGGTGAGCTTGACGATCGCGAGGAAGCACCATCTCGAGGTTGCGAAACACAGCGGCGGGTCCCGATTTGTCGTCAATTGTTTGGGGGCCATTCATATGCGCCTTTTTCCCGCAATAAACTTCAAGTGTGCTCGTAATTCATACAAAAAGATCAGACAAACGTTTATAGCAATGTACGAAGTCAGCGTACCTCAGGCAATACGACGTTTTGGGACAGCATGTGAGGAACAGTTTTGTCCCCCATTTGTATGGCTTATCGCGCATATGCACCCGCGTGCCGTTGAATCGCGAGTGAGAGGGCAGCATGCCTTCGTCGAATGATATGATCCCCCCTGGCTTGTACCCACTCAGAAAGGTGGTCTGTAAGGTATCGACAATCGGCCTAATTTTCCAGGCTCGGTCGAATTTTGCCATATCGCTGAGGTTGTCCGAGAAATGGAGGTGACACATTATTTCGTCGAACCTATGTGCATTTTTCAAGCATACGCAACCTTAGCATACACCATTGTAAACTCATTCATATGTAGCGTACCGATTGCGAGGCATCCATGCCCCGAATGACCCGCCTGGTAAAGCACCAATGCTTGATGTACTCCAATGGGTCGATAATCGACGCTTGTGCGGGCACAGCATACGAGCGATCAGTAACCCAAAGGTAACCGCATACTCATGAGGCTGAAACAACCTCATCTGGTGCAAGCGCTGACGTATTTGTGCCAACGATTCCACCTCTTTCACTCTAGACCCGCGCCTTTTACTCGCAATTTGCCGCTCTCGGATTTTACGGGCGCGAGTTACCACCGTTTGCGCCGCATAGCGGTTACTTTCGTCAGCAATTAAGTGGAGCAAATATTTCGGGAAGAAAAACCAGAAAAGGTCGATTGGAGATTCCGCATGACGTAGAACATTCGAGGTCGGGCCCCAGTCGCCTTTGTATACCCCTCGATACTCTGGCTGGGGTTCAATGCTGCCGGAAACTACATAAAACCATCCGATAAGTTAGCTTCTAAATTATTTCCAAGAAAGTAGTTTTAGCAGCTCAAATTTGTTACCTTCCTCCCATCCCGATTCCCCCCAAGCCTTGATCTCATTTCTGTTTTTGGCCAGTGTCAGTAGTGCATCGTCGTCGTTGATCTCATCACCTAGCGCATCTATATACGCAGCTACAGCCTCGTCACTCCAACCTGCGTTGTAGTTCACGTACGGATGATCTTCATCTTCCGATTCTGATTCCGATTCGTCGCCAATATCTGATGCACAATCAGACGTCAGCTCCTCGTAGTCATCTTGCTCATCTTCTTCTAGGCTAACATTCACGTCCCTATGAGTTGCTAGAACGGCATCTCGATACCGAATCCTTCTTTCCTCTTCGGCCTGAGCCTCCTCCCTTTGCAGTTGCTCTTCATCGTATCCATCTGGTACCAAATCGTCAGCCAAAGAACCATCATTCGAACCTCCTTCATCATCCGAGGCTCCTTCATCATCCGAAGATAATAGTTTGGATATTGCTTCCAACAACTCCAAATTTGTCGCTTCAGTGCGCATTGGAATGGGTTCGGTGAAACCATTTAGCAACGCATGTCGCAATACACCACGCTGGCCGCTCTGCAATATTCGCGATGGTTTGCTTGATGCGCGCCTCTTCTTTCGTGGATTTGTCATAGTGTCGTTCATTTCCGTTGCCCTCGCCGTGGTGTCGTTGTTACCGGTAAGATCCGCGCTTTCTTCCTCCAACATGCATGAAGACCGCTTACTGCCACATGACGTTGATGGGGCCTTTCCTAACGCGCCATTTGCCTCCACCCTCTGCTTCCTTGCACTGAGCCTGATGTCATTTTCCCCTCCAGGAACATCCACTTGCTTCCTAACGACACCTTTTTTCGCCCTGGTTTGTTTTGGTTTGGCGGGATCGATTGCTGGCGCTCCACCCGAATCCATTGCCGAAGTCGCGTCGCCGCTGCAGCAGGAGCTAGTCATGGTGTTCGGTGGTGGCATTTCCATCAAAGCGCTCACTGCCGTCGCGTGTACAGAAGCTCTGATGGCGCAGTCGGTGGTATGAGACATCGGCGTTGGTATGTCCACCTTGGCGACCCGGTGGGGTTTTACATGTAGCGCCATCGGTATGGACCTGTCATCCGTATGTGCTGTTTCCATCCTGTCGCTATTGTTGCCTTTGCGTGGTTCTGGGTGGTCTGCACTTCTTGGAATCCCCGCCGGCAGCTGGCTTGATCTCGTGGGTGGGAGTTGCGTGGTACTGTCGGTGTATGACGACCCCTCACGATAATAAGCGAATACAGATTTCGCTTTGAAAGTTAGCCGTTACCACCACACTTGATATAACTATCTGTACGTGTTTATGGAGTGAATATCCCATAAAAGATAGAACATATTTGCTAAATCGTTCGATTAACTATTGCAATAATTAGATTTGATGTAAAAACAGCACCTAGAAGAAAACGAGTATACGACGGCTCTCGCGCAAAGGAGAGGTCGCCGAGTCACGAAACGTTCGCAATACTGATTTTGTCGCTCTTTCGCACGCAGCCAAACGGAATGGTGTACCTGAGGCGCCCAATATTGAACGGGAATTCGCCGTCCGACAAATCCGCCGTGTCTTTATGCATTTGGGCAGCGCTGCTGGTACATGTAGCATTCGCGTCATCAATAATAGATAGGTTTCGAAGCGTTCCTCACCCTCACTTTACCTTCACAGCCGTCTAAGTTGAACTTAGTAAGTTCGCACTCGTAGCACTTTTTGCACACAGATCAGTGTGCATTCAGTGGGCAAAATCCCTACATTTTGCAAAGCCATCAGAATTTAATCCTCAGATGCACCTGTACCAATTCATTAAGTTCAGGTGCGAACTTTCCAATTTCAAACATCATCTATACAGGTAGACTGTACCATTTTATGCGCACCTATCTAGAGCAGCTTCCAGTATTCTGGTCCCGATTTTGCTCATTTTGCTCTGAGGGTGAAGGTGAATATCGAAACCTATCTACCTTCACCGCGGCTGTCTCCGCCGCCACCTTGTGCAAGGCTCTCCTGCTCTCGCCCTTGGTTCAATTGACACCGGCCCTGCAAAGCGCTTGCTAGGGCGGTGGCTTCGACGCCGCCTTGTGCTCGGCCGTCTTGCCGTCGCCGTTGGCGCAATTGCCGCTGGCCCTGCGAACGCGTCCACGGGCACGTTCACCTCCGCCGCCATCTTCACCGCTGCTGTCAGCACGATGCTTAATCTTGCCATATCGCTTCTGGGTTGATTGTTTGCTTTTGGTTGTTCTCAAAAAGATAATTTCGACCAGCCACCTTCGTTTTGATCGCCGGGTCTCACATCGAGAACAATTTGAACGGTCCAGCAACTTCGTCAACGGTGCTGACATGGCCATGCGGTGCAGTAGTGCGAGCGTCAAAACCGATGCCGGGATGGAGTCGAGCGACGAAGCGTCGATGCCGGCCCATTGCCGTGCAGCAGAGTGAGCCTCGTCGACGGTGCCGGCCTGGGGCCGAGCGATGGAGCGTCGATGCCGGCCCGCTGGCGTGCAGCAAAGCGAGCAATGACATCACGATAATATGTGAATACAGATTTCTATTTGAAAGTAAGACGTTACAAGTATATCTTATATAACGCGTGTATGGGTTTATGGTGTGGATATCTCATAAAAGATGGAGCATATTTGCAAAATCGTTCGATTAACTGTTGCAATAATTAGATTTGATGTAAAAACTGCAACGAGCATACTACGGAGAGGAAAGGTCGCCGAAGCAGAATACGACGTGGCCAACCCGCGACCAACCTGCTGGTGGTGGTGGACATGATCCTGTGCGCAAGACACGCGTGTACACGACGGATGACTACCAGACGTCCATTTACAAGGGTGGGGGTGTCGGTGTCGCATCCAACAACAAGCTGGGCGAGCTCAATGTCTGGGACCTGATGCCCGTCAAGCGCAGCGAGCCGCTGATCGCGGTGGCGTTCGAGATCGACGTCAACGGCATGCTGAATGTGCCCGCTCACGACAAGAAGCCGAGCGCTAGGGCTAATACCACCATCTCCAGCAATGCAGCAAGCGCGACACTGGCTCAACGCTGCAGTGGGCCAGTATCAGTCAACAACCAAAACCAAAACGTATCCAGCTTTGGCAGTATTTCCCTCCTTCGACATTTATTACCCTGCCGGTTGGTGTGCTGGGAACCTCCCACTCACTACGATAGGTATGCGCTTCCCCTTTCCGTCGACGAACCCATATACGTAGTGGCGGAGACAATATAATTAGCAGTGACAACAACAAAAAACGGTGGTTACCAACAACGACGAAGGTGACATGCCGGGAACTATTTCATGTCCGAACAAGGTAACATTAGTATTCAGTTGAACTTGCTCGGCTGGGCAGCTCAGATAGTGTCTTTGACTGACTGGTCGCGACGTTAGGCTAGGCCGCGATCATCGTAGACCTTATTGCGGGTGCACCTACCGCTTCTGTCGCCTAGATTGATCGGCGGAACTGGGTTTGATTCCTTGTGGATGTTGCGAGGTACCGGCTGCGCACGACGGATCAGTTCTAGTACAGTAGTGTGTACTGATACCATTACCAGCACATTCGTCTAGGAGAACACGCACGAAATGCCTTTGAACGTGTCGGACATGGCAGCGGCGTGGGTGTGAGGTAATGTTAGGATCTGCGTGTAGTACTCGGAAAGTAAATCGGCAAGTTGTCGTGTCGATTGAAGTCGATCTCCACAGTTGCTAATTCCCCAGCGACAGTAGTTGTGGTGGTGGTGAGGTGGTGGTGGGTTCCATTGGAGTGATGCCACTACATGCGTGAAACGGGAGGGCTTCTCGTCACAGGTAAATGACCGAAGAGGTAGCTAAAATATACTACAGTTACGTCGCACTGACAGTGCGTATGAAGGCACAGTTTTAGAACCCTAGTCGTGATATTGGATATTGTCTTTCTTCGCCAAGGTGGTGTCTGTATCTCATTCTGGCGTTACGCGAACAATAACACATGAGCATTGGGATCCATGATCCGAGCATGAACACTACACAGCCTAATAAAATAATATATTCCAGCGTACAAGTAGTACGGTATCGTGCTGTGTGAGAGGAGAAGGCTCCTGTTGAGCTATATTTTGCAAAGCTTTCTGCCACCTATTCTGTTTCTGCGGTACGGTTCTTGGACCGGCTTGAGGCAACGTAAGTCGTGTCAATACGCTTCGGTGGCATCAGCGTGGACGGAAGAGGCACGCTAAAGACCTAAGCACAAACTCGACGTTGTCGAGCCGTCCTGTTAGGAAGCTGAGGCCACGGCCCCTTTTTGACGACGGCACCGGAGGTGTTGTCGTTAGAGTGCAACATTTGAAATGCGCGCCGCTAGTGGATAGAACTTGACGAAGCGAACAGTACCTACTAGCCACACGTTTGCACTGAGAGTTTTTACCAGTAAATGGGTCAGACTTCAGCGTAATTACCAAATGGGTATTTCCTGATTTTTGCACCCAATCCGTAATAACTGTTTGCATCATATCCTTTGGGCTATGTCGCCCATCCTGCTTAACTACCAGTTATTGTATTGTGACAAGCACGTCAATCTCAAGTATGTCGCCTTTCCTACATCCATTTATATTGAATATAGCACAAAACATGTCATCTCATGCTGGCTCTCTCCCTCCACCAGTCGTCCCTCAACCACTACAACAAATCTTCATTCTCAAAATGGCCGACAAGCCGCCATCGCCGACCGACCAAGAAGCCAAAGCTGAAAGCAACGACGAGGCCATATTCACTCCGCGACCGGTCCCGGAAGTAACCCAACCCGTCGACCCTGTGCACCAGAAGGAGCCGGCGTTCTACGTTGGTGGTGTAAGCCCCCGAGCCCCTGACGATGATTCGGAGGGTGTCGACGTGCCGAATGCTGCTGGTGTCATCACCGGCGGCAGTTCGAGTCCTGCTGAGACTGAGATGTGCTCTGGTGTGATCACCGGTGGGGAAGAGCGCCTTGGTCTACGCTTGACGAGCACGAGATACCCATGGCTAGATGACTACAATCCGTTCATGTGGAAACACAGGCGGAACGGTCGCGGTAGGGAATTGTTCGACTGCTCGGAGCTACATCATGTCGTCATTCTGGACGGGTGGGACCCTCATGCCTATCTGATCGATTTATTCTTCCCGAAGCGATTCTACGCCAAGTCCAAGGCTATGAAGCTCGACCCTCTCGCCCGTACAAGTCCTGATGCGCTTTCCGATGCGTGGGACGTATTCGTCCAGAGCTTGGTTGACGACGAAGCCTCGTGGATGCTGACATTTCACAGCCTCAAGAACACGTTCATGACGTACAATGTCGAAGGCGAAAAGGTGCGCGTTCACCAACAGTCCATCGGTGAAGGCTCCCCGTGCTGCGTTTTGAGTGAGCAAGAGTGCCCGATGTGCTACGCGGACTCGTTAAAGGCAGCCGATCACATTCGGAGGGGCACGGACGGCATGTCGGATCGCCTGGTCCGCTACATCAAGCAGCTGGATCGGCGTTGGGCTCGACATACCCTCCGCCGGGAGGAAGATCGTCGGAGAGTTCGTGCCCTCCAAGGATATATCGTGGACGACATCACCCTTGCTCAAGCGGAACACGGGAAAACCGACCAGCGCATCCGCGACATTGAGTCCGACATTTATCTCAACGGCTTGGATAGCCATCAAGTGCGTCTTGCGGTAAGGACACTTATCAAGGACGGCAAAGACAGTAAAAACAAGATCAAGACCTTAGAGCATCAACTTGGTCTGATGCAAAATGCAATCTATCAAGGTGGTTCTTTTCAGCGCCCGCGAAAAGCTTAATCGAATCAATACAATGATTGACGTATAAATATATTTCGCTTTCTTTATCGTTGGTGTCCATCAAGGGAGTTGACCAGTGACACCTATACGAACGTCCCGGAGCACGGCGGTGTGTCGACATCGACGCTTCTGAAACAACACTGCCGTATCCATCGTTCATGCCTCTCGCCTGTTGCCGTGTACCGCTTCATCTCCGCTACGACGATCGCTGTAACTTTTGGATTCCTGGCAGTAGGAGCGAAGCCACGCCCAAGCGCTGTATCGCCATGGCCCCGCTCGCTCGTGTCCGCACGGGGACGCTGGCACACCGCTGATCGGTTTGCACTCTACTACTCGCAGCGCGTATCGGACGGCGGACAGCTCATCACCAAGGCCGCCAACATCGGTTCCCCCACTCGCGGCTACCTCGACGCGCCCGGTGCCTTCGAACAGAACCAGCTTGAGAGCAGGAGGCCCGTGACCAAAACCATTCATGACAAGGGCGTAAGCAACGCTGGTACACGGGCCGCATCGGACACCGTTCAACCAACGCAACGGACAGCTGCCCGTGCCATCGAGCGCGACCAGGATGGACAACATCGACAGCAGCCACGCCGTCATGTACGAAGCCCGCAACAAGTGCGTGACCCCGCGCGCACTCGACGTCGCAGAGATCCCCGACAACGTCGCCGACTACAACCGCCGGGAACGCCTTCGCCGCGGGCTTCGGTGGCGTTGAGATCCACGCCGCCAACAGACACCTGTTCGAGAAGTTCGTGAGCGACAGCGTCAACACACGCACGGACAAGTTCGGCGGCAGAATCGTGAATCGCGCGCGCGTCATCTTGTGCTCTCCAGCCTGCCGTCCAGCCAGGTCGGTGTCTGACTGTCTCCGTTCGGCGACACCTTCGACTGCAAGGACTCGACGCCGCGCGAGACCTACGGGTACGTCGTGAACAAGCTCTGCGGCTGATCTGGCCTGCCTGCGTGTAGTTGAGCGTCGTGGCTTGCACATAGACATCTCCGACGTCCTGGTGGGTGGTGTAGAGTGTCCCTTCCGCGATATCTGCAAGGGCGTCCCCATCACTTCGACCGCGCCGACGCCATAAAGACTATCGAGGACGGTGCAGGCGGCCTCGTGGCTTTTGACTGCGACTTTATCTCCAACCTGGACCTCGTCCAGCGACTGCGCACGAACGCGGCGCTCACGCCCTACGACCCGAAGAGTCCGATCTGTAGCCGAACATGCCGATTGCGGTGGGGGGGGGGGCATGTTCGTTGGCAAGGAGGGCAAGGGCGATCGAGCGGCGGGATTCGACTGGGAGGTATCAATATGGCTATATTCTCGTTCATTACACCATTCCTCTGTATCTCGAGCCGAACTGAAGTCGGAGTGGACGTCTAGCGACATTTACGGGCACTAACCTCCCCTACTAACCCAAGATGACTCCCCATTAACCACCCTACCCAATGAAGCTTCCCTGCTTCCCCTCAACACGCATTGGGTCACGGCCGCAGTACGTTCGACACGACTACGCGCCGCCGGAGGACCAACCGCCCATGACCCTATATGTTCGACTGCGTCAGACTCAATGATCTTGGACAAATCATGCAGCTGCGGATTAGCGTCGCAGCACCGAAATGTTCAAGACCACCCAATTGCTTACTGGCAGTACAGAAGACCAGCGGGATTTCCTGCACTAGTTGCACTTCATTGGAGCGCCTATGGACTTCCCTTGTGAGGACGGGCGGGCGCAGCTGTACTCCATACATTGACACCCGTGCTGACCAACATTCGTGTCGCCAATACGTACCGCTCGCCGCTGCTGTTGGCAGCGCAGAATGGCATCCGTTGCCTTTTTGTGTCAGAAATTGAGCTGATGTGTCGCTCGTGGACGCGGACGGAGATACAGCAGTATATTGGTCGGCTAATAAGGACGTGGCAGAGATCGTGGTGGTGTTCCAGTCCCTTCAAGTGAGCTCGGACGCACCGGACTAATTCGGTCAGACACTGTTGCACCTTGCAGCGATGTCAGGCGAGCTAAGCACAGTGCATATTCTGGTGAAGAGTCTGGGTGCGGATGTGAAGTCCCTGGATTGCAAGAAACGGACTCCGGAGGACCTGGGGGAGTTGAAGCATTTCCATGATGCGGTGCGGCATCTAAAGTAACGGGAGCTGCGTGTTGCGGTCTGAAATGTGGCGGTGTTTATGTGGTGGTGCGACACTGGAGCCAATGCTGTGATCGCTACGTTAGTCTACCTATTCGTATGTTCTGATGTCGAACGGATCGATCGGTTAGGGCGGCGTGCTCTACGGTAATATCGCGGTGGTGCCGATGAAGTCTGGACTGGACTACCGGGTCCAAGTGTATTACCCGCCTGCTCCCATTGCTCAAGTGGCGCAAGCAGATACTAGCGTCAGTGATTTGACTCGTCCGTTGCGTATGCCGACATCTACATTCGCTGGTATTGTTGATGGAGAAGTCATGCTGGTGGCGTTGGGCGCTGTTTTTTCGGCCACGTTCGGTATCTATCTCACCGCGACGTGTCGCCACATTTTCTACACGGGGGTGGATGCCAGAGTTCGCTGTGTATTATGCGATGCCGCTGCCAGTTGAGTTCGAGAAACAGAGGTCACGACGTGATACTTCCACTGAGAAGTATTCATGCAACCTTACAAGCAGACGTCGTTCGCCGGGCTGGTGGTGATGAGTTGCTTTACGGACCGTGTCGGCTAGCATGGGCTTGTGGACGACGTGACCGTGGCGGCAGCGGTGACGTCAGGTTTGCTATCGTTCTCGTTAGCGGAAGACCTTTCGTTTGAATTTGAGTCGGTGGAGAACGTGAGCGTGATGTCGACCGTGGCTGCAACGGCGAGGTGACCACTGTCTGTGGAGGCGTTTTTGTCGACACGGGTATAGTCTTGAGGCGTATCCGTAACGAGTACGCGTTTCTTCAGTGTACACTATCCCCCAAAAAGAAACTATGCTGTGATTTTCTATTGTTCTCATTCATGAAGAAGACGTTCTAAACCAGTAAGGACGGCTTGAAGTACTTCACGAGCTTAGTGTCCGCCGAGATCGTCTCGAAGTACCCTCTCGCGGCTGGTGTGGGTGTGGCTCCTCGAATGCGGTACAGTACATGATGAGGGTCAGATTGTCTATTGAGTTTTTTTACCTGCTAAGGTGTTCTGTAAGGTTTGATCTTCTACCATGACTCGCTCATGTTTTCCTCTTCGCTGTCTCATTCTGCTGGTTCGATACTTCGGGCTTCACGGGGGGCAGGGTTAGTTGGGCGCGCACTTGCGAGCGGATGGCTAGGCGGCTCGATGAGTAGCTCTCACACAGGAGCAGTCTGCTTCAGGGGACAGAGGATGCTAGTACCGGGAGGTCGAAATAATGCGGTACAGTACATGTACTGTACCTGTAAATGAATGATTGCTGTACAATAAAGGCAGCGACTATGTAACGGGGCCGGCAATGACTTTGCGCATTTTGTACCGGACGTAATGCAAGCAATGGCACCTCCTCTGACATGTATGGCTCAAAATCTAGAGATTATTGTACTCAAGTCGGAGATATGTCGGAGGTGTTGTGCGACAAAGGATGCAAAAACATTGCAACACTCTCGTACTTAGAAGTAACTATACAAATCAGTGGTATATACTTGACAGAGGCTCCGACATGTTCGGGACTTTATCTTTTTCACCGATGTGCCCGGGGAATGAGGGGTTAATTTCGGTTTTGTTGCTTTAATCAATTTTATAGGATAGTATTTCCCTCATAATTTACTTCTTTCTATAAATATGTCAAGCTCTTTTTACAAATATACAACATTAAATCTTAGCTAAGAAGTATTAAAAAGATCCGAAATAATGCTTGCTTTACATTGGTGTAAATATGAGTTACACAATACATATAACATATTGTAAACTATATTAAGTTTTTATTTTTCTTTAAATTTCTTATGAGTATACCAGAAGATACGAGTATTGAATTGTTGATTGTATATTACGCAACATATAGATAAAACGTTGGGATTTATCATACTAAGCTTTAAAATAAAATTTATTAATGGTTTAAATAAGTATTTAAATAAATATTAATGCGTTTTAATATATGTTATGGTTGTTTATAAACTATAATAAATTTCCTGTTATCATTGCATTTTTGGCGATTCGTTAATAAACGGCTACTGATAATAACGTTATGAATCAGCAGGGGACGGATCCGTTTTGGGATTATTTCAAAATTACGGGCGTATTTCGTCTTTTTCCCTTTATTATAACAAGCATGACACTATGGCTACGCTTAGGATTTAGAAAATAATTAATACCTGTTGTTCCAGTACTGTCGAGCTGTTGGTACCGTACAGCTCCTATTGACCTGTCAAGAACCCTGTTTTCCAACAGATACTACGTAGTATTTTAACGCTAGATTAAATACTAGTTGCGGGCTCAAGTTGCGAATTTCCCGCATACTCGCTCAGATAATTCAAAACCGGTTAATCAAAAGCGCTTCAGTCAAACGTACACCGGCTACTCTAGGTATACAGCTGCAGTATTGTCGTACGTTTGGCTACCCATGTCCGCGTAATGTCGTTGTGCCAAAGAAGTTTTGAAATTTAAGGGTTTCTAAGAAATATTATCCGTAAAAGTTTAGTTTGTTTATGTGTGTCACTTTGAATCTTGTGACCACATGTAATGCATTCGTACTTCTACTCGTGCTGTCCTCATTTCGCTGATGAAGAAGCACACACACATACTTTTATGCACTAGCGTGGCCATGAAAATAACTGTCATCGACACCATTACAACTCGGTGCCACACTGGACCTCCAAAATGATTAGGTGTTAATAACTAATGTGCATGAGTATGTCAAGCTGCAAATATTTCTCAAGGAAGGTTCGTGTGGCTTTAGTTTCTCTTTTATTGCCACCTCTACCAAACTTGCAATGTCCGAATTAACCCCATTTGGGCTGCCTAGCAGAGGTCGGAAAAAATATTTCAATTCAATAAATAATTGGGGTTTGCAATAAAAATCTTTATTATTGGACATTCCAGCTACCAATACAATATGATATTGACCCAATTATTGGCAATAGATATGAAAAAGGTGCGGTTCTGCGGCCCACCACAAATCTACGTTTGATGGCATCACATGGCACCACCGATGACATCAACAATGGGGTCTTCCACACTACACTAGCGTCGATACAATTACTGGTCAGGAGCAGACTCGTAGAGAAGCCCAGCCGCCATTCTCGGGCGGCCTAGCTTCTCATTTCAACATTGCATTCTCCAAAAACAATGATCTCCAACAAGCTTCTCACCGCCTTCTTCTTCGAACATCTCGGCCAAGGCCTCTTTCGCTGCAAGCTCTGTGACCAAGACCGCAAGCAGATGCCCGGGTCCGGGTACTCCAACCTTCTGGCGCACCTGGCTGGTAAACACGAGGGGTTTGAGGCCCAGTACTCATCCTTCAAGAGCAGCTCCATCCGGTCCCTCCAGCCTTTGGAAGCGTTCAAGTACCAGTCGTACTCGTCAGCCAGCCCGCCGGCCAACATTGGCGGAAATAGTAGGGGCTAGCGTCGGTGCGCCAAGTGCCCCTACGAATGCTGTTGTGAGCGACTCAACTTCGTCAGAGAGTGACAGCTCCGACATTGAAGGGCCAAAGGTATACACCCTTGAGTTTTTTTTATGTAAAAAAGACTGATCTGGATGGCAACGACTACTACTTTGTGAGCTGGGTTGGATACCCCCGTCCTACTTGGCAGCCAGCGTCAGAATTACCACAAGATGCCATTGCGCGTTTTGAAGAGGAGGAGCTCCGCGTGTTTTGGCCTGTGGATCGCAGAGATTTTATCGAGATAGGCGTGCCTACGGGAAGTAGTGGTAGAAAGCGAGAGTTCGAAGAACATGAAGAAATAACTAATAATACAATATAAATTACGGCAATATTTACTATTGCTTGCCGCTATATTGAAATCTTTATTATGGGGTCATGCTGCTGGCAATACAATTTTTATGGTATTGGCGGACCTCAGCTGCCTAGCAACATATCCTACCGGTCACAGCTGTCCCAGTGGGCTGCAGAGGGGTTGGGGTCTGACGCGGTGCGGACCCGTCCTCTTCGAAGGCGCAACTGGCCGGGTGTGGATTAAAATCTACGTAAGTAGTGTGAAAAGGCTGAAGTCCCGAGTGCGCACCTTCAAATGGTGGACTTCCGTGTGTGTTTTAATAAAGAGGGATGATTTGCTGAGTGTTTTTACGTGTATTTTATTGAACGCGTAGTGATGAAGCCAAAAGAGCCTTGGGGCACGCTGAATCCAAGCGGAGGATCGGTCCACATGTGGCCAAGGGCACTGCAATGCAGAGACTGCGGAGTGCGAGCTGCAGCTTTCCACTCGTGCACCTATCTCGAGTGAGGGGGCTATTAGTGCATTTGTGGCGACGGCCAAATTGCCGAGTCACGGTGCTGAAGGCGGGGCGACCCAGACCCCCATTTACTCGATGGTGACGGCGCGATGCACACAAAAAAGAGCTGCAGGTCAAGTTGCAGGTCAACTGCAACGCGTCATCGCCATGCCCCCCCCCCCCCCCCCCCCCCCCGTTCACTCCGACCATGGTCACGGCAATCGAGCGTCCGAGGCGAAGCGCGCGCATGATCGGAGCGGGCAAGAAGAAGGCCGCGCTGAATACTTGCAGCACAGCCAAAACTCTGCTGAACCCTACCCGCGATGTTGCTGTTGTACGGACCTCACTTTTTTCCCATTTCTGCCGGAGCGTGGTTCCTATGGGAGCACTGCACTACACGCTAGTATACTGCACTGCTAGAACTTGCCCGGCGCCCCCTACGCGGGCCTAGCAACGGGTTTCGCTGGCCTGGAATAGCCCCCGCTCGCCCTCGCAAGCGAGCGTGTACACAAAGTGCGGCGGTTGGGCAATCCTGATTTGTCGTCCCAAAACGCATATTTTGTGTGAGGTTGCAGGTGCAACTCCATACAAATCTTTAGATAAAGCGTGACGTGACGGACGCACCAACACCGCAAGTTCGGCGCGCTCAAAGTGGGCTCGCCGTGTCGCGCCAGGTGCTTGCTGTGGTTGGTGGGTTGTCCGCGTTTCTGTCTGGCCTTCAGTTCGAGTTCTCCCCAGCAGCGCCGCAGCAACAGCACAGAAGCAGCAAGAAGAAGCCGACCAGACACTCAGACAGACCGCGATGGATCTCTCCATGATCCTCAGGAGAAAAGATTAAAAGCTATCGGATAGTGTGCAAAAAAGGGATGACGATGTGTATGATACAAAAACGGATGGGAGCCTAATAGTATTTAACTACAGTACACTGCGCGACAAAGGGACAGCGACATTTTGCACAATACTAATATATAATACATGTTTTACTAAGGTATGCTGCTACGCAGTCGGCCGGTGTCGCATGAAGTCGAGCGTGTATTAATAACACACGCGTTTTTAAACGCACATTTCAATATATGCTGGATACTTAAAAGTATCCATCATATATTGAAATTTTATGAAAGTACACTTAATAGGCCATCTGAATAATTATTGAGTCGGTCACTATCGATGATGAACCATCAATCGCATCATCAAATCATTTCCCCCGGCCGAAGACGCAACACCAGAACGAAGTTACAACACGAAGGTAAGCATAGCTCTATGCTTGCGAGGGCGCTGCTGCAGCTAATAGCTTGCTTATACTTGGTTATTACAGCGCGAGAAAGTAAATTGATATTATCGTAAGTGTGTAAAAGTCTGCTTATCTGGTAGTTGTGGATGTTATCTATAAAAGCATAGCGCTGGCCACTGGTGCGCCGCCCTTGCGGCGCACCAGTGGCCCGCGCTGTGCGTTTATCTGTTCGGTTCTGTTTTTTGCTATCTCTCAGCCCCCGCGAAGCCCTAGGTTGTCTAATCAGTTTGCTTTTAACGCGACATATGACGCGAGCTTGGATTTCCCATTCATTGGGTAGAGTGGCTCTCATACAAATATGTCAATTTTGGCACCGCGACAAAACTTTGGGACAGGCATATATCTTAATTAAAGTAAATGCAGCTGTGATGGTGAGGTCCACCAATGCTAACTATTTGCAGTTTTCGGCATAGGTATAACATAGTGTCGCGGTCCTCCTCCGTCGGGGTCGTGTACTTTGGCCGACAGGTGAACAGGCGCTTCGCTTGCTGGCGTAGGGCGATAGAAGATAGGAAGACTTTAACACTCTCACTAAAATGCAAAGTTGTTGTTGCTTTAACGGAGAAAATCCACGACTGACCCCTCTCTTCTCACCTGTGCGCGGTCGGCAGCTACCCCACCGACCCGCTCCTTACCTACTGCAACCTGCCCTTGGGGACGACACGCCTTCGGCCTCCGAGCCAACGCCGCACTCGTGTCCCCCGTCCTCGACGTCCAGCCGCCGAACGTTCCGTACCCTCCGCTCTGCACCGCGCCATCTTTCAGCAGCAGAGTGGGCCTCCCACTTAGACTTGAAAAGCTTGCGCGCCCTGGTCTTGCCCCGCCAGACGTCGCGCCTCCTCCTGCTCCAACGCACCGTCGAGCAGCTTGAGGAAGGCTGTCAGCCGAGGTCTCAGACGTGACCCGGGACAATAGCAGGCAGAAAGATGAGCTGTCCAGAGTATTTTTCTGGACCCTCACGACGCAATACAGACATGGTATTACCGTTGATGCATGTTTTGCTACAAATCCTATTGGTTAGTGACCTTTGTGTTTTACATTGTATAACCTTTATCCCCCAGGTCGAAAGCCTACTAGTAGCCTGGGTCATATCCTACTAGTAGGCTCACTCTGTTTATTGAAAAATTGTGTTGGGCACCATGTGGTAAACATAAAAATCATGATAAAGCATAATTATTTGCTGAATTCGTTTACCATTGAACTTTACCCCAGCAAGCGCTCGATATGTAGCTGAGCTTTTCGTCCCGAAGACCGCTCCGTTGGCGCTAAAAACTAACTATGTTGTACTTTGTTATTTCAGCTTTCTTCTGAGCCCAGCGCCACATTCGATTTGGGTAACAGGGGATCAAATCCTCACGCTTACCGCCCCCTTAAAGGTATTAGCGACCTCTTTTTACTTGATTCTGATGGTTAATGTGACCTCACCATCACAGGCCCCTATACTATAACCCCAGTCGGGCACTTTGCTAGGACAAACTGGAAAAACGCTAGGACGAACCCGAAATTCACTGAAATAAAGCATAGTGTACCATAATTTTTGTCGATCTAGGACAAAATTTGTGGTACACTATACTGAAGCCAAGTAAAAACGATTTTGTCCTCCCGTTAGTCATAGAAAGAGGAGCGCCTGGGGTTAAGCAAAAAAAAGTTTGGTCGCAGTGCCAAATTGACAGATTTGTGTGGAAACCATTCTACCAAATGGGAAATCTTATGCCGCGTTAAAAGCAATCTGATTGGAGAAACATACCCAAATCGCATCCAATAACGCCTTCTATGATCGTCCCAAACCTTTTGCCGCACAATGTACGAATCAATCAAAGCATGACGGCTCTCCGGTAGCCCCCCCTCAATTTGTAGGTTTCAGATTCTATTAGTTTTACGTTTGATTCCGAAATATGCAGTTACCGTCCCCAAACTGAAATCCACTTCTAGCTGATACCCTTCCCAATTCGGTCATTTATGCACATATCGTAACAGAGGCTACCGCCCTTTCTGCAAGTTTAACTTGATTTGTATATTCCGTTTATCAGTCCTGCAATACACGATTTCTTGCCCTCAACGCCTTCCCTCTGAGCACTTAAAACGTACAATGGTTCGTTGGCGGTCGTTTAGAGCGCACACGGTATCGCCATGGCCAGACGCATCCGATGAGCCACCCCACGCAGCCTGCAACCGCGTAGAAGGCCTCGTCCCGATTCTCGCCTTGCCCACCAGCAGTGGCTACACGACCCCTAGCGATGGCACCAATGTCTCGTTGGCCATAAATTAGAGCGCCAGTGGTATCGCCATGGCCAGACGCATCCGACGAGCCACCCCACGCAGCCTGCAACCGCGTAGAAGGCCTCGTCCCGATTCTCGCCTTGCCCACCAGCAGTGGCTACACGACCCCTAGCGATGGCACCAATGTCTCGTTGGCCATAAATTATAGCGCCAGTGGTATCGCCATGGCCAGACGCATCCGACGAGCCATCGCATGCAGCCTGCAACCGCGTAGAAGGCCTCGGTCCCGATTCTCGCCTTGCCCACCAGCAGCCCACCAGCAGTGGCTACACGACCCTAGCGATGGCACCAATGTCTCGTTGGCCATAAATTAGAGCGCCAATGGTATCGCCATGGCCAGACGCATATGATGTGCCAGTGCAAGCAGCCTGCAACCGCGTAGAAGGCCTCGGTTCCGATTCTCGCCTTGCCCACCAGCAGCCCACCAGCAGCCCACCAGCAGTGGCTACACGACCCCTAGCGATGGCACCAATGTCTCGTTGGCCATAAATTAGAGCGCCAGTGGTATCGCCATGGCCAGACGCATATGCTGTGCCATCGCATGCAGCCTGCAACCGCGTAGAAGGCCTCGGTCCCGATTCTCGCCTTGCCCACCAGCAGCCCACCAGCAGTGGCTACACGACCCCAAGCGATGGCACCAATGTCTCGTTGGCCATAAATTATAGCGCCAGTGGTATCGCCATGGCCGGACGCATCCGACGAGCCATCGCATGCAGCCTGCAACCGCGTAGAAGGCCTCGGTTCCGATTCTCGCCTTGCCCACCAGCAGCCCACCAGCAGCCCACCAGCAGTGGCTACACGACCCCAAGCGATGGCATCAATGTCTCGTTGGCCATAAATTATAGCGCCAGTGGTATCGCCATGGCCGGACGCATCCGACGAGCCATCGCATGCAGCCTGCAACCGCGTAGAAGGCCTCGGTTCCGATTCTCGCCTTGCCCACCAGCAGCCCACCAGCAGCCCACCAGCAGTGGCTACACGACCCCAAGCGATGGCACCAATGTCTCGTTGGCCATAAATTAGAGCGCCAGTGGTATCGCCATGGCCGGACGCATCCGACGAGTCATCGCATGCAGCCTGCAACCGCGTAGAAGGCCTCGGTTCCGATTCTCGCCTTGCCCACCAGCAGCCCACCAGCAGCCCACCAGCAGTGGCTACACGACCCCAAGCGATGGCACCAATGTCTCGTTGGCCATAAATTAGAGCGCCAGTGGTATCGCCATGGCCGGACGCATATGCTGTGCCATCGCATGCAGCCTGCAACCGCGTAGAAGGCCTCGGTTCCGATTCTCGCCTTGCCCACCAGCAGCCCACCAGCAGCCCACCAGCAGCCCACCAGCAGTGGCTACACGACCCCAAGCGATGGCACCAATGTCTCGTTGGCCATAAATTATAGCGCCAGTGGTATCGCCATGGCCGGACGCATCCGACGAGCCATCGCATGCAGCCTGCAACCGCGTAGAAGGCCTCGGTTCCGATTCTCGCCTTGCCCACCAGCAGCCCACCAGCAGCCCACCAGCAGTGGCTACACGACCCCTAGCGATGGCACCAATGTCTCGTTGGCCATAAATTAGAGCGCCAGTGGTATCGCCATGGCCAGACGCATCCGACGAGCCATCGCATGCAGCCTGCAACCGCGTAGAAGGCCTCGGTCCCGATTCTCGCCTTGCCCACCAGCAGCCCACCAGCAGTGGCTACACGACCCCAAGCGATGGCACCAATGTCTCGTTGGCCGTAAATTATAGCGCCAGTGGTATCGCCATGGCCGGACGCATATGATGTGCCAGTGCAAGCAGCCTGCAACCGCGTAGAAGGCCTCGGTTCCGATTCTCGCCTTGCCCACCAGCAGCCCACCAGCAGCCCACCAGCAGTGGCTACACGACCCCAAGCGATGGCACCAATGTCTCGTTGGCCATAAATTATAGCGCCAGTGGTATCGCCATGGCCAGACGCATATGCTGTGCCATCGCATGCAGCCTGCAACCGCGTAGAAGGCCTCGGTCCCGATTCTCGCCTTGCCCACCAGCAGCCCACCAGCAGCCCACCAGCAGTGGCTACACGACCCCAAGCGATGGCACCAATGTCTCGTTGGCCATAAATTATAGCGCCAGTGGTATCGCCATGGCCGGACGCATCCGACGAGCCATCGCATGCAGCCTGCAACCGCGTAGAAGGCCTCGGTTCCGATTCTCGCCTTGCCCACCAGCAGCCCACCAGCAGCCCACCAGCAGTGGCTACACGACCCCAAGCGATGGCACCAATGTCTCGTTGGCCATAAATTAGAGCGCCAGTGGTATCGCCATGGCCGGACGCATATGCTGTGCCATCGCATGCAGCCTGCAACCGCGTAGAAGGCCTCGGTCCCGATTCTCGCCTTGCCCACCAGCAGCCCACCAGCAGCCCACCAGCAGTGGCTACACGACCCCTAGCGATGGCACCAATGTCTCGTTGGCCATAAATTAGAGCGCCAGTGGTATCGCCATGGCCAGACGCATCCGACGAGCCATCGCATGCAGCCTGCAACCGCGTAGAAGGCCTCGGTCCCGATTCTCGCCTTGCCCACCAGCAGCCCACCAGCAGTGGCTACACGACCCCAAGCGATGGCACCAATGTCTCGTTGGCCATAAATTATAGCGCCAGTGGTATCGCCATGGCCGGACGCATCCGACGAGCCATCGCATGCAGCCTGCAACCGCGTAGAAGGCCTCGGTTCCGATTCTCGCCTTGCCCACCAGCAGCCCACCAGCAGCCCACCAGCAGCCCACCAGCAGTGGCTACACGACCCCAAGCGATGGCACCAATGTCTCGTTGGCCATAAATTATAGCGCCAGTGGTATCGCCATGGCCAGACGCATCCGACGAGCCATCGCATGCAGCCTGCAACCGCGTAGAAGGCCTCGGTTCCGATTCTCGCCTTGCCCACCAGCAGCCCACCAGCAGCCCACCAGCAGTGGCTACACGACCCCTAGCGATGGCACCAATGTCTCGTTGGCCATAAATTAGAGCGCCAGTGGTATCGCCATGGCCAGACCCATCCGACGAGCCATCGCATGCAGCCTGCAACCGCGTAGAAGGCCTCGGTCCCGATTCTCGCCTTGCCCACCAGCAGCCCACCAGCAGTGGCTACACGACCCCAAGCGATGGCACCAATGTCTCGTTGGCCATAAATTATAGCGCCAATGGTATCGCCATGGCCAGACGCATCCGATGAGCCATCGCATGCAGCCTGCAACCGCGTAGAAGGCCTCGGTCCCGATTCTCGCCTTGCCCACCAGCAGCCCACCAGCAGTGGCTACACGACCCCAAGCGATGGCACCAATGTCTCGTTGGCCATAAATTATAGCGCCAGTGGTATCGCCATGGCCGGACGCATCCGACGAGCCATCGCATGCAGCCTGCAACCGCGTAGAAGGCCTCGGTTCCGATTCTCGCCTTGGCCACCAGCAGCCCACCAGCAGCCCACCAGCAGTGGCTACACGACCCCAAGCGATGGCACCAATGTCTCGTTGGCCATAAATTATAGCGCCAGTGGTATCGCCATGGCCGGACGCATCCGATGAGCCACCCCACCCAGCCTGCAACAGCGTAGAAGGCCTCGGTACCGATTCTCGCCTTGCCCACCAGCAGCCCACCAGCAGTGGCTACACGACCCCTAGCGATGGCACCAATGTCTCGTTGGCCATAAATTAGAGCGCCAGTGGTATCGCCATGGCCAGACGCATATGCTGTGCCATCGCATGCAGCCTGCAACCGCGTAGAAGGCCTCGGTCCCGATTCTCGCCTTGCCCACCAGCAGCCCACCAGCAGTGGCTACACGACCCCAAGCGATGGCACCAATGTCTCGTTGGCCATAAATTATAGCGCCAATGGTATCGCCATGGCCAGACGCATCCGATGAGCCATCGCATGCAGCCTGCAACCGCGTAGAAGGCCTCGGTTCCGATTCTCGCCTTGCCCACCAGCAGCCCACCAGCAGCCCACCAGCAGTGGCTACACGACCCCTAGCGATGGCACCAATGTCTCGTTGGCCATAAATTAGAGCGCCAGTGGTATCGCCATGGCCAGACGCATCCGATGAGCCATCGCATGCAGCCTGCAACCGCGTAGAAGGCCTCGGTTCCGATTCTCGCCTTGCCCACCAGCAGCCCACCAGCAGTGGCTACACGACCCCAAGCGATGGCACCAATGTCTCGTTGGCCATAAATTAGAGAGCGCCAATGGTATCGCCATGGCCGGACGCATATGCTGTGCCATCGCATGCAGCCTGCAACCGCGTAGAAGGCCTCGGTTCCGATTCTCGCCTTGCCCACCAGCAGCCCACCAGCAGTGGCTACACGACCCCTAGCGATGGCACCAATGTCTCATTGACCATAAATTAGAGCGCCAGTGGTATCGCCATGGCCGGACGCATATGCTGTGCCATCGCATGCAGCCTGCAACCGCGTTGAAGGCCTCGTCCCGATTCTCGCCTTGCCCACCAGCAGCCCACCAGCAGTGGCTACACGACCCCAAGCGATGGCACCAATGTCTCGTTGGCCATAAATTATAGCGCCAATGGTATCGCCATGGCCGGACGCATCCGATGAGCCATCGCATGCAGCCTGCAACCGCGTAGAAGGCCTCGGTTCCGATTCTCGCCTTGCCCACCAGCAGCACCAGCAGTGGCTACACGACCCCAAGCGATGGCACCAATGTCTCGTTGGCCATAAATTAGAGCGCCAGTGGTATCGCCATGGCCGGACGCATATGCTGTGCCATCGCATGCAGCCTGCAACCGCGTAGAAGGCCTCGGTCCCGATTCTCGCCTTGCCCACCAGCAGCCCACCAGCAGTGGCTACACGACCCCAAGCGATGGCACCAATGTCTCGTTGGCCATAAATTATAGCGCCAATGGTATCGCCATGGCCGGACGCATCCGATGAGCCATCGCATGCAGCCTGCAACCGCGTAGAAGGCCTCGGTTCCGATTCTCGCCTTGCCCACCAGCAGCCCACCAGCAGCCCACCAGCAGTGGCTACACGACCCCTAGCGATGGCACCAATGTCTCGTTGGCCATAAATTAGAGCGCCAGTGGTATCGCCATGGCCAGACGCATCCGATGAGCCATCGCATGCAGCCTGCAACCGCGTAGAAGGCCTCGGTTCCGATTCTCGCCTTGCCCACCAGCAGCCCACCAGCAGTGGCTACACGACCCCAAGCGATGGCACCAATGTCTCGTTGGCCATAAATTAGAGAGCGCCAATGGTATCGCCATGGCCGGACGCATATGCTGTGCCATCGCATGCAGCCTGCAACCGCGTAGAAGGCCTCGGTCCCGATTCTCGCCTTGCCCACCAGCAGCCCACCAGCAGCCCACCAGCAGTGGCTACACGACCCCTAGCGATGGCACCAATGTCTCGTTGGCCATAAATTAGAGCGCCAGTGGTATCGCCATGGCCAGACGCATCCGATGAGCCATCGCATGCAGCCTGCAACCGCGTAGAAGGCCTCGGTTCCGATTCTCGCCTTGCCCACCAGCAGCCCACCAGCAGTGGCTACACGACCCCAAGCGATGGCACCAATGTCTCGTTGGCCATAAATTAGAGAGCGCCAATGGTATCGCCATGGCCGGACGCATATGCTGTGCCATCGCATGCAGCCTGCAACCGCGTAGAAGGCCTCGGTCCCGATTCTCGCCTTGCCCACCAGCAGCCCACCAGCAGTGGCTACACGACCCCTAGCGATGGCACCAATGTCTCGTTGGCCATAAATTAGAGCGCCAGTGGTATCGCCATGGCCAGACGCATATGCTGTGCCATCGCATGCAGCCTGCAACCGCGTAGAAGGCCTCGGTCCCGATTCTCGCCTTGCCCACCAGCAGCCCACCAGCAGTGGCTACACGACCCCTAGCGATGGCACCAATGTCTCGTTGGCCATAAATTAGAGCGCCAGTGGTATCGCCATGGCCAGACGCATCCGACGAGCCATCGCATGCAGCCTGCAACCGCGTAGAAGGCCTCGGTCCCGATTCTCGCCTTGCCCACCAGCAGCCCACCAGCAGTGGCTACACGACCCCAAGCGATGGCACCAATGTCTCGTTGGCCATAAATTATAGCGCCAATGGTATCGCCATGGCCAGACGCATCCGATGAGCCATCGCATGCAGCCGGCAACCGCGTAGAAGGCCTCGGTCCCGATTCTCGCCTTGCCCACCAGCAGCCCACCAGCAGCCCACCAGCAGTGGCTACACGACCCCTAGCGATGGCACCAATGTCTCGTTGGCCATAAATTAGAGCGCCAGTGGTATCGCCATGGCCAGACGCATATGCTGTGCCATCGCATGCAGCCTGCAACCGCGTAGAAGGCCTCGGTCCCGATTCTCGCCTTGCCCACCAGCAGCCCACCAGCAGTGGCTACACGACCCCAAGCGATGGCACCAATGTCTCGTTGGCCATAAATTATAGCGCCAATGGTATCGCCATGGCCAGACGCATATGCTGTGCCATCGCATGCAGCCTGCAACCGCGTAGAAGGCCTCGTCCCGATTCTCGCCTTGCCCACCAGCAGCCCACCAGCAGTGGCTACACGACCCCAAGCGATGGCACCAATGTCTCGTTGGCCATAAATTATAGCGCCAATGGTATCGCCATGGCCGGACGCATATGCTGTGCCATCGCATGCAGCCGGCAACCGCGTAGAAGGCCTCGGTCCCGATTCTCGCCTTGCCCACCAGCAGCCCACCAGCAGCCCACCAGCAGTGGCTACACGACCCCTAGCGATGGCACCAATGTCTCGTTGGCCATAAATTAGAGCGCCAGTGGTATCGCCATGGCCAGACGCATATGCTGTGCCATCGCATGCAGCCTGCAACCGCGTAGAAGGCCTCGGTCCCGATTCTCGCCTTGCCCACCAGCAGCCCACCAGCAGTGGCTACACGACCCCAAGCGATGGCACCAATGTCTCGTTGGCCATAAATTATAGCGCCAATGGTATCGCCATGGCCAGACGCATCCGATGAGCCATCGCATGCAGCCTGCAACCGCGTAGAAGGCCTCGGTTCCGATTCTCGCCTTGCCCACCAGCAGCCCACCAGCAGTGGCTACACGACCCCAAGCGATGGCACCAATGTCTCGTTGGCCATAAATTAGAGAGCGCCAATGGTATCGCCATGGCCGGACGCATATGCTGTGCCATCGCATGCAGCCTGCAACCGCGTAGAAGGCCTCGGTCCCGATTCTCGCCTTGCCCACCAGCAGCCCACCAGCAGCCCACCAGCAGTGGCTACACGACCCCTAGCGATGGCACCAATGTCTCGTTGGCCATAAATTAGAGCGCCAGTGGTATCGCCATGGCCAGACGCATCCGACGAGCCATCGCATGCAGCCTGCAACCGCGTAGAAGGCCTCGGTTCCGATTCTCGCCTTGCCCACCAGCAGCCCACCAGCAGTGGCTACACGACCCCAAGCGATGGCACCAATGTCTCGTTGGCCATAAATTATAGCGCCAATGGTATCGCCATGGCCGGACGCATATGCTGTGCCATCGCATGCAGCCGGCAACCGCGTAGAAGGCCTCGGTCCCGATTCTCGCCTTGCCCACCAGCAGCCCACCAGCAGCCCACCAGCAGTGGCTACACGACCCCTAGCGATGGCACCAATGTCTCGTTGGCCATAAATTAGAGCGCCAGTGGTATCGCCATGGCCAGACGCATCCGACGAGCCATCGCATGCAGCCTGCAACCGCGTAGAAGGCCTCGGTTCCGATTCTCGCCTTGCCCACCAGCAGCCCACCAGCAGTGGCTACACGACCCCAAGCGATGGCACCAATGTCTCGTTGGCCATAAATTATAGCGCCAATGGTATCGCCATGGCCGGACGCATATGCTGTGCCATCGCATGCAGCCGGCAACCGCGTAGAAGGCCTCGGTCCCGATTCTCGCCTTGCCCACCAGCAGCCCACCAGCAGTGGCTACACGACCCCTAGCGATGGCACCAATGTCTCGTTGGCCATAAATTAGAGCGCCAGTGGTATCGCCATGGCCAGACGCATATGCTGTGCCATCGCATGCAGCCTGCAACCGCGTAGAAGGCCTCGGTCCCGATTCTCGCCTTGCCCACCAGCAGCCCACCAGCAGTGGCTACACGACCCCAAGCGATGGCACCAATGTCTCGTTGGCCATAAATTATAGCGCCAATGGTATCGCCATGGCCAGACGCATCCGATGAGCGATCGCATGCAGCCTGCAACCGCGTAGAAGGCCTCGGTTCCGATTCTCGCCTTGCCCACCAGCAGCCCACCAGCAGCCCACCAGCAGTGGCTACACGACCCCTAGCGATGGCACCAATGTCTCGTTGGCCATAAATTAGAGCGCCAGTGGTATCGCCATGGCCAGACGCATCCGATGAGCCATCGCATGCAGCCTGCAACCGCGTAGAAGGCCTCGGTTCCGATTCTCGCCTTGCCCACCAGCAGCCCACCAGCAGTGGCTACACGACCCCAAGCGATGGCACCAATGTCTCGTTGGCCATAAATTAGAGAGCGCCAATGGTATCGCCATGGCCGGACGCATATGCTGTGCCATCGCATGCAGCCTGCAACCGCGTAGAAGGCCTCGGTTCCGATTCTCGCCTTGCCCACCAGCAGCCCACCAGCAGCCCACCAGCAGTGGCTACACGACCCCTAGCGATGGCACCAATGTCTCGTTGGCCATAAATTAGAGCGCCAGTGGTATCGCCATGGCCAGACGCATCCGACGAGCCATCGCATGCAGCCTGCAACCGCGTAGAAGGCCTCGGTCCCGATTCTCGCCTTGCCCACCAGCAGCCCACCAGCAGTGGCTACACGACCCCAAGCGATGGCACCAATGTCTGGTTGGCCATAAATTATAGCGCCAATGGTATCGCCATGGCCAGACGCATCCGATGAGCCATCGCATGCAGCCTGCAACCGTGTAGAAGGCCTCGGTTCCGATTCTCGCCTTGCCCACCAGCAGCCCACCAGCAGCCCACCAGCAGTGGCTACACGACCCCTAGCGATGGCACCAATGTCTCGTTGGCCATAAATTAGAGAGCAAATGGTATCGCCATGGCCAGACGCATCCGATGAGCCACCCCACCCAGCCTGCAACAGCGTAGAAGGCCTCGGTACCGATTCTCGCCTTGCCCACCAGCAGCCCACCCACCAGCAGTGGCTACACGACCCCTAGCGATGGCACCAATGTCTCGTTGGCCATAAATTAGAGCGCCAGTGGTATCGCCATGGCCAGACGCATCCGATGAGCCATCGCATGCAGCCTGCAACCGCGTAGAAGGCCTCGGTTCCGATTCTCGCCTTGCCCACCAGCAGCCCACCAGCAGTGGCTACACGACCCCTAGCGATGGCACCAATGTCTCATTGACCATAAATTAGAGCGCCAGTGGTATCGCCATGGCCGGACGCATATGCTGTGCCATCGCATGCAGCCTGCAACCGCGTAGAAGGCCTCGGTCCCGATTCTCGCCTTGCCCACCAGCAGCCCACCAGCAGTGGCTACACGACCCCTAGCGATGGCACCAATGTCTCGTTGGCCATAAATTAGAGCGCCAGTGGTATCGCCATGGCCGGACGCATATGCTGTGCCATCGCATGCAGCCTGCAACCGCGTAGAAGGCCTCGGTACCGATTCTCGCCTTGCCCACCAGCAGCCCACCAGCAGTGGCTACACGACCCCAAGCGATGGCACCAATGTCTCGTTGGCCATAAATTATAGCGCCAATGGTATCGCCATGGCCGGACGCATATGCTGTGCCATCGCATGCAGCCTGCAACCGCGTAGAAGGCCTCGGTACCGATTCTCGCCTTGCCCACCAGCAGCCCACCAGCAGTGGCTACACGACCCCAAGCGATGGCACCAATGTCTGGTTGGCCATAAATTAGAGAGCGCCAATGGTATCGCCATGGCCGGACGCATATGCTGTGCCATCGCATGCAGCCTGCAACCGCGGAGAAGGCCTCGGTACCGATTCTCGCCTTGCCCACCAGCAGCCCACCAGCAGTGGCTACACGACCCCTAGCGATGGCACCAATGTCTCATTGACCATAAATTAGAGAGCAAATGGTATCGCCATGGCCGGACGCATATGATGTGCCATCGCATGCAGCCTGCAACAGCGTAGAAGGCCTCGTCCCGATTCTCGCCTTGCCCACCAGCAGCCCACCAGCAGTGGCTACACGACCCCTAGCGATGGCACCAATGTCTCATTGACCATAAATTAGAGAGCAAATGGTATCGCCATGGCCGGAAGCATATGATGTGCCATCGCATGCAGCCTGCAACCGCGTAGAAGGCCTCGGTTCCGATTCTCGCCTTGCCCACCAGCAGCCCACCAGCAGTGGCTACACGACCCCAAGCGATGGCACCAATGTCTGGTTGGCCATAAATTAGAGAGCGCCAATGGTATCGCCATGGCCGGACGCATATGCTGTGCCATCGCATGCAGCCTGCAACCGCGGAGAAGGCCTCGGTCCCGATTCTCGCCTTGCCCACCAGCAGCCCACCAGCAGTGGCTACACGACCCCTAGCGATGGCACCAATGTCTCATTGACCATAAATTAGAGCGCCAGTGGTATCGCCATGGCCGGACGCATATGCTGTGCCATCGCATGCAGCCTGCAACCGCGTAGAAGGCCTCAGTCCCGATTCTCGCCTTGCCCACCAGCAGCCCACCAGCAGTGGCTACACGACCCCTAGCGATGGCACCAATGTCTCATTGACCATAAATTAGAGCGCCAGTGGTATCGCCATGGCCGGACGCATATGCTGTGCCATCGCATGCAGCCTGCAACCGCGGAGAAGGCCTCGGTACCGATTCTCGCCTTGCCCACCAGCAGCCCACCAGCAGTGGCTACACGACCCCTAGCGATGGCACCAATGTCTCATTGACCATAAATTAGAGCGCCAGTGGTATCGCCATGGCCGGACGCATATGCTGTGCCATCGCATGCAGCCTGCAACCGCGTAGAAGGCCTCAGTCCCGATTCTCGCCTTGCCCACCAGCAGCCCACCAGCAGTGGCTACACGACCCCTAGCGATGGCACCAATGTCTCATTGACCATAAATTAGAGCGCCAGTGGTATCGCCATGGCCAGACGCATCCGATGAGCCATCGCATGCAGCCTGCAACCGCGTAGAAGGCCTCGTCCCGATTCTCGCCTTGCCCACCAGCAGCCCACCAGCAGTGGCTACACGACCCCTAGCGATGGCACCAATGTCTCATTGACCATAAATTAGAGCGCCAGTGGTATCGCCATGGCCAGACGCATCCGACGAGCCATCGCATGCAGCCTGCAACCGCGTAGAAGGCCTCGGTACCGATTCTCACCTTGCCCACCAGCAGCCCACCAGCAGTGGCTACACGACCCCTAGCGATGGCACCAATGTCTCATTGACCATAAATTAGAGAGCAAATGGTATCGCCATGGCCGGACGCATATGATGTGCCATCGCATGCAGCCTGCAACCGCGTAGAAGGCCTCGGTTCCGATTCTCGCCTTGCCCACCAGCAGCCCACCAGCAGTGGCTACACGACCCCAAGCGATGGCACCAATGTCTCGTTGGCCATAAATTAGAGAGCGCCAATGGTATCGCCATGGCCGGACGCATATGCTGTGCCATCGGATGCAGCCTGCAACCGCGGAGAAGGCCTCGTCCCGATTCTCGCCTTGCCCACCAGCAGCCCACCAGCAGTGGCTACACGACCCCTAGCGATGGCACCAATGTCTCGTTGACCATAAATTAGAGAGCCAACGGTGTCGCCATGGCCAGACGCATTCGACGAGCCATCGCATGCAGCCTGCAACCGCGTAGAAGGCCTCGGTCCCGATTCTCGCCTTGCCCACCAGCAGCCCACCAGCAGTGGCTACACGACCCCTAGCGATGGCACCAATGTCTCGTTGACCATAAATTAGAGCGCCAGTGGTATCGCCATGGCCGGACGCATATGCTGTGCCATCGCATGCAGCCTGCAACCGCGTAGAAGGCCTCAGTCCCGATTCTCGCCTTGCCCACCAGCAGCCCACCACCAGTGGCTACACGACCCCTAGCGATGGCACCAATGTCTCATTGACCATAAATTAGAGCGGCAATGGTATGGCCAAGGCCAGACGCATATGCTGTGCCATCGCATGCAGCCTGCAACCGCGTAGAAGGCCTCGGTCCCGATTCTCGCCTTGCCCACCAGCAGCCCACCAGCAGCGGCTACACGACCCCTAGCGATGGCACCAATGTCTCATTGACCATAAATTAGAGCGCCAGTGGTATCGCCATGGCCAGACGCATTCGACGAGCCATCGCATGCAGCCTGCAACCGCGTAGAAGGCCTCGGTCCCGATTCTCGCCTTGCCCACCAGCAGCCCACCAGCAGTGGCTACACGACCCCTAGCGATGGCACCAATGTCTCGTTGGCCATAAATTAGAGCGCCAGTGGTATCGCCATGGCCAGACGCATCCGACGAGCCATCGCATGCAGCCTGCAACCGCGTAGAAGGCCTCAGTCCCGATTCTCGCCTTGCCCACCAGCAGCCCACCACCAGTGGCTACACGACCCCTAGCGATGGCACCAATGTCTCATTGACCATAAATTAGAGCGGCAATGGTATGGCCAAGGCCAGACGCATATGCTGTGCCATCGCATGCAGCCTGCAACCGCGTAGAAGGCCTCGGTCCCGATTCTCGCCTTGCCCACCAGCAGCCCACCAGCAGCGGCTACACGACCCCTAGCGATGGCACCAATGTCTCATTGACCATAAATTAGAGCGGCAATGGTATGGCCAAGGCCAGACGCATATGCTGTGCCATCGCATGCAGCCTGCAACCGCGTAGAAGGCCTCGGTCCCGATTCTCGCCTTGCCCACCAGCAGCCCACCAGCAGCGGCTACACGACCCCTAGCGATGGCACCAATGTCTCATTGACCATAAATTAGAGCGCCAGTGGTATCGCCATGGCCAGACGCATCCGATGAGCCATCGCATGCAGCCTGCAACCGCGTAGAAGGCCTCGTCCCGATTCTCGCCTTGGCCACCAGCAGCCCACCAGCAGTGGCTACACGACCCCTAGCGATGGCACCAATGTCTCATTGACCATAAATTAGAGCGCCAGTGGTATCGCCATGGCCAGACGCATCCGACGAGCCATCGCATGCAGCCTGCAACCGCGTAGAAGGCCTCGGTCCCGATTCTCGCCTTGCCCACCACCAGCCCACCGCCAGTGGCTACACGACCCCTAGTGATGGCACCAATGTCTCGTTGGCCATAAATTAGAGAGCGCAAATGGTATCGCCATGGCCAGACGCATCCGATGAGCCACCCCACACAGCCTGCAACCGCGTAGAAGGCCTCGTCCCGATTCTCGCCTTGCCCACCAGCAGTGGCTACACGACCCCTAGTGATGGCACCAATGTCTCGTTGGCCATATATTAGAGAGCAAATGGTATCGCCATGGCCAGACGCATCCGATGAGCCATCGCATGCAGCCTGCAACCGCGTAGAAGGCCTCGGTTCCGATTCTCGCCTTGGCCACCAGCAGCCCACCAGCAGTGGCTACACGACCCCTAGCGATGGCACCAATGTCTCATTGACCATAAATTAGAGCGCCAGTGGTATCGCCATGGCCAGACGCATCCGACGAGCCATCGCATGCAGCCTGCAACCGCGTAGAAGGCCTCGGTCCCGATTCTCGCCTTGCCCACCAGCAGCCCACCAGCAGTGGCTACACGACCCCTAGCGATGGCACCAATGTCTCATTGACCATAAATTAGAGCGCCAGTGGTATCGCCATGGCCAGACGCATCCGACGAGCCATCGCATGCAGCCTGCAACCGCGTAGAAGGCCTCGGTCCCGATTCTCGCCTTGCCCACCACCAGCCCACCGCCAGTGGCTACACGACCCCTAGTGATGGCACCAATGTCTCGTTGGCCATAAATTAGAGAGCGCAAATGGTATCGCCATGGCCAGACGCATCCGATGAGCCACCCCACACAGCCTGCAACCGCGTAGAAGGCCTCGTCCCGATTCTCGCCTTGCCCACCAGCAGTGGCTACACGACCCCTAGTGATGGCACCAATGTCTCGTTGGCCATATATTAGAGAGCAAATGGTATCGCCATGGCCAGACGCATCCGATGAGCCATCGCATGCAGCCTGCAACCGCGTAGAAGGCCTCGGTTCCGATTCTCGCCTTGGCCACCAGCAGCCCACCAGCAGTGGCTACACGACCCCTAGCGATGGCACCAATGTCTCATTGACCATAAATTAGAGCGCCAGTGGTATCGCCATGGCCAGACGCATCCGACGAGCCATCGCATGCAGCCTGCAACCGCGTAGAAGGCCTCGGTCCCGATTCTCGCCTTGCCCACCAGCAGCCCACCAGCAGTGGCTACACGACCCCTAGCGATGGCACCAATGTCTCCTTGGCCATATATTAGAGCGGCAATGGTATCGCCATGGCTAGACGCATCCGATGAGCTATCGCATGCAGCCTGCAACCGCGTAGAAGGCCTCGGTCCCGATTCTCGCCTTGCCCACCAGCAGCCCACCAGCAGTGGCTACACGACCCCAAGCGATGGCACCAATGTCTCGTTGGCCATAAATTAGAGCGCCAATGGTATCGCCATGGCCAGACGCATCCGACGAGCCATCGCATGCAGCCTGCAACCGCGGAGAAGGCCTCGTCCCGATTCTCGCCTTGCCCACCAGCAGCCCACCAGCAGTGGCTACACGACCCCTAGCGATGGCACCAATGTCTCATTGACCATAAATTAGAGAGCAAATGGTAACGCCATGGCCGGACGCATATGATGTGCCATCGCATGCAGCCTGCAACCGCGTAGAAGCCTCAGTCCCGATTCTCGCCTTGCCCACCAGCAGCCCACCACCAGTGGCTACACGACCCCTAGCGATGGCACCAATGTCTCATTGACCATAAATTAGAGCGGCAATGGTATGGCCAAGGCCAGACGCATATGCTGTGCCATCGCATGCAGCCTGCAACCGCGTAGAAGGCCTCGGTCCCGATTCTCGCCTTGCCCACCAGCAGCCCACCAGCAGTGGCTACACGACCCCAAGCGATGGCACCAATGTCTCGTTGGCCATAAATTAGAGCGCCAATGGTATCGCCATGGCCAGACGCATCCGACGAGCCATCGCATGCAGCCTGCAACCGCGGAGAAGGCCTCGTCCCGATTCTCGCCTTGCCCACCAGCAGCCCACCAGCAGTGGCTACACGACCCCTAGCGATGGCACCAATGTCTCATTGACCATAAATTAGAGAGCAAATGGTAACGCCATGGCCGGACGCATATGATGTGCCATCGCATGCAGCCTGCAACCGCGTAGAAGCCTCAGTCCCGATTCTCGCCTTGCCCACCAGCAGCCCACCACCAGTGGCTACACGACCCCTAGCGATGGCACCAATGTCTCATTGACCATAAATTAGAGCGGCAATGGTATGGCCAAGGCCAGACGCATATGCTGTGCCATCGCATGCAGCCTGCAACCGCGTAGAAGGCCTCGGTCCCGATTCTCGCCTTGCCCACCAGCAGCCCACCAGCAGTGGCTACACGACCCCTAGCGATGGCACCAATGTCTCATTGACCATAAATTAGAGCGCCAGTGGTATCGCCATGGCCAGACGCATCCGACGAGCCATCGCATGCAGCCTGCAACCGCGTAGAAGGCCTCGGTCCCGATTCTCGCCTTGCCCACCACCAGCCCACCGCCAGTGGCTACACGACCCCTAGCGATGGCACCAATGTCTCGTTGGCCATAAATTAGAGAGCGCAAATGGTATCGCCATGGCCAGACGCATCCGACGAGCCACCCCACACAGCCTGCAACCGCGTAGAAGGCCTCGTCCCGGTTCTCGCCTTGCCCACCAGCAGTGGCTACACGACCCCTAGCGATGGCACCAATGTCTCGTTGGCCATAAATTAGAGCGCCAGTGGTAACGCCATGGCCAGACGCATATGATGTGCCATCGCATGCAGCCTGCAACCGCGTAGAAGGCCTCGTCCCGATTCTCGCCTTGCCCACCAGCAGCCCACCAGCAGTGGCTACACGACCCCTAGCGATGGCACCAATGTCTCATTGACCATAAATTAGAGCGCCAGTGGTATCGCCATGGCCAGACGCATCCGACGAGGCATCGCATGCAGCCTGCAACCGCGTAGAAGGCCTCGGTCCCGATTCTCGCCTTGCCCACCACCAGCCCACCGCCAGTGGCTACACGACCCCTAGCGATGGCACCAATGTCTCGTTGGCCATAAATTAGAGCGCCAGTGGTATCGCCATGGCCAGACGCATCCGACGAGCCATCGCATGCAGCCTGCAACCGCGTAGAAGGCCTCGGTCCCGATTCTCGCCTTGCCCACCAGCAGCCCACCAGCAGTGGCTACACGACCCCTAGCGATGGCACCAATGTCTCGTTGACCATAAATTAGAGCGCCAGTGGTATCGCCATGGCCGGACGCATCCGACGAGCCATCGCATGCAGCCTGCAACCGCGTAGAAGGCCTCGGTCCCGATTCTCACCTTGCCCAGCAGTGGCTACACGACCCCTAGCGATGGCACCAATGTCTCGTTGACCATAAATTAGAGCGCCAGTGGTATCGCCATGGCCAGACGCATATGATGTGCCGTCGCATGCAGCCTGTAACCGCGTAGAAGGCCTCGTCCCGATTCTCGCCTTGCCCACCAGCAGCCCACCAGCAGTGGCTACACGACCCCAAGCGATGGCACCAATGTCTCGTTGGCCATAAATTAGAGCGCCAGTGGTATCGCCATGGCCGGACGCATCCGACGAGCCATCGCATGCAGCCTGCAACCGCGTAGAAGGCCTCGGTCCCGATTCTCACCTTGCCCAGCAGTGGCTACACGACCCCTAGCGATGGCACCAATGTCTCATTGACCATAAATTAGAGAGCAAATGGTATCGCCATGGCCGGACGCATATGATGTGCCATCGCATGCAGCCTGCAACCGCGTAGAAGGCCTCGGTTCCGATTCTCGCCTTGCCCACCAGCAGCCCACCAGCAGTGGCTACACGACCCCAAGCGATGGCGCCAATGTCTCGTTGGCCATAAATTAGAGAGCGTCAATGGTATCGCCATGGCCGGACGCATATGCTGTGCCATCGCATGCAGCCTGCAACCGCGTAGAAGGCCTCGTCCCGATTCTCGCCTTGCCCACCAGCAGCCCACCAGCAGTGGCTACACGACCCCTAGCGATGGCACCAATGTCTCGTTGACCATAAATTAGAGAGCCAACGGTGTCACCATGGCCAGACGCATTCGACGAGCCATCGCATGCAGCCTGCAACCGCGTAGAAGGCCTCGGTACCGATTCTCGCCTTGCCCACCAGCAGCCCACCAGCAGTGGCTACACGACCCCAAGCGATGGCACCAATGTCTCGTTGGCCATAAATTAGAGAGCGCCAATGGTATCGCCATGGCCGGACGCATATGCTGTGCCATCGCATGCAGCCTGCAACCGCGGAGAAGGCCTCGTCCCGATTCTCGCCTTGCCGACCAGCAGCCCACCAGCAGTGGCTACACGACCCCTAGCGATGGCACCAATGTCTCGTTGACCATAAATTAGAGAGCCAACGGTGTCACCATGGCCAGACGCATTCGACGAGCCATCGCATGCAGCCTGCAACCGCGTAGAAGGCCTCGGTCCCGATTCTCGCCTTGCCCACCAGCAGCCCACCAGCAGTGGCTACACGACCCCTAGCGATGGCACCAATGTCTCGTTGGCCATAAATTAGAGCGCCAGTGGTATCGCCATGGCCAGACGCATATGCTGTGCCATCGCATGCAGCCTGCATCCGCGTAGAAGGCCTCAGTCCCGATTCTCGCCTTGCCCACCAGCAGCCCACCACCAGTGGCTACACGACCCCTAGCGATGGCACCAATGTCTCATTGACCATAAATTAGAGCGGCAATGGTATGGTCAAGGCCAGACGCATCCGATAAGCCATCGCATGCAGCCTGCAACCGCGTAGAAGGCCTCGGTCCCGATTCTCGCCTTGCCCACCAGCAGCCCACCACCAGTGGCTACACGACCCCTAGCGATGGCACCAATGTCTCATTGACCATAAATTAGAGCGGCAATGGTATGGTCATGGCCAGACGCATCCGATGAGCCATCGCATGCAGCCTGCAACCGCGTAGAAGGCCTCGTCCCGATTCTCGCCTTGCCCACCAGCAGCCCACCAGCAGTGGCTACACGACCCCTAGCGATGGCACCAATGTCTCATTGGCCATAAATTAGAGAGCAAATGGTATCGCCATGGCCAGACGCATCTGGCGAGCCATCGCATGCAGCCTGCAACCGCGTAGAAGGCCTCGGTCCCGATTCTCGCCTTGCCCACCAGCAGCCCACCAGCAGTGGCTACACGACCCCTAGCGATGGCACCAATGTCTCATTGGCCATAAATTAGAGCGCCAATGGTATCGCCATGGCCAGACGCATATGATGTGCCATCGCACGCAGCCTGCAACCGCGTAGAAGGCCTCGGTACCGATTCTCGCCTTGCCCACCAGCAGCCCACCACCAGTGGCTACACGACCCCTAGCGATGGCACCAATGTCTCGTTGGCCATAAATTAGAGAGCAAATGGTATCGCCATGGCCGGACGCATATGATGTGCCATCGCATGCAGCCTGCAACCGCGTAGAAGGCCTCGGTTCCGATTCTCGCCTTGCCCACCAGCAGCCCACCAGCAGTGGCTACACGACCCCTAGCGATGGCACCAATGTCTCATTGGCCATAAATTAGAGAGCAAATGGTAACGCCATGGCCGGCCGCATATGATGTGCCATCGCATGCAGCCTTCAACCGCGTAGAAGGCCTCGTCCTGATTCTCGCCTTGCCCACCAGCAGCCCACCAGCAGTGGCTACACGACCCCTAGCGATGGCACCAATGTCTCGTTGGCCATAAATTAGAGCGGCAATGGTATCGCCATGGCCAGACGCATCCGACGAGCCATCGCATGCAGCCTGCAACAGCGTAGAAGGCCTCGATCCCGATTCTCGCCTTGCCCACCAGCAGCCCACCAGCAGTGGCTACACGACCCCTAGCGATGGCACCAATGTCTCGTTGGCCATAAATTAGAGCGCCAATGGTATCGCCATGGCCAGACGCATCTGGCGAGCCATCGCATGCAGCCTGCAACCGCGTAGAAGGCCTCGGTCCCGATTCTCGCCTTGCCCACCAGCAGCCCACCAGCAGTGGCTACACGACCCCTAGCGATGGCACCAATGTCTCGTTGGCCATAAATTAGAGCGCCAATGGTATCGCCATGGCCAGACGCATCTGGCGAGCCATCGCATGCAGCCTGCAACCGCGTAGAAGGCCTCGGTCCCGATTCTCGCCTTGCCCACCAGCAGCCCACCAGCAGTGGCTACACGACCCCTAGCGATGGCACCAATGTCTCATTGGCCATAAATTAGAGAGCAAATGGCATCGCCATGGCCGGACGCATATGATGTGCCATCGCATGCAGCCTGCAACCTGCAACCGCGTAGAAGGCCTCGATCCCGATTCTCGCCTTGCCCACCAGCAGCCCACCAGCAGTGGCTACACGACCCCTAGCGATGGCACCAATGTCTCGTTGGCCATAAATTAGAGCGCCAATGGTATCGCCATGGCCAGACGCATCTGGCGAGCCATCGCATGCAGCCTGCAACCGCGTAGAAGGCCTCGTCCCGATTCTCGCCTTGCCCACCAGCAGCCCACCAGCAGTGGCTACACGACCCCTAGCGATGGCACCAATGTCTCGTTGGCCGTAAATTAGAGCGCAAACGGTATCGCCATGGCCAGACGCATATGATGTGCCGTCGCATGCAGCTTGCAACCGCGTAGAAGGCCTCGTCCCGATTCTCGCCTTGCCCACCAGCAGCCCACCAGCAGTGGCTACACGACCCCTAGCGATGGCACCAATGTCTCGTTGGCCATAAATTAGAGCGCCAATGGTATCGCCATGGCCAGACGCATCTGGCGAGCCATCGCATGCAGCCTGCAACCGCGTAGAAGGCCTCGGTCCCGATTCTCGCCTTGCCCACCAGCAGCCCACCAGCAGTGGCTACACGACCCCTAGCGATGGCACCAATGTCTCGTTGGCCATAAATTAGAGCGCCAATGGTATCGCCATGGCCAGACGCATCTGGCGAGCCATCGCATGCAGCCTGCAACCGCGTAGAAGGCCTCGGTCCCGATTCTCGCCTTGCCCACCAGCAGCCCACCAGCAGTGGCTACACGACCCCTAGCGATGGCACCAATGTCTCATTGGCCATAAATTAGAGAGCAAATGGCATCGCCATGGCCGGACGCATATGATGTGCCATCGCATGCAGCCTGCAACCTGCAACCGCGTAGAAGGCCTCGATCCCGATTCTCGCCTTGCCCACCAGCAGCCCACCAGCAGTGGCTACACGACCCCTAGCGATGGCACCAATGTCTCGTTGGCCGTAAATAAGAGCGCAAACGGTATCGCCATGGCTAGACGCACCCGATGAGCCATCGCATGCAGCCTGCAACCGCGTAGAAGGCCTCGTCCTGATTCTCGCCTTGCCCACCAGCAGCCCACCAGCAGTGGCTACACGACCCCTAGCGATGGCACCAATGTCTCGTTGGCCATAAATTAGAGCGGCAATGGTATCGCCATGGCTAGACGCACCCGATGAGCCATCGCATGCAGCCTGCAACCGCGTAGAAGGCCTCGTCCCGATTCTCGCCTTGCCCACCAGCAGCCCACCAGCAGTGGCTACACGACCCCTAGCGATGGCACCAATGTCTCGTTGGCCATAAATTAGAGCGCCAATGGTATCGCCATGGCCAGACGCATCTGGCGAGCCATCGCATGCAGCCTGCAACCGCGTAGAAGGCCTCGGTCCCGATTCTCGCCTTGCCCACCAGCAGCCCACCAGCAGTGGCTACACGACCCCTAGCGATGGCACCAATGTCTCGTTGGCCATAAATTAGAGCGGCAATGGTATCGCCATGGCCAGACGCATCTGGCGAGCCATCGCATGCAGCCTGCAACCGCGTAGAAGGCCTCGGTCCCGATTCTCGCCTTGCCCACCAGCAGCCCACCAGCAGTGGCTACACGACCCCTAGCGATGGCACCAATGTCTCATTGGCCATAAATTAGAGAGCAAATGGCATCGCCATGGCCGGACGCATATGATGTGCCATCGCATGCAGCCTGCAACCTGCAACCGCGTAGAAGGCCTCGATCCCGATTCTCGCCTTGCCCACCAGCAGCCCACCAGCAGTGGCTACACGACCCCTAGCGATGGCACCAATGTCTCGTTGGCCGTAAATAAGAGCGCAAACGGTATCGCCATGGCTAGACGCACCCGATGAGCCATCGCATGCAGCCTGCAACCGCGTAGAAGGCCTCGTCCCGATTCTCGCCTTGCCCACCAGCAGCCCACCAGCAGTGGCTACACGACCCCTAGCGATGGCACCAATGTCTCGTTGGCCATAAATTAGAGCGCCAATGGTATCGCCATGGCCAGACGCATCTGGCGAGCCATCGCATGCAGCCTGCAACCGCGTAGAAGGCCTCGGTCCCGATTCTCGCCTTGCCCACCAGCAGCCCACCAGCAGTGGCTACACGACCCCTAGCGATGGCACCAATGTCTCGTTGGCCATAAATTAGAGAGCAAATGGTATCGCCATGGCCAGACGCATCTGGCGAGCCATCGCATGCAGCCTGCAACCGCGTAGAAGGCCTCGGTCCCGATTCTCGCCTTGCCCACCAGCAGCCCACCAGCAGTGGCTACACGACCCCTAGCGATGGCACCAATGTCTCATTGGCCATAAATTAGAGAGCAAATGGCATCGCCATGGCCGGACGCATATGATGTGCCATCGCATGCAGCCTGCAACCTGCAACCGCGTAGAAGGCCTCGATCCCGATTCTCGCCTTGCCCACCAGCAGCCCACCAGCAGTGGCTACACGACCCCTAGCGATGGCACCAATGTCTCGTTGGCCGTAAATAAGAGCGCAAACGGTATCGCCATGGCTAGACGCACCCGATGAGCCATCGCATGCAGCCTGCAACCGCGTAGAAGGCCTCGTCCCGATTCTCGCCTTGCCCACCAGCAGCCCACCAGCAGTGGCTACACGACCCCTAGCGATGGCACCAATGTCTCATTGGCCATAAATTAGAGAGCAAATGGCATCGCCATGGCCGGACGCATATGATGTGCCATCGCATGCAGCCTGCAACCTGCAACCGCGTAGAAGGCCTCGATCCCGATTCTCGCCTTGCCCACCAGCAGCCCACCAGCAGTGGCTACACGACCCCTAGCGATGGCACCAATGTCTCGTTGGCCGTAAATAAGAGCGCAAACGGTATCGCCATGGCTAGACGCACCCGATGAGCCATCGCATGCAGCCTGCAACCGCGTAGAAGGCCTCGTCCCGATTCTCGCCTTGCCCACCAGCAGCCCACCAGCAGTGGCTACACGACCCCTAGCGATGGCACCAATGTCTCATTGGCCATAAATTAGAGAGCAAATGGCATCGCCATGGCCGGACGCATATGATGTGCCATCGCATGCAGCCTGTAACCTGCAACCGCGTAGAAGGCCTCGATCCCGATTCTCGCCTTGCCCACCAGCAGCCCACCAGCAGTGGCTACACGACCCCTAGCGATGGCACCAATGTCTCGTTGGCCGTAAATAAGAGCGCAAATGGTATCGCCATGGCCAGACGCATCCGACGAGCCATCGCATGCAGCCTGCAACCGCGTAGAAGGCCTCGGTCCCGATTCTCGCCTTGCCCACCAGCAGCCCACCAGCAGTGGCTACACGACCCCTAGCGATGGCACCAATGTCTCATTGGCCATAAATTAGAGAGCAAATGGTATCGCCATGGCCAGACGCATCCGACGAGCCATCGCATGCAGCCTGCAACCGCGTAGAAGGCCTCGATCCCGATTCTCACCTTGCCCACCAGCAGCCCACCAGCAGTGGCTACACGACCCCTAGCGATGGCACCAATGTCTCGTTGGCCATAAATTAGAGCGGCAATGGTATCGCCATGGCCAGACGCATCCGACGAGCCATCGCATGCAGCCTGCAACCGCGTAGAAGGCCTCGGTCCCGATTCTCGCCTTGCCCACCAGCAGCCCACCACCAGTGGCTACACGACCCCTAGCGATGGCACCAATGTCTCGTTGGCCATAAATTAGAGCGCCAATGGTATCGCCATGGCCAGACGCATCCGACGAGCCATCGCATGCAGCCTGCAACCGCGTAGAAGGCCTCGGTACCGATTCTCGCCTTGCCCACCAGCAGCCCACCACCAGTGGCTACACGACCCCTAGCGATGGCACCAATGTCTCGTTGGCCATAAATTAGAGCGCCAATGGTATCGCCATGGCCAGACGCATCCGACGAGCCATCGCATGCAGCCTGCAACCGCGTAGAAGGCCTCGGTCCCGATTCTCGCCTTGCCCACCAGCAGCCCACCAGCAGTGGCTACACGACCCCTAGCGATGGCACCAATGTCTCGTTGGCCATAAATTAGAGCGCCAATGGTATCGCCATGGCCAGACGCATCCGACGAGCCATCGCATGCAGCCTGCAACCGCGTAGAAGGCCTCGGTCCCGATTCTCGCCTTGCCCACCAGCAGCCCACCAGCAGTGGCTACACGACCCCTAGCGATGGCACCAATGTCTCATTGGCCATAAATTAGAGCGGCAATGGTAACGCCATGGCCGGGCGAATTTGGCGAGCCATCGCACGCAGCCTGCAACCGCGTAGAAGGCCTCGATCCCGATTCTCGCCTTGCCCACCAGCAGCCCACCACCAGTGGCTACACGACCCCTAGCGATGGCACCAATGTCTCGTTGGCCATAAATTAGAGCGGCAATGGTATCGCCATGGCCAGACGCATCCGACGAGCCATCGCATGCAGCCTGCAACCGCGTAGAAAGCCTCGTCCCGATTCTCACCTTGCCCACCAGCAGCCCACCAGCAGTGGCTACACGACCCCTAGCGATGGCACCAATGTCTCATTGGCCATAAATTAGAGAGCAAATGGTATCGCCATGGCCAGACGCATATGATGTACCATCGCACGCAGCCTGCAACCGCGTAGAAGGCCTCGATCCCGATTCTCGCCTTGCCCACCAGCAGCCCACCACCAGTGGCTACACGACCCCTAGCGATGGCACCAATGTCTCGTTGGCCATAAATTAGAGCGGCAATGGTATCGCCATGGCCAGACGCATCCGACGAGCCATCGCATGCAGCCTGCAACCGCGTAGAAGGCCTCGGTCCCGATTCTCGCCTTGCCCACCAGCAGCCCACCACCAGTGGCTACACGACCCCTAGCGATGGCACCAATGTCTCGTTGGCCATAAATTAGAGCGCCAACGGTGTCGCCATGGCCAGACGCATATGATGTGCCATCGCACGCAGCCTGCAACCGCGTAGAAGGCCTCGATCCCGATTCTCACCTTGCCCACCAGCAGCCCACCAGCAGTGGCTACACGACCCCTAGCGATGGCACCAATGTCTCATTGGCCATAAATTAGAGAGCAAATGGTATCGCCATGGCTAGACGCACCCGATGAGCCATCGCATGCAGCCTGCAACCGCGTAGAAGGCCTCGTCCCGATTCTCGCCTTGCCCACCAGCAGCCCACCAGCAGTGGCTACACGACCCCTAGCGATGGCACCAATGTCTCATTGGCCATAAATTAGAGAGCAAATGGCATCGCCATGGCCGGACGCATATGATGTGCCATCGCATGCAGCCTGTAACCTGCAACCGCGTAGAAGGCCTCGATCCCGATTCTCGCCTTGCCCACCAGCAGCCCACCAGCAGTGGCTACACGACCCCTAGCGATGGCACCAATGTCTCGTTGGCCATAAATTAGAGCGGCAATGGTATCGCCATGGCCAGACGCATCCGACGAGCCATCGCATGCAGCCTGCAACCGCGTAGAAGGCCTCGGTCCCGATTCTCGCCTTGCCCACCAGCAGCCCACCAGCAGTGGCTACACGACCCCTAGCGATGGCACCAATGTCTCGTTGGCCATAAATTAGAGCGCCAATGGTATCGCCATGGCCAGACGCATATGATGTGCCATCGCACGCAGCCTGCAACCGCGTAGAAGGCCTCGATCCCGATTCTCACCTTGCCCACCAGCAGCCCACCAGCAGTGGCTACACGACCCCTAGCGATGGCACCAATGTCTCGTTGGCCATAAATTAGAGCGCCAATGGTATCGCCATGGCCAGACGCATATGATGTGCCATCGCACGCAGCCTGCAACCTGCAACCGCGTAGAAGGCCTCGATCCCGATTCTCGCCTTGCCCACCAGCAGCCCACCAGCAGTGGCTACACGACCCCTAGCGATGGCACCAATGTCTCATTGGCCATAAATTAGAGAGCAAATGGTATCGCCATGGCCAGACGCATATGATGTGCCATCGCACGCAGCCTGCAACCGCGTAGAAGGCCTCGATCCCGATTCTCGCCTTGCCCACCAGCAGCCCACCACCAGTGGCTACACGACCCCTAGCGATGGCACCAATGTCTCGTTGGCCATAAATTAGAGCGCCAACGGTGTCGCCATGGCCAGACGCATATGATGTGCCATCGCACGCAGCCTGCAACCGCGTAGAAGGCCTCGATCCCGATTCTCACCTTGCCCACCAGCAGCCCACCAGCAGTGGCTACACGAGGCACCAATGTCTCGTTGGCCATAAATTAGAGCGGCAATGGTATCGCCATGGCCAGACGCATCCGACGAGCCATCGCATGCAGCCTGCAACCGCGTAGAAGGCCTCGGTCCCGATTCTCGCCTTGCCCACCAGCAGCCCACCACCAGTGGCTACACGACCCCTAGCGATGGCACCAATGTCTCGTTGGCCATAAATTAGAGCGCCAATGGTATCGCCATGGCCAGACGCATATGATGTGCCATCGCACGCAGCCTGCAACCGCGTAGAAGGCCTCGATCCCGATTCTCACCTTGCCCACCAGCAGCCCACCAGCAGTGGCTACACGACCCCTAGCGATGGCACCAATGTCTCGTTGGCCATAAATTAGAGCGCCAATGGTATCGCCATGGCCAGACGCATATGATGTGCCATCGCACGCAGCCTGCAACCTGCAACCGCGTAGAAGGCCTCGATCCCGATTCTCGCCTTGCCCACCAGCAGCCCACCAGCAGTGGCTACACGACCCCTAGCGATGGCACCAATGTCTCATTGGCCATAAATTAGAGAGCAAATGGTATCGCCATGGCCAGACGCATCCGACGAGCCATCGCATGCAGCCTGCAACCGCGTAGAAGGCCTCGGTCCCGATTCTCGCCTTGCCCACCAGCAGCCCACCACCAGTGGCTACACGACCCCTAGCGATGGCACCAATGTCTCGTTGGCCATAAATTAGAGCGCCAATGGTATCGCCATGGCCAGACGCATATGATGTGCCATCGCACGCAGCCTGCAACCGCGTAGAAGGCCTCGATCCCGATTCTCACCTTGCCCACCAGCAGCCCACCAGCAGTGGCTACACGACCCCTAGCGATGGCACCAATGTCTCGTTGGCCATAAATTAGAGCGGCAATGGTATCGCCATGGCCAGACGCATCCGACGAGCCATCGCATGCAGCCTGCAACCGCGTAGAAGGCCTCGGTCCCGATTCTCGCCTTGCCCACCAGCAGCCCACCACCAGTGGCTACACGACCCCTAGCGATGGCACCAATGTCTCGTTGGCCATAAATTAGAGCGCCAACGGTGTCGCCATGGCCAGACGCATATGATGTGCCATCGCACGCAGCCTGCAACCGCGTAGAAGGCCTCGATCCCGATTCTCACCTTGCCCACCAGCAGCCCACCAGCAGTGGCTACACGACCCCTAGCGATGGCACCAATGTCTCGTTGGCCATAAATTAGAGCGGCAATGGTATCGCCATGGCCAGACGCATCCGACGAGCCATCGCATGCAGCCTGCAACCGCGTAGAAGGCCTCGGTCCCGATTCTCGCCTTGCCCACCAGCAGCCCACCACCAGTGGCTACACGACCCCTAGCGATGGCACCAATGTCTCGTTGGCCATAAATTAGAGCGCCAATGGTATCGCCATGGCCAGACGCATATGATGTGCCATCGCACGCAGCCTGCAACCGCGTAGAAGGCCTCGATCCCGATTCTCACCTTGCCCACCAGCAGCCCACCAGCAGTGGCTACACGACCCCTAGCGATGGCACCAATGTCTCGTTGGCCATAAATTAGAGCGGCAATGGTATCGCCATGGCCAGACGCATCCGACGAGCCATCGCATGCAGCCTGCAACCGCGTAGAAGGCCTCGATCCCGATTCTCGCCTTGCCCACCAGCAGCCCACCACCAGGTGGCTACACGACCCCTAGCGATGGCACCAATGTCTCGTTGGCCATAAATTAGAGCGCCAATGGTATCGCCATGGCCAGACGCATATGATGTGCCATCGCACGCAGCCTGCAACCGCGTAGAAGGCCTCGATCCCGATTCTCACCTTGCCCACCAGCAGCCCACCAGCAGTGGCTACACGACCCCTAGCGATGGCACCAATGTCTCGTTGGCCATAAATTAGAGCGGCAATGGTATCGCCATGGCCAGACGCATCCGACGAGCCATCGCATGCAGCCTGCAACCGCGTAGAAGGCCTCGGTCCCGATTCTCGCCTTGCCCACCAGCAGCCCACCACCAGTGGCTACACGACCCCTAGCGATGGCACCAATGTCTCGTTGGCCATAAATTAGAGCGGCAATGGTATCGCCATGGCCAGACGCATCCGACGAGCCATCGCATGTAGCCTGCAACCGCGTAGAAGGCCTCGGTCCCGATTCTCGCCTTGCCCACCAGCAGCCCACCAGCAGTGGCTACACGACCCCTAGCGATGGCACCAATGTCTCGTTGGCCATAAATTAGAGCGCCAATGGTATCGCCATGGCCAGACGCATATGATGTGCCATCGCACGCAGCCTGCAACCTGCAACCGCGTAGAAGGCCTCGATCCCGATTCTCGCCTTGCCCACCAGCAGCCCACCAGCAGTGGCTACACGACCCCTAGCGATGGCACCAATGTCTCGTTGGCCATAAATTAGAGCGGCAATGGTATCGCCATGGCCAGACGCATCCGACGAGCCATCGCATGCAGCCTGCAACCGCGTAGAAGGCCTCGGTCCCGATTCTCGCCTTGCCCACCAGCAGCCCACCAGCAGTGGCTACACGACCCCTAGCGATGGCACCAATGTCTCGTTGGCCATAAATTAGAGCGGCAATGGTATCGCCATGGCCAGACGCATCCGACGAGCCATCGCATGCAGCCTGCAACCGCGTAGAAGGCCTCGGTCCCGATTCTCGCCTTGCCCACCAGCAGCCCACCAGCAGTGGCTACACGACCCCTAGCGATGGCACCAATGTCTCGTTGGCCATAAATTAGAGCGCCAATGGTATCGCCATGGCCAGACGCATATGATGTGCCATCGCACGCAGCCTGCAACCGCGTAGAAGGTCTCGATCCCGATTCTCGCCTTGCCCACCAGCAGCCCACCAGCAGTGGCTACACGACCCCTAGCGATGGCACCAATGTCTCATTGACCATAAATTAGAAAGCAAATGGTAACGCCATGGCCGGACGCATATGATGTGCCATCGCATGCAGCCTGCAACCTGCAACCGCGTAGAAGGCCTCGATCCCGATTCTCGCCTTGCCCACCAGCAGCCCACCAGCAGTGGCTACACGACCCCTAGCGATGGCACCAATGTCTCGTTGGCCATAAATTAGAGCGGCAATGGTATCGCCATGGCCAGACGCATCCGACGAGCCATCGCATGCAGCCTGCAACCGCGTAGAAGGCCTCGGTCCCGATTCTCGCCTTGCCCACCAGCAGCCCACCAGCAGTGGCTACACGACCCCTAGCGATGGCACCAATGTCTCGTTGGCCATAAATTAGAGCGGCAATGGTATCGCCATGGCCAGACGCATCCGACGAGCCATCGCATGCAGCCTGCAACCGCGTAGAAGGCCTCGGTCCCGATTCTCGCCTTGCCCACCAGCAGCCCACCAGCAGTGGCTACACGACCCCTAGCGATGGCACCAATGTCTCGTTGGCCATAAATTAGAGCGCCAATGGTATCGCCATGGCCAGACGCATATGATGTGCCATCGCACGCAGCCTGCAACCGCGTAGAAGGTCTCGATCCCGATTCTCGCCTTGCCCACCAGCAGCCCACCAGCAGTGGCTACACGACCCCTAGCGATGGCACCAATGTCTCATTGACCATAAATTAGAAAGCAAATGGTAACGCCATGGCCGGACGCATATGATGTGCCATCGCATGCAGCCTGCAACCTGCAACCGCGTAGAAGGCCTCGATCCCGATTCTCACCTTGCCCACCACCAGTGGCTACACGACCCCTAGCGATGGCACCAATGTCTCATTGGCCATAAATTAGAGAGCAAATGGTAACGCCATGGCCGGCCGCATATGATGTGCCATCGCATGCAGCCTGCAACCGCGTAGAAGGCCTCGTCCCGATTCTCGCCTTGCCCACCAGCAGCCCACCAGCAGTGGCTACACGACCCCTAGCGATGGCACCAATGTCTCATTGGCCATAAATTAGAGAGCAAATGGTAACGCCATGGCCGGCCGCATATGATGTGCCATCGCATGCAGCCTGCAACCGCGTAGAAGGCCTCGTCCCGATTCTCGCCTTGCCCACCAGCAGCCCACCAGCAGTGGCTACACGACCCCTAGCGATGGCACCAATGTCTCGTTGGCCATAAATTAGAGCGGCAATGGTATCGCCATGGCCAGACGCATCCGACGAGCCATCGCATGCAGCCTGCAACCGCGTAGAAGGCCTCGGTCCCGATTCTCGCCTTGCCCACCAGCAGCCCACCACCAGTGGCTACACGACCCCTAGCGATGGCACCAATGTCTCGTTGGCCATAAATTAGAGCGCCAATGGTATCGCCATGGCCAGACGCATCCGACGAGCCATCGCATGCAGCCTGCAACCGCGTAGAAGGCCTCGGTCCCGATTCTCGCCTTGCCCACCAGCAGCCCACCAGCAGTGGCTACACGACCCCTAGCGATGGCACCAATGTCTCGTTGGCCATAAATTAGAGCGCCAATGGTATCGCCATGGCCGGACGCATATGATGTGCCATCGCATGCAGCCTGCAACCTGCAACCGCGTAGAAGGCCTCGATCCCGATTCTCACCTTGCCCACCACCAGTGGCTACACGACCCCTAGCGATGGCACCAATGTCTCATTGGCCATAAATTAGAGAGCAAATGGTAACGCCATGGCCGGCCGCATATGATGTGCCATCGCATGCAGCCTGCAACCGCGTAGAAGGCCTCGTCCCGATTCTCGCCTTGCCCACCAGCAGCCCACCAGCAGTGGCTACACGACCCCTAGCGATGGCACCAATGTCTCGTTGGCCATAAATTAGAGCGCCAGTGGTATCGCCATGGCCAGACGCATCCGACGAGCCATCGCATGCAGCCTGCAACCGCGTAGAAGGCCTCGGTCCCGATTCTCGCCTTGCCCACCAGCAGCCCACCACCAGTGGCTACACGACCCCTAGCGATGGCACCAATGTCTCGTTGGCCATAAATTAGAGCGCCAATGGTATCGCCATGGCCAGACGCATCCGACGAGCCATCGCATGCAGCCTGCAACCGCGTAGAAGGCCTCGTCCCGATTCTCACCTTGCCCACCAGCAGCCCACCACCAGTGGCTACACGACCCCTAGCGATGGCACCAATGTCTCATTGGCCATAAATTAGAGCGGCAATGGTATCGCCATGGCCGGACGCATATGATGTGCCATCGCACGCAGCCTGCAACCGCGTAGAAGGCCTCGATCCCGATTCTCACCTTGCCCACCAGCAGCCCACCAGCAGTGGCTACACGACCCCTAGCGATGGCACCAATGTCTCGTTGGCCATAAATTAGAGCGGCAATGGTATCGCCATGGCCAGACGCATCCGACGAGCCATCGCATGCAGCCTGCAACCGCGTAGAAGGCCTCGGTCCCGATTCTCGCCTTGCCCACCAGCAGCCCACCAGCAGTGGCTACACGACCCCTAGCGATGGCACCAATGTCTCATTGGCCATAAATTAGAGCGCCAATGGTATCGCCATGGCCAGACGCATATGATGTGCCATCGCACGCAGCCTGCAACCGCGTAGAAGGCCTCGATCCCGATTCTCACCTTGCCCACCAGCAGCCCACCAGCAGTGGCTACACGACCCCTAGCGATGGCACCAATGTCTCGTTGGCCATAAATTAGAGCGGCAATGGTATCGCCATGGCCAGACGCATCCGACGAGCCATCGCATGCAGCCTGCAACCGCGTAGAAGGCCTCGGTCCCGATTCTCGCCTTGCCCACCAGCAGCCCACCAGCAGTGGCTACACGACCCCTAGCGATGGCACCAATGTCTCATTGGCCATAAATTAGAGCGCCAATGGTATCGCCATGGCCAGACGCATATGATGTGCCATCGCACGCAGCCTGCAACCGCGTAGAAGGCCTCGGTCCCGATTCTCGCCTTGCCCACCAGCAGCCCACCAGCAGTGGCTACACGACCCCTAGCGATGGCACCAATGTCTCGTTGGCCATAAATTAGAGCGGCAATGGTATCGCCATGGCCAGACGCATCCGACGAGCCATCGCATGCAGCCTGCAACCGCGTAGAAGGCCTCGGTCCCGATTCTCGCCTTGCCCACCAGCAGCCCACCAGCAGTGGCTACACGACCCCTAGCGATGGCACCAATGTCTCGTTGGCCATAAATTAGAGCGGCAATGGTATCGCCATGGCCAGACGCATCCGATGAGCCATCGCATGTAGCCTGCAACCGCGTAGAAGGCCTCGTCCCGATTCTCACCTTGCCCACCAGCAGCCCACCACCAGTGGCTACACGACCCCTAGCGATGGCACCAATGTCTCATTGGCCATAAATTAGAGCGGCAATGGTATCGCCATGGCCGGACGCATATGATGTGCCATCGCACGCAGCCTGCAACCGCGTAGAAGGCCTCGATCCCGATTCTCACCTTGCCCACCAGCAGCCCACCAGCAGTGGCTACACGACCCCTAGCGATGGCACCAATGTCTCGTTGGCCATAAATTAGAGCGGCAATGGTATCGCCATGGCCAGACGCATCCGACGAGCCATCGCATGCAGCCTGCAACCGCGTAGAAGGCCTCGGTCCCGATTCTCGCCTTGCCCACCAGCAGCCCACCACCAGTGGCTACACGACCCCTAGCGATGGCACCAATGTCTCATTGGCCATAAATTAGAGCGCCAATGGTATCGCCATGGCCAGACGCATATGATGTGCCATCGCACGCAGCCTGCAACCGCGTAGAAGGCCTCGGTCCCGATTCTCGCCTTGCCCACCAGCAGCCCACCAGCAGTGGCTACACGACCCCTAGCGATGGCACCAATGTCTCGTTGGCCATAAATTAGAGCGGCAATGGTATCGCCATGGCCAGACGCATCCGACGAGCCATCGCATGCAGCCTGCAACCGCGTAGAAGGCCTCGTCCCGATTCTCACCTTGCCCACCAGCAGCCCACCACCAGTGGCTACACGACCCCTAGCGATGGCACCAATGTCTCATTGGCCATAAATTAGAGCGGCAATGGTATCGCCATGGCCGGACGCATATGATGTGCCATCGCACGCAGCCTGCAACCGCGTAGAAGGCCTCGATCCCGATTCTCACCTTGCCCACCAGCAGCCCACCAGCAGTGGCTACACGACCCCTAGCGATGGCACCAATGTCTCGTTGGCCATAAATTAGAGCGCCAATGGTATCGCCATGGCCAGACGCATCCGACGAGCCATCGCATGCAGCCTGCAACCGCGTAGAAGGCCTCGGTCCCGATTCTCGCCTTGCCCACCAGCAGCCCACCAGCAGTGGCTACACGACCCCTAGCGATGGCACCAATGTCTCATTGGCCATAAATTAGAGCGGCAATGGTATCGCCATGGCCAGACGCATATGATGTGCCATCGCACGCAGCCTGCAACCGCGTAGAAGGCCTCGGTCCCGATTCTCGCCTTGCCCACCAGCAGCCCACCAGCAGTGGCTACACGACCCCTAGCGATGGCACCAATGTCTCGTTGGCCATAAATTAGAGCGGCAATGGTATCGCCATGGCCAGACGCATATGATGTGCCATCGCACGCAGCCTGCAACCGCGTAGAAGGCCTCGATCCCGATTCTCGCCTTGCCCACCAGCAGCCCACCACCAGTGGCTACACGACCCCTAGCGATGGCACCAATGTCTCGTTGGCCATAAATTAGAGCGGCAATGGTATCGCCATGGCCAGACGCATCCGACGAGCCATCGCATGCAGCCTGCAACCGCGTAGAAGGCCTCGGTCCCGATTCTCGCCTTGCCCACCAGCAGCCCACCAGCAGTGGCTACACGACCCCTAGCGATGGCACCAATGTCTCGTTGGCCATAAATTAGAGCGCCAGTGGTATCGCCATGGCCAGACGCATCCGACGAGCCATCGCATGCAGCCTGCAACCGCGTAGAAGGCCTCGGTCCCGATTCTCGCCTTGCCCACCAGCAGCCCACCAGCAGTGGCTACACGACCCCTAGCGATGGCACCAATGTCTCGTTGGCCATAAATTAGAGCGGCAATGGTATCGCCATGGCCAGACGCATCCGATGAGCCATCGCATGTAGCCTGCAACCGCGTAGAAGGCCTCGGTCCCGATTCTCGCCTTGCCCACCAGCAGCCCACCACCAGTGGCTACACGACCCCTAGCGATGGCACCAATGTCTCGTTGGCCATAAATTAGAGCGCCAATGGTATCGCCATGGCCAGACGCATCCGACGAGCCATCGCATGCAGCCTGCAACCGCGTAGAAGACCTCGGTCCCGATTCTCGCCTTGCCCACCAGCAGCCCACCACCAGTGGCTACACGACCCCTAGCGATGGCACCAATGTCTCGTTGGCCATAAATTAGAGCGCCAATGGTATCGCCATGGCCAGACGCATCCGATGAGCCATCGCATGTAGCCTGCAACCGCGTAGAAGGCCTCGTCCCGATTCTCACCTTGCCCACCAGCAGCCCACCACCAGTGGCTACACGACCCCTAGCGATGGCACCAATGTCTCGTTGGCCATAAATTAGAGCGGCAATGGTATTGCCATGGCCAGACGCATCCGATGAGCCATCGCATGTAGCCTGCAACCGCGTAGAAGGCCTCGGTCCCGATTCTCGCCTTGCCCACCAGCAGCCCACCAGCAGTGGCTACACGACCCCTAGCGATGGCACCAATGTCTCGTTGGCCATAAATTAGAGCGCCAGTGGTATCGCCATGGCCGGACGCATCCGATGAGGAATCGCATGCAGCCTGCAACCGCGTAGAAGGCCTCGGTTCCGATTCTCGCCTTGCCCACCAGCAGCCCACCAGCAGTGGCTACACGACCCCTAGCGATGGCACCAATGTCTCGTTGGACATAAATTAGAGCGCCAGTGGTATCGCCATGGCCGGACGCATCCGACGAGGCATCGCATGCAGCCTGCAACCGCGTAGAAGGCCTCGGTCCCGATTCTCGCCTTGCCCACCAGCAGCCCACCAGCAGTGGCTACACGACCCCTAGCGATGGCACCAATGTCTCGTTGGCCATAAATTAGAGCGGCAATGGTATCGCCATGGCCAGACGCATCCGATGAGCCATCGCATGTAGCCTGCAACCGCGTAGAAGGCCTCGGTCCCGATTCTCGCCTTGCCCACCAGCAGCCCACCAGCAGTGGCTACACGACCCCTAGCGATGGCACCAATGTCTCGTTGGCCATAAATTAGAGCGCCAATGGTATCGCCATGGCCAGACGCATCCGACGAGCCATCGCATGCAGCCTGCAACCGCGTAGAAGGCCTCGGTCCCGATTCTCGCCTTGCCCACCAGCAGCCCACCACCAGTGGCTACACGACCCCTAGCGATGGCACCAATGTCTCGTTGGCCATAAATTAGAGCGCCAATGGTATCGCCATGGCCAGACGCATCCGATGAGCCATCGCATGTAGCCTGCAACCGCGTAGAAGGCCTCGTCCCGATTCTCACCTTGCCCACCAGCAGCCCACCACCAGTGGCTACACGACCCCTAGCGATGGCACCAATGTCTCGTTGGCCATAAATTAGAGCGGCAATGGTATTGCCATGGCCAGACGCATATGATGTGCCATCGCACGCAGCCTGCAACCGCGTAGAAGGCCTCGTCCCGATTCTCACCTTGCCCACCAGCAGCCCACCACCAGTGGCTACACGACCCCTAGCGATGGCACCAATGTCTCGTTGGCCATAAATTAGAGCGGCAATGGTATCGCCATGGCCAGACGCATCCGACGAGCCATCGCATGTAGCCTGCAACCGCGTAGAAGGCCTCGGTCCCGATTCTCGCCTTGCCCACCAGCAGCCCACCACCAGTGGCTACACGACCCCTAGCGATGGCACCAATGTCTCGTTGGCCATAAATTAGAGCGGCAATGGTATTGCCATGGCCAGACGCATATGATGTGCCATCGCACGCAGCCTGCAACCGCGTAGAAGGCCTCGTCCCGATTCTCACCTTGCCCACCAGCAGCCCACCACCAGTGGCTACACGACCCCTAGCGATGGCACCAATGTCTCGTTGGCCATAAATTAGAGCGGCAATGGTATCGCCATGGCCAGACGCATATGATGTGCCATCGCACGCAGCCTGCAACCGCGTAGAAGGCCTCGATCCCGATTCTCGCCTTGCCCACCAGCAGCCCACCACCAGTGGCTACACGACCCCTAGCGATGGCACCAATGTCTCGTTGGCCATAAATTAGAGCGGCAATGGTATCGCCATGGCCAGACGCATCCGACGAGCCATCGCATGCAGCCTGCAACCGCGTAGAAGGCCTCGGTCCCGATTCTCGCCTTGCCCACCAGCAGCCCACCAGCAGTGGCTACACGACCCCTAGCGATGGCACCAATGTCTCGTTGGCCATAAATTAGAGCGCCAGTGGTATCGCCATGGCCAGACGCATCCGACGAGCCATCGCATGCAGCCTGCAACCGCGTAGAAGGCCTCGGTCCCGATTCTCGCCTTGCCCACCAGCAGCCCACCAGCAGTGGCTACACGACCCCTAGCGATGGCACCAATGTCTCGTTGGCCATAAATTAGAGCGGCAATGGTATCGCCATGGCCAGACGCATCCGATGAGCCATCGCATGTAGCCTGCAACCGCGTAGAAGGCCTCGTCCCGATTCTCACCTTGCCCACCAGCAGCCCACCACCAGTGGCTACACGACCCCTAGCGATGGCACCAATGTCTCGTTGGCCATAAATTAGAGCGGCAATGGTATCGCCATGGCCAGACGCATCCGATGAGCCATCGCATGTAGCCTGCAACCGCGTAGAAGGCCTCGTCCCGATTCTCACCTTGCCCACCACCAGTGGCTACACGACCCCTAGCGATGGCACCAATGTCTCGTTGGCCATAAATTAGAGCGCCAATGGTATCGCCATGGCCAGACGCATCCGACGAGCCATCGCATGCAGCCTGCAACCGCGTAGAAGGCCTCGGTCCCGATTCTCGCCTTGCCCACCAGCAGCCCACCAGCAGTGGCTACACGACCCCTAGCGATGGCACCAATGTCTCATTGGCCATAAATTAGAGCGCCAATGGTATCGCCATGGCCAGACGCATATGATGTGCCATCGCACGCAGCCTGCAACCGCGTAGAAGGCCTCGGTCCCGATTCTCGCCTTGCCCACCAGCAGCCCACCAGCAGTGGCTACACGACCCCTAGCGATGGCACCAATGTCTCGTTGGCCATAAATTAGAGCGGCAATGGTATCGCCATGGCCAGACGCATCCGACGAGCCATCGCATGCAGCCTGCAACCGCGTAGAAGGCCTCGTCCCGATTCTCACCTTGCCCACCAGCAGCCGACCACCAGTGGCTACACGACCCCTAGCGATGGCACCAATGTCTCATTGGCCATAAATTAGAGCGGCAATGGTATCGCCATGGCCGGACGCATATGATGTGCCATCGCACGCAGCCTGCAACCGCGTAGAAGGCCTCGATCCCGATTCTCACCTTGCCCACCAGCAGCCCACCAGCAGTGGCTACACGACCCCTAGCGATGGCACCAATGTCTCGTTGGCCATAAATTAGAGCGCCAATGGTATCGCCATGGCCAGACGCATCCGACGAGCCATCGCATGCAGCCTGCAACCGCGTAGAAGGCCTCGGTCCCGATTCTCGCCTTGCCCACCAGCAGCCCACCAGCAGTGGCTACACGACCCCTAGCGATGGCACCAATGTCTCATTGGCCATAAATTAGAGCGCCAATGGTATCGCCATGGCCAGACGCATATGAGGTGCCATCGCACGCAGCCTGCAACCGCGTAGAAGGCCTCGGTCCCGATTCTCGCCTTGCCCACCAGCAGCCCACCAGCAGTGGCTACACGACCCCTAGCGATGGCACCAATGTCTCGTTGGCCATAAATTAGAGCGGCAATGGTATCGCCATGGCCAGACGCATCCGACGAGCCATCGCATGCAGCCTGCAACCGCGTAGAAGGCCTCGGTCCCGATTCTCGCCTTGCCCACCAGCAGCCCACCAGCAGTGGCTACACGACCCCTAGCGATGGCACCAATGTCTCATTGGCCATAAATTAGAGCGGCAATGGTATCGCCATGGCCAGACGCATCCGACGAGCCATCGCATGCAGCCTGCAACCGCGTAGAAGGCCTCGGTCCCGATTCTCGCCTTGCCCACCAGCAGCCCACCAGCAGTGGCTACACGACCCCTAGCGATGGCACCAATGTCTCGTTGGCCATAAATTAGAGCGGCAATGGTATCGCCATGGCCAGACGCATCCGACGAGCCATCGCATGCAGCCTGCAACCGCGTAGAAGGCCTCGGTCCCGATTCTCGCCTTGCCCACCAGCAGCCCACCAGCAGTGGCTACACGACCCCTAGCGATGGCACCAATGTCTCATTGGCCATAAATTAGAGCGGCAATGGTATCGCCATGGCCAGACGCATCCGACGAGCCATCGCATGCAGCCTGCAACCGCGTAGAAGGCCTCGGTCCCGATTCTCGCCTTGCCCACCAGCAGCCCACCAGCAGTGGCTACACGACCCCTAGCGATGGCACCAATGTCTCATTGGCCATAAATTAGAGCGCCAATGGTATCGCCATGGCCAGACGCATATGAGGTGCCATCGCACGCAGCCTGCAACCGCGTAGAAGGCCTCGGTCCCGATTCTCGCCTTGCCCACCAGCAGCCCACCACCAGTGGCTACACGACCCCTAGCGATGGCACCAATGTCTCGTTGGCCATAAATTAGAGCGGCAATGGTATCGCCATGGCCAGACGCATCCGACGAGCCATCGCATGCAGCCTGCAACCGCGTAGAAGGCCTCGGTCCCGATTCTCGCCTTGCCCACCAGCAGCCCACCAGCAGTGGCTACACGACCCCTAGCGATGGCACCAATGTCTCATTGGCCATAAATTAGAGCGCCAATGGTATCGCCATGGCCAGACGCATATGATGTGCCATCGCACGCAGCCTGCAACCGCGTAGAAGGCCTCGATCCCGATTCTCGCCTTGCCCACCAGCAGCCCACCACCAGTGGCTACACGACCCCTAGCGATGGCACCAATGTCTCGTTGGCCATAAATTAGAGCGGCAATGGTATCGCCATGGCCAGACGCATCTGACGAGCCATCGCATGCAGCCTGCAACCGCGTAGAAGGCCTCGGTCCCGATTCTCGCCTTGCCCACCAGCAGCCCACCAGCAGTGGCTACACGACCCCTAGCGATGGCACCAATGTCTCGTTGGCCATAAATTAGAGCGCCAATGGTATCGCCATGGCCAGACGCATCCGACGAGTCATCGCATGCAGCCTGCAACCGCGTAGAAGGCCTCGGTCCCGATTCTCGCCTTGCCCACCAGCAGCCCACCAGCAGTGGCTACACGACCCCTAGCGATGGCACCAATGTCTCGTTGGCCATAAATTAGAGCGGCAATGGTATCGCCATGGCCAGACGCATCCGATGAGCCATCGCATGTAGCCTGCAACCGCGTAGAAGGCCTCGTCCCAATTCTCACCTTGCCCACCAGCAGCCCACCACCAGTGGCTACACGACCCCTAGCGATGGCACCAATGTCGCATTGGCCATAAATTAGAGAGCAAATGGTATCGCCATGGCCGGACGCATATGAGGTGCCATCGCACGCAGCCTGCAACCGCGTAGAAGGCCTCGTCCCGATTCTCGCCTTGCCCACCAGCAGCCCACCAGCAGTGGCTACACGACCCCTAGCGATGGCACCAATGTCTCGTTGGCCATAAATTAGAGCGGCAATGGTATCGCCATGGCCAGACGCATCCGACGAGCCATCGCATGCAGCCTGCAACCGCGTAGAAGGCCTCGGTCCCGATTCTCGCCTTGCCCACCAGCAGCCCACCAGCAGTGGCTACACGACCCCTAGCGATGGCACCAATGTCTCGTTGGCCATAAATTAGAGCGCCAATGGTATCGCCATGGCCAGACGCATCCGACGAGTCATCGCATGCAGCCTGCAACCGCGTAGAAGGCCTCGGTCCCGATTCTCGCCTTGCCCACCAGCAGCCCACCAGCAGTGGCTACACGACCCCTAGCGATGGCACCAATGTCTCGTTGGCCATAAATTAGAGCGGCAATGGTATCGCCATGGCCAGACGCATCCGATGAGCCATCGCATGCAGCCTGCAACCGCGTAGAAGGCCTCGGTCCCGATTCTCGCCTTGCCCACCAGCAGCCCACCAGCAGTGGCTACACGACCCCTAGCGATGGCACCAATGTCTCGTTGGCCATAAATTAGAGCGGCAATGGTATCGCCATGGCCAGACGCATCCGACGAGCCATCGCATGCAGCCTGCAACCGCGTAGAAGGCCTCGGTCCCGATTCTCGCCTTGCCCACCAGCAGCCCACCAGCAGTGGCTACACGACCCCTAGCGATGGCACCAATGTCTCGTTGGCCATAAATTAGATCGCCAATGGTATCGCCATGGCCAGACGCATCCGATGAGCCATCGCATGTAGCCTGCAACCGCGTAGAAGGCCTCGTCCCGATTCTCACCTTGCCCACCAGCAGCCCACCACCAGTGGCTACACGACCCCTAGCGATGGCACCAATGTCTCGTTGGCCATAAATTAGATCGCCAATGGTATCGCCATGGCCAGACGCATCCGATGAGCCATCGCATGCAGCCTGCAACCGCGTAGAAGGCCTCGTCCCGATTCTCACCTTGCCCACCAGCAGCCCACCACCAGTGGCTACACGACCCCTAGCGATGGCACCAATGTCGCATTGGCCATAAATTAGAGAGCAAATGGTATCGCCATGGCCGGACGCATATGATGTGCCATCGCACGCAGCCTGCAACCGCGTAGAAGGCCTCGATCCCGGTTCTCGCCTTGCCCACCAGCAGCCCACCAGCAGTGGCTACACGACCCCTAGCGATGGCACCAATGTCTCGTTGGCCATAAATTAGAGCGGCAATGGTATCGCCATGGCCAGACGCATCCGACGAGCCATCGCATGCAGCCTGCAACCGCGTAGAAGGCCTCGGTCCCGATTCTCGCCTTGCCCACCAGCAGCCCACCAGCAGTGGCTACACGACCCCTAGCGATGGCACCAATGTCTCATTGGCCATAAATTAGAGCGCCAATGGTATCGCCATGGCCAGACGCATATGATGTGCCATCCCACGCAGCCTGCAACCGCGTAGAAGGCCTCGATCCCGATTCTCGCCTTGCCCACCAGCAGCCCACCAGCAGTGGCTACACGACCCCTAGCGATGGCACCAATGTCTCGTTGGCCATAAATTAGAGCGGCAATGGTATCGCCATGGCCAGACGCATCCGACGAGCCATCGCATGCAGCCTGCAACCGCGTAGAAGGCCTCGGTCCCGATTCTCGCCTTGCCCACCAGCAGCCCACCAGCAGTGGCTACACGACCCCTAGCGATGGCACCAATGTCTCGTTGGCCATAAATTAGAGCGCCAATGGTATCGCCATGGCCAGACGCATCCGATGAGCCATCGCATGTAGCCTGCAACCGCGTAGAAGGCCTCGTCCCGATTCTCACCTTGCCCACCAGCAGCCCACCACCAGTGGCTACACGACCCCTAGCGATGGCACCAATGTCTCATTGACCATAAATTAGAAAGCAAATGGTAACGCCATGGCCGGACGCATATGATGTGCCATCGCATGCAGCCTGCAACCGCGTAGAAGGCCTCGGTCCCGATTCTCGCCTTGCCCACCAGCAGCCCACCAGCAGTGGCTACACGACCCCTAGCGATGGCACCAATGTCTCGTTGGCCATAAATTAGAGCGCCAATGGTATCGCCATGGCCAGACGCATATGATGTGCCATCGCACGCAGCCTGCAACCGCGTAGAAGGCCTCGATCCCGATTCTCGCCTTGCCCACCAGCAGTGGCTACACGACCCCTAGCGATGGCACCAATGTCTCATTGACCATAAATTAGAGCGGTAATGGTACCGCCATGGCCAGACGCATCCGACGAGCCATCGCATGCAGCCTGCAATCGCGTAGAAGGCCTCGGTCCCGATTCTCGCCTTGCCCACCAGCAGCCCACCACCAGTGGCTACACGACCCCTAGCGATGGCACCAATGTCTCGTTGGCCATAAATTAGAGCGGCAATGGTGTCGCCATGGCCAGACGCATCCGACGAGCCATCGCATGCAGCCTGCAACCGCGTAGAAGGCCTCGTCCCGATTCTCGCCTTGCCCACCAGCAGCCCACCAGCAGTGGCTACACGACCCCTAGCGATGGCACCAATGTCTCGTTGGCCATAAATTAGAGCGCCAGTGGTATCGCCATGGCCAGACGCATCCGACGAGCCATCCCACGCAGCCTGCAACCGCGTAGAAGGCCTCGATCCCGATTCTCGCCTTGCCCACCAGCAGCCCACCAGCAGTGGCTACACGACCCCTAGCGATGGCACCAATGTCTCATTGACCATAAATTAGAGAGCAAATGGTATCGCCATGGCCAGGACGCATATGATGTGCCATCGCATGCAGCCTGCAACCGCGTAGAAGGCCTCGGTCCCGATTCTCGCCTTGCCCACCAGCAGCCCACCAGCAGTGGCTACACGACCCCTAGCGATGGCACCAATGTCTCATTGGCCATAAATTAGAGAGCAAATGGCATCGACATGGCCGGACGCATATGATGTGCCATCGCATGCAACCTGCAACCGCGTAGAAGGCCTCGATCCCGATTCTCGCCTTGCCCACCAGCAGCCCACCAGCAGTGGCTACACGACCCCTAGCGATGGCACCAATGTCTCATTGGCCATAAATTAGAGAGCAAATGGTAACGCCATGGCCGGCCGCATATGATGTGCCATCGCACGCAGCCTGCAACCGCGTAGAAGGCCTCGATCCCGATTCTCGCCTTGCCCACCAGCAGCCCACCAGCAGTGGCTACACGACCCCTAGCGATGGCACCAATGTCTCATTGACCATAAATTAGAGCGGCAATGGTATCGCCATGGCCAGACGCATCCGACGAGCCATCGCATGCAGCCTGCAACCGCGTAGAAGGCCTCGGTCCCGATTCTCGCCTTGCCCACCAGCAGCCCACCAGCAGTGGCTACACGACCCCTAGCGATGGCACCAATGTCTCGTTGGCCATAAATTAGAGCGCCAATGGTATCGCCATGGCCAGACGCATCCGATGAGCCATCGCATGTAGCCTGCAACCGCGTAGAAGGCCTCGTCCCGATTCTCACCTTGCCCACCAGCAGCCCACCACCAGTGGCTACACGACCCCTAGCGATGGCACCAATGTCGCATTGGCCATAAATTAGAGAGCAAATGGTATCGCCATGGCCGGACGCATATGATGTGCCATCGCACGCAGCCTGCAACCGCGTAGAAGGCCTCGATCCCGATTCTCGCCTTGCCCACCAGCAGCCCACCAGCAGTGGCTACACGACCCCTAGCGATGGCACCAATGTCTCGTTGGCCATAAATTAGAGCGCCAATGGTATCGCCATGGCCAGACGCATCCGACGAGCCATCGCATGCAGCCTGCAACCGCGTAGAAGGCCTCGTCCTGATTCTCGCCTTGCCCACCAGCAGCCCACCAGCAGTGGCTACACGACCCCTAGCGATGGCACCAATGTCTCATTGGCCATAAATTAGAGCGCCAATGGTATCGCCATGGCCAGACGCATATGATGTGCCATCGCACGCAGCCTGCAACCGCGTAGAAGGCCTCGATCCCGATTCTCGCCTTGCCCACCAGCAGCCCACCACCAGTGGCTACACGACCCCTAGCGATGGCACCAATGTCTCGTTGGCCATAAATTAGAGCGGCAATGGTATCGCCATGGCCAGACGCATCCGACGAGCCATCGCATGCAGCCTGCAACCGCGTAGAAGGCCTCGTCCCGATTCTCACCTTGCCCACCAGCAGCCCACCACCAGTGGCTACACGACCCCTAGCGATGGCACCAATGTCTCATTGACCATAAATTAGAAAGCAAATGGTAACGCCATGGCCGGACGCATATGATGTGCCATCGCATGCAGCCTGCAACCGCGTAGAAGGCCTCGGTCCCGATTCTCGCCTTGCCCACCAGCAGCCCACCAGCAGTGGCTACACGACCCCTAGCGATGGCACCAATGTCTCGTTGGCCATAAATTAGAGCGCCAATGGTATCGCCATGGCCAGACGCATATGATGTGCCATCGCACGCAGCCTGCAACCGCGTAGAAGGCCTCGATCCCGATTCTCGCCTTGCCCACCAGCAGTGGCTACAGGACCCCTAGCGATGGCACCAATGTCTCATTGACCATAAATTAGAGCGGTAATGGTATCGCCATGGCCAGACGCATCCGACGAGCCATCGCATGCAGCCTGCAACCGCGTAGAAGGCCTCGGTCCCGATTCTCGCCTTGCCCACCAGCAGCCCACCACCAGTGGCTACACGACCCCTAGCGATGGCACCAATGTCTCGTTGGCCATAAATTAGAGCGGCAATGGTATCGCCATGGCCAGACGCATCCGACGAGCCATCGCATGCAGCCTGCAACCGCGTAGAAGGCCTCGGTCCCGATTCTCGCCTTGCCCACCAGCAGCCCACCAGCAGTGGCTACACGACCCCTAGCGATGGCACCAATGTCTCGTTGGCCATAAATTAGAGCGGCAATGGTATCGCCATGGCCAGACGCATCCGATGAGCCATCGCATGTAGCCTGCAACCGCGTAGAAGGCCTCGTCCCGATTCTCACCTTGCCCACCAGCAGCCCACCACCAGTGGCTACACGACCCCTAGCGATGGCACCAATGTCTCATTGACCATAAATTAGAGCGCAAATGGTATCGCCATGGCCAGACGCATCCGACGAGCCATCGCATGCAGCCTGCAACCGCGTAGAAGGCCTCGGTCCCGATTCTCGCCTTGCCCACCAGCAGCCCACCAGCAGTGGCTACACGACCCCTAGCGATGGCACCAATGTCTCATTGACCATAAATTAGAGCGCAAATGGTATCGCCATGGCCAGACGCATCCGACGAGCCATCGCATGCAGCCTGCAACCGCGTAGAAGGCCTCGGTCCCGATTCTCGCCTTGCCCACCAGCAGCCCACCAGCAGTGGCTACACGACCCCTAGCGATGGCACCAATGTCTCATTGGCCATAAATTAGAGCGCCAATGGTATCGCCATGGCAAGACGCATATGATGTGCCATCGCACGCAGCCTGCAACCGCGTAGAAGGCCTCGATCCCGATTCTCGCCTTGCCCACCAGCAGCCCACCAGCAGTGGCTACACGACCCCTAGCGATGGCACCAATGTCTCATTGGCCATAAATTAGAGCGCCAATGGTATCGCCATGGCCAGACGCATATGATGTGCCATCGCACGCAGCCTGCAACCGCGTAGAAGGCCTCGGTCCCGATTCTCGCCTTGCCCACCAGCAGCCCACCAGCAGTGGCTACACGACCCCTAGCGATGGCACCAATGTCTCGTTGGCCATAAATTAGAGCGCCAATGGTATCGCCATGGCCGGACGCATATGATGTGCCATCGCACGCAGCCTGCAACCGCGTAGAAGGCCTCGATCCCGATTCTCGCCTTGCCCACCAGCAGCCCACCAGCAGTGGCTACACGACCCCTAGCGATGGCACCAATGTCTCATTGGCCATAAATTAGAGCGCCAATGGTATCGCCATGGCCAGACGCATATGATGTGCCATCGCACGCAGCCTGCAACCGCGTAGAAGGCCTCGGTCCCGATTCTCGCCTTGCCCACCAGCAGCCCACCAGCAGTGGCTACACGACCCCTAGCGATGGCACCAATGTCTCGTTGGCCATAAATTAGAGCGCCAATGGTATCGCCATGGCCGGACGCATATGATGTGCCATCGCACGCAGCCTGCAACCGCGTAGAAGGCCTCGATCCCGATTCTCGCCTTGCCCACCAGCAGCCCACCAGCAGTGGCTACACGACCCCTAGCGATGGCACCAATGTCTCGTTGGCCGTAAATTCGAGAGCAAATGGTATCGCCATGGCCGGACGCATATGATGTGCCATCGCACGCAGCCTGCAACCGCGTAGAAGGCCTCGATCCCGATTCTCGCCTTGCCCACCAGCAGCCCACCAGCAGTGGCTACACGACCCCTAGCGATGGCACCAATGTCTCATTGACCATAAATTAGAGCGGCAATGGTATCGCCATGGCCAGACGCATCCGACGAGCCATCGCATGCAGCCTGCAACCGCGTAGAAGGCCTCGGTCCCGATTCTCGCCTTGCCCACCAGCAGCCCACCAGCAGTGGCTACACGACCCCTAGCGATGGCACCAATGTCTCGTTGGCCATAAATTAGAGCGGCAATGGTATCGCCATGGCCAGACGCATCCGACGAGCCATCCCACGCAGCCTGCAACCGCGTAGAAGGCCTCGGTCCCGATTCTCGCCTTGCCCACCAGCAGCCCACCAGCAGTGGCTACACGACCCCTAGCGATGGCACCAATGTCTCATTGGCCATAAATTAGAGCGCCAATGGTATCGCCATGGCCAGACGCATATGAGGTGCCATCGCATGCAGCCTGCAACCGCGTAGAAGGCCTCGGTCCCGATTCTCGCCTTGCCCACCAGCAGCCCACCAGCAGTGGCTACACGACCCCTAGCGATGGCACCAATGTCTCGTTGGCCGTAAATTCGAGAGCAAATGGTATCGCCATGGCCGGACGCATATGATGTGCCATCGCACGCAGCCTGCAACCGCGTAGAAGGCCTCGGTCCCGATTCTCGCCTTGCCCACCAGCAGCCCACCAGCAGTGGCTACACGACCCCTAGCGATGGCACCAATGTCTCGTTGGCCATAAATTAGAGCGCCAATGGTATCGCCATGGCCGGACGCATATGATGTGCCATCGCACGCAGCCTGCAACCGCGTAGAAGGCCTCGATCCCGATTCTCGCCTTGCCCACCAGCAGCCCACCAGCAGTGGCTACACGACCCCTAGCGATGGCACCAATGTCTCATTGACCATAAATTAGAGCGGCAATGGTATCGCCATGGCCAGACGCATCCGACGAGCCATCGCATGCAGCCTGCAACCGCGTAGAAGGCCTCGGTCCCGATTCTCGCCTTGCCCACCAGCAGCCCACCAGCAGTGGCTACACGACCCCTAGCGATGGCACCAATGTCTCGTTGGCCATAAATTAGAGCGGCAATGGTATCGCCATGGCCAGACGCATCCGACGAGCCATCGCATGCAGCCTGCAACCGCGTAGAAGGCCTCGGTCCCGATTCTCGCCTTGCCCACCAGCAGCCCACCAGCAGTGGCTACACGACCCCTAGCGATGGCACCAATGTCTCATTGGCCATAAATTAGAGCGCCAATGGTATCGCCATGGCCAGACGCATATGAGGTGCCATCGCATGCAGCCTGCAACCGCGTAGAAGGCCTCGGTCCCGATTCTCGCCTTGCCCACCAGCAGCCCACCACCAGTGGCTACACGACCCCTAGCGATGGCACCAATGTCTCGTTGGCCATAAATTAGAGCGCCAGTGGTATCGCCATGGCCAGACGCATCCGACGAGGCATCGCATGCAGCCTGCAACCGCGTAGAAGGCCTCGATCCCGATTCTCGCCTTGCCCACCAGCAGCCCACCAGCAGTGGCTACACGACCCCTAGCGATGGCACCAATGTCTCGTTGGCCATAAATTAGAGCGCCAGTGGTATCGCCATGGCCAGATGCATCCGACGAGCCATCCCACGCAGCCTGCAACCGCGTAGAAGGCCTCGATCCCGATTCTCGCCTTGCCCACCAGCAGCCCACCAGCAGTGGCTACACGACCCCTAGCGATGGCACCAATGTCTCATTGACCATAAATTAGAGAGCAAATGGTATCGCCATGGCCAGGACGCATATGATGTGCCATCGCATGCAGCCTGCAACCGCGTAGAAGGCCTCGGTCCCGATTCTCGCCTTGCCCACCAGCAGCCCACCAGCAGTGGCTGCACGACCCCTAGCGATGGCACCAATGTCTCATTGGCCATAAATTAGAGAGCAAATGGCATCGACATGGCCGGACGCATATGATGTGCCATCGCATGCAACCTGCAACCGCGTAGAAGGCCTCGATCCCGATTCTCGCCTTGCCCACCAGCAGCCCACCAGCAGTGGCTACACGACCCCTAGCGATGGCACCAATGTCTCATTGGCCATAAATTAGAGAGCAAATGGTAACGCCATGGCCGGCCGCATATGATGTGCCATCGCATGCAGCCTGCAACCTGCAACCGCGTAGAAGGCCTCGATCCCGATTCTCACCTTGCCCACCAGCAGCCCACCACCAGTGGCTACACGACCCCTAGCGATGGCACCAATGTCTCATTGGCCATAAATTAGAGAGCAAATGGTAACGCCATGGCCGGCCGCATATGATGTGCCATCGCATGCAGCCTGCAACCGCGTAGAAGGCCTCGTCCCGATTCTCGCCTTGCCCACCAGCAGCCCACCAGCAGTGGCTACACGACCCCTAGCGATGGCACCAATGTCTCGTTGGCCGTAAATTCGAGAGCAAATGGTATCGCCATGGCCGGACGCATATGATGTGCCATCGCATGCAGCCTGCAACCGCGTAGAAGGCCTCGATCCCGATTCTCGCCTTGCCCACCAGCAGCCCACCAGCAGTGGCTACACGACCCCTAGCGATGGCACCAATGTCTCGTTGGTCATAAATTAGAGAGCAAATGGTATCGCCATGGCCAGCACGCATATGATGTGCCATCGCATGCAGCCTGCAACCGCGTAGAAGGCCTCGTCCCGATTCTCGCCTTGCCCACCAGTAGCCCACCAGCAGTGGCTACACGACCCCTAGCGATGGCACCAATGTCTCATTGGCCATAAATTAGAGAGCAAATGGTAACGCCATGGCCGGCCGCATATGATGTGCCATCGCATGCAGCCTGCAACCGCGTAGAAGGCCTCGTCCCGATTCTCGCCTTGCCCACCAGCAGCCCACCAGCAGTGGCTACACGACCCCTAGCGATGGCACCAATGTCTCATTGGCCATAAATTAGAGAGCAAATGGTATCGCCATGGCCGGACGCATATGATGTGCCATCGCATGCAGCCTGCAACCGCGTAGAAGGCCTCGTCCCGATTCTCGCCTTGCCCACCAGCAGCCCACCAGCAGTGGCTACACGACCCCTAGCGATGGCACCAATGTCTCATTGGCCATAAATTAGAGAGCAAATGGTAACGCCATGGCCGGCCGCATATGATGTGCCATCGCATGCAGCCTGCAACCGCGTAGAAGGCCTCGTCCCGATTCTCGCCTTGCCCACCAGCAGCCCACCAGCAGTGGCTACACGACCCCTAGCGATGGCACCAATGTCTCGTTGGCCGTAAATTCGAGAGCAAATGGTATCGCCATGGCCGGACGCATATGATGTGCCATCGCATGCAGCCTGCAACCGCGTAGAAGGCCTCGATCCCGATTCTCGCCTTGCCCACCAGCAGCCCACCAGCAGTGGCTACACGACCCCTAGTGATGGCACCAATGTCTCGTTGGTCATAAATTAGAGAGCAAATGGTATCGCCATGGCCAGCACGCATATGATGTGCCATCGCATGCAGCCTGCAACCGCGTAGAAGGCCTCGTCCCGATTCTCGCCTTGCCCACCAGTAGCCCACCAGCAGTGGCTACACGACCCCTAGCGATGGCACCAATGTCTCATTGACCATAAATTAGAGAGCAAATGGTAACGCCATGGCCGGCCGCATATGATGTGCCATCGCATGCAGCCTGCAACCGCGTAGAAGGCCTCGTCCCGATTCTCGCCTTGCCCACCAGCAGCCCACCAGCAGTGGCTACACGACCCCTAGCGATGGCACCAATGTCTCATTGGCCATAAATTCGAGAGCAAATGGTATCGCCATGGCCGGACGCATATGATGTGCCATCGCATGCAGCCTGCAACCGCGTAGAAGGCCTCGATCCCGATTCTCGCCTTGCCCACCAGCAGCCCACCACCAGTGGCTACACGACCCCTAGCGATGGCACCAATGTCTCATTGGCCATAAATTAGAGAGCAAATGGTATCGCCATGGCCGGACGCATATGATGTGCCATCGCATGCAGCCTGCAACCGCGTAGAAGGCCTCGTCCCGATTCTCGCCTTGCCCACCAGCAGCCCACCAGCAGTGGCTACACGACCCCTAGCGATGGCACCAATGTCTCATTGGCCATAAATTAGAGAGCAAATGGTATCGCCATGGCCGGACGCATATGATGTGCCATCGCATGCAGCCTGCAACCGCGTAGAACGCCTCGATCCCGATTCTCGCCTTGCCCACCAGCAGCCCACCAGCAGTGGCTACACGACCCCTAGCGATGGCACCAATGTCTCATTGGCCATAAATTAGAGAGCAAACGGTATCGCCATGGCCGGACGCATATGATGTGCCATCGCATGCAGCCTGCAACCGCGTAGAAGGCCTCGATCCCGATTCTCGCCTTGCCCACCAGCAGCCCACCAGCAGTGGCTACACGACCCCTAGCGATGGCACCAATGTCTCGTTGGCCATAAATTAGAGCGCCAATGGTAACGCCATGGCCGGACGCATATGATGTGCCATCGCATGCAGCCTGCAACCGCGTAGAAGGCCTCGTCCTGATTCTCGCCTTGCCCACCAGCAGCCCACCAGCAGTGGCTACACGACCCCTAGCGATGGCACCAATGTCTCATTGGCCATAAATTCGAGAGCAAATGGTATCGCCATGGCCGGACGCATATGATGTGCCATCGCATGCAGCCTGCAACCGCGTAGAAGGCCTCGATCCCGATTCTCGCCTTGCCCACCAGCAGCCCACCAGCAGTGGCTACACGACCCCTAGCGATGGCACCAATGTCTCGTTGGTCATAAATTAGAGAGCAAATGGTATCGCCATGGCCAGCACGCATATGATGTGCCATCGCATGCAGCCTGCAACCGCGTAGAAGGCCTCGTCCCGATTCTCGCCTTGCCCACCAGTAGCCCACCAGCAGTGGCTACACGACCCCTAGCGATGGCACCAATGTCTCATTGGCCATAAATTAGAGAGCAAATGGTATCGCCATGGCCAGACGCATATGATGTGCCGTCGCATGCAGCTTGCAACCGCGTAGAACGCCTCGTCCCGATTCTCGCCTTGCCCACCAGCAGCCCACCAGCAGTGGCTACACGACCCCTAGCGATGGCACCAATGTCTCATTGGCCATAAATTCGAGAGCAAATGGTATCGCCATGGCCGGACGCATATGATGTGCCATCGCATGCAGCCTGCAACCGCGTAGAAGGCCTCGATCCCGATTCTCGCCTTGCCCACCAGCAGCCCACCAGCAGTGGCTACACGACCCCTAGCGATGGCACCAATGTCTCGTTGGTCATAAATTAGAGAGCAAATGGTATCGCCATGGCCAGCACGCATATGATGTGCCATCGCATGCAGCCTGCAACCGCGTAGAAGGCCTCGATCCCGATTCTCGCCTTGCCCACCAGTAGCCCACCAGCAGTGGCTACACGACCCCTAGCGATGGCACCAATGTCTCATTGGCCATAAATTAGAGAGCAAATGGTATCGCCATGGCCAGACGCATATGATGTGCCGTCGCATGCAGCTTGCAACCGCGTAGAACGCCTCGTCCCGATTCTCGCCTTGCCCACCAGCAGCCCACCAGCAGTGGCTACACGACCCCTAGCGATGGCACCAATGTCTCATTGGCCATAAATTAGAGAGCAAATGGTATCGCCATGGCCGGACGCATATGATGTGCCATCGCATGCAGCCTGCAACCGCGTAGAAGGCCTCGATCCCGATTCTCGCCTTGCCCACCAGTAGCCCACCAGCAGTGGCTACACGACCCCTAGCGATGGCACCAATGTCTCATTGGCCATAAATTAGAGAGCAAATGGTATCGCCATGGCCAGACGCATATGATGTGCCGTCGCATGCAGCTTGCAACCGCGTAGAACGCCTCGTCCCGATTCTCGCCTTGCCCACCAGCAGCCCACCAGCAGTGGCTACACGACCCCTAGCGATGGCACCAATGTCTCATTGGCCATAAATTAGAGAGCAAATGGTATCGCCATGGCCGGACGCATATGATGTGCCATCGCATGCAGCCTGCAACCGCGTAGAAGGCCTCGATCCCGATTCTCGCCTTGCCCACCAGCAGCCCACCAGCAGTGGCTACACGACCCCTAGCGATGGCACCAATGTCTCGTTGGCCGTAAATTCGAGAGCAAATGGTATCGCCATGGCCGGACGCATATGATGTGCCATCGCATGCAGCCTGCAACCGCGTAGAAGGCCTCGATCCCGATTCTCGCCTTGCCCACCAGCAGCCCACCAGCAGTGGCTACACGACCCCTAGCGATGGCACCAATGTCTCGTTGGCCATAAATTAGAGCGGCAATGGTAACGCCATGGCCGGACGCATATGATGTGCCATCGCATGCAGCCTGCAACCACGTAGAAGGCCTCGTCCCGATTCTCGCCTTGCCCACCAGCAGCCCACCAGCAGTGGCTACACGACCCCTAGCGATGGCACCAATGTCTCATTGGCCATAAATTAGAGAGCAAATGGTATCGCCATGGCCGGACGCATATGATGTGCCATCGCATGCAGCCTGCAACCACGTAGAAGGCCTCGTCCCGATTCTCGCCTTGCCCACCAGCAGCCCACCAGCAGTGGCTACACGACCCCTAGCGATGGCACCAATGTCTCGTTGGTCATAAATTAGAGAGCAAATGGTATCGCCATGGCCAGCACGCATATGATGTGCCATCGCATGCAGCCTGCAACCGCGTAGAAGGCCTCGTCCCGATTCTCGCCTTGCCCACCAGTAGCCCACCAGCAGTGGCTACACGACCCCTAGCGATGGCACCAATGTCTCATTGGCCATAAATTAGAGAGCAAATGGTATCGCCATGGCCAGACGCATATGATGTGCCGTCGCATGCAGCTTGCAACCGCGTAGAACGCCTCGTCCCGATTCTCGCCTTGCCCACCAGCAGCCCACCAGCAGTGGCTACACGACCCCTAGCGATGGCACCAATGTCTCATTGGCCATAAATTAGAGAGCAAATGGTATCGCCATGGCCGGACGCATATGATGTGCCATCGCATGCAGCCTGCAACCGCGTAGAAGGCCTCGATCCCGATTCTCGCCTTGCCCACCAGCAGCCCACCAGCAGTGGCTACACGACCCCTAGCGATGGCACCAATGTCTCGTTGGCCGTAAATTCGAGAGCAAATGGTATCGCCATGGCCGGACGCATATGATGTGCCATCGCATGCAGCCTGCAACCGCGTAGAAGGCCTCGATCCCGATTCTCGCCTTGCCCACCAGCAGCCCACCAGCAGTGGCTACACGACCCCTAGCGATGGCACCAATGTCTCGTTGGTCATAAATTAGAGAGCAAATGGTATCGCCATGGCCAGCACGCATATGATGTGCCATCGCATGCAGCCTGCAACCGCGTAGAAGGCCTCGTCCCGATTCTCGCCTTGCCCACCAGTAGGCCACCAGCAGTGGCTACACGACCCCTAGCGATGGCACCAATGTCTCGTTGGCCATAAATTAGAGCGCCAATGGTATCGCCATGGCCGGACGCATATGATGTGCCATCGCACGCAGCCTGCAACCGCGTAGAAGGCCTCGATCCCGATTCTCGCCTTGCCCACCAGCAGCCCACCAGCAGTGGCTACACGACCCCTAGCGATGGCACCAATGTCTCGTTGGCCATAAATTAGAGCGGCAATGGTAACGCCATGGCCGGACGCATATGATGTGCCATCGCATGCAGCCTGCAACCACGTAGAAGGCCTCGTCCCGATTCTCGCCTTGCCCACCAGCAGCCCACCAGCAGTGGCTACACGACCCCTAGCGATGGCACCAATGTCTCATTGGCCATAAATTCGAGAGCAAATGGTATCGCCATGGCCAGACGCATATGATGTGCCGTCGCATGCAGCCTGCAACCGCGTAGAACGCCTCGTCCCGATTCTCGCCTTGCCCACCAGCAGCCCACCAGCAGTGGCTACACGACCCCTAGCGATGGCACCAATGTCTCATTGGCCATAAATTCGAGAGCAAATGGTAACGCCATGGCCGGACGCATATGATGTGCCATCGCATGCAGCCTGCAACCACGTAGAAGGCCTCGTCCCGATTCTCGCCTTGCCCACCAGCAGCCCACCAGCAGTGGCTACACGACCCCTAGCGATGGCACCAATGTCTCATTGGCCATAAATTAGAGAGCAAATGGTATCGCCATGGCCGGACGCATATGATGTGCCATCGCATGCAGCCTGCAACCGCGTAGAAGGCCTCGTCCCGATTCTCGCCTTGCCCACCAGCAGCCCACCAGCAGTGGCTACACGACCCCTAGCGATGGCACCAATGTCTCATTGGCCATAAATTAGAGAGCAAATGGTAACGCCATGGCCGGACGCATATGATGTGCCATCGCACGCAGCCTGCAACCACGTAGAAGGCCTCGTCCCGATTCTCGCCTTGCCCACCAGCAGCCCACCAGCAGTGGCTACACGACCCCTAGCGATGGCACCAATGTCTCATTGGCCATAAATTAGAGAGCAAATGGCATCGCCATGGCCGGACGCATATGATGTGCCATCGCATGCAGCCTGCAACCTGCAACCGCGTAGAACGCCTCGTCCCGATTCTCGCCTTGCCCACCAGCAGCCCACCAGCAGTGGCTACACGACCCCTAGCGATGGCACCAATGTCTCATTGGCCATAAATTAGAGAGCAAATGGTAACGCCATGGCCGGACGCATATGATGTGCCATCGCATGCAACCTGCAACCGCGTAGAAGGCCTCGTCCCGATTCTCGCCTTGCCCACCAGCAGCCCACCAGCAGTGGCTACACGACCCCTAGCGATGGCACCAATGTCTCGTTGGCCATAAATTAGAGCGCCAGTGGTATCGCCATGGCCAGATGCATCCGACGAGCCATCCCACGCAGCCTGCAACCGCGTAGAAGGCCTCGATCCCGATTCTCGCCTTGCCCACCAGCAGCCCACCAGCAGTGGCTACACGACCCCTAGCGATGGCACCAATGTCTCATTGGCCATAAATTAGAGAGCAAATGGCATCGCCATGGCCGGACGCATATGATGTGCCATCGCATGCAGCCTGCAACCTGCAACCGCGTAGAAGGCCTCGATCCCGATTCTCACCTTGCCCACCAGCAGCCCACCAGCAGTGGCTACACGACCCCTAGCGATGGCACCAATGTCTCGTTGGCCATAAATTAGAGAGCAAATGGTATCGCCATGGCCAGACGCATATGATGTGCCGTCGCATGCAGCTTGCAACCGCGTAGAAGGCCTCGTCCCGATTCTCGCCTTGCCCACCAGCAGCCCACCAGCAGTGGCTACACGACCCCTAGCGATGGCACCAATGTCTCATTGGCCATAAATTAGAGCGCCAATGGTATCGCCATGGCCAGACGCATCCGACGAGCCATCGCATGCAGCTTGCAACCGCGTAGAAGGCCTCGTCCCGATTCTCGCCTTGCCCACCAGCAGCCCACCAGCAGTGGCTACACGACCCCTAGCGATGGCACCAATGTCTCATTGGCCATAAATTAGAGCGCCAATGGTATCGCCATGGCCAGACGCATCCGACGAGCCATCGCATGCAGCTTGCAACCGCGTAGAAGGCCTCGTCCCGATTCTCGCCTTGCCCACCAGCAGCCCACCAGCAGTGGCTACACGACCCCTAGCGATGGCACCAATGTCTCATTGGCCATAAATTAGAGAGCAAATGGCATCGACATGGCCGGACGCATATGATGTGCCATCGCATGCAACCTGCAACCGCGTAGAAGGCCTCGATCCCGATTCTCGCCTTGCCCACCAGCAGTCCACCAGCAGTGGCTACACGACCCCTAGCGATGGCACCAATGTCTCGTTGGCCATAAATTAGAGCGCCAATGGTATCGCCATGGCCAGACGCATCCGACGAGCCATCGCATGCAGCTTGCAACCGCGTAGAAGGCCTCGTCCCGATTCTCGCCTTGCCCACCAGCAGCCCACCAGCAGTGGCTACACGACCCCTAGCGATGGCACCAATGTCTCATTGGCCATAAATTAGAGAGCAAATGGTATCGCCATGGCCAGACGCATATGATGTGCCGTCGCATGCAGCTTGCAACCGCGTAGAAGGCCTCGTCCCGATTCTCGCCTTGCCCACCAGCAGTCCACCTGCAGTGGCTACACGACCCCTAGCGATGGCACCAATGTCTCATTGGCCATAAATTAGAGAGCAAATGGTATCGCCATGGCCAGACGCATATGATGTGCCATCGCATGCAGCTTGCAACCGCGTAGAACGCCTCGTCCCGATTCTCGCCTTGCCCACCAGCAGCCCACCAGCAGTGGCTACACGACCCCTAGCGATGGCACCAATGTCTCATTGGCCATAAATTCGAGAGCAAATGGTAACGCCATGGCCGGCCGCATATGATGTGCCATCGCATGCAGCCTGCAACCGCGTAGAAGGCCTCGTCCCGATTCTCGCCTTGCCCACCAGCAGCCCACCAGCAGTGGCTACACGACCCCTAGCGATGGCACCAATGTCTCATTGGCCATAAATTAGAGAGCAAATGGTATCGCCATGGCCGGACGCATATGATGTGCCATCGCATGCAGCCTGCAACCGCGTAGAAGGCCTCGTCCCGATTCTCGCCTTGCCCACCAGCAGCCCACCAGCAGTGGCTACACGACCCCTAGCGATGGCACCAATGTCTCATTGGCCATAAATTAGAGAGCAAATGGTAACGCCATGGCCGGACGCATATGATGTGCCATCGCACGCAGCCTGCAACCACGTAGAAGGCCTCGTCCCGATTCTCGCCTTGCCCACCAGCAGCCCACCAGCAGTGGCTACACGACCCCTAGCGATGGCACCAATGTCTCATTGGCCATAAATTAGAGAGCAAATGGCATCGCCATGGCCGGACGCATATGATGTGCCATCGCATGCAGCCTGCAACCTGCAACCGCGTAGAACGCCTCGTCCCGATTCTCGCCTTGCCCACCAGCAGCCCACCAGCAGTGGCTACACGACCCCTAGCGATGGCACCAATGTCTCATTGGCCATAAATTAGAGAGCAAATGGTAACGCCATGGCCGGACGCATATGATGTGCCATCGCATGCAGCCTGCAACCGCGTAGAAGGCCTCGTCCCGATTCTCGCCTTGCCCACCAGCAGCCCACCACCAGTGGCTACACGACCCCTAGCGATGGCACCAATGTCTCGTTGGCCATAAATTCGAGAGCAAATGGTATCGCCATGGCCGGACGCATATGATGTGCCATCGCATGCAGCCTGCAACCGCGTAGAAGGCCTCGTCCCGATTCTCGCCTTGCCCACCAGTAGCCCACCAGCAGTGGCTACACGACCCCTAGCGATGGCACCAATGTCTCATTGGCCATAAATTAGAGAGCAAATGGTATCGCCATGGCCGGCCGCATATGATGTGCCATCGCATGCAGCCTGCAACCTGCAACCGCGTAGAAGGCCTCGATCCCGATTCTCGCCTTGCCCACCAGCAGCCCACCAGCAGTGGCTACACGACCCCTAGCGATGGCACCAATGTCTCATTGACCATAAATTAGAGCGCAAACGGTATCGCCATGGCTAGACGCACCCGATGAGCCATCGCATGCAGCCTGCAACTACGTAGAAGGCCTCGTCCCGATTCTCGCCTTGCCCACCAGCAGCCCACCAGCAGTGGCTACACGACCCCTAGCGATGGCACCAATGTCTCATTGGCCATAAATTAGAGAGCAAATGGTATCACCATGGCCGGACGCATATGATGTGCCATCGCATGCAGCTTGCAACCGCGTAGAAGGCCTCGTCCCGATTCTCGCCTTGCCCGCAAGCAGCGCCTGTTGGGCGCATTCCGGCCGCTGACGATAGCAAGATCGGCTTCGAGGAGCCGACGCACAGTCGCGCAGCTCTAGTTACGTCATGATATAGCTAACGAGCCTAGCCATATGGTGGCAAACCGTCGGAAAGGCCTCCACGATTCCCTCCTCTTGGTTACCGACTGTAGCGCCCGTTGAGCGCGTTCCGTCACCACTGGCCTACATGTGGTAGCGGCTCCGATGCTGTCAAACGTGTCCATAGCGGTTTGCAGGCTTTTGATGCTTGGTTGCACCGTGGTTGTATATGCGTCCCGTGTATGCCACGAACGTTCATCTAGGGTCCACTTTGCCGAAAATAACCTAAATTCAAATTTTCATGGTGGTAATTTCGGTACCCCACTTTAGTGATATGCTACTCATCCAAGAAAAATCCGGCAATTTTTAGCTATTGAAAACTTATAAAAGGTGAAATTAATATTTAAATTAGGCAAGTAAATATAAGTTTAGAGAGGTATATAGTTGATCTGGCTGTAGCACCTGGAATTTGGGGACCCTAGGTTTTCATCAGCAGGGAATTCTATTATACGACTTATATGTGCCAGAGAAAGGTTTAAATACAATTAAAAGCTAGCGTCAATGTTATTATGGAGCCAATATGAAGCTACGGAGCTGAGATTTAGGTAGGGTACGTTTTTGACCATGCTAAACTCACTTTTAGCATGCAAACATATATTTTAGATGATATTACCAGGCAACCAGAACCATTATTGGTATAGTATACAGGGAGTTGATATCAACTCCCTGTATTACCAGGTTTTCGTATACGGGGGATTCGATGGTACCACTCCCGTGTGCCAGAGACGGGTCAGTGATCCATTATTTGATTGCTGCTAATTTCAGCCATACGAACGTAACATTTTGGGAGTCGAAAGTTTATCTGTATTGAACACAAGTGTAGTAGATTATGAGAAGTGGTGTACATAATCGTACATGAGGAAAATGTGGTAGTATACATGGTGTAAGTATGAGGTGATGGGTAACAGTGGTAACAAACCAAATGATCTACTTTTTAGTCGATAATAAACCAAATTATGCACTATAATCCAAAATATCTATTAATGTGTAATTTGATTTAGGTATGTTGAAGTATATGGTTAGAACTATATTGTAGTTCATTATTTATAGTGGAGTGGATTATTGTAGAAGATAGTATGTGATGTGTAAATGAGGTGGATATATGTGGTAGATTGGTGGGTATGTGATGGGAAGTGAGTGTTTTGGTTGGTGTGTGTGGACAATGAAGAGGGTAGATGGGATGTTAAGTGGTGGATACGAGGTGAAAAGTGGTAAACGCGGTTTGAAAACGAAAGTACAGACAGGATGTAGAAAAAGGAGTTGATAGTTTAATAGAGTTAGTTTATGTCGAAGTAGGTTGACGTATGTAAACGGAGTATGGGGAGTAGGATAGCTGTGGGTGAATGATGGGTATAAGGTAAAAAGTAGATAATGAGGTTGAGAAACGAGAGTGGAGGTGGTGGAGAAAAGTGGGTTGTAAATGAAGAGGAGGAATGTGGTGGTTGAATATAGTTATAAAAGGTGGAAGTAGATGTGGATTTTGTAAATGAGAAGGTGAGAATTAGTGGTTTAGGGTTTATGGTTCAGGGTTTATGGTTTAGGGTTTAGGGTTTAGGGTTTAGGGTTTAGGGTTTAGGGTTTAGGGTTTAGGGTTTAGGGTTTAGGGTTTAGGGTTTAGGGTTTAGGGTTTAGGGTTTAGGGTTTAGGGTTTAGGGTTTAGGGTTTAGGGTTTAGGGTTTAGGGTTTAGGGTTTAGGGTTTAGGGTTTAGGGTTTAGGGTTTAGGGTTTAGGGTTTAGGGTTTAGGGTTTAGGGTTTAGGGTTTAGGGTTTAGGGTTTAGGGTT